TGGACCTTGCATTAAATCAATCATAATTACTATAACAAATTATATTTACCAACATCTTTATTGTACAAGGAAATAAATTATACCACCTACTTAAAATAAACTTAAACTCTCTAGGGTAGAAACACTTTTTACGGTTCCGTATCCAAAAATGTAACCCTATCACTAAGATATCTCTATCTGTCTGTCTAAAGAAACGCGGTAACAATTATTTATCTTTACCTCTATACTAATATTATAAATGCGAAAGCAACGCTGTCTGTCTGTCTGTCCGGCTTTAACTCTGAAACTAGTGGGAGTGGGAGTGGGGTGGAAGTGAGTGTAGGAATGAGAGTAGGAGTTAGAGTAAGAGTGATGTGAGCTGAGAGTGTTGCGGCAAACTAACACTTGCAACATAGATTGGCTGCCTTGATGCGTCCTTACATAATAAACAGCCTAAATAATTAAAAATTCTACCCCAAGTCACTATTCCGCGCGAACGAAGTCGCGGGCACAGCTAGTAAGTAATAAAATTAAATGGCCTTTAAGGGAAGGTATCCATACAAGAACGGCCAATTACTTATTTCTACTTTTTTCGATATCAATAAACAATAACAGTTGAAATAACTATAAAAAGGTCACAACATGAATGAACTTACTGTTTTTTACCAAGTCATTGCCACGGAACCCTCCGTGCGTAAATTGGAATCGCACTTGGCCGGTTTTTTATAAGTAGTATCAGAAACCAGAATTATATGAAGTTTAATAACAATGTCAGCTAAGTAACATATATAACAGATAAAGTACGAGTAAAAAGTTAACGTTATTTTTTCTGGGAACTGGACGAGTCAGCCCACAACCATGAACCATGCACGTTTATAATTAGACAGTAATTGTATTCTGTGGGAAAATTGTTTTGTGCTCATCAAATTAACCGTAGTTCTGACCTCGTTAATTACTTTCATGTTTGAAAATTACTGTTCTTACAAGAAATGGTATCTGTTATGACAGAAGAAGACGGACAAATGTTATTCCCTAGTCGTATAACATCTTAACAAGTAACACTGTCGGCCTATTGGTGTTAGACCTTCGAGATCCATAAACAAAATTCTAAAAGTGATGCAGTTTTTGCATCTGTGGTGGGTCTTGTTTCGAACTTTCTTTATTCTTGTTTAATATTCAAATCTTCCAGATGAAGCTGACATGTTTCGAAAAAATTACAAATCGACCTGGTCTCGGCCGGGAGTCCCACTAACCGTTTATTATTAGCCAAACATTGCTATTTGGACAAACCTAACCTGTGCAGTTTCATTTGATTTCGATATAAAATGCTTCCTGCAGGGCCTCCTGCCTGTTTAAAATTGATTTCCCAAGGAGTAAAAAAAATATGTATAATGAAACTCAGCTTACACAGGAGGGCACCGATTGCGCATGTACGTTTTAAATAATTGACACAAATTTTTATTCTAACATACATTTCTGAACAATAGCTCCCTTTTAAGGAGCTACAAAGTAGCAAATACATGGCAAATTGGCGTCTCGCGACGTAGCTCAACTTTATCAGGCCTTATCGGGTTTTATTGTTTCAAAATTGCTCTATTTATTTGCGTTTCCTTCACCTGTTTCTTGTCTTTGCATAATTTCGAGCGAAATTAATTACGTACTAGCAATGTAGAGAGGTGAACTACTCGACACTTTTAACGGTTTGAAACGAGAAAATATACTAAAACACCTTACTCGCTTTTCATAATGGCAGACAAGATGGGGGGTTTGAAGTGTTTAAGTAGAAGTATAATACTGAAAATGAACATGATTTACTTTTGGCTCAATGGATAAACGCATTGCATATACCGCGAAGGCTAGGTTCGTATCCCGGAAAAATTAAAAAGTTCTGTCTACCTTGTCTGATAATACAATCTATTTATGAAGCAGATATAGATATGTCTGCTACCTTATTACCTTACCTGCTTGATATCCTTACTTAATTCCTCTAGTTTATCAATTCGTTAGCTATATTGATAAGTAGGTACACTATAGTTTTGATATCTAAACTGCATTGTTAAGCTAGGCACTGGCCACTTAAGGAGAACCAGAGCAATAACATGTGACGTAAATGTGCAGATCGCTTAATCCGATAATCTATACGTAATAATCAACGTGAACGTGGTCGTGAGTTCGATTTCTAAATATACAAAATCTGCAGACCTTGTTTAAATTTAATATGGCTACATTATTTAGCAAACAAGAAAATATTAATGACGCAGCAAAAAATATCAAACGAATAGTGTAGTAAAACATTACACAAAAGAGTGCTAACAAGTTTTTAATGTCCCCTTACGAATATCTAAAATAGGTCAATAACGCACGTTGTTTAGATGTTGTGTGGCTGGGGTATTTTACCTAGAAGTGATACCTATGCTCGTCTGTCCTGCTCTACCATAAAAATGGTTTTCAGGTATTTTCAGAAGATAACTGTTTTTTACATTCGATGTTTCGCCTTGTAGTGAGTTTTGTATTGTACTATAACAAACACTACATACTACTAGTTTGATTTTTTCTAATGCAGTTCTTTCACTGCAATTAGCGACCTCCTATGGAGTGTCCCTAACATTGGCAATGATTCGTGTATCTAGTATATATAAGAAATAATAGACGCTATTATTAAAATGGTAATGATTGAGATCGCGTGCAGATAAGAAGTACTTTCAATAACCAGCAATAGAATGTTATGAAAGTGTTCATCTGGACATGAAATATATTCTGAGTTGCATATTAAGGCGACATTTAACAGCCTCACAGGTTAGAGCCTAAATTTTTCTTGACTTATCCTACTTCGTGTAAATAACCACGGAATACGTGAACCTGTCACAATGTAAATAATCTTAACAATATATATGAAAATGTTTCACGGGTATTTTCTCTAGTTTACGCGAAAAAGAAAATATGTTTATTGTCTCTCTCTTAATAATAAATTACAAATTGAGGCTATTCCAAAAAGTTTATTACTAACTTGTGTTGGAACAGCTTCGCATTATAGTAGTAACTACACATTAATAACACTTTTAACGGTTCAAAAAGCAAATTATATTAGTTTGCTTAGTTGAAACTATGACCCGACGGTTTAGATGATTTGCAGCCACCGCGATCGGGTAAGTTAACTTAAATGCCTATCTCGCGTTTTGAACCGAAAAAAGTGTTTTATTTTAATGATGAACAAATTAATTTATAACTCTGGATTTAAGATAGTCGAAACACGTTCCGAAATATGGTCTATACGGGTCGGCTTCAAACCGAAAAAACAGGATTTAGTGCTGGAATGGGCATAAAAATCTACAACTTAATTATTCATTACAATAGATATTTTGAACATGTAAGGGTTTAAAAAACACAAGGTAATTAATCATACCATAGTGTGACAAAGCTGTATAGTTAAAGTATTACATCCAAATTTTAAAACACAGACCAGACACGCTAACTCAACTGAGTTAGCGTGTCTGGTCTGTGTTTTAACTCAACTCAACTCAACTTGGTCAACTGACCAAGCTATAGACGACGTAGTTTTTTAAAATCTCTATATACATTTATAACAGATTGCTTGATTAGGCATTGGAATATATAATTCGTATTAAAATAGACAATACCAAAATTACTCACTTTTTACAATAAGAAACTTTTCTATATTTGCAAAACAACTCAACACACCCACATAAAGTTAAATAATAAAAAAACACAATCACAAATTAAATAACACTTATATTTTTGGCATTAGTAATGTATGTTTCCAAAATACAATCTTTTCAATTAGCTTGGCGCTAAACTTTGTACGAACACAGCGCAAAGGTCGCACGTCTACAACTGACACTAGTAATTCACAGACTAAATAAAGTCGCGTTGTGACTGCAGTCTCCGGTTTACTTAATTGCCTATTTTCATCTTCATGCTTGTGATAAAATAAAAATACCTTCTTATATTTCTTTATCGCATGCTGATTTGATATGCGAAGATTATATTTATCATTTTCAGTTACACAAAAATAACCTGTTTTTTTAATCAAATTAAACGTTATGGGGTCTTTAAAAGTTATTTTTTTTAATAAGTATTTAAATTCAAATTTCTATTCAGTATTTCAATAGAAACAATAATATGTTCAGACCTTGTGCATAGGTTCAATGCCGTAGCTTTGCAATACCCAGGGTTTATAAATTTAGATACTAAATGAAAGTACTTACCAAAATTATTTTTGTAAACCGAAATTTCTCGGACGTTCCTTTAACATCGATGTGATTTTTTATTGAACGTATTCTTATTGGACGTTGCAATTTACAATATGTAATTTAACTCTTAGACTACTTAGGGCTTACCAAAAAAATTGTTATAAATAAGCTAGACTAAATGTTAATAAAAGACTAAAAAAAAAATATTGTAGAATAGGTACGATCTTTAAGTGCATGATAATGTTATTTCAGCTCAGTAACATTTTTGGGTCTGAATTAAATTGTTCCCGCCTTGTTTTTGTGTTGAATGCACAGATATAATACCTTTTTAATAGTCCTGTGGTTTGGCTGGATTGGCAAAACGTCAACTGTCATCTTGACTTTACATTGCATACTGAAGATATAAAATCGTGACATAAATGCAAAATGAATGGTCAATGACCAATGGGCAATGGTGAATGGTCAATGGTGTGAGTGCGACATACACAAAAATACCACCCTCTTGTGAACTACAACATTCGTAATTTGTTACAATCGGATTTTTTAGTTCAATTTTTATGTCATAATTAATAATAATAGCTTTTCTATCTTTTTACACCAAAATCTCTAACTGAAGTTATCACACCGATACATTATCTGATAATCCGTGGTTGTCTATTGACTTGATGGAATCGTACTTCGACAACACTACCCTTAGAAAAAGCACAACGATGGAAGGGTACAAATGATTTTAATATTGGCTATCAAGGTGCCGCTACAAATAAGTCGATTGATTGATGGACGGACAATTAATGGAAGTGTAACGGTGACATGAGCACAAATAAGAGACGCGGGCCCAGCAGTTCCAGTTGTGCTGTTCCAGGTGTGCCTGCTCTCGTCAACGTTCCGAACGCTATGTCTGCCGATCTTGCGTCCTTATTCGAGTGCCCAGTCTGCTTTGACTATGTCTTGCCACCAATTCTCCAATGTCAGAGTGGGCACCTTGTCTGCTCCAGTTGTCGACCGAAACTATCTTGCTGTCCAACGTGTCGAGGACCTCTTGGCAACATACGCAACCTTGCCATGGAGAAAGTCGCAAGCAACGTTATGTTTCCTTGTAAACACTCTAACACTGGCTGTACTGTAACTCTTGTGCACACCGAGAAGGCGGAACACGAAGAAGCCTGTGAATTTCGACCTTACTCTTGTCCCTGTCCTGGAGCTTCATGTAAATGGCAAGGAGGGCTCGACCAAGTTATGCCACACCTTATGATGTCACATAAAAGTATAACAACACTTCAAGGGGAAGATATTGTGTTTTTAGCTACTGATATTAATTTACCTGGAGCTGTTGATTGGGTCATGATGCAATCTTGTTTTAATCATCACTTTATGTTAGTTTTGGAGAAACAAGAAAAGTTTGATGGCCATCAGCAATTCTTTGCTATAGTGCAACTTATAGGATCTCGTAAAGAAGCTGAAAGTTTTGCATATAGACTGGAATTAAACGGTCATCGCAGAAGATTGACTTGGGAAGCGATGCCCCGTTCCATTCATGAAGGTGTTTCTTCAGCTATTATGAATTCCGATTGCCTTGTCTTTGATACTTCTCTTGCACAACTTTTTGCAGATAATGGTAACCTTGGTATAAATGTAACTATTTCGATTGCCTAATCCACATTTCAGTGCCTGCACAACTGTTGCAGAGAAGGTATGAACAATGAACATTAGAAAATAGTAATCTCGAAGATTAAGTTTAGTGCCCATTTTAATTTTTATTTAATTTCACCCACATGTTATTGAAACTGTCATGTTTCATGATAACTGTACTTCAATAATTCATGAAAATATGCCAAAAATATGTTTTCATTATGTAAATGTGTGTTCAAGATAGTGTTAAGTAGGAAGAAATTATATGTTGTGGTTAAACTACTCTGCAAATATGGATTATCTCTTGCTCATACAAAACCATACTTGAAAACTTGTTGTAGGAAAGAATATATGGCTTGCGATCAAGTTTTTTCATCTAAGGGGGAATTTATTTTAATTTGCAGTGTAGTGTTAGCCAAGACATTATTTTAAAAATACCATATTCCAATGAAGTGAACTTAAATTTGTGTATAATATTACAATGAACAAATATTCTTTATCATTTGATTCATGGAGTGTTATATTGTGATGCTTATATATTGAGTGTTAAGCTTCGGCCAAGTAGAGTCATAGCATGCTTAAACCTAACCATGATATGATGTATATGCAAGACACAAACTAATGTTAACAACTAGGAAAAACAATTTCCATTACTCGAGTCCAATATAAAGTATTTTTATTACTGAAAATCGCGATGCTGTCAGCATAAATTGTAACTAGCTACACAATAATATTGATTATTCTATTATCCATATTGATTGATAATAATATTAAGACAAGAATTAGTCCTTACAAGTACATTATAACTGGCATCAAGAAATCACTAATGAATGTTTCTATGTTATTAGATTTAAGATGAATATAAAGTTACTGCTACAGGAAATATAAGATTATAATATTTATTTTTTGTACTTATAAATTGCAGTTATAAATGCACATTTCACTTGTCTTGTGATAACCAGCTAAGATTTTTCAACTTTTTATTTTAATAATTATACAATTCAATATTTGTCTTTATGAATAAAATTAGTACATTTTATGTATTTGTAAATTTTTATTAGTATATTTGTCTCTAATTCCTATATTCTTAGCTTTTGTAATATGGGATATTTCAAATTAATTTTAATTCAGTTATTTATTCTCTGTCATTAAACATTTATGTAGTTCCGGTGACCGATTTGAAATTATTTTCTTAAATATATATATATTATAGACTCTTCTTAGTATTTCTAGGTTGACATATTATACTGGTAACACTGAAACTGCGAAGGTATTTTGGTTGAATAAAATTTTATAATACAGGATATTGAATTTTTAATATAATCCAAAATAACAAACCTTTCATAAATTTCGAACGATAACCTTTAACATAACAAACTTTATAACATTGTTTGTATTTCAAAATAAAACATTCTACTTAGGTATAATGGATGCAGTATTTTGTATACTTTATTTGTACCGCAATCTGATTATAACGAGATGGGTGGATGGAATACTGCAATATAAGTAGAATTTTACGTAAATCTACTACTAACATAATAACATCTTTTTTATAATAATTAAAACCTTTAAGTTTTAAAGATTTAACTAAAATTAACATATATAGACAACATACATCTATTTTTAATGATCATTAGTTTTACTTGTCTGTGGTAATAATGGTGATGGAAGTAGACTTGTAGAAGTAGGCGAATGACTATCGTCTAAGAGAGAAGCATCTCTCTCCAAAGAAAAAGATTCTTGTAAAACTGGACTAAATGGATCTCTACTAGACGAAGCCCTATGTATAACTTCAAATGCACCAGATGTTTCGTTTGTCTTTGTATCCACTAGTGTAAATTCGTCGAATTTATCTAGAATCGGACTAAATGGATCTCTCGCTTCAAATGGATAATATTTCTTTGGGTCTGGACTAAAGGGGTCTTTTGGTTCTCTGGGCACATCTTCTGCTAAGCTATTATCACCACTGAAATCCGATAGATCTATATCATAGTTGACATTACTTAAGCCTGGGACCTGTTCAGAGCCAAAGTCATCTGGCGTCATCAATTCATCTATGGATCTAGAATCAAATGGGGTAAAGCCAAGCGGAGAGGGTGTTAAGAGTTCTAAAGAGCTGGTTTGTTTTACTTCCCACGGATTTAAAGGGGATCTGGACGGTGACTTATCCTCTGGTGTTTGTGAAAATGTTATGATTGGTTCATCTTGGTATTGAATATTCGTAACAATCAATTCGGACTCAAGATAGTTTTGGTTTTGTGGGATAATTTGGGTGACATTTTCTTGAAGGTTAGTTGAAGTAGCTGGTAGATTTTTGGGTTGAGCTTCTGTAGAGCCACACGCATTGTGCAAGTCCGGGCATAATTTTGGTTTATTCGTGTTCAAAGGCTCTTGTTCCACTAGTGGAGGTATACTCTCATGTTGTTCGATTTTAGGCACGTTGTTTATTTGAGATGGATTAAGTTTGTCGACCTCCAAGTCTATTAGAGCAGCAGTGGCGGCCGTCAAACTGCCGAGACGAGGCAATTCCCGACGCGGCTTTATTTCCAAAGGAGTTTTCGCGAGAACATCCTGAACTTTTTTGGCAATTTCTTTCTGTAAAGCAAAAGTAAATAAACAAATAACAAAAGATGTATGCAGCGACATTTTCGGCTATGATCTCTTTATCAATATTGAGGTAACCTCAAAAGACTCCGCATTTACTGCCAGCTGATCGCCTTTTTCCTTCAAAGCCCTGGTCTCCGCCATCAAATTTTCAACTTGAAGCCGCTGTTCTTCTGCCTCACGAGAAGCCCCACATAAAGATAAAGCCGCCGCCTGAAATATTTCAAAAACGCATTTAATAAGAATTAAAATACATGTAAGCTTGGTAATAGATTGTGTTAAATTTGTATAACTTAATCACAGCAACAGGTCAACATCGCTCTTTAATTGTCTCGATTACTAAATTAAACCTAGATTTATATCTAGTACTAATCTTAATTGTATTTGATAACATGACAAACCCAAGCACTCCCGCCAATAGATGCTGGCATCGCCATGTAGCAGTCAAACTCCTTTCTATCCATATTGAGGGATTCGGGTGTTAGGTTTTCTATGAACGACACCGCACAGCACTGTGGGTTAGAACAAACATAAGTATTTTTTACAGTACAAAATTATAAGTATAACAAAAACATCATTTAAATAATATTACTGTCAATGCTACTTTTTTACAAACAATTGACTCTGAGTAAGTATGTTAAGCAAGCACGATTTGATATTATTTTGTATGAGACAGCCATCACAAGAAGTAATTATATTGACGACTAATGTCTGTTAGTAAAATTACCTTAGAACTAGGTAACTGTTTACCAAATTAGTGAAATAATATCCTCCCTCGCCAGTCATAAGTCGCTGGGCGTTGCAGAAGCGCGTAACAAAGTTGATGTTGCTGACGAGTCGAGGTGGATTCGCCTTCAATACCTGAAAAGATTAGCGTTTGAGTGATTTAGCGTCGAGACTTGCAACGCCATTATATAAAACTCTTTTAACGGTTTAAAACGCGAAATGTTTTAGTTGAACTTATTTTAACTGCGGCCCGACCTATAGGATACTTTGCAGCCACAGGGCGACTGAAGATGGTGTCTGTAATATGAAAACTGCTACGCTAGCGCCATCTGTTCCGTCGTGGTTGGTATTTGGCCAAACTCATTGGGTCCTTGCAGAACTAACTAACGGTGTCCATTCTCTTTTCGATGTGTCGGCCATAGTTGAAATACATTGTAAATAAGTTAAACTAATACGTTTCATCTTTTAAACCGTTCGAAGTATTTTACTTAAATGTACACTCCTCGCGTAAACTACAGACAGTTCTTGCAATGGCATTTTGCTTCTCGTCCTTCAATAGCTGTACGTAAGTCACCTTAGTACTTAAAATACTAAGCCAATTTTAATAAGGACGTCAAACTATTTATTTTACAACTAGACAAAACGGGGTTTAGCATTGAGAATTAAACAATGGAAAAACAAATGCGATTTTTTCTTTGAGTTTAGAAAAAATGTATATGTACCATACAGACGCCTTTTTGCCTTTTAGCAATCTCATAGTCGAGTTGTAATTCTTCAAATTTAAGTATTTGTGGATACTCACAGTGAATATTAAGGCAGGTAGAAGATCATCAGCTGAGGCCGGTGCTCCACAAAGAGCAAGGACGTGTCTGCAGGCTCGTCGTACGCGAGCCACTTTTCCCCCAGGAGACAATGCAGCGTCCATACCCAGGAGCTCTGTTTAAGGTTACATATACTTTGTAGGCAGTGATTATAAACTATTCAAGTGCTAATAACTAATAAAACAGAAAAATTATGTTCACCTTTATTTATGTACTTATTTCCTTTTTTTTTATTTTGTACTTTTAGGTTTTACCCCCTAGATGATAAAATTAAAAAAAAAGCCTTGAATTATAATTTTAGTGTTACCCTTAGGTATTATAAATTATTATTGTAAATCTACATCTTCAAGGTTACCGGTTTTTTTTTTTATTTCATCAAAACAAATCTTATTTATATTATTTTTTTTGTGGTGGCAATAAAGTATTTTTGTTTGTTCATGAATATGTTCCCTCCTATCCTTTAAAAAGCTCCTCTACAAGCACTTTATGTCACTTAATTACCCATCTGAATAAATTGTCACTATCTATTAATATTTTTACGCAATCCTTATTTTAGTTTAGTTTCCCTAGATAAGTTTTGAAATTGTATGTAAGTTTTATTTTGATACGTTTAAGATTATATTTAACATTGTACATTTTGTTTCGCCCACCTTGCACATCTCGTTTTCCCGTAAACTTTTTTCTCTTTCATCTTTGGTTGCCTGGAAGAGATCGCTCGTTAGCGATAAGGCCGCCCATTGCACTCCATATGTTTAGTATATAAGTTTATATTTTTGGTAATTTTTTTTTTTTGTGCAATAAAGTGTAAATAAATAAATAAATAAATATGTATAATTTGAACTGTTATGAGAATCAAAATGATATGTAGTTATATTATAATTGTATTTATTAATCGGTGTTAAGATACTTCCTCTGGGATTTCCTACATACTTGGGTTTATTTATTTGACTTAATCTTATCTGCAACTTTGTATTTTAAAAAACAATGCATTAATGGAAGGATATATTGCAAAAGATTATTATTTATGATCGTGTATATTTATTAGCAATAATCAGACAATAACTTCCAAGAATAAAGAATAATGTCGTAAATCAGGCAATAGTATTTTTAAATCCTTGATTATGTTTTATCGCATGTGAATGTGACCTGTCTCAATTTGAATGATGTCACTGACTGACTGACTCGCCATATAACTCCAGACACCGTTACAATCGTAAAGGTGTCTAGTTTTATTAAGGTCCTAAGTTCCGTTGCCGAGGAAAAAATAATTAGTTTCGGCCAGGCAAGGTACTGACGTATGATCAATTTCCTGTAATAAAATGGATCAGTGTACCGGTCACAGAAATAACTTTGCCTCATGCTTCAAATTAAAATAAACTTAGCATGTTTTTCAAGATAGAGGGCAGCATGAGGTTTACATAGTGGAAGGTCAAATACCCAGCCAGAACGATCTCTATTTTTACTTTGCATATTCGGTAATCCATAGACGTATACCGAAACGGGATTAAATTTCAAGGCTTTTTATCTATGGACGGTGGTTCGTGACCCGGAAGGAAATTTCATCACTCGTACGGTCAATATACCCAGATTCCCAGGCGAAGTCCGACACGTTTGAAAAAAAATTATAAATTGATTACATACAATTTGAAAACAGTGGAAATCGACTCGTTCTCGACGACCACAATCGAATCGTTGATTAACAGCCATACATTGTTAAGATTAAAATTAGATGCAAAATGTTAGAAATTATTAGATGTAAAAAATCGACTGATTCTCCAGCCGATGTTTTTGTTCTATTGGTTCCGTGAGGCTTTTGTTAGTCCCCTAATACCTATACAAGCTGATAATCAAGTGATTGTGACTGTAACCCGACAAGCTAGTTTGTAAAATCTAGTTACAACTGTCTGTCAAATTAAGGCACTAGTAAAACTAACTTACCACTAATAGCCTTGTAGAGAAGCTGCCTACAAGCTGCGTTAGTACGGTCCAGCTTACATTCCAGATGTGTCTCCCCAACCCAGCTTAACTGCTGAATGCGTTCCGACATCGCCCTATCGAGGCGTTCATCTTCAGTGCCAGCGGGTGAAAATACTACAGATGGTAGCCTTGAGAACAGAAATAACCAATTAGTGGAATAAAAAGGTTTAAACAAAGTGAAATTGATAGGTATCATTTGATAAAAACAAAATTTGCATGTGCATAATAATATTATATATTAAAAGAATATGTCCGCATATGTGTATATCTTATGTTTATATGAATTTGCATTTCCATTACATATACAACCTTATAGCCAATACAGACTAAAATGTACGCATTAAAATGCACTGAGTATGTGTAATCAGTTTTCCCTGTCTTGGACATGTACGCGTTTAGTGAAATAAACATATTTCTAGAACGTTTTATTCATAGGCACATTGATCTAACTTATATGTTTTTCTGCAAACTTGACTGGCACCTTGTTCGAATCATAATCAACATCTCATGAGTTCGATTTCCACCGGGACATAAATTTAAATCAATGTATAATTTTCATAAACAATGTTGAATTTGATCTGGAAATATGGAAATATTATAAGGGTGATACGAATAATGAAATTATTTTCCGGGTTAGGAACCACCATCCAAAAAAAAGTCGAGAGGTATAGCCGTGTAAAAATTTCGATCTATGGTATTGTGAACGTTCAAAGCCAAATTAGGTAAGTTACCCTCACGCTTGTCCTAGTCTATCATATAAACGAAAATGCATATATACTAACTCGTGAAGATATGTCATGGCGTGTTTCTCTACGAAGTCCATAAGCAGTTCCTTCGTGTCAGGCTCCACGTTCGCGAAATGTGAAGAGCTGTCCATGTGCTTCATGAATCTCTGGAATTTTATTTCTATTATGATACGTATTAGACTATTAGTAAGAATAAAAACATATTATTTCACATAAAAAAATTGAAAATCTATTTTGGACCGACAAAATCAATGCTCAAAAAGAGAATCACAAAAAATATTGACAAACATCATAGTGGCGTGAAATTTTCTGAATTTTAAATTTATAAAAATTGTTGATTCAATAGGTCTTATCTTACTACAATTCAAGTATTGAGTAGCAGTAGCGTTGACAGTCTTTCGTTGAATATGCGAGTAGCACATCTATACTAATATATAAAGCTGAAGAGCTTGTTTGTTTGAACGCGCTAATCTCAGGAACTACGGGTTCGAATTGAAAAGTTATTTTTTTTTTGGTTAGATCATTTCTCTAATATAAGGGATCTAATAGAAGGGAAGATAAAGCGAAGATACAGAACAATACAAATTATTCACAATATGGATTACCGAGTCGTAGGCTGCAATACCGGTTCAAAATAGTAAAAAAAAATGTATGGAAGAATAATTCCTCTTTAAAGGATCTAAAAAAAAGCGCGCGATATATGTCTATCTTTTAAGATTAACTTGCAAGAACGATGGGAAGGGACGCGATCGACGTCGTGGGTAACAGCTTCAGTGTATAAAGATGAAGGGGTTTGCCAAAACGAATTTGTATGTCCAAAATAAACTAATTCTACAAACATAATATGAGAATTAAAATTATAATACAATATAAAATTATATACATACAAATATACATTATAAAATTAAAATCTTATTTCGTTTGATTGCTTAGATATTGCAGTTACCTGATATTGCCTCTGCACTCTTTCAGACAGTTCATCAACAGTCATAACATTGGAGCACTTAATGACATCCATGATAAATGAGTGAGCGAACAGCCTGGCATCTCGGTCCATTTGTGGTGTTAAGTTTGGAAACCGAAGCCGGAAATCGCGCTTCATCCCCTCGTTGACCATTGGTGGAATTTTGAATTCGGGAGGCTTTCGCTCCATCGCATGGTCATGGTCATCTATACAAGATTATATGATAATTATATTTAAGCAATATGTTTGTAACGTGAGAGAACTCAATTCTTTTTTGTGGCGAATGATGAAACCCAATTTCCCCCCGTGTAACACTATAAAAACAGTGGACAAACACATTCATTATGTACAGAAAAACGTCCACATAATTCATCTATTTTCCGAAATTTCGAGTAGGTGGTTTTCAACCACATACATGACTTGAACCAGTTAAAGATCAAAATTATAGCTGGCGCAGGGCCTAGTCGCGCCGTCAGCCAAGTCTTCTCCATCAAAGGGCCGGACATTGACAAATTCTCTTTGCTCTCTCCCCTTCTTCCTTCTGTGAGAGGAAGTCGGCAGAAGGCCTTGAAGACCCCCCCCTACGCCTAGCTATCCCTGCCACCTTAGTAATAAAATCCGCGCCGAATACCAGGATTCTTCTCTGTCCCACCCGGCAAGCCTTCTAGGTGTGTTGCATGTCTGAAGCCCACAATGGTGGCAGAAGGAGCTTGATCCCACCAAATCCTATACAGATATTTAAAAAAAATTATGATCCATTTACCTTTAAGTTTACTGACCTGTACTACTCTTCTTGAAAACACTAAACTTCAGAAGATTCGCCTTTTTTAAGGTTTCACTTTGGCGTAGCCTCTTCTCTTCAAATTTGGAGAAAGATGAATGTGATGTAAGCTTGAAGCCAGATTCTTTCTTTTGTTCTGGCTTTGGAAGTGTTGATGATCCCTTTTCTGTCAAGATATTGACATCATAGTTTAAAAGGATCTTTCTTTATTTTTACTAAGTGTTACAAGCCCATACTTGTAACTCTCAGTTAAAAAAAAAACTATTCCATCAAGTCTACACCATAATTCACTTGATCCAAGATGGTACCCAGTATAAGGTTCCATTATCTATATTTATTTTAAGATTTAGTTCAACTGTAGAAGCATTATACAGTATTAGGTAGTTACAAAATAAAATTTCAAAGTCAATAAATCATGTAAATGTTCAAAATCAATTATTTAATATCAATGGCATGATAAAATAGATTTTGACCAATGATAAACTGAACTTAACCTTCAACAACCACATATCTAGTGAATGATGTCAATTGTATAACACTTAATAGGATTTGATAAAATTATATTTAAGGTAGGAAAGTAACAAGTTATTTCTAGACTGTACTTAATAAAGTAAGAATCTTATAGACACAATATAATTAAATAATGTCATACATCCCCTAACAAACATACATTATCCCTACACCACACCAGCTCAACTATCATACATAATATAATATCTGTATATCATCTATAATATCACCTGCCCATCTTTGCCGTTGTAGTTGTTCTCGGTGACATTTGGAGCAGTATCCTTGCCATTGTGGATTCCCAAAATAATCACAGCCATTTTTACATTTCAGGTCACTCTGATCAATCCTCAAGGAAGGCATCTTTGAAAACATCATATACTTATAAGATCTCTGCAAATTTGTACCATACCACATCTTAAAGGGTTAATCTTAAAGGTGCACACTCAAAGAGTATCCCAAAAACAAATATTTCAGCCCATTTTTTATCAGTTTGTAAAGTGAAACAATTTAATAACAACGACTTTTTGTTCATCGTAAAAGGCCGTAACTCTTTCCCCTGAACAAGGGACATGGTTATATAGGTTCCTCTTATCAATAAAACTGATTACGAATATTATAATACTGTAAACCTCAGTAAGAGATATGCATTCCTATAGATCCACTACAGAGTGTGTCGTGTAAAAATTAAGTTAACACTTACCGTAGTACAAAGAAATTAAAATTGTAAATTTACACGTTCGTTGCCTGCATGCAGTTTGCCCTAAATATTTAATGTAAACCTAGTATGTATATTATTATACCATTACACCAATGAATAATGATTACTGAAAACTTGAAAAGCAAAATTCCTAAAACTTTAACTTGCTTGTCAATGTCAAAAGCTGGTGAAGCTTGTCTGTTTTGCACAGATGAAATAAATTAACATAGATTAAAAATATGCATGTACGCATGTGTGAGCGAACTACGAAAATTAGTATTAAGTCGTGTTAAAGATTTGAAGAACTTATCATCACATATCCAAACTAATATCGTGTAACTTAATTTTAATAAATGGTGATTGCGGCTAATATTTTATTTAATGTCCTGACTCACTTTAATATTATATAGCTACTTAATGGATAAAATATAAAATTTACTTGGGAGTCAATTACTTAATTATTAGTACTACGTCACAGTATAAGTAGTAACGTTAATTTTACTTTTCGAGATCTTTAATTAAAAAAAATATCACTATAATTTATTCTCATACTTCTTACACAAGACATTTAAAATAACGAAATCACTATACTTGTCTAAATACACGCAATTTTAAACAAAATCTGTCTTCTCCTTTATTTTCCTGAACGTCAAGTTAATTCTCGATCCAAGAACTTTTTTCCTTTTGGGCAGGCTGTGATACCACACTTCATTTGTAGGAGGATTCATAAATAGAATACTACCGTGCTCCAGTTTCAAAGAAACTAAAAAAAATAAGCACCAATGAAATATACGTTTGAACATCAAAATTTCAAATAACCCCCAAAAAACCCAGTTTATTATAGCGTACCTTTAAAACAAAATAAATCTACTATTCGTATATATAAGTAGGTATTAGAAACACATTATAGTAATATATTTTTATATACGTATTTTTTCCTTTCCTTTAATAAGATAAAAAATACACTTGTTACCATGACAACATAGTTGAAAATACAAACAAACATTGTGGAGACTAATACTTCGAATAATCTACTAAGAAATTATTCGGAGCTTTGGATTAATAATGGATTACTTACAAATCACAGATGGACAATATACAAAGACGATTTATAATATGGTAAGTTAGAAGAAATACACCTAAATTCTAGATTTTAGAAATATCGACGATACCCTGTGTTCGTCCTTTTATCTCTTCTTGTATTTTTGTCCTTATTATTACATTTATCTAAGATTACATTTTTTGATAACTTCGTGAGTAATCTATGGCCTATCCCACGCGGAAGTTAATTGTATTATGCAATCGAAAATTTTATGCGCAGGTAATGGACTTATTTATTATATCAGAGGCATACTCTCGTATGCAGTCATTAATCTATTTCTTAATAAAACCATACATATTTTTAGATCCGAGAATCTCGTTATGACGACGCAATTCGAGCCTTAAACGACGCAATGAACTTCAACCCCAACAGGGCTGGCTTGTCCTTATTGGGTTATTGCTATTACCGATTACAATCGTTCGTAGAGGCTGCTAATTGCTACGAACAGCTGTCCGCTATGCATCCAGAGGTTACAGAATACAAGCTGTACTTTGCACAAGCGCTTTATGAAGCATCTATGTTCGATGAAGCATATAAAGTCACCTTGCAAATAAATTCCAGCGAATTAGAAAGAAAAGTGATTAAGTTGCAGTCTGCAATTAAATATGGCGTGGAAGACACGATAACAGCAAAGTCACTGGTCGAATCGTATCCCTCCGATGATAGTGATAAGGACATCAATCTCGGTTGTTTACTGTACAAGGAGAATCACTATGAGGAAGCTTTACAGAAATTTTCCAAAAGTTTGAGTATTTTGGGATTCAATTCTCATCTTCACTACAACGTTGCGCTATGCTATTTTAAACTGAAAGAATATCCTCAAGCTCTTAAGCATATTACTCTCGTGATCGAAAGAGGAATAAGAGACCATCCCGAGCTATCGGTTGGAATGCAAGGTGAATCTTCTGAAGTTAAATCCGTTGGAAACTCGTTGAGTTTACACGAAACTGCACTCATTGAGGTCTTCAACTTAAAAGCAGCGATAGAATATCAATTAAAAAACATCGAAGCGGCCCGAGAAGCCTTATCTGATATGCCCCCGAGACAAGAGCACGAGCTAGACGCTGTAACACTTCATAATTTAGCGCTGACTTCGATAGACATCAAGCCGACAGACGGCTTCGAAAAATTGCATTTTTTGCTCCAACAAGATCCATTTCCTTCAGAAACTTTCGCAAATTTACTACTCCTCTATTGTAAGTTTGAGTACTATGATTTGGCTGCAGATGTTTTAGCGGAAAATGCACAGTTTACTTACAAGTATCTAACTCCATATCTGTATGATTTTTTGGACGCAGTAATAACAAGTCAAACTTCCCCCGAGGAAGCATTTCAAAAGTATGAAGATATTGCGTCGAAGCACGCTGACCAGTTACGAAAACTTACGAAGGTAGTTCAAGAAAGCCGTTCTCAGGGAGATAACGATCAAGTCAAAAAGGCAGTCGTTGAGTATGAAGAAGCGCTGGAAAGATACATACCTGTGGTTATGGCACAAGCGAAAATATATTGGGATAAAGAGAACTACGGTCAAGTTGAGAAAATTTTTCGCAAGTCAGTGGAGTTTTGTAATGAAGCCGACGTATGGCGTCTAAATGTTGCGCATGTTCTTTTTATGCAAGAAACGAAATATAAAGAGGCAGCCAGCTTTTACGAACCGATAGTAAAAAAGCAGTACAATAATATTCTAGACGTCAGTGCCGTAGTCCTGGCTAATTTATGTGTTTCGTACATTATGACATCACAAAACGAAGAAGCCGAAGATATTATGAGAAAAATTGAGAAGGAAGAGGAACAACAAATATTTGAAGATTCGGAGAAAAAGTTCTATCACCTATGTATAGTAAATTTAGTAATAGGCACACTGTATTGCGCGAAGGGGAATTACGAGTTCGGTATCTCAAGAGTGATAAAATCGATCGAGCCATTCAACAAGCGACTGGGGACTGACACGTGGTTCTATGCTAAAAGGTGCTTTCTATCGTTTCTTGAGAATTTAGCAAAGCACTTAATCGTAGTCAAAGATAACACTATTAAGGACTGTCTAGTATTTCTTGAAGGCTGTGAGGCGTATGGCCGACGCGTTAATACGGTGATTGAAGCACCGTTTCAAGAAGAAGACATTAATAGCAAAGCGAAACAAACGGTTACATACGAGGCTCGTTTACTTAGATATATGTTTCACAAGTTACGGAGTATCGACGATTCCGTTACAATTAATAAGTATGAAGATTTAAAATAAACTTACCTAGTGGAATCTGTTTTTTATTGCTGCCAGTCTTTCTAGCATCCTTATGTTTTAAAACAAACATTCTATCTTCGCCGAAAGACATTGACGCGATCGGAACATTGGGGTCTAATTCAGGTTCATTATCTCTATGTTCACCCATGTGATCGTTGCCATCACGATATCTACGGTGTTAAAAAAATTGGTAACACAGGCGGATCTCGAACCACTAACCAATAGCTTACTGTGCAATTGCCAAACATTACAAAAATTGTTTAGGTAAGGTTTTATTTGATATAAGATTTAAAATATCTTGATTTGGTCAATTTTAGAGATTATGTACCATTATAATTAAAAAACTTACTTGTTGACTAACACAAAGTTGTATTTAATACCCCTGAGCTTGAACAAAAAATCTCGCAACGATAACACAGGAGCAGGCCAGGGTAATGCAGGCACAGTAAGATTTGAAAAAGTATAGGTGATTCCTGGGTCACCATAAGCAACCTGCCGTCTTGGCAGGGGGTATATTTTCCCAAAAACTCTGTGATGATGAACACATGATTTACATAATCATAATTATTTATTTCAGTTGCCACATGCATGTGGGGTAATAATACATACTTTATTTTTGATAGGTTGCCAGAAAAATATTCCAAAGTTTCTTCTAGTTCATTAAAAATATCTGAAGCTAAAGGTCCAGGAATAAGCACAGAATATTCTAAATCAAGACCATCATCTTTTATTGATTTCCATGTACCATGATCAACATTTACTTCTTTAAGTTTTTCAGTCATGGGTAATATAGATTACACAAGGAAATTATCTCATTAAAATAATGCAAGTTCACCATAAAACTCCAATAGTGGCTCTGCTGAAAACACATAGGCCCAACATTGAAATATTGAAAATAGTATACTATACAAGATATAACTTTCTTCCGAGTTCTCTGTTTAACAAACGCCAGAGGAAATCTTACTTTTTATTAGCTATAATGATTAGAAGAGATAAGTAACGAAGGTATCGTAGCGTAAAGCTAACAAACTTAAGAGCCGTACCTACACTGCCTCATATTAGATTTTATTACCTTTTCAAGTAACTCAAACGTTCATATTATGCATATATCTTCCATTTGAAAATAATGAGTATGTGTCTTTGTTATTACAATAATTATTATCAACAACGTAAAACATATCGTGTGAGCTAACCCCACATGGGAATATTTGTTTACAAAACCGAAAACATAGAGAATGTCTAGATTTTCCATTTCTTCTGTATTATCTGTGCCAAATATCCATAGATAACTTAAAATAAAACAACTTATTACGGGTTTTATTTATAAAACTTGTAATTTCATAATTTGTACAAAACCTCGTATATAAATTACAAACATATTAAAAGAAATATTGTTTAATATCCACATATAAAAAAATACACAGGAGCGAGACAGGAATTCGGCATTATTCGATATTTACGCGAAGTACATTACTGTATATTATTACCCTCGAGAAATTTTTGAAAGGCATGCGATCCAGTTAAAAATCTTTTTCTTGTTATTGGATAATTAACGCACTTAACGTTACCAACCATGTGTGTCCCAGAACTTTGGCAGACATCAGTTACAAAAGTTCTTGAGCTATAAAAAAAATATTTAAAATATGAATAATCAACTACTTAGGTACCTATAGCAAAAAAGTATCAAATGTATGTATGGCTTACGTATTTACGTACTTTATACCTATGTGGCTTTTTATCCGAAACTCGATAAAACAGAATATAAAAATGTCGCCAAAGCAGTATTTTAGATAAACAAAAACAGACAACACAGCGAAAATCGAACTCATAGCATATTACGTAAGATCTAAAAAGCAGTAATACTAAAAAAAAAGAAATTAAATTTACCAGCTATAATCCAACAGACAGTCCTGGTCGTGATAAACTGAATATTGTCTAATTCTTCGGATTGTATCTCCGTTGTCGCAGTCAGTCTGAAGGTTGCATTCATAAAGTTTTTCGATTAAGCCATCTTTATCTTTTACTGTCCACACATATTCTCCGGGAAGTCCACGTAATCTTGGAGCTTCTGATAATATAAGGCAATCCTGTTCTATGATATCCGTTAAATTGTTATTGTTTCCCTCGTCCTTTAACACGTCTTGATTGCGGGCGGTGTGGTTTTTCAAAAATTGACGAATTTCATTTTTCACATCGGATTTCATGAAATTTTCTTTACTTTCAACAATAAATTGACAACAGAACGCTTTTAGTTCCTTATTTTTTGACCTACAAACTTCATTTATCAAAGAGACAAGATTTTTCTTCGCGTTATCCCTCTCCTTTGTAAGCTTTCTCACGCGGGTTTTTAAGAACACATTTTCTTGATACGTAGCAAGGTAAAGTTGTTGAAAACTGACATATTGACAACGTTTTTCTTTTATTTGCTTTTCAGTATCTTCAATGTAACGCGCTAGTCGAGTTTTTGCTAGGTTTTCTAATTGATATCTCATTCTAATGTTTTTATTTTCCCTGATTGTGGTCAGTAATAATCTTCCTAAACTTTTTCTTTCTTCATTAAGTTCTTTAAACCTTTTTATTAATGTAAAATTGTGTTTAAAAACATGAGACGAAAGGAACATCCTCCTTAAGAAATTCACTGTATTTTTAAACATTTCGTTCTTTGTAACGTAAAGTAACGTTACTTCTCTGATTAGTGAAAGATATCTTAATGTCTTAGTGTTCACATTTTTAGCGATGGCGTTTAATTGCAATTTTATTTTCACGCACAATCCTTCAAAATCTCTGTTGGTCACATTGAATTCGTAAAATTTTCTAAAAAGTAAAGAAATATCGCGTTTTATGTGCACTAGATAGAGTATTAATGAAGCAGTGAAAAACATAAAATAGTGATAAAAATTATGATTGATAACATCAGGTTCACTGAATTCTTCCATCCCCAATTTATTTATATTCCTTTTAATACAAGATGTTTTATTCTGAACTTTTGGTATTGCAATGTCTGAAATTTTGAAAACAGTAAATTTTACAAGTATATTGCTCGTTAGTGTCTTATTTTATAAATTATCAGGCAACTTAAAGACACAAATGACCTCAAATTTAATACATATCCAAAGTTTTACCTTGAGAAACTACATCTAGACTTTTTATAAAGTCAAGACAACACAGAGTTATCCACATCGTGAAAGACAAACAAAACAGCCATCTAAAAGCAATATACATATTAAAATTGTTATTTGAAAATGCTTTGCAGTTACATTGTAACACCACTTTTTCTATAATTTTCTATTTTAGAAATTGACTTAAAAAATCAAAGTCAAAACAGAGGTTGTCAAACTTAATGTTTTTAAATTGTTAAGTACAAAACCAATATCATTGGTTACAGCTAATGGCAGGCATTACAGGATTTCTTAACTCAAATGGTAACAAAATATTTTTTCACATTGTGACGTGAAGAAAAGATATTATATTTAATCTACACTAATATATAACGATAAAGAGTTTGTTTGTATGAACGCACTAATCTTAGTCAATCTAACATCGCTCGGTCACTAAAACAAGCGAAGATACAGCGGGAAATGTGAAATATTTTGGGAAAACTCATCATCATGAATTTCTGAGGCGTACGCTGCAAAAACGCTCCAAGATACCCAATAAATATGTACGAGAGAATGATTCCTCTTTAAATGATCTAAAAAAAGTCAGCGACGCTGTATGTCTATCTTATAAGATAAACTTGCAAGAACGGCGGGAAGGGACGCGTTCGACATCGTGGGTAACAGCTTAAGTTTATATAGATAAAGGTTTTAGTTTGCAAAAACGAACTTGGATGCCCAAAATGAATGTTCTCTGCAAAGTCACTGTAACAGCTAGTTCTTTATATAAAGATAGTACACATAGTTTTACATTGTCTTGACTCTTGGTAAAAATAAAACGATAATAATGTTCAGTAAATTATATTGTTCATAGATTGTCTATAACAGAATAGAAAATAAATTATCTTTAGTATAATTAATCTTTCTAAAAGTAATAGATTTTGTTTGCTATTTATCTTTAATTCTAAAAAGTTGTCTAAATTTAACTTTAATAGCTAATCCAAGTAATGTCACATTTTTCTTATACCATTCAATATTATAATTAATATGAATTTTCCAGTTCTTATCTAAGAAGGCTTTATAAAATACACTCATTTCATCAGCTGTGAGGTTACTTTTTCCTTCAGGAAGGTTGTTTTTAAGGTAATTTTCCCGCTCCTGAAAAGTACAATAGAAAGTTGAAGCTGGTTGAAGATTGTCACGGTGTGTAATTTAATAATGTTAAACTTTTGAATTACAATTTTTTTAAGTTTCAGTATGTAAATAACATATATATATGACATATTAACTACCTTAAAAAAGCGAGAATTATGTAGTGTCCAAAATGTTTGATTCCATTCCTGGACTTCTGTTCTAAGTTCTCTGTACTTTTTCTCTAGTTGTGTTTCGGTGGCTGCCTTTTTAAATATAATTTTTCTTAGATTAGAAACTGGATCCGGTGGTCCCACCATATCACAGGATATTTTGGTTGGGTTAGGTGGTTGTTGAAATTTGTTTTCGGGTGTTGTACTTGTGTTGCGAACACTGTATAATGTGTAAATACCGCGTTGCACACCATTATTGCGATAAGTTAACAACATATTTCAGGTTGACAAAATTTACGTCTATTTCACTCATAGAAACATTAAATCACACACATTTTTGGGTCTGCATATAACAGATATTACATAACAGTTTGTATAGTTTTGAATGGATAAGCTTTTATTTTTAACGTCTAAGGTTACGTCTTCTTTTATTTATTTACAAATTACAATTGATCGTAACTTATTAAAAATAATTATTATTGACATATGACATAGTTCGCAGTTGTGTCAACTGTCTAAGTCTCAAGTGTCAATTGTGTGTGAAAATTGAGTTTACACTTCAAGTTTTTTTATTCTGTGCATGCGCTATCACGTACGAAATTATGTAAATGGTAAATTTTGGATAAAATAAATATTAATATTTTTGAGCAATAAAATGACTAAAAGCAAGCAAGGAAATGCCGAAGAGGACTATTCAGCAAAGCTAGATAAATGTTTAACGGATGGAATTGTGAAAACAGGTCCAAAGTGTTTTAATTACTTCGGTTTTTTAACCTGAGAGTTTATGGATTTTGTAGATAAATTATGGATTCTTTCTTTACTTCTACGTTTGTTATTAGGAGGTGGAATCGTACTGGGGGCTTTAACATCAGTTTTATTCTTCAAAAGAAGGAGATGGCCAGTTATTGCTGGCATGGGTATGGGAATAGGTCTTGCATATGCTAACTGTGAATATGAGTTAAATCCAAAGAAGAATGCAGCCTAAAGGATCTAGACAGGTATGTATAATATACCACCAATTTAAAATAGAAAACGGCTTATACATCCCCTTTACCAATGAATAAAGGGGATGTATAAGCCTTTTTCTATGTAATCTAGCAAGTTAATGACCCTGCTAGATTTATTATTCCGCACCTTTTTTAATTTTGGTAATAAACAATTAGGCACAATAGCTTACTTGAAACTTGCCCCTTTTCACTAGGAAAGTTTTTATTCTTTTGAAACATGATAATAAAATATGATTGTTTTTTTTTCAGATTGATGTGTAACATAAAGTTTGTGGTGTAATGAGCAAAGTGTCTTCGTAGGATTTATTTAGAAACATTTGCTTCGTTAATAATAAATGATTATTTAAAAACTTATAAAGCTTTTAATAATATGCCAATTTTAGATAACACTTAATAAGCTTTGGTGTACACTAACTAACCAGAGGAACTGGGGACATGCCTTTCTATTGGCATATAAAATACTGTAAACATATAGGACTTATTTTTTTAGCTGTATCTTTGATCAATATACATAACATTACGGGCATTATGGAAATGATAATAAGTAATAGAGAGAACAATATATTTATTGTACAAATCATTACTGGAATAAAGACAATTTAAAAGTACATACACACCTTCAATTAAGAAAATTTCATAATATTTAGTACACAAAAGCTATCAACAACCCATATACAAACACCAAATACAGTACAAAGAATTGGCTAACAAATGACAATACCAAAAATTTTAAAATAGGTACAGTTAATTATGAAATATTCAAGTCTTTTAACAAATAGGTTAACTTTAGAAATATTTAAACTATTTAGGTGTACTTAACTCACAATAACTATAGAAAAAACTTGTAGTATTAATAATTATTGTGTCCGGAATTAATATCATTGTGTATTTGTCTTTTGGTGGGAAAGGATTGCATAGTTACAGGTACTTATTACTTTTACTAATGTGCTTTGTATGACACATATACTATAGGTAGATAATAAACATTTATAAAAAATGCTGCATGCGACAGCAGTGCATTATAATATTGTGTATCAGCAATATCAATGAATTCTTAACGAAAGGAAGTCAACAATGATGAAAACAGAGTTTTAACTGCAAAAATCGGCTACATACAGTGTCATCTATGCCCCATTAACTATATAAATGATATTCCCAATTGTGAACTAACTTAGAAATTGCATCATAATCGAAAATCTTCATAAATAAGTAAATAATAGGTACTTAATTCTAGTAACAACACACTCATAATATTGACTAGTTTAAATCCAGCATATACATGTAAAAATGCCGTCGTTATCAAGGTAGTTTTGGGAACTAAGGAAAATTTAGCAGAATAATACTTGAAGAACTCATATTGACCGAGTAAGACCACAAGTAACTAAGTAAGAGTCGCACAAAAGGTTTCATAGCATTATTTGACTAAATTACATAATACCGCTTTAGTGATAACAAATAAAAAACAAGAACATGATCAAATACATGCTAATTGCTTCATGACTTTTATAATATTAAGTGTAGGCACTGTTTTATTTTTCTACTTATTTAAAAATGTTTACAATACGTATTTAGAGAGCTTATAGGTGACTAAGTGTTGCTTTTATTTTTAAAATTACGTTTTGAACACATTGGGCACAGATAAAATCAACTTTCTAGTTGGGCGTGTGTTGAAACCTTATGTGCCATACTGCTGAGGTTTATGAGCTCTTTAAAAGGAGTCCCAATATTTCTGCACAGGACGTAAGTGGTCTCAAAACAAGCGCCATGAATTTAAAATAATTTGTTTATTTTTTTACTTTGTTGTGCAGCGTAAAAGTGTTAAACATCTGTGCCCAATGCCCATCTAATAGTTTCCACGAGCAGAATAACTATAATGAGTACTTGTCTTCGTTTTTACGTACAAGTAAGGTTAGTGGTTACAACTAACTACACACAGGTTTGGAAAGATCCGCCATATGCTTCAAGTTTATTTTATTTACCAGTGCCGGCAAAACACTGTTTGTTGGATATTCACTGAATGGTTAGACTCTATCCAAATAACTTATTATTGGCACATACTTAAACACGCATATTGTTTGTTTAAAATTTGATCCTTGGTAAAAATAAAAGTCCCTTATAATGATTCTGCACGCAGCAATAATAATAAATAACAGTATTGTCTTATATCCAAGGTGCCAGTGTATAATACTGTCTATTCTAATTACTATAGTGAGAAAGTTTTTGAATCCATTATATTCAAGCTATCTATTACATAAAATAATGTTTGACCAGAATTTCCAACAAATTATTCCCACTTGGGCTGCTTACCACAATTGTGAAGGAATAGTATGTTTACTTGAAAGTTCAAATATCCCCATATAATATATATGCTGTCGCCCTATGTTGACTTAGGACTTTTGACAATTTGCCTTCAACCAAACTAAGCACAGCTCTAATACATTACAATAGTCGAGTTGAATTTACAAACATAACTAGAGTACTCAAAACACAATACGGTTTAAGATTAAACTTATGACTTAAATTGATTGAATAACATTCCGTTAATAAATTCTAAAAGGCTTTCGCCACCTTCTAGCAGTTTTGTCGGACAGATAGTCCGGTATTCGTGAAAAATGGTCTCGGCGTTTCCCCATCACAAGTGGATGGCATCTGAAGGTGTTGACTGTAAATTTGTAGTACTTTAATTTGTACTTAGGTAACTGAGACAAATATAATTATTTGACTTATTATTGTATTAACAAACTTACATGTTTAAAGATTGCGCAATTTATCAACCCTAACACGATAAAAAGGGCCATTCAAGTATTACGTAAGCAGTATAAGGGGTGTCGTCTGTCGATGCCTCTCGGTGTCTAGACGTAAAAGCATTCGTTGAAATGCAATTATAGAGTTATATAAGTGATAGTGTTAAAGGTAGATGGTATTTATTAAGAAGCCCTACAAAATGACGCATCACCAAAATAATACTTATGGGCCCAGGTCAAGAAAAAAGAAAGTATCGTTTAATGTATAGGATTTAGCACATAGGCGTTTCGATTTAAACAGTCAAATTATTAGTAAGCAGTTGCAGACAGTCATTTAGAATATTGAAAAAATAATGTTTAAGAACTTATAACAAAATTTCCAAAAGAGAGGAACACGTAGGTAACTTTTTTAGGACAATAGTTTAGCTCAATACAAAGTACAACCCACCTGAGACTATAATGTATTTTATGTTGACTAGTCCATAATTTGTCCTCTATGCTATACCCACCTTATTAATCAATATGTGAAACATATTAGGTACATAAAAAGGAAACTACACATACGAACATACGCTTCAAACTAAAGTGTTGCTTAAAATGGTGATAAAGGGGAACTGGGGGTTCCTGACCATAATAAATTTGCTTACGCAATACTTGAACGATTCCTTAGATACATTTGTTTTTTCTACGCATCACCACAATGAAAATATTGGGGCCCTGCAGCACTATATATGCGTATATAAAATTTGTATCAGCTAAAGATTTCTATGCAGTTAGACTAAATAAGTAAAACTGACGACAAGTTCATTAAACTATGAATATTTATAATAATAAATAAATAGACAAGTTATTGATTCTAAAATATTTCGACGGTAACAAAGAGATAATATATTTTATCTTAATACCTTGTGATCTCATCATCTTTGGATCACATTGAAATATACACACACAATTCTGTATTCAAAAAAGACACCGGCGAGACGAAAAGGATTATTCATTTGGCAAAAAATACTGTCGACAACATCACACACCTCATCGCACTTACAAAACCAAACCTCAATAGCACACAACATTCAATATCCACAGGTTGAGGCAAAAGCCTAAACTTCAAATGGCGTTTGAAGCCATTTGATAACAAAACAATGAACGCACAAAACCTTCGCGTCGGGCGAGAAAGTAACAATTCTGAACCAAAAATTGCGTAACACTGACTTCACTTGGTTGTCATGTCGGGCCAGTAGTTGACGTAGTAGCGGTGCGTGCTCCCTTCGAACAGACGGTCCAACCAGTTTTCTAAGCCGTCGAGGAGGTTCTCTGAAATGTTTTGATTCGTTATTCGTCGTACTTAAAGAAGAGAACTATTCCCTCTGTACATTTTAGCTCAATTGGTTAGAGCAACATCACAGAACGTTATGAATACCGTCTTTTTTTTTCAATTTAAAATTGATTTTTAATTTATACAATGCAATAACATTTGAAAAATATTAATGATTTTTAAACTATTTTTCTCTCATCTTTTTATATAGGTTTGCTTATACAATATATTGTTGCATTTTTAATCTCGAATGTAACTTACATACGCCTCTACAAATAAAATGCTCGGTTATTGGTTTAAAAAGTCGCAGATAAATAAAGTACCTTGTAAAAGCACCGGCGGATCATACAATTCGTCATCGGACGATTCCGGGTCCGTCGTGAATCCGATGAACGCGCCCGCTTCGGGGTCCACCACGCCACCACCGAGCGATCGGGTCATGCGAGTCATGCGCTGCAAATGACAATTTTTAATATTTCCTTCAATTCAATTGTATTTATTCATTAAAACTTGCATATGCTGCCATAAGCAATACAATAAGACTAATGACAAGTGCGAACCATGTCAACCATTTGAACTACTTATGTAATGAGAATTTTTGACTTGATCAGTTTGTTCGGTCACAAACAATAAAAATATTTTAAAAGAAAGGTATATATGTAAATTTTTATACCGTCGAGCCACTGCCTTTCAAGGCTACTGAAAGAAATAAATAAACAGGATATTTAACACTACTAACTTAAATAAAACCGAGTTGTTATCATAATGAATCAAAATATTTAAAGAATTCTAGAATCATTGAAAAAATTAATCGGAATGGAAGCTCAAACATAACCCCAATAAAAAAAATTAAATAAACTCGGCTGCATTAAAAGGCAGGTAGCAGTGATCTTACTGTTGACTATATAGTTAACTGTGAGATTACGTATTGTAAAGTTAGCTTTTGATTGTTCTTAGGGTCGAATTCTTTAATTTAAAAATCTAAAATAAATTGAACAAAATTTCAAGACTTGAACCGGCATCATCAGCGACCCGTGCTGTTGCTCTACATCATCAGTCATCTCATCGTCGAATTTTTTCAATTTATTTTCGATTTTTAAATAATAAAGTGCCTTCATGTCCAATAACATGTAAAAAAATAATAAAGTTTTCAAACTTCGAATTATTTTCCAAACTACTTGTTTATCTGTTACCTTATGAGGCTTCGCACACTCCGGGTGCTTGGCGTGGTAGATGCAGAAGTATTTCCGATGCGGGTTGAGTGCGAGCACGGTGCCCACGCAGTTGCGCGCGTTGATACGAAGCGCGCCGCCGCCCAACGACAGCTCTAGAACACGCTTGAACCACTCCACGCCGCGTTCCACGCACAGATAAGCGAACACTAGCGTCTTGTTTCTGTTTACAATTATGTATTATTCTAACGAGCTTATTGGTCTGATGGAGGCAGGAAAGCACTTTAACGGTTTAAATATTTTATATATATCGCGTTTTAAACTGTTAAAGTGTTTTATTTAAAGGTGTACTACTAGCGTGAACTACAGACAGTATTTAATGTATAGCTTCTTTTTCATTTACGTAACGCATTAGGATATCGTCTTTATTAAATTTAATTAAAACCATACCAAACTACGTCTATAATAACTCTTTAAATCTCCCTGCATCTGTCGCGATCACCAGCAAGTTTTGCGTATTACTGGCTAATAATCAAGGTGTCGCCAATTAGATTCCCACAGAGTTTTTTCTATAGAATTTATAATAATTTTGAAACAAATTGGTCTAGAAATCTAGAAATTAAATGAACTTACTTGCGATAAGGCCAAACAATCTTGTGAAATTTGGACAACAGTTGCACCCGACTCTGCATATCTACCAAGAGCACGATCGTTCGGCAGCCGGGTTTCTGTAATCTGAAAGTAAAATAAATTATTAATTATACATGAGTAAATTTCTTAAGACTTTGTTTTACATAACACAAACACACACAATCGAGGGTAGACCAGTGATATATATATAAAGTTTTCTTCTACACGTAACATGGGGCAGACTTTCCTCGGTTCTGGACTTCAGTCAGCCGAAGTAATTTTTCTGTTTTCAAACCCAAATGTATTGGCATTTGTGTTCAATGCAATGCAAGGTTTATTTACAGCTGAGCTAGAGTTAAGATTCCATTAAATTTATACAAAATATATAAATAATTGAGACTGAATTTGAATATTAGCGCGTTTTGGGTAAGCCTTACCTTACAAGTCCGTTGTACTTCTCCGCTCTGAGCTCGTGCAACCGCATCTCTGGTTGTGGCTCGGTCTTGTTGGCTCCGTTCTGGCTTCTCTCCTGTTTCTGGCGCTGAATCGACTCCTCTTCGACCCGACTACAAGTAATTACATATATGAACTAACAAAGTGAAGTCTTCGTTCGTTTCACTGATATGATTTATATACAAGTAGTGCATGTGCCCTGCCCGACCGAAATAACGCTAGGCAACACGTTTAACCATTTGACTACAAAGGCAGTTGTATAAACAAACACTTTCTCAATTATAATTTTTAAATATTAATTATTATTGTTTATAGTAGGAAACAAAATAATTGGTTATTCAAAAAAAGTGCGTTTAACTAGATAAATTAGCACCAGTATGGTGTTTGTCAATGATATAGGTTTTGGACGTTCAGTCAGACATTGTCGATGCTGGCTTGGTTAAGAATTAATTTTATTATTCGAAGCTTATATACTTACATCAGGTACGCCATTAGATACCCAATCGCCAAAACCAAAGCCACTGTGGCCAACACAGATATAGCTGAGATGGCATGCTGCGTTTTAAGAGCCAGAATGGCTCGTTCACTCCATTCGCCGACTTTGAGGAACGCGCGCCATATTGCGCTCTTTGCTGCTTCATCCAGCAACTCCTAAAAGTTAAGTAACATTCAGAACTAGAGCTAACTAGTATACATTAACAACAAACAAAACACACTACGGTATTACTTTTAACAGTTTGAAACGCGAAATTATTTAAACTTAGTTAACTAATGTTTTATTTAAATGTCCGCTACTCCCGTAGAGAATACTTAAGTACTTTGCATAATTATACATTAGGGATGTGTTACCAACGTTTAATTACCAAAATCAAGCCAATAAAAGATATCAAAATCAGTTCAGCTGATATATAATACTTAGTCATTTATTTTCAGCAACTTGTAATCCTTTATATAATATAATACGTTTATGGTTTCCTAACCATAAACGTATTGCCTAGCATTGCGTTGAGCGCGAGAGGTCTTGAGTTCGAATCCTAGGAAAACAAAAAAAATATTTCGGTCGGGCATGATACAGAAGCCTGATCAACTCCTTGCTCCTTAAAAGACACAGAAATGTGTTCGCCCCATGCCCCACGAGGGGGAAACGGGCTTTCATACTTTTTTTTAAAGGAAAGCATGTATGTATGATTCGTTACACTTTCAAATAGTAATAGTATGAGTTTCCGAAAAGTGGAAATAATCAAACAAACTCTTCAGGTTTATAGTAACAGTAGATAATCTATTTTAATATTATAGAGCTTTTTATAAAGTTTGCTAGTTTCAACGTGCTAATCTCAGAAACTAATACTTAGAGATCGCTCAAAATTAACTTACAACAGACGCGGATGCCGTCGTGGATACCAGCTATAATTTATTAAGATAAAGAGGATTTTGTATATATGCCGGCGAAGTCGCGGCTACACCTAGTAAATCAATAAACCTGTATATAAAATCGTATATATAATACCTGTACGTGAGCCTCATACGCGACCACCTCATTCGGTTTGAGTAGTCTCTTAACCAGCTGTTCCAAAGCCCGCGTCGTCTCGTTCACCCGCTGTTGGTAAGTGGGGTCGTCCTCGCAACGAGCGCAACTCGGCCAGCTTTCGTTCAGCCATTCGAATTGTACCCGCGTAGCTTCCCGCCGCCAAATCACTACTATGCGGTGTTCGATTGACGATATGTCTATGCCTAGCAAAAAAATATATGTGTCATTAATATTTTTTATGGCGGAGGATAGACAATTGGTTAACTGATGATAGGTAACTTATTTTGGCTTGGGATATTCTTAAATTCACAAACTGAAACCGATACGCGCTTAAGCGGCCCATAGACGTAAAATATTATTGTGCAATATCCCAGGTTGTATAATAAAATTGAGCGTGTATAGACGACATCGCTAAGCGACTGTGGGCGGCCGTCAAAGTATTGTGCAATCCAAATTGCAAAACAATGTTGATCGTCTATGGGCCGCTTTAAACTACATGACTTTGTCATCTGTCCACGAATCCACGACTCATTGATTATCAGCCATACATTACTACTGTTACGCTGACGAGCGCGTCCCAAATTGTCCTCGTTTAATTAATATACACTTAAATAAACCACTTTCACCGGTTTAATTTAGTTTTTATACGGCCTGACGTTTCGAATGCTTTGCAGCAGCCGTGGTCACGGGGAGACACGGGGAGTCTTTAACCGCTAAAGTGTTTTATTTAAATGTGTACTACTCGCGTAAACTATAGACTATTGATCGTAGTTTTACTCTTTAGCTATCATGGAATGAAAATACAGCCTCTTGACACACAGCGAAGTCTTACTAATAGGATTCTGTTTTTACTCTCTACAAATGGAACCTTAAAAAAATGTTTGAAACTTACCAGATCCATTGGCTAGCGCAGTGACAAAGTCCGGCTGCTTGTGCGCATAGAGATACGCGTAACGCAGCCTTTCTGGTGCACGTCGAGCCAGCGGTCTCAAATCGCGCAGCACGTGCGAGTCCTTCGTTATTACTACGCAGCATAACCTACGTCGTGTAGCTCGCCACTCAACGGGGCACACCGTATCTAATACGCTCTGTGGAACGAAAAGCAAGGTATCTTAAACAATTCAGTATATTCATTGAAAACAAGTATCCTGCAATTGAAAAAACTATCTACTATCTACAAACTTTAGCCATAGTTCACAAGTCATGAATAAATTCCTGGTTTGTCCCATTTGTTTTCTAAACAATATTCAGCCCCTGGTTTTTTCATGGTGCCGAGTAAACTAATAGAGATACCAAGTATTATCTAAATTGATCAAGATATTTGAGTGTGAAAGAGTAACAAACAATACAACAAAACTACCTAACACCACAACATTTTGTATAGGTACTTTAATTGTATTTAGAACTAGGTAAATTTGTATGAATTGAAAATTACTATTGAAATGTTTTTTTGGGCTTGAAAAGGACTTTTGCGCTCTTCTTGCAAATCTTCGTGAGGATTTCGAGCTGTTCAGCTGCCATAATTGAATAGCTTCTCAATTACGACGGACAAACAGCTAAAAATCGTATGTTTAAAAAACTGATCATCCTTAGAACTAACCTGTGATGATAAACGAGGTAAAGTGAGAATTTGATTTGCCTCTATGAGCTGCGTGAGAGTCTGGGTTGGTATCTCAGTAGTACTGACTGTTGCGGCTGGTTCCAGAGAATCCTCTTTGATCAGCACCATCGTGTCCATATTACGTTGCACATTATACCGGGCAGTGAGGTTTTGTGTGTTACGAACGGATATGTCGACGAAACTGGAAATTATTATAAACTAGTTAAATTTCTTTTTATAAGACTCCAGAGCTGTAATATTACCACTGCAATGATGGGGTTCTTTGTAAGAATTATTTTTAGTATATTATATTAGGCTTTCTTAATAAATCCAACTATAACTATATCAGTACTTGCTTTTAAAGTTATTCTTGTAGAACTTCTACTACATTAACTAAAATATAGATTAACTTACGCAAACGACACCCAGTCCCTATAATGAAAAGCGGTTATGAGGTACCGCAGCCTGATCACATGCCTTTCTTCAAATATCAAAGCCTTCACTTTGTTATCTTCAAAATCATTTAAAAACGCATCAGAATTACCATCATTAAGATTATGTATCATTTTATAAGGGAACTTCCAGCGTATGTACTCTGAAACAGTTTAAAAAGGATTCATAAAATAGGAAATCTTATAATATACACTTCTTTAATTAAGCTAATTTAACAATACCAGTCAGTCAGTCTTACCCAATATTTTTGGCAAAGAAGCAAGGCTATCTTTATAGATATAGATCTGCTTGTCTAGAATAAAAGTAAGGCAGGGAACACCATGTACTCCAATCCTTCTTGCTAAACTCGATTCGTGTCCAGCATGGACAGTAGCTAATGTGATGCCAAGTGGCTGAAGAGCTTCCACCAGTTTTCTCCAGGCAGACGCAGACCGAACACAATCAAAACACCAGTCAGTATAAAATAGGACTAATGCTGGAGTATGGACACTTTTCTCGAGAATGTTATTTTCAAAATGCCTAGAATTAATGATAAGAAACATATATTTCAAGTAACTTATTAATATAACAAATATTTGACAATTAAACCCTCTAACAAATTCTTAACTAAATAATCTTACCTGGTTGTAACTGACAATATATGGAATAATGTTATGTCTTGGTCCTGTGCACGGAAGTGTGCACTAAAGAAGTCAAATGGATCATTACTGTTAAAAAAGAAACACAAATGTTTATCTTAAGATTTAGCTTTATGTTTTTAATATAAAATTCCATTCAAGAAATATGATAAATATGCACTACTGTATCTTTATGGTTAAAGGCATTCACTTGTACAAAGTTTAAATCATAAATTTATTTGGTCAGAAGTCTTATCTATTAGCTTGTGAAAATAATTGTTCAGTAAAAATACAACATTAAGACTCTTATATATGACTGTTCATGTATAAGATGTTTACTGTAGCTTTTAGTCATTTAAAATATCTTTTATATACTGAAGAGTAATTATTTAATTAGCTTAATATATTGTTTAGTGTTGAATATTATTGGTTCAAAAATCAGTGACAAAACTTATTATTTACATCAATATAACATAAGATTATAAAGTATACATACCTAAATCTAGCATACTGGCTGTAGTCATGTCTTTGCTTATACATGTGGTCATCTTCATTGGTAATGCCATACAGGTCATAAGCCTGCCTACGTTCTGCATCTGAGAGCAGCTCATAAGCCTGCTTAATTTCAACAAACCGAGACTCTGCATTAGGATCTTCATTCTTATCTGGATGCCTAAATAATTATAAATTAATATTGTTATCATTTACAACACAGTAATTTCACGAAAGTTAGTGTCAACATTATTGTGTGGATTCATATATTTAATTAAAAATTTATGAATGCTACCTACCCTTGTATCAGCATAGGACATAATTCGGATCAATTGTGTATAATATTAAATGAAGAATAAGTGATTAAATATTTATATAAACGCAAAAAACAGTTAAAAATTGCGTACCATTCCTTTGCTAGTTGCCTATATGCCTTGCGAATTTCAGGTAGTGTAGCCCGACGATGGATGCCCAATATTTTATATGGGTCACCGATCTTTTGGCATAAAATTAAGGGACACAACGCTATCAACAATACCATGCACAGCCATCGCCCTTTCCAACAGCTGCAGTTCCATTGCATATTCCTAATTTACAGTAGTCTCGGTAATTAAACTTTCGCACTATTCATAAAATGGGTTTCATGCCGGACTCATGTTCTCCGCAGCAGTAACAATAAATCTTTTTAAGTAATTACAAGAATCTCTTATCACTCATTCGTCCTAAAATAGAATGAGATGCTGAAAAACCGTGAATTCAGGAAAATCTTAGAAAAACTGAAAATTTGTAAACGTCAAAATGCGAATGTCAAAATAATGCAGTGTTGCTATTAGAAAAAATAATACAAAAACACGCTAGTAATTAAAATATCTCTTCTATATAATCTGTGCCTATTTATTGTGATAATAGATTAATTTAAATCTAAACTCAAACTACCCTTCAGTTTAAGTTAAGTTTTGGTCACTATTTGTATTACGAAGTAAGTATACTTAAGCTAATATAAAAATATCGTTGTATGTAAGGTATGCAAAAAAGTGTAGGACTTCACTGATTGCTCAGTGGCTAGATACACAATGCTTATATCAGTGTACGTGGCGCACTGAATACAAATTTAAAAAATGGTATAAAACCTCATTAAAAATAATTCTTCTGCAAAAGATATTTCGATGGTTCAAATTATCTTTCAGATTGACATATGCCCACTAAATATTTTTTGTACCTCTTAATTTTTTTTTCATTTAAACATAACGTCTATTCGAAATTGTATGTAAAAGTGTTTTATATTATGCATAATAGTTAATTTTGTTCTAACAATTATATACGTTATAACCTAGTATGTCTGTACGTTTTCATTATCTTTTTAATTCTTCGAAGACTTTATTTAGAACAAGTCATGGATTGGTATGTTTAAGCTAAATCATATTTTTATTTTAAAGGAATATTATTTATCATAATATTGTCAAAATTCATTTGAAGATACGAGGGACGGAATATCTTTGTATTAACTCTTAGATATTTACTCATAACACTTATATTTTGTTACAGTCAACAATAGCAACATCACCAAATCGCGGCCAGAAGACGTATTCAAAAGCGGAAACTTTTCTCAGCGGCACAAATGCAAATTTTCTTGAGAACCAGTACTTGGAGTGGTCCAAATCTAAGGGAGCAGTAGATTCTGTTAGATATTTACACTGCTTTTGTAGAAAGTTTAAAAAAGGATAGCATTTAACGTCCGTGTAGAGATAGAACTTAAGACAAACGCGAGTAAGCTTGCTGTTAATGTTAATAATTTGTGTGTTGTGTTTCGTGTATGCCTGATGTATCCCTGAATTAATACTTTATGTCTTATGTACTTGAAGTCATTTCTTATTTTTTATCCACAACATAATGTATAGTTTTAATAAGATTTTTACAGATTATCCGGACAAATTACCTTTTTGTATTTTTCAGTCTTGGGATGGACTCTATGAAAGTGTAAACAGTCCTAAATTACACATCGACGAGTTCCAAGATGACTTTAGTCCTAAGACGAGCCCCAGTTAGTATTACTTATTTACCTACGTGTTACATTTCTTTAAGCAAAATTAAGCAGAATGATTGATGATGATGCTTGCCCAAATAAATTAAACTGATATTCACATTATTGCTTCAAATCTTTGACTCGAAGTCCAATATTTTTTAGACACGATATTTTTTAGTTCTTGTCATTTATTTAAAAAGCTTTCTGAATAAGTTGTAATCATCATAGAACCAAAAGCATCGAAGGACACAGAAGCAGCTTCCAAGCATAAAATAATGTTACACTTGGCGGTTCAGAATTTAATAAGAAGTTACCAGGTTAGTGCTTATAATATAAAAAAACGTTCGTTTATGACAGGTTACTAGTTGGTCAGACTTCTGTGCCGCAGACTGAAACATTATTTCAGTGGGATAAAATCACCAGGGGCGGAGGGGATCATGGCACCCTCCCTGCGCTAGTTCGAGGCTTTTAGTGGACCACTAATTGAACATATTGATTTTATTTACAAAATATTGTGTTCAATTCTTTAAGTGTATTATGAATGAATATTTTGAATACAATACGTTTAACAAAATATCAACTTTTAACTTGTGTCTATAGTTATCAAAATTAAATAAAAAATTATTGACTGAACGACAGCTCTGTAACCTTGTCCTGGCGCTAAAGCTGGATTCGCCTTTGCTTGCGTTATAATAGAGAGTTTGTTTTTGAAGAGCACCTACATTGTCTATTCCTTTGACCAGGCTCGTGGCCATCTTCTGGCGAAAACAGATCCACTCAGCTTGACTATGGCTGCTCGTTGGTTACTTAATTCCCCGGCAGCACCACTCGACTTGAAGGGAATCAATTGCAAATTGGTGGCAAGAGAACTTGGGACTATTCTTTGTAAGACGACATTGTAGCTCATATCATACAAGTATGGTGTTATGCTAAATAAAACTCATTTAACTTACAAATAAAACCGTCACAGTCGGTTCTGTAAGGACCTAGCCAATTTCTCCAAATACCAAGTACGTAATAGATGGTGCTAACGTAGCAGATTTGAATATGACATTAGTGAAACCCTTCGTCTTCACTTTTCCGTCCCCCCTTGACCATAATTACTCAAAGCGTTTGAAACGTAGGGTCGTAGTTAAAATAATCTAACTAATACATCTCGCATTTAAAATCGTTGTTTAATATAAATCGGCACTACACGCATAAACCTATTAATTAATGCTTTGTAGATTTAATTACGGCCTGACATCGGTGTTATTTAATGTATTGCAAATAATGCAAATTTTGTATACTACCCGCGTAAGCAGAACAAGTCTATTTGATGTTCAACGACTTAAAAACCAAGCTAATTTAACAGGTAAAACTACAAACACATATCGTGACTTTTTGATAGGTGACGAGCATATGGATATGACGTTTGAGTTGCCTCATAGGACGTTTATTGGTGGCAAGGAGGGCTCTCTGACTCTAAGGTTTGTCATTTTAACTTATTAATGTCTAAAAGCTTAGAGTAAATACTCTAGTGTAACTACTAACTAACTAACTAAAGTGGCTTATCTTGCATCGTAAGCAAACTAAGCTTAATCTATTACTAAATAAATCTAATCTTGTTGTAAAATTTTCATGGAATTTCTTACATAGTGTATTTAAAGTGCTTACCTTTTTTTAGTGCTTAGTAAACTAAATTATAATAGAAAAGTAAGCATTACGTTAAGCACGAAGGTTAAGTTCGAAACCTAGAACAATACGTTGTTTAGGCATAGGAGTCTTATCAACATCTTACTTGTAACATCGATTCGCCCCATGGCCCACAGGAGGAAATGTAGTCCTCTTTTATTTTATGTAATTTTAGTACCATACCATATTATCTACAATAACAAAGGTAGGTAACAAATAAATATAATATTTATAACAGGGAGATTATCAGCCGCCTCGAGCAAGTATATTGTCAGTCGATTGGAGTGGAATATATGCACCTGTACGACCCCGATGCTCTTCAATTCATCAGAGAACGGATGGAAAAGCCAGGTTGCCTCGAGAAGACGCACGATGAAAAGCGTCTTATTATGCGAAGATTGACCAAAGCTGTATTGTGAGTTATGTATCATTGCACTTATATTTAATTAAAATGATGTGGTCGATCTTTTAAGATAATACTGGTTCCAGATTTTTTACTTAATTTAAAAAATAATAATTCTTTCGCTTAATATAGTTTTTAGGTATCTTAAAATTTCTTTTAAGCAAGACACGAAAACCCTTTAAAATAATCTCCTGTTTTTTCACAATTCCCTCTGCTCCTTCAGTCCTATTAGTTGTTTCATAGCCTAGGATTTAGGCTAAAAAACAACTAATAAATGGTTCAACCAACACAAATATATTTTTTCAATTCGAACTCGTAATTACTTAGATTAGCGTTCAAACAGACAAACTCTTCAGCTTTATATATTAGTATAGATTACACAAATATTTGATTTCCGTACGTCCTTAGGCAGTGAAAAGTATTTCTAGCCCACCGTCTAAGTCAAGATGTCTTAGAATTAAGACCTCCCATCCATTCTCATGTCATAAATACATGAAATAATTTTATTTTTCCGTGCTTAGCTTAGAAAAGTACTTCGCAACAAAATGGCCGGCGGAGAAACGCTTTGGTTTAGAAGGTGGAGAGAGCATGATCGTGATGTTGGAAGAAATTGTGGACACGAGCACCAGGCTGGGGGTGGAGTCTATTGTTATGGCAATGCAGCATAGAGGTACTTCTTTAGGACTTGCTACTTCTTTCGCTTGGCTTGTACGTAATGGCTTCAGGTAGGCAGGGCACAGTTTGATCATCTACTTTCCTGTACATACAATGTACGTATCTAAAAAACTGACACAAAAATGTTCGATGCGCATCTGGGGAAATCGACATCTAGCCTAGAAAAACAATCAGTAAAAAAATATTTTTTATTTTATTTTGTTTTGTGTAGGTCGATTAAACATGCTGGTGAATGTATGTCGTAAGCAATTGAACGAAATATTTGCCCAGTTCAAGCCCATGGAGCCAAAAGAACCGGTACCTTTTATGATATCTGATAAGAACCTGTTGATTGTTTTAATTTTTCACTTTGGTAGTTATTTTCGTGGTCACAGTACTTACTTTTATTGAATGACATATTATTTCGCTCCGTAGTTCAAATCGTAAATGTAATTAAATTTTTACAGTTTTATAATTATGGACCTTGAATTATGTTTATATAATGTTTAATAATTAGTAATACGTCAAATTCATTTGTCTTTTGTACAATATTTTTCCTGCACCTTTTTCTAACAAGGGTTGCGTGGAAGAAAGAGCTTAATAGAGATACGGTAGTCTCGTTTTCTTTTGTTGTAATTGTGTTATATGTATAGCACAAGTTAAATTAAAACTAATAGTAAGTTTTTATTATAGTACCTCGTTTGTAAAACGTAGACAGCTTTGTGTTAAACACTGTGGGGCCTTAAACTTCCCTGGATATATAATGGTAACATTTTTAGGGTTCCGGTGATATTAAGTATCATCTAGGCACCTATATACATCGTTTTATTCGGAAGACCAACCGTTACATCAAAGTATCTATGAGCTGCAATCCGTCTCACTTGGAAGTTGTGTCTCCGGTCGTCGTAGGCAAGACTCGAGCGGAGCAGCATTTTAAGGGAGACAATAATGGCGACAAGGTTCCATTAAATTTATAGATAAAAGCTTATTGGAATGAACTATATATAGGCTTTATTTACCGAATGTTTACATTGTTAAAAAAATATATATCGTTGCTCTCTAATCTCGCACTCTTCATAACACATCAAATTACGGATAAATGACAGAAAAATTAAATGTGTGGAATAAATAAAAAAATAGATTTTATAAATATAAATTAAAATCGATTTTAGATTGAAAAACCAGGGCAGGACTTGAACCGGCATCCACAACGTTGTGTGCTGTTGCTCCCAGCAATTGAGCTACCGTGTCATACACGTCATCGTCGAATTATTAACTTATTATGCACCTCTTGCGTATATATGCGCTCCACAAAATTTTACTTTGTTCATGAAACCACTGTCTACGAAACATTGATCGGATTTAGGCCCAATTCTTCTTTTTAACCGAAAATTCGGCTTCGATTTAAGCCATATCATAGTTAGGCTCATCACAAAAAAAATATTTTAGGTAATGGCAATTATAATGCACGGCGATGCTGCTTTTGCTGGCCAGGGAGTAGTGTATGAAACTATGCACCTCTCCGCGCTACCGGCTTTCACCACGCACGGCTCCATCCACATCGTGTGTAACAACCAGATTGGCTATACCACAGACCCTAGATTCGCCAGAAGTTCTCCTTACTGCTCTGGTATTTTCATATCTACTATCATATGAGGAAGCTAGAGGAAGAGCCGCAGAGTAGCTTAACTGCAATTTTATGACTCGAGTTATTGATATTTTCATAGTCTCATAATGTTAATCTACAAAAGCACAGTAACCGAAAATTGTTAAAATTTTTACACAAACAATAGTATAAATTTAATTTCGCCTAAGTTTTTATTGTCCTCTTTAATGAGAAACAAAAAACAGGTTTTGTTATTAGGCCACTCTCTAGCAGCCTCATATTGAGTTGCAATCAATCTGCTTATCGCATTGCATATTTTACAACTTAGACTTAGTGGTTCTTGAAATGATAAATTTACAAATGAATACTAAATAAAACACTTTAACGGTTTAAAACGCGAAATATATTGTGTACATATGTCCCCGTGACCACGGCTGTAAACCATCCAAAATGTCGGGCCCTAGTTAAAATAATTTCGCGTTATAATATCGTTAGTGTTTTATCGAAAATTACAAGGGACTGATTGAAATTGCTTGATATTGTAGATGTAGCGAAGTGTGTGGACGCTCCTGTACTGCATGTTAACGGCGATGACCCGGAGGCAGTCGCCCATGTAGCTCGCCTGGCCATCGAGTTCCGATGTCACTTTAAAAAGGACGTAGTACTGGACCTCGTGTGCTACAGACGTTTTGGGCACAGCGAGGAAGACGAACCCAGTTTCACGCAGCCGTTTATGTATAAGAAGATTCGTTCAATGAAGACAGGTATCTTTTTTGAAGTCCTGTTAAGATTAAAACAATTTGGAGTGAAATCCTGTTTCCCCTGTTGGACCAGAGAACATACTTCTGCGTCTGTTTCACTCATCGGTTTCTATAGACCTCACTTCAAAGGATCTATCTCTTCTATGGGAAAACTTCTGTACGAAAGACCCGAATGTACTCAGCATAGTAGTTAGAATTTATTCTTCTTCGTCACATTATGGATACAAAAAAATAAGTCATACTTTTTTTAAAGGATATATAAATTTAAAAAATATAAGCAAACTATAACCGAACGACGCCACGTGGTGGTAGTTAAAAAAGTTTACAGGAAAATTGAGTTCCACTAATTATTTTTCTAAAGTTCTCTTGCTCATTTTAACAAATAAACTCCCAGTCGACCAGATATATGGCGAGCGTCTAAAAGCCCAAGGCGTAGTAAATGATTCGGATATCAAAGGCTGGGAGAAGGAGTATATGGATACTCTGAACAAGCATTTTGAACTCGCCAAGAAGATCACCAAATTGAGCATCATGGATTGGATTGATACGCCGTGGACTGGATTTTTCGAAGCTAGGGATCCGATGAAGGTACCGTTGTGTTTCTTAATTTCAAAAATGTCACCGGAGATCCTGTATTGAAACTCTGGATTCCAAAAAGTAAAATATCGGCAAACGCGAAAACACTTAGTCAATTCTGCCAGCACCCGGCCAGATTCGCCAGATACGAACAACGACGGAACAGATGGCGCTGGCGTAGCAGATTTTTACTTTGATATTAAAGCTTTGGTCCCTTAGTCTTCCCGTGACCACGGCAGCTGCAAAGCAACCGAAGCTTCGGGCCGTAGTTAAAATACTTTTTAAATAAGTTTAACTATATAATATAGCTCGCCTTTTAAACCGCTAAATCTTTTTATTTGAATGTGTACCACTTGTTACCCATGACCAACAAAAATCCTGCATATTGTGTGTAATATATTTGTTTTTCTATATTAATATGTTACTTTCAGATTGAAGAAACAGGTATTTCTGAAACGACCATTTCCACGATATCCAAACATTTTTGCAAGCCACCAGAGCCGTGGGCTTTTGAAGTACACAAGGGTATTAATAGGATACTACAGAACAGAGAGAAAATGGTATAACACATCTACATAAAAAAACTTTTAACGTTGATCAAATAAATAATTAATAATAATAATAATTGTCATTTGATAAAGGTGAAGGAAGGTGTAGCTGACTGGGCAATGGGTGAAACGTTAGCTTATGGATCTCTATTAAGGGATAAAGTACATATCAGATTCACTGGCGAGGACGTGGAAAGAGGAACTATGGCGCACAGGTTAATTGCAACAAGACTAACGGTAGAAGGAATATCTGTCAGTCCTTTTTTAGGATATAGGAGGATAGACAAGCTTGGGGTTCACTGATGGTATGTGAAATATCTCAGCCTATAACATCTAAACAAGTTGCGCTGTCGACCTATTTGGCTTTGAATATTCGAAGATCCTCAAACTGAAACTGAATCGTAATTTAACTTCACGGCCTTTTCATCTGTGGACGGTGGTTCGTGATCCGGACGGACTTTAGATATTCCTACGACCCATTAAATATCCTAGAGTTCCTGATGCAAACCAACATGTTTCATGAAATTATAAATTGATTAGAAAATTTCAGGTTGGTGGTCAGGATCGAACCGTTTTCGAACCGTTCCGGTTCGTATATTTCGTAATTTCAGACATCATGTCTACCACCATCAAGGCGTTGACGGCGCAACACATCGTGTTCTCGACACTTTGTATCCAGATCAGGCTGCCTACAGCTTACATAATAGTTCGTTATCAGAGTTTGGTAAGTGGTTGCAGTTGACTTATTCCTAGAAAATGTCATCAGCCAGCTTCCACTGTTAAAGCTTACAAAAATATAAAAGGCATGAATCATTTTATATTATTTAAACTATCTACAACGAAAAATTTATCGTGTTCGTCGCAATAATAATATAAAGAAGTCTTTCAAAAAGTTACGAAACTTCGAATAAACCATAAATAATAAATAAAACCATAAGACCCTTAGTTTACCACTGATCATATTTTTTCGTAAATAACACATTTGAGCAGGTATTTACTACTTCTTTTTGACTTCGGAAGTCGGGTACACATACCAATAGTTCAACACAGCTCTTAAAAATTTGTTCCGCAGGTATTCTAGGTTTTGAGGTAGGCTACTCATACTCGAGTCCAAATTTGCTGACAATTTGGGAGGCGCAGTACGGAGATTTCGCAGATACCGCTCAGCCCGTGTTTGACACCTTCATAGCTAACGGAGAGAGCAAGTGGGTCTGTCAATCTGGGCTCGTTGTGCAACTGCCCCACGGGATTGACGGCGCTGTTAGTAACATATCTTTTATCAACAAAACAAAGTGGTAATAGTTAGGTAATCTCGCACGAAATTAAGCAATATACAGGTTCATCAAGTATCTTTGTATTTAAACTGTAAAGTGTCGAGTTTACAGTTTAAATACAAAGTTTTCATTTAAAACGGAAATATATAGGTATGTCGTTTCAACTTTAACCGAATTCATTCGACGATTTGAGTTGTAAGCCTATAATAGTAAATAAGAAAGTATGTCTTAGGGTTTGACTAGCCTATCATTTATATATACTTCTACTTCTATTTTATCATAGGGTCCGGAGCATTCGTCGGGAAGAGTAGAGCGATACCTCCAGCAAGCTGACGATGATGAAGATAATATACCAGACCTTGATGATAAGGACATGGCTTGTAATTATTTTAGAGAACTATCACGCTTTAACACTTATAGTATATTAGATCATTGTTTTTCAGGCTGTTCGGCCGAAGTTCTCGACGTTTCGTTACCACTAGCGAACGGCATCATCCGGTGATATTATCATTCACCGAGGCCGAACAGCCCGAAAAACAACTATATCCTGAAAGATGGCCGTGAAAGCCTTACGCGGTTTAGTTGTATATTATACCTACAGAAGTTACAGAAAATGACATCAAGGAACTACAGATGGAAAAAAAATAGATTCTGCAAACAAACCGGAAGGTTTGAAGGGGACACGGGGAGAGTTGGATGACCCAAAAGCTCTGCAAGGAGGAAATGGGTGAAATGGTCAGCTGATAACGTGGACTGATCACCCGTCCTACCACAGGTGTCCCCGAAAGAAAATAATATTAATAACAATACCTACATAAGATTAAACAAACTACATCACAAGCAAGATAACGTGTACGCGTGTAGAGTGTAGAGAAGACTTCAGTCTTGTAAAAAACTGTTTCTTGTAGTAAAACAACTTCGAGCGGCAAATTGGCTAGTTTGCAACGTGACCACTCCAGCCAACTATTTCCACTTGATACGAAGACAAATCGCAATGCCCTTTCGAAAACCTCTCATCCTTATGACACCAAAAGTGGGTCTGAAGCATCCATTTTATCGCTCACCGTTCAAAGATTTTAAGCTGGGAACCAGTTTTCAAAGGTTTGTGTCGTGGTGTAATGAAAAAAGAGGTTTACGTACTTTTTTGCTTCGACGTGAAAATCAATTAACAAGTCAAATGTTGAGACCCAGTCGATTTGAATAAAGCTTAAGTTACATTAAGCTTACATTTTTAGAGCAATCGGCGATTCAGGGCCTGCCAGTAAAAATGCAAAAGGAGTAAAAAAGCTACTGTTTTGCTCCGGTAAAGTTGCAATAACGATCGATGACCTACTCAAAGAGAAAAAGCTCCAGGACAAAATTGCCGTATGCCGCATAGAACAGCTGTACCCGTTTCCTTACGACCTAGTGCTGAAGGAATTCTGCAAATACGAGAAAGCCAAAGTTTTCTTCTGCCAAGAAGAGCACAAGAACCAAGGTCCGTGGCTTTTTGCGAAGGTTCGATTAGAGAATCTATTTGGAAAGAAGATTGGGTGAGTGCTTAAATTAAGTTAAACGAAGCGTTTATTTAATTAAATACTACCTAATTAATTACTAACCTGCGTGCATGTATAAAGCCTTGTTATCGATATAAAGTTGTATGTGCTTTTATAAAGTCCCAGCTACTACTAGCAATGTATGGCTAATAATAATCAACGGGTCATAAATTCGATTACCACCAGGTCAAGGTCCCGTTTTTGCTGTTCTTGGTGGGATATGGGTTTTAAAATGAAACCCACGCTTAGGAGTAACAAACACACTTGTTCATACATTTATGTTTATTTTATTAAGAATATCATTTGATGTAGGTGTATATCCAGGCCGGCGAGTCCTGCCTCTGCGACGGGTATCAAATGGATGCATGCTAAAGAACTAACTGATCTCAAAAACAAAATTATCGAGCTTTAATTATTTTGTCTCAAACTTAAACATAATTTTTCAAAGTTAGGAGTTTGTGTGGTATTTTTAAACTGTAATAAATTGTACGTGTTTAAAAGATTTATCTTTTCTCTATTTAATTGAAGTTGTTATTTTTAAAGATAGACTTACAAACAAATAGAAGCCCTTACTGGGAAGTAGTGTATGAGACTTATGATGTAATTTAGTCTAATTATATAAAAAGTAAAGCATATATATAGAACTGGTGAAGTTGAATTCTTCAGTAAATAGTCTATATGCGACTACGTGCATTAATACAAAACAAAAAACGCTTACTAAACGGAGTGGCTACACCCTTCGACAACTTCTCGCTAAACAAGATAAAACACAGTTTTTTTTTATATATTGTTCAATACATTTGCAACTATAGTACATATTTATTATTTAAACGTAGCGTACAAGTATCCAGAACCGAAAGTCTCCCGTTTTTCAGTCAACCCGACGATGATGTATACCCTTCCACGCTTCATGGGAAAGTTTGGAATATTACCAGTAAATATAGATATATTGTTCACAGCGTAATATTTCTGAAATAATATCGAATATTTTTTATTTATAAAGACTCAACTGTGCGCGGCCAGTCCATATGAACTGTATAAAATCAGCGCTATACTTACAGGTACAAAAGGACAAACTAATCCGAACGCTTTCCGTAGATTTAAAAATGGTGATTCAAGGAAGTCGCACCATTTGTAGTTTAATTCTATAAAAGACGGTCTGTACTCATTGTGAAGGAATTCTTGAAATTTTATAGAAATCTAGAAAGAGACGCCATGAATTAGTTTGAAAAATATACAGTAGGTATGATGTTATTAAAAGATAGTAATCCCTCACGGTAACATTGTTCGTCCACGGATGCAAGTTCTCCCCGCATAGGTTGAAGTACGCATTGCCCCTTCTGGAATATTTTCTAACGGTGGCTGTTACGTTTTTTAAGTATTTGTCATTAATACTTTCTATTTCGACTCTTTCCATTACAAATTCCACAGCCTTAAAGGAATTCTTACGTTAAAGTGTTTTAATTGCTAGTTACGTAACGTTAGTAGCACTTTTTGCAGTTTAAAACGCAAAGCACGATAACTACGGACGTTTTGGGTGCTTTCCACAGACGTGGTCACGGGGTTCAATATACCAGTAAGGACGGACATATACGAACTGAGACGAAACAGATGTCGCTAGCGTAGCAGATTTGACTTTGGCATTAGGAACACTCTCCACCATCAGTGCCCCGTGATCACGGCAGTTGTAAAGCATTCGAATCGTGAGGCCATTAAAATAAGTTAAGCAATATATTTCACGATTTGAACCGTTAAGTGTTTGATTCAAATAGTTCAAGGTAATCACTAATTTTCCTTTCTCTAGAGTCGAATTGTCAATCTTAATAGAAGACATGCGTATTTAATTACTTACTCATCAAAAATCAATTTGTATTCATATGTTAAATATGAATACAAATTTAGTAAAGGACATATGTATTAGATAAATAGAGAATCAAAGACGACTTACATTTAGGTTTTCAAGGAGGTTCACAATGCAAAGAGATAAAAAGGTATATTTAAAGATGATATTCATGATTTTCAAATCGAAACTCGTGGTGAGGCGGCCGTTTTAACTCCTAATAACATTTATGAAAAAAAAAGCGAGCATTAAAAAAGGCCTTTTCAAAAAGGTATGCTACATGATAGCTCAACGTAAAAGTAATAACCAAAATAAAATAAAATTGGCAAACAAGTAACGTTTTACAAAAGCATAATTAGAGAAAATAACTCTGATTTTTATCTTAATCTAATCTACGTACTGACTAGAAATCATTACAAGTACAGTTAGGTATTTACCTACTTATCTGATCTACAATTCAGAATAATGGGCACGTAAATTTTGTTTTTGGAGGAATGTTATAAAGGTATCGTGCCAGTTTAACATTTAAGTCTATATTGCTTCAATTTGGTGCTTGTTACTAGGACCTGCAGGGCTAAATACCAATTTTAGGTTAGGCTAATATCTTAAATATTTAGTAAGTATATCCCGCGACAAACTAATGTAGATTAATTTTTTATTTTACTACTTTCTAGTTTACTACCTGTCTTACTATTTATTAACAATAAACATTAATTAAAAAATAAAACTCCGACCGCCTCTGTAGCCAAATGGTTAAACGTATTGCCTAGCATTGCGTTAAGCGCGAGAGGTCCTGGATTCGAATCCTAGGGAACTGATCAACTACTTGCCCTTTAAAAGAACGGATCAGTGAAACAGACACAGAAATATGTTCGCCCCATGCCCCACTAGGGGGAAACGGGCTTTCACTTTTTTTTTTACAAAAAAATAAAACTCACTGCCATAGGAAAACGTGTAAATATATTTCATTTGTACAATAATTGCAATTTTATTGCATCGAACTTAGAGATAACAGGAATGATTTAATTTTTAACTAAGATACATAAACGAAATCAAAGTTGAATAAAATCATATTTACTATGAAAATTACAAAAGAATTCGGCTTTATAAGCCTCTTTTTGTGTATATCAAATTATGACGTTATGTGGTGAAGAGCGAGAGAAAATAATTAGTTCTATTTTGTTCGAACGAACAGCATTGGCACGACCTTCTTAGCGATTATATGTAGCGTAGTAATAAAACAACAATTAACAATAATGTAAGTGTTATCTTTGGGCGATTCGAAATATCGTTAAAACATTCGTTTTTACGTCTAAACCGGTGTATTACAATATAAGTAAATTGATAAAATGCAAAGCTATAATACTACAATAAAATATCTGTAATCCTCATAAATAATTCAAAAACAACCCTACCACCCATAATATATATAAAATAGTTTAATTATTGTATTCATTTAAGGAAGTATAAAACTAAGCAAAAAGCTTTTGAAAGAAATTGTAATTGTAACTTACAAAATTCGTATAAAATGCAAAGTTCATTTTGATCACATTATAAAGTTTATCCGTATGTCTACTTGAAAAATGGATTTAGTTGAACACAGGAACTGTTTGGTTAAAGATTTCCTATCTAAAAATATATTTGTTTCAAGCTAATCTGCTTTTTTTGCCTTAGCTTTCTTGTCTTTTCCTTTTGGCTTGGATGGGTATATCGCAAATAGAGAAAGCTGAATTGAACAAAGAGTCACTGCTACTGCATTTTGAAGCTGAAAAAATAACATTAGCCAATTAATTTAGCAAAATTAATTCTTTTCGCTTTTATTTTTCTCTTTAATTAGATTTTTAATAAATTCACTTTTCAACTGAAAGACCGGTGGACACAGGAATCTAAAAACATATTTTTTCTGAAAATAAATGTCTTTTCTGTATATTATAATAAAAATCTTGTTATATAAACTTACCACAAGGAATGAGTTATTAAGAATTATACCATACAGCAGCCACATAAACGTGACAACTGTACCCGACAATATTATGGGAAAAGGCATGCCTGCTGTACTCTTGTTCTTGATAATGCTTTTCTGAAAATCAAAATACCTAGATTAAAATTGTAAAGACGGTATATACCAATCAAACAATAATATGCGTCCAAGATTTTCATTGTTGTTTGGCTGACTTGATTTGAGTGATTTTTATAAATACTACGGTATAACATGGTAAAAAGTTTACTTACCAGTTCAAAGAGAGGAGATGCAATTAGATAGAACATAAATGCAGTTATAATTGTTCCAAATCTGTTTTCAACTAGTTTTGGATCTTCATATTCTGAGTAGCCAATGAGAGCTGCAGAGATGGCTCCTCCAGCCCCTATCTGTGCCCATACGAGACCCTTTTGTGGAGCGTAGTTGAAATATATTGATAGATAGATTATATTAAGAGCACAACCCACAAAATTTACTTGTATCATTGTGTCATCACGAAGCATAAATCCATATTTTAAATTCAAGATACTCCTGTAATAAAATTGTTTGTAAACCACTTAATTATTCTAAACTTTTGAGGAAATTGGTAACAGAGCACTGAGGTAATATAAGCTCTTTCTCTTAAAGTAGTATTACATCTTACTAACATAATCATACCACCAATAAAAGGCATGATACCAACTCCTTTTGTAGTCTTTGCCTTGTAAATATCATAGCATAAAAATGATGCAGAGAACATCTGCCCAATGGTAACAACAGCGGCAATAGTGCCGACAATGGCCTTGTAAGGCTGCAGAATATTGGATAGAGCTTCCATTTTGAATATCTGAAAAACAAAATAACAAAAACTAATTTTAGATGATAAAACTGCAAATCAGATGATTATCAATTCAAGGAAAACAGTCTTATAATTATTGGCAAATTAACCTTATTTACTAATAAAATGATTAATAACAGCATGAAAAAGTTAAAAAAAATACATTAATACAAAAAAATAACTTTAAGTGAAGAAGACACTTTTTATATTTTTAAGAAAAAAAATTATATACATGAATATACTTAAATACTAATTTAGCCTTGAAACGACAGGACTTATCAGAGATAAGAAATAAAAAAGTAACACCCAAAAAGTGTAAGTTACTAAATTAACTCATTCTCGTTTGAGAAATCACAATTATAGTACAATTATATGCCACATTTCTTTAGTGCCCACGTAACTATAAATAGTATTATTTCCTCTTCAAAGCTAGGGACCCTGATTCACATTAATAATGCTTAGACGTAACATCTATCCTCATTGATTGAGGCAAATTGCTATAAATTGTTTCATGTGTCCTGAGAAATCTACCCACAGTTAACCAACAGATAAAACGGAGTGGAAAACTATATTCAATATTAATCGATTATTATTCGAAATATAAACTTAAAAAGATAATATTTTTCTAATAAGGAAAAATATAATAATATGAGATAAAATTGTTCCCTCTTAATTACTTGCAGTTTACACAATTAACATTTTTTTTTTGATAATATTTAACACGTAGGTAAATATGTACATTCATATCTATAACATATTTTATAAAATATCTCATATCTTCCTATGCTTATGTAAATTTAAAAGTCAGAAGCATTTACCTCTAATTTCAGAAAATAGAAATAGTATCTCCGTCAGTCAGCACACACAGTATTTCGCTATATTTTAACCCGAATTCCAATTCCAAATGGAACTAATTTTACACTGTATTAGTGACAAGAGAGAGACACCTTTAGCTTAATAACCTTCATTGACTACTCGAGTACTTGATAATTTTGAAGTTGACAGTTTTTGCTTATGAGATAGATTATAGATTTATCAAAAACACTTCATTTGAGTCAAACTGACGCATATACAATGTGTGTTGCCAACGATAATTATTTATCAAGGCTAAGTCTGATCGAAATAATTAATATTGAAATATATTTATAAATTAACTTTAGCTTTAGTTTTAATAAAAACTAAATTCATCAAACGTCAATCTGGTTTTAATTAAAATAAATAATCCAAAATTCAATTTGTAAATTACATTCAAGTATCACTTCTATCGGATTTTTTTGTCTTTTTTAAAACGTTTGGATATCATTGGCATTATTAGTTTGCACAGAATACTTTTTAATTAATAATCTCGCTTTGAAAAAGAGTAATTATACCTTTACAATCTAATTTATTATACATACATATACATCCCTAGTAACAGCTGTCAAAATTGTCATTTATGTATATACTTCATCCATCACTGGATCCTAAATCCTTATATCAAATCTTTGTATTGTTTGTTACAATCAAATATATTACTTCCTTTTATTAAAAAGCGTAGTCTATGAAAATATGAAATAAATGTCTCGTCCTAATAGAAATTATAGCAACAAAATTATGAATAACCAGAGTCACATAATTAAAGGAACGTGTTATGCATTATGTCCAGAGGAAGAAATTAATTTGTGAGTTCTTTGCTAAATATTTGGTTCACTAGAGACTATAATATTTCAGATGTGTATTACGTATTTGTCTTTTTTTCAGACGAGAAAGAGAAAACCTGGTTCACATACTTGAAGTAGTTAATAAAAAACATAAACTAGTTAAATGTTTTAGTAGATCTGCCGCAGATGCTCATATGGCTATTCCTAGACTTCTACGCCCCTTCAATATATTAAGAGATACTGTAAAACATTTGTTATTTGTGTAAGGTTCATTTAAAAGTTAGTAATTATTTATAAAGCCACATCTAAAAGTTTCTTAGTGCTATGCCAAAATTATATTATTTGGTTTACAGAGTAGCAAAACGGATAGATGTTCCACTGGCAGTGATGTATGACTTCTTAAATGATCGTTTACGAGCTGTACGTCAAGATGTGACTATTCAAAGGCTACCTCCAGCCCAATGTTTAGAATTGTTAGAGCCTATTATTAGGTTTCATGTTTACTTTGGATATAGGTAAATATTTATAGTAATAAAACTTAATAAAAAATATCATGTATTTATGTGAAAGAGCATATAACTATTCAAATTGTAGTAAAAACATATTCAGGTTTTCAATATATATATATTTTAAGTGTATTTTGACAAATATAAAAAAATATATTACACATTTCAGATTATGTGAAAAGCCCACCAATGAATTTAACCCCACATTGAATAAGCAATATTTGCTCGAGTGTATAAAATGGTTCTTAAGTTCTATAGATGAATTAGAAAAATCTAAATATAATTTTGATACTACAATTCTCAATTTGGAATTACTAAAACTTGATGAAAAAGATAAGGATTATGATAGAGTATTAATAGAGAGCTTGTATATTTTGTGCAATATGGATGATGAAACACCCATGAAACGGTATCTTCAACTGCCAAAGGAAATTAAGAGGTATACATTATTTTAATTTTCAAAAAGTTTGTAGAGAACCTAGAAAACAAGAACAATTCACAATTCTACATACTAAATAGGAACTCTCTGAGTTAAACTGTTGTATTCAATTTAAATACTTGAAGCTGGGTGATAAGTCCACAGAAATTGCTTACCGTTTTCGGTAGACTTATTATTACTTTCTTTTGAGGACACCAATATAAGGCTGTGGTCAGTCCAAATCTTTTGCTGACCATTTCCCCTGTCTGCCTTTGCAGAGAATAAAAAGCATTTCGCCTAAAACTAACTTACTGTTGCTCACTATTAAACAAGTATATCTATACATCTGAAAAATTATAATCACCATAAATTAAATTTTTACAGAAATCCACGGTTACGTCTCACATATGACATAGCAATATCAAATCTGAAAGGAAACTACATAAATGTATGTAGACTATACCACAGATTGTGTCCACTCACTGCGTGTGCCTTCTTGACATACCTACCTGTATTACAAAGGTAAAAGAGAATATAATTTGCATAATATTTGAGACATTGGCAGACCACCATGTAGCTTAATTGTTGCATTGTTTAATATTGCTATTAGAAAAAAAGTCCTGTGGTTGATTCCAGGGAAATTGATTCTGGTAGACAAAGTGCTGAATTCTGATCAATTACTTGCCTAAACAACACAGAAATGGCCTATGCCTCACAGGGGAAAATGGAATGCCACTTTTACTTTTTGACAAAATAAAACTAACACTCAATGAAACTGAAGGGGCAGAACAGTACATTATTTTATTATTACATATTTTGTTTACAGGAGAAGTTTACAGAAAATGAGCTCAGCCTACAACAGTAAACATTTGTCAATCCCAACAGAAGTGATACAAGAGTGGCTATTATTTAACTCAATTTCTGAAGCTGCCGAGTGTTGTAAACACTACGGATTATCTGTGAATGGAGGAGTTTGCTTCAATAAATCAGCTTTCAAACACGAAGCTGATATTGTAAGTGTTTGAAAACTTTTATATTCTTTACATATTTTTTTTTATTTATTCATTTATTTATCTTTACATATAATTGCCGTAACTGCTCATGATGACATTATACATAAATTGAAAATCTAATTAGACTCTGCAGCTCAATTTGTTAAAACAACAGTGCGGAATGTTGTGAATGCTGGTTCATGTTTCGCCTGTGTCATCTAAATAGATTTTTAATTAATTGTGTTTTATATGTCCTAGCTTATAAACGGATTGAATTAATATAAACAGATTTTAGGTCTGAATGAAACGTCATCCTTTACTCAAAAATGATTATGGTGGGGAGAAAACATCTGTGTTCATTTACCTGATCAATTTTATCGACAAGACAAGTAGTTGATAAGACTTGTGTGCCCTAGCCCTCTGAAACATATTATTGTTTTAATAGGCGTTGAATAGGTGGTGATGGAATGTGATAAAGACCACTAATATTTGTTTTCAGCATCGTCTTGGTAACAATCAAACAGCAGCTCAAATTACTTTACAAGATATCTTGACATATTGATAATACTGAAAGACTGATAACTTCATGATATAGTTTTATCTGTTTATTTTTCTAACACAAGATAGGTTATTTACAAGTTGTAATTCAGAAATATTTATTAGCATTATTATAAACTTATATTTTCTTTACTTTTACATAATCTTAAAATTTGTGCATTGACACTATAAAAATAGTTGTCATTATATAAGGTTCAACTGACTTTCGAGTAAATAAATAAAATACTTTGGTATTGGTAACTAAATTTATTTCTATGTAGACACAATAATAAAGATATAATACAATTAATGTGTTGTCACTTGTTTTAAGAAACTTGCTATTAAAATCTCAATCACTTTAGTACAATGAAATTATTGTACTAATGATATTAAAGCATTTTATATATAAGTGAGGTTTTCTAATAATGCACCGATAAAACATCTTATTTGTATGTTTAATTTATTTAATAAAAGAACATACTTTATTTCGACATTTCATTCTTAAGGCAATGCATAATAAGCATCACTTTTAAAAACTGAGCGATAGAGCATTTTTATATGAAGTGGAGTATAAAAACTAAACGGTAGCATTTCTTGTAAATAAGTAAAAGCTGCTGGTTTTCTGCGTATGGTGAAGTAACCTCACTTAAGCATACAGCACCAAAATAAAGAAACGCATGTTGCAACTGCTTAAATAATTTCAAATACATGATTTTTTTCTTGTCTTTTTATCCCCTTTATAAAACTATCTCTACGGTGTTAAAGTTACAACCCAGGCAAGGTTTTTGATCACATTTTTTGTGTCTTTTTCGCCCCATAAACACAAAGGGTGTCTATATTTTTGAATAAAAGAGGTACATGCGTTTCTCGCTGTAAAAGGAAATAATAAACATAAGATATCAAGTCTCATTGACAAACATTATTAACACTTGATTCACTACAAAGCAGTATAAATAAAAACAACAACAATTTTACATGAGTTACAATAACTATACACCATAGTCCAGAGGGTAATGCTTTTTGGTCATTTATAATTGTAGCATGTTTAAAATACTATAAGGGGCCATCCTCAAAATAACTTAGACCTTAGGGGGGGAATGGAATTTTGACTATGGTAAGTAAAGCGACAGTACTCAAAATCTACCAGATCAAAGAAATATTTATTTTTAATTACGATTTTTTCATCTCTACACCAATAACAATGTGACGTCATTCGTGGGTAACCATAGAGTACATCTTTTCCGCGCAAATATGACCACATATGACGTCATGCGCTCCCCGACGTTGCGTCTTAAACAAACAATATTGAAACACAGTTCGAGGTGCTTTAAAGGCTATTACTATATGAAATTCTATTTCTTATCCCATTTCTTTATTGAAATAAGTAGCCCTTAAGATTAAAACGCCGATTCCCTATTGATAAAGACCTAGATCGCTTCAAAAAGCCGTAACGTACGGATGGCTCCTTAAGACCAGATCTAGCTGCGCGGCAAATTATCAACTTATATGTTAAGCATTAACCTCTGCCCTAAATGTGAATAAATAGTAAATGTTCTAGAGTACAACACTGCCCTGTGGCCAATGTTCTTGTCCTACTTTATTTAATATCCAATTCATTTTATGCACTGTACATCTTTATTTAATTGAACACTGATGGTAAAATTATGATGTTAGTTCCATTCATGTTTTAATTTAAAACTGTAATTCTTACATTTTGAAAATCACTGCAAAATTACTTTAAATCAACAACCATTTAGAGCATTCTATAGGTTTTGTTTATGATAAAAACAACTCTTCATGTAACGCTGAAAACTCTAGCAGTGTTCGATGTACAGTGAAATGCAAGCCGGAAATCACATCCAGAACCATTCTCTTACTGGAAAATAAAATTAAAAATTAGAATTGGGTTAAAATATTTAGAGAGATAATTCATTTTATTTCTCAAAGATACCTAGGCACCAATCACCTTGCTAGTAGAGAGAATATGGCGCCTGTATGGAACGCACAGTACATTAACAAACTATTTTTTTTTATTTATATAGCAGCTGAAGTAAAAATTATATTTAAAAATGTAAACTGTTTATTATGGTTCAGGTCCAGGAATGAAGCCCCATAATAAATGGAAAAGGACAGCAACTCACCCGCAACTGTGCACTAGTTAGGTTTAAGAAAGGCATCGTCGAAGAGCTCTAACTCGTGGCAAAGGTAATTAGCTTTGTTGCGCAGCTTCTTGGCCGAGGTGGACGCCACATCCAGCATTTTTATAGCCTCGCGGACCTCCATCAGTTCAGAGTCCATCTCCGTCGTCGCTTCGTCTATTAGGCGACACAGTCGCGCAAACATTGTCGATAGCTCTCTAAAAAATATTTTAACGATCATTAGTTTTATTGTTGGTATATAGATAACAATTAAAATAGTTATGATAGACAGTTTAAAAACGACATATATTTTTTTTAAATTTCGGTTTGGCTAACAAACAGAAATTTCTTCAAAATTTAAATTAAAGTTAATTTCTACATTGATAAATGTCGCCAATAAAATGTATATTTCAATTATTTTTTTCGTCATTCGAGTCCCGTTGATCGCCACTTGTATCGACTACTCACTGCTGAACTTGATGGCTACAATTAGCTGAAGTGAGGTCCACGATGAGCCGCAGCTTCTTGCCTGCGTGCGTGACGTATTGCTTCTTGAAGACGCGCTCTTGCGCTTTGGCCGTCCACGTCAAGCGCTCGTAGGCGTACAGAGCGCCGTACACGAGGCCCGTAACGACAACCACGCGCCAACCGACGGTTTTCATAAGCTAACGAACAAGTATATCTTTAAATTAAGCTCTATTGGCAAAATGCGTAATTCTTGTGTTGTGGGGGAACCGCCATGTTGGATTTGGAACGACATCACATATTATGTTCTATTGACGGGTTCGTTGGTCGAATGGTATATGCCTAATGATAATCAACGGGTTGCAATATTAATAGTGAAAATTCACGAACCGACGTCTACAGATTAAAAAGTCGTGAAGTTTAATCGCGTTTCGGTTTTTAGTCTGTGGATTTTCGAATATCCAAAGGCAAATATTTTATTTAAAATAAGACGACAACGCATCTTGTGTAAATTCTATATGGCTGAGGTATTTCATGCTTGTATGTCCTTATTTATCTAAAAAATGCCAAGTTCCAGCGTTAAGCTGATGAGTTCGTCATTAAATGCAAGACCTACCAATCCAGAGAGCAGTAGTCCACCCATGGTGCCCTGCGACGTGAGAGCGCCGAGAGCGAATTTTGATATCATGCTCCATTCTTCTGCACTGAGTGGACCCATGACTGACCCGCCGTTGCCCACTCTCGTCAACTCCATATTAGGCGCAGGTGGGCCCATCGTGGTAGGAATCTGCAGTTTATGTAGTGAATATATAATGCGAGTCAGGTCCGAATAAGGGTTCATCGCTTTAAATAGTGTCTGTACTTCACGCGAATAGTACACATTTCAACAAAACTAACGGTTTAAAACGCGATATATACTAGTTAGACTTATTTGAAAAGTATTTAAACTACGATCCGCCGTTTCGGATGCTTTGCAGTCGTGGTTTCGGGAGTTTTTCAATAAGTTTAATTAATACATATCACGTTTTAAACCGTTAAAGTAATTTATTTAAATCCTCATCGCCTTTATCTATAAAAAATCCTTTAAGCTAATTTTTTGTGATGATTCTGTTATTAATATTAAGTTTACAGAACACGTTTGTTGTTAAGATGGCCGCTGAAATATTTTTATTAACTTGTAGTTAGAGCAGCAATTAAATTCCAAAACAGAGGTCTTCTGTGCCTCTATTATATATTACCGGTGTGTATTGAGGTGGATTCTTGAGAGCAATCTTATTTGTGTTCTTCCCTTGAAACCGCTGTATTATAGCTGTTATTCCATATGAGAACCGGAAAGTTAGATCCTCCTGGAAGTCTGCGCAGAGGTTGTCGCAGTTGAGACGGTAAAGGACTTCGAAGGGTTGCTGATGGGGCATGATGACACTAGCGGCAGCCGCGCGCTTATGCACAGGCAGAATGTTATACATTCGATCTGAAAATAATTGAAAAATATAATAATAATATGGATTCGATTTGCACCGATTTATTTTAAAAGAAAAAGGAATCAAGGATGAGTAAGTATTGTCCGTGCGAGTAGTACCCAAATAAAAGTATCGAGTATCGACTGAAAAAAAAATTACGACACAGGCAGGACTAGCATCCACAGCGATCCATGCTGTTGCCAACCAATTGAGCTACCGTGTCCTACACCCATCGTTGAATTTTTTCAACCTTTTGATACATGCACCGGTCGCGCTACGTAACTTCAACCTTCACAATTGCGTATTACTTCAAAATTACAGCCGAGGCGATATTACTCGCCGATGGCTCGGGCTATAAGAAAGCAGAGGCTGTAAGCGCACGTATGTCATACGACGTTTTATAACATATTTACGAGGAAATTAATAAATAAGCGATTTTTTTAGGCAAAGGTACAAAAACAGCCAGTATTACTAATAAAGTAAATTAATATTTTTGTGTTTTTGTTACAGATAAATGGTTGTAATTTATTGTCAAAATTAATTAAATTAAATGTTTATTTGTTATATTTTATTTCTCAAAGTTAATTTTATTCAAAAAATATTGACCACTTTCTTGACATAAAACCTCTTTGCTAAGAGATTTTTAAAAGTATCGTTCATTTTTAGACAGAGTATCAAACTTTATTTAAAAAAAACACGTGCCTTTTACATTACATTATCGCACAAGTACGTAATGAGATACATTACGATATTGAAATTGGTGTAATTACAACCACTTTACGAGCAAATATGTTATAAACACTTGTAACGGTTTAAATTGGTATATTAGCTTTAACTTATTGCAATTTATTTTAACTACGTGTGGTCACGGGGGTGACAGCAGATATTTTAATAATAAGTATATGACAGAGACAAGCCATATCACATTATTTGCATCAACCTGCCAGAGCCTTAGCGTGTGTAGACTGGAGAACAACACTGTACGAAATTGTCTCGCACAGCTAAGCAACGTAAATATAAACAACTAATACCGGCCATTTCCTTTTGTGCTTCGTCCATTTCGTGTCCAATATCCGAGGAGAGCCTCTTCTTCAGCCTGGAACCGAGCCCGGCTTCCACGTGCCTGTGAAGCGCGCGTTTGTACTGCTCCAGCGCAGCTCGTTCCGTTCGAAACGGAGTATCATATTCGTCCACCAATGCTGATAAACGACGTATCTCTTGGCTGAGCGTCAGCGACACCTATGATATATCTGTTATTAATTTTTGTGTATGACTAAAGTAAATGTCAGTTAACCCATCTATTAGGAGGTAGGAAAGGAATCCAAGGAGTATATTGCAAGAAGGGAAGAGGTACATTAGAGGTTCATTAGAGGTATTTGAAGTTCTCTTTGAAATATAGGAAATGTTTGTTTAAGTCATAATAACAGTACTTATGCATGTTTCTGTTCGTTTAATTTGGGAAAAGGTTCCTCAATCTTACAAGCAAAAAATTGTTAATATTTGAGACACGCATTTCATTTACCTTATGTTCAACGCTTTCGACCATTTTCCCAATCTTGTCCTTCATTTGCCGCGTGATAGACGTGAGCTGCTCTTCAATAGACGTCAGTTGTTCCTGTAATATTCTCTGTTTTTCCACTTTAGAAGCTTTCATGTCGCACGACGTGTTGTAGATCTGCCAATATATTACAAAGATTATTTCCTACTGCATTTTCAATTCTAAATTCTCAATGAAATCGGCTTTAGTAAAGCCGTTTAACAAATAAATTCATGAATGAAAATGAATAATATTTTCCACTTTGTATTTTTCGTAGAAATATGAACATTACTTAAGTAAAATAATTTTTTTTTAGAAGGGCTTGGGATTTTCTAAAAACGTTGTTGCAATAGGTCACAAACCTGCTCAAGCGCAGCCATGACATCTGTGGCAATATTTTTCCCGCGCCGCGAGTGCTGCGCGAACTTGGTTTGAACTGCGCTCTGGCTTATGCATTCCTCGAATTTGCGCTCAAAATCGACAAACTCGAAGTACCTGACTTGGTGACCCTCCACAAGAATGGGCGCTGTAATGTCAATGTTTCAACATAATCGACTCACGACTGTTCAACCTTAAAGATGTCCCGCATCTTAAAGGTTGAACATAACATTCTCTAGTAAATTATTATATTACAAGCTTCTGGTGGTAAGAGAGAATAGAGCACAAGTACTTAAAAAAGTACGTAAAATTCGTAAACAAATTGTCTATTTTTTAATAGAAAAATGTATATGTGTTTTCTTAATAGTAAACTGTTTTCACACGAAAGGAAAAAATCTTTAACAAACTGTAATATCTATAATAATACTTATAAATAAAGAGTTTGTTTGTTTGAACACGCTAATCTCAGGAACTACGAGTTCGAATTGAAATTATTTTTGAGTTGGTTAGAGCGTTGCTGTGACTAATAGAAGCGAAGATACATCGTGAAATGTAAAATTTGAAATGGGGGAAATTTTTTATCTCAGTGAGTTTCAAATGCGTATAATGCGAAAACGAAGACAAGGATCTAAATGTCCGACACTAAATGTCTATCTTTTAAGGTTAAGAACGATGGGACCCGAACGACGCGACACGACCGATGTCGTGGGCAACTTAAATTTATAAAGATGTAGAAGTTTGCAAAAACAAATTTGAATGCCCATAATAGCTATTCTACGCAGACGAAGTCGCTGACACAGCTAGTTTATAATAATAGGGTAGAATAGTAACTTACATGAAACTGGTTTCTCCCGCTCTTTCATGCGAGTGAGGAGCGCCTCTTTGGCAGACACAAAAAATATCCGCTCCTCGGCTTCTTTGGGGGTGCACACGCGAAGCTCTCGGGATAAGAAGTCTACACATCTATTCGCGTGTTGACTTCTTACCTATAAAAATAAATAATAATGTTAAGAACTACGGACTTCATTGCAGTTCTTACTAGGACGGATAAGTAACTAACCTGGTCCAAATAGTCTGGTTCCGAAGCTGAAGCATCCCATCTATTGTTCAGAATAAATATGTTCGGTTGCGAAATTTTCGTAGATACTTTGTGGAAAAAGTTCTTTTCCTAAAACAACATTTTTATTATAATAAAACAAGAGTTACTAATAATCTTTGAAAATCCCATTAGGTGGTGTTCCTACTTCTTTATGAAATTTAAGTTGTATTGAATTACATAAGATCAATAATAAATAAATTGTGTGAGAGTAGTTCCAGAAATATATCCTGTTTCTGCCAATTCACTATGGTTTAGAACGTTACAATATTGCGTTAGCTTAGCTTAGAAGTTTGAAGTTTAATTACTCGTCTTAAAAATAAAAACTTACAGTTAACATAAGAGTGGATTCCGCGTTTGCAACAAGTACAAACACATCCGCGTCAAGACAGTATTTGTCGATCCACTCGTCAAGGTTTGGAGAAACGTCGACTCCCGGACTATCGACCAACACCACATCGTCACGCAACAACGCACAGAGCTCACGCGGCCAATAGATATGGACTAGAGAAGATTCTTGGAGCCTCGTCGTACAAAGTGCATGGCCTAACTGGCTCACAGACTGAAAGTGCGAAAAGTAGATCATAAATAAAAATCTAATTAAAAATAGATGCTAAAATTTGCACATGAGGACACAATATAAATTAGGAGTCGATTGTAAATTGAAATTTTACGACATGGGCAGGACTCGAACCGGCATCTACAGCGTTTCGTGCACGGCAGCGTCGTTTTTTTCAACCTATTGATACATCCTCTTTTAACCTTTGATGCACCTTATGCTTTACATCTTAAGAAAGTTAATTGGTTACGCATGGGACGTCATGGGTGCTGGTTTAAGTCCTGCCCGTGTTGTTTTTCTATCTATAATTGATTCTTAATTTATATTTTTTTATTAGCTTTATGCTAAACAAACATGGACTGTTTTGATTGGTCAGTGGGTACACAAGCTGATACTTTCAATATCATATTTGATAAATGTGAATAATTTTATGACATTAAAAAGTTAAACCTTAATTCCTTATGATTAATCTATATGTAGAAATGACACAAACAGAACAAATATGACATCCGAGTTTAAATACCTGAACATTTAGTTTTTCTTCGGAGCCTTCAGTTTTCAAAAAGGCTTCATCTGTGTCAGATCCTTCAACTTGTAGAAAACAGTTTGTGGTGTGGCCAATTCCACTTGGCAAGATCTTATCATGCAACATCGCATTTATGACAGTGCTCTTTCCATTACTAGTTCTGTTAAATCCAACGGTTGAATATTATTGATAGACATTTTAAACTTAAGTGCTTTTAATACAAATGGCAGAAGAACAGTAAAAATCAAAAGGAGATTAAAAAACCAATTCAACCTATGCTTACCTCCCAAAAAATGCTACCTTCATGTGATCACGCTTGAGTACTTCCCGTATCGCCTGTACTTTATTAACATATGCCTCGACATTGGCGACATCTTGTGGAGTTGCAATACCATTGTCTCCAGAAGCAGCTGAAATTTGTTATATTATTATTTAATAGACAGACTATTAGTATCAGTAGTTTTACAAATATGAGAAAATGTTTAAACTCACCATGCATAAAAGTGACTGCATCTTTTACATAATCATCTATCTCAATAAATATGTCATTAATCTTCTTTTTAGCCCTTACAAATATCTGCAGCGGTGAATCCACATTTGCCACGTTCATACGCATTGTTCCATTGTTCATTACCACATTGTGGGGCCCATCACCGGCCATCATTGACACAGAACGATTAACATAAGCAGCCATACGGGAAGGAAATATTCACGGTTTTCGTTAGCTGTACCTTATGGCAATGCCAATAATGTAAATAAGTCACTTCTACATAAACTTAACATGCAGGTGCGACTGCAACAAAAAAGGTAACTTAAAAAAAATGTGCTCAATGACGTTAATGATTATGATTACACCCTAGCCTACTAAGATCAATGTAATGATGATTAATCTCTGCTGCATATATTTATATGATTTTCACATATGTGGGAAAGCCCACTGGGAAACTAGAATTCCTGTCCTTGCCACATCAGCCATTTATTTTATTATTACTGATTTTTTAGTTTTTACTGAGATTTTTTACATTTTTATCCAAAGGAAACAAAAGCTGCAGGAAATATGCCAAAACTGTTGTGCTAGCTGTGAATGGAGGCTGTTAAGCAATGTTTCCCTCTTTTACCTTAAACACTTGCTAACAAAATGTATGAGCATAATGGATCTTAATTTTTTTCTTATTCATACCTGGCATTGTTTAAGGTTTGCTAAGAATACATCATCCTGTGTATGAGGTTATGAATTCAATACTACTAAGAAACCGATACTGAAGTATGATGTGAATATGTAAACTTGGTAAAAAAAAGCGGTACACAAGCAACGCCTAGCATAAAATATCATGTAGCAGCACCTTATCATCCCGTTGCATCATAACCAACACACATTCCTGCAGTAACAGCCGCGTGAAAGTTTACCATAATATTATGAACAGAAAACTTAATACACATATAAAAATCAACCTTATTTAGTTGGTAAAGGCAATCAAGATTAGACGTAAAACAAATGACAACCACTATATCACTCAGAAATTCACGTATAATAGTATCTATTCAGTAGCCAATTCTCTTCGTTGTTATCACCTACCTGTTTCTACAATGAATTATAAATATAGCATAATTATAACTGAAAAAAATATATATTTCTCGGCAAATTAATAATAGTCTAGAATCGTATATATGTACATAATTCTTTTTAATAGATTTCTGTAATATCTTTCAAATTTTAAATTACAGACTGAAAGAAAATGTCAATGTAAAAACTGACAAGCTAACTAATTTATAGCGCTCAATTATAACTCACAGATATAAAACAAGCGTAAAACGTCGAATATATGTGAGAAAAAAAAAGAAACGTAAAAAAAGGTAAACTTCAATTGCACAATTTTTTATTAATTATTTACATTATTTTATGAATTTATCTTTAGTTTATTTTTGTAACCTTCATTTGTGAAATCTGATAGTGGGAGTGTGACTATAGCTATTTGCTATAATAAAACTGTGCTGTTGGTCTGTGGGTCATGCAGCATGCACCGATCGATGTTATCTTTGTTTATCTTTTGACCAAAAACTTTTGGACCCATTAATTTAACCGCTATGAATAAATAATTTAAAAGTTTTAGCCTTTTGTTACCTGTTAAATATTGTAGCTGTTGTTATTAAAGATTTCTAATTTGTGAATAACTTGTGACAAAGAATCGGTCGGGTACGATTCTTCTGTGTGTTTAGATGTTATAAAATGTCTCGCTCAGCCCGTGCCGATACCAGAAACCGTGTAAAAGATGACATAAAACGAGTAATGCAAGCTGTCGAAAAGGTTCGGCATTGGTAAGTTAATTTCAGGTAGAACTAACTTAGTATTATTAATGTATGGTTCTTAACTATAGTAACATTTTAAAGGGAGAAGAAATGGGTCACTATTGGCGAAACTACTATGAAAATATATAAATGGGTACCAATATCTACAAATGAGCAAAAGAAGAAGCATGCTGCTAGGCAAGAAAATAAAGAAAATACTTTGACAACACCGAAAAAAATTCATGATTCTTCCAACTCTAATTTTGGTATGGCAGAGGATTCTAATACATGTAAGTATGAGATGACCTAAAATAAGATAACTCTGTTATCAATTAACAGTTTGCAATATCTAACAAATAATTATACCTCTTAATATTAACCTCGCTTGCGTAAGCTCTGCCACTGATATTCTGTGGGGCCACAGAATATCAGTGTTAGGACATTAGTCCCAACGTAGCTGAGCGGCTTCCTTTTCAGAGGCAACTATATTGTAGTATTAATTTTAAAACTTTATTTACTTTTTGATATTGACTTAATTAGATTTGATATGTATTAGATTAAGTTTAATTTGTAAATGTTATTTCTGAATAAACATATTTTATTATATATTTTCTAGGTTTTTCAATGGTCAGTGATTCCCAAGGGCCCACAGATTTCACTACCTCACATATGAACTTTTCGGAAGACTCAAATTCACAGAGTAGTGGTACGACAACGCCAGCTAAACACAGCAGACAATAAATAAAAATGTGGCAAATGCAAGTGTAAGTTGTAAATCGAGTAAAGCACTTAATTTTGAGTAAAATTAAGTAATATTTGTACTCCCTTGGTTCTTGTATGGGTAAAGAATTAAAGTATATTGACCATAGAATTTACATTTGTCTATAAACTTCTGTGTTAAACCCCACAAGTATTATATTATTTTAAATTAAAACTGTAGACAAGAAATGAATGTTTGCCGAATATGTTTGTTGTGGTTACATTGTAAATTGAGGAATGTGCTTAATTTTAAGTGAGGATAAGTAATATTACTACACTTTGTTTGTGGTAAGTGTAATTAATTTAAGTACATTGACTATAGAATTTTATTGGCCGAGATTATGCTGCTAAGGCAAAGACAAAATTCACGACAAAGCTCTTTATAAGTAACTTACTCATACTTACCTTACCCTCCAAGAATTATATTATAAAAACCATAATGAATTTTTAGTATATTGTACATATATGCTTATTTTAAACAACAGTACATTATAATTATAAGTTTGAATTTACATAATTATGTATGAACTTTTATTATGTATACAAAATTTATTAGCAATATCAGTTTGAAATAAAATCTTTTGTCAAAGTTGGACATTATTTTATTATAAGTACAGTTTGAAGAGACTACTGTTCACTGTGTTTCAGGACAATAACTCATTCTCAATTTAATTGTTTTCTAAGGTCTGAAATAGAGATGCACAGGCACTGTTTAAACAAAATCAAATTTAATTTATTGACCTACGTTGTTTATCATAGTTTATGATAATATAATAAGTAATGTGAGTTTTTTAATTTTTAAGTAACAAGTTAAAGGATGTTAAACAAGATAAATGCCTAATAAACTATTGAGTGTAATTATTATTTACCTAGTCATTACAGCTTTTACCTAATATACACTTACTGCTTATACTTTTCCCTGGATGGCGTATCAGTATATAGTATACAGATTTAAGATTGAAAGATACACACACATAGATAAACTTAGCAGTAGGAATTAAACCAACAGCGAATTGTTCTTTAATTATTCAATTTAGCTATCTATTTTGGTTTTCAAATATATATGACAGCTTAATATCAGTTTGTAGGGGAAATTTTAAAGGTAATACAATGGTACCCTTGGTCGACTCTTGTTTCGGATCTTACTACCGGAATCTTGTTTAGATGGTTTTTGGCATGGTATTTCATCTTCCATCAACATCATACTGCTTTCATCACACCGCTTGTCCGTCAAGATCAGTTTTGCAAAAAAAAAAAATGGGAAGTTAAGGAATTTTTACCCTGTACAAGTTTTTAGCTTAACATTTTAAACATTTCCACATTAAAAAAGTTAAACCTCATTTAGATAATAATTGCGTTGATATATACTTACATGTCTGCAATTAAGATAGCGGTAGGTAAAAAAATGGTTATCTTTTAATAATACACTCTACAATACATATGTACATCACAGACGAAAAAAAAACGCGCTGTTACAATAAGTGCAACAATTTTCAAAGCCCAAATGGAGCTGGGGAATTTAATCTATTTTTTTCGTCCTCCTCAATTATAAGAAAAAATAAAATTAGCCGAGGAGAGGCGAGAAATTTTAACAGTGTTTAATGCGGGAGTCGCGTGTACAAACTAGTGTGTAATTAAAAAAAAAAACTTACGCATAACTTAAATTTATTAATTACTCACTATCTTTTGGAGAGTGCACACGTTTTCAAAAACATTCAATATGTCTTTCGAAGAACGCCCAACCATTGTTGATGTAGACCAGGAAATTACTAAAGAAATACACGGCTACACAAGTAAGTTAATAAAAATAAATTTTTGTCAAAAGTTGACTTAAAAAAATTACTTCCCTGCAGACACATTGTTGTGTCGGTTACACTGATGAAATTGTAGAGATGCATAAAAAGAATACAGTTTAAACAAGAATCTGATGCGATTACTATCCCCTGCTGGATTACAGCCGGGATTCGAACCCAGAACTTTTCGCGCCTTATCGAAGCGTCAATTAAGCCATGGTGTCGGTTAATGATTACATTTTTATGGTAATAAGGTAAATCCTTAGACTATAAAGAAAAAATAATTGAACGTTTAATACCGAATGATGTGGCTACATCGAATGTATTCACATTTTATGAATAGATACTCTGCGCAACTATCTTTTGCAGAAATGAAAAAAAAGTATGTATGGGTTGGTCCCGAGCTTTATTTCTACCCAGACACTTACAGGACCTTTGGCCCTAAATTCTATGAGTTCGCTATTCGGCCGACCGACATCTTCCTTGTAGCTCATCCTAGAACAGGTACCTAATATTCGGCTGACAACTAACATAATGACTCGCAACCTTATGCTATGAGTTGGTTGGAGACCTCTCCAAGTATGAGTAGAACATAATTATACTTCCTTCCTCTTCAAAATATTATATAAAAAATGCCCGCGACATTTTTGAGGATGAATTTGCACGAAAGACGGGAAGCGGACGACATCGTGGGTAATAGCTATAATTAATAAAGATAAGGAGGAGGTTTGCAAAAACTAATTTCCATGCCCAAAATAACGCGGACGAAATTGCTGGCACAGGTAGTATATGTGTATATCTCCGGCTATGTAAGTTGCTTACGACTGAACGCATTAATACAAATTTTTTTACGTAGTGCATATATGGATTAGCGAGGAAATGTGTATTTAAGTGACTGAGATCCTTTTGATATAGAACTCAATGTGTCATTCTTACACAGGGACTACATGGGTGTCTGAGATGATATGGCTTTTAAACAATAACTTGAACTATGCCAAAGCTAAGAATCTCGACATCGACAGCAGATTTCCCCTCTTAGAGTGAGATATTTTGTAATTATTGGTACGCTTCCAAAATAATTCAGTAAAGCATTTTATTATTCAGATAACCATTTCGTTCCCACATTTCAATAAATGTGGGGAGAACATTTACTGAAAGGACCATTACTTTGCATTTTAACAAGTCTCCTATTTTTCACTGATTACAAGTAATTTCTTCTTATATGTCTACAGAAAGAAGTTACTTTTTCAGTTTGTGCCTCGTATTAACACCGGAATCAGAAAAGGAACGCTTAAACCGGATTCCTAATGAGATGGACAAGCAATTCCTAAGGAATCTAGTGGAACCCACAGTCAATAAGATTATTAATGCCCCTTCTCCAAGATTGATTAAGACCCACTTGCCCTTTTCTTTACTACCTCCAACTCTACTAGATACCACAAAGGTAATTTAATTTTATGGACCTCACGAACTAGTATTAACGTACCTATATTTAAAGGACTCGCGTCAGTTAAATTTATATACATAGTTAGTTATAACAAATACATGTAACTAAATATCTTTATATGTGGGTGTACTGGGTTTTCGATGTCTGACCAATCAGACAGAACTCATAATCTCAAAACAATTACCCAAATTACCTTACGCATACAAGAATGTATTTTTTTTTTCCTTTATAAATTAAATGGTGCAACGTATGCTGTAAAAATGCCTGAGTCACCGTTATATATTTTTAGGTTGTTTATCTCATACGAGACCCGAGAGATGTTATTGTCTCTATGTATCATATCGGAAAACTACGCTTCCTAAAAGACGATGTTGACTTTGCAACATTTTGGAGTTTATTTCGACGTGGCCTGGGTATGTATTATTTACTATAATTCTTATAAAGAATCGTGCTTTTTATTAAAAAAAAAATATTTTTTAGTAACTTGGTCGCCCATATTCTCGCATTTAAAAGAAGCGTGGAGAATGAGAGTTAATTCAAATATGTTGTTTTTGAAATTCGAAGAATTGTCAGCAGTAAGTACACTGATTGCGATATGTTTAAATATAATAACGCTAGGCTAAGTAAGTTGTAGAGTTTTATGCTAAATATTTATATAATAAAGTTGTATGTAAGTATATTTATGTTCTTTGAATTAGGCATTTAAGTAAAATGGATCCTAAAAATACTGTCTATAGTTTACGCAAGTAGTACACATTGAAATAAAACACTTTAACGGTTTAAAACGCGATATACTGTCACTTGTCAAATGTATGAAATTTCAAATACAGCCCTTTCGGAGGAGTTTGGCGAGGAAACATTTTATACACAACATATTACTTACTTACACAAACTCATATTTATACATATTGTTTTAAGTACTTTAAGAGCTTCTTGAGTACTACAGTACTTTTGACAGAACCTCCCAGGATCATTGCGACGTCTAGCCAATTTCTTCGGTAAGAGTTACAGCGACGATCAAATCCAGAGTCTTTCCAAACATCTCGGTTTTGACGAGTTCAAGAAAAACTCCGCTGTTAATCAAAGCCAAGGTTTCCACAAACTGGGCATTGTCAATGAAGATTATGCTTTCATTAGAAAAGGTATCTATAGTTTTCTAATAATTAAGTTTAGATTTAATATATACCGGGGTTTTATTCTCAATGGTGTAACGTCATTCGTAACGTTAATTGAAAATAGCTAAAAGAAAAGAGAGTCCAGTCGTTCCTAGCTCGTTAGCCCAAATAGAAATAAAAAACAAGAAAATCTTTCTTCTTTTTTTAATCTTAATTTAAATTTTAAAAATTGTCTAAAATTAACATTCCTCGTACACACAATACATTCTAGATTAAATTAACTACAATTTTAGTAGCAGTTCCTTTTTGTTGTAGGAAAAGTTGGAGATTGGCGCACATATTTTACAGATGAATTAAAACCGGACGTAGATAAATGGATGAGTGACAACATGAAGAATATAGATCCAAGTTGTCTATTATATACCACAGAGGGATAAACAGCGATAAGTTTTTATGTAAAAAATAACAATAAAATGGGTTTCGGTTTTTTCTTAATGACATAGCTATTCTATATTAATCGCGTCCTTGTTTAGCTCGAATATACTCAACGTTGATTGCATTTATTCCTTTACTTGGAGTCTTGTAAGAAAGGTCCCACGAGGGGAATCTGAGGTCAGAGTCGGCTAGATTTTGTAGCAACCAACGGTCCGCTTGCTCCATCATTTCCGCATCAAAGTAATCCCTCCAGCCACCAACTTTACCTGTTTATAAATGCAAAGTTTAAAAGATTCAAAGGCACATCGGTCGATATGAGTTCAAGTGTGAACGAGTTTTTCTCCAATAGTTAATTGAATATAAATGCAATAGTTTTGTATGAATTCGTAATATAATAAATCAACCATTCGTTACATGCTGAAATTTAACATTTGAGCATTTTTATTGTAAAATCTTTACTATATTAGTAAGTAATAATAATAAAGCTGAAGAGTTTCTTTCTTTCAATGTTGTTCGAGTCGAAAAATTATTTTTGCATTTGTTAGAGCATTTACTCGTCGCGTACGCTGCAAACGCATTTTAAGATACTCAAAAAAATTGTATGAGAGAATGCTCTTTAAACAATTTCAAAAAATGTGAGAGACAGTATATATCTATCTTTTAAGATTAACTTGTAAGAACGATACGACGCGGACGACGATGGGGGTTAAAAGCTTAAATATTGACTTGAACAGCAAATTTCCAAAAACTAATTTGATACCCAAAATAGCTATATAAAATAAAAATAAATTAAATGCTTTTCTACACATTTTAATATAGGTATTACGACTGACCTTTTCGAATAAACGGTGCTTCTCCTTTTACGAGGAAGTCGATTTTTCCCAAAAGCATCTCATTCACGGCGGAGTTATCCTTAAAATTGTTGAAGCTGAGATGATCACATAGTTTCAGGATCTGATCTTTTGTTAGTTGTTTCCCTAAGAATTTGGCTACACGACGAATAGTTGCAGGCAAGTCCTGTAATTAGGGGAATGATTGAAAGATGTATGTATAAAATGTACTGTATTTAGATTATTAAATTAACAAAACCTACCTTTGATAAATCTTCATAAAATATGAAAAGAAGGTTTGGATGCTCTCTTAATTTCCAGGCTTCCTTGATGTGATCTAGTATTGGTGCGAAGTGATCTGTGACATTGAATATAAGCCATATTAAACATAAATATGTTTATTAGAAATTTAGTACATATAGCGCGTGCTTTTGCGCGTTTCTCTATTACTAACGCGCGCCGTACTATGTTTGTGACGTCAGAGTCGATCCTAGGTCGTGTACAATACAATTTACTAGTGTACCTAGGGTACACCACCACCCATCAAATGAAACCCACGCTTGACAAAAGTCAATTATCGTTTATTCAAGTAGGTAACGAGTTATACTAATAAACGACACATCAATTAAAAACTAAGGACTCAAAATTTACATTAACTACCAGTTCTCAAATCAAGGGCGAAATAAACGAAAAGAAATGGCAAGAAACTCGCCGCCACTCCTTTTATCGCCAAGTCTTCACACTTACGTAATCCACGAATAAGATAATTCCAGTACGTTTTAAAATCCTTTGGTGCCCCTTGAATTCTATACAGTCTGCTGAGATGGTAATGTGATACCGCAGCATCTCTTGGATCTCTAGCTACATAAACGACTTTCGCGGTGTCCAGTAACCCAGGAGGAAGTAACGACAGCGGCAAATGGCTTTTGATGAAGCGAGGCGACGGAATGTTGGCGGCCTTTTGCGCGCTCGGGAGGAGTGCTGCTTGCACGCTACTTAACCGTGCTGGACTTTCTTTATTTTCTTCTATCATGAATTTCTCATACACTGGATGAACCAGAACAGAAAACCTATAAGAATGAATGAGAACGGCTATTTAAATCTGAGACGCAATATTATTATTTTCTATTGCGTCCACTCATCGATCAGGTCGAAAGATCGACACAAACTGTTGACCAAGTCGCAGAATTCCCCTTTACCCAGAATAATCTACCGGGGTAAATTATCCCTATGTGAAAGACCTACTTCATCCTTAACAAATGAATATTAAACGTTATATCAAACATTTTTTTTATTGATTTATAGATTAAATACTGTCTATAGTTTACGCGAGTAGTACACATTTAAATAATTTAACGGTTTAAAACGCGATATATTAGTTAAACTTATTTGGAAATTATTTTTAACTTCGGCCCAACGTTTCGGATGCTTTGCAGCAGCCGTGGTCACGGGAAGACTAAAGAAATCATTTCCAAATAAGTTTAACTAATATATCGTGTTTTAAACCGTTAAAGTGTTTTATTTATAAGTAGTTAAAATATTCACGGGTAAGTGTACATACCAGTATATGTACAAATTTCTATATGATCACGGTTCAACTGCGACAAATACTTACTCTAAATAAGGAAATCTGTTTCCTAGAGGCGTTTTCTTTGCGGTGTCAAAATCTAGATTGTTCTTTAATAGCCATATCAGTTCTTGGGTCCAAGTAGTCCCTAAACAAGACAGTATTAATAATTACAAGAAAGAATATAATATTTCATTATTATTTTTTGGATACTTTACATAAAAACATACCTGATCTAGGATAGGTAACAACAAAAGTATCATCTGATCGTATCGGCATATTATAAATGTCTTTGGCTTGTTCTTTGTATTTATGAGGTAAAAAATAACCACTCGGTCCAACTCGTACAAAACCTGTTAGTTCTCCTAAAAAATATTTAATTAGTACGATAATATATACTTTTAAATATATTCGTAAATTAGTTTATTTGAAGTAAAAAAAATGACGTACATAAAAAGTACACAAATAATATATTATGCTTTAATCTAAATTAACAATACCCGTGTAATGCTCCATCAGTTCCTGAGCAAGATCCTCGTCGACGTTTTGAATATGCAACGGAAACGCCATTCTCTTCGCAAATCACAACACTTTCTGTCTCGCAAACTTTCGCGAAACATAAAATCCAACTTTGATAACAACTTGAACTCGTCTTGAATGAGTTCAAACCTGAGTCAACGCCCCGAAAGATATGGCACATTTCCGCAAATCGATAAAGAAAGCAAAACCGGACTTAATTTGTATCTATTAATCTTCACGATTTGAGAAAGTCGTACTTTTTTAATATCGTGTTAGTAAATTTCAGTAAAATATGCGCAACACATATTTCATCACGTCGAAGTTTGTACAAAGTTAAATTCAACTTTTGTCTTAGATAAACAGTCGCAATAAACATTTTTTATTTCCTGTCTACCTTAATGTTACAAGTATATAATGAACACTCCCTTAGAGTTTCAGATCTCTACAATAAAAGATTTACGCTGAATTTGTGTCGATAGTCTGATAATGATTAGTTACGTATTTTGAATCTAAAGATTATCAACTAAACTTACTAACTTATGGAAGTAAATAATTTAGAATAAAAGAAAATTAACGAATGTTAAGAAAAATATATGCACTACAACTTATATAAAACAACAACTTAGTCCTCAGATTCGGATGAAGACAAAACAATCTGAGACGCTCGGGTTTCTTTTGTAGAGTAATCCGAAAAGTTGTCTGAATCTTGAACACCAATTATATTTGTTAACAGCTCCGATAAAGTTATTTCCTGAAAGAAAAAAAAGAGTGGCCTATCAGTTTCCATGCGCCATTCCATGTAGGTATCTTTTTGGAAAATGCCCTGCTTTAAACATTCTGTTATTCAAGGTGCATTCTTACCTCTGGAAGGAAATCAAATTCTTCTCCCTCAACTTCCGCGCGGTCCTCAAACGATTTTCCGTATAGTATAGACAGTAAATAATATGTCAACTCTTGAGAAAAAATGTTCCCCTGAAAAATCAAATTCTTGTACAGTAACTTAGACATCACTGCTTCCTTCGCCTTATAAAAAGTACAATCGGCCAGCGTAAGGTAATGTCGATACAGGGAATTCTTCTAAAATAATATTTTTCGATTAAAAAAATGATTAAAATATAACACACTATTAACGGTTGAACCCCAAAATATATTAGTTCAAGTAAAATGGTTTAAAATAACTAATAACACTTCGCGTTTGAAACGTCAGAAGTGTTTCTTTTAAACGTATACTGCTGTGTGTTTTATTTAAGCCTATACTATTAACGATTCTTAAATAGTGCTTATCAACACCAATCAGTACCTAAGCTATACCAGCAGTAGTAATTTCCCCCAGTAAAAAAGAACCCCCAAACTTAGCCTAGATAGGGGGTTCTAAATCAGAAGTATCTCTCCCATCATGCAATACCAATCTTTCAAACCTCTATAATATTTAAGAAGAGACATGTAGCAATGGGAAATTTTAATAGGTTAAAAGAACTTATACTTATAGCTAGCTCACCATAATTATTGAGCAGTTGCACAAGGTCTTCGCGGTTGATCACATATTCATCTTTCTGGTTGGGGGCAGCAAAATGTCGAAAGGCATTTCTAATTTTCCTGACGTTATCAGGAAAGGCAGGTCGGTGGTTTATGTATAATTTAACAAACTCTTCGAAATCTATCTCCGCTGACGGAACTCGTTGATATACCTTGAATTTTGCTTCTACTAATAGATTTTCCACCTAAAAATATGATATCCACCAGTAGAAGAAACCTTCGACAACCTTTGAAGGGTTCTACTCGTTGGTAATGGTAACAATGTAAGGTTTATAATCAACGGATCGAGGGGTCCAACATTTTTCGAATCAATTTACACGTGGACTTCGTTTGGAAATCTGGATATCAAATGGGTGGTAGAAATGTAACACAAAAAACCGTCTACAGATGAAAAACTGTGAAGTTTCTGTTTCAGTCTTGGATTTCCGGACATCCAAAGCCAAAATAGGTTAACACCGCAGCAATACGATGTTATTTATATAGCTGGGGTATTTCCTGAAACCGACGCTTGTCTTTTCTTATCTATCATAAAAAAACCATAGACGAAATCTTGCTCTGTAATAAAACACCAACCTCATATTCAGAAGGAAAGTAGCCTAAAGCTCTCATCATGTCTGGTAATGAGTCAATCGGTATGTAATCTTTGACGCGGCGCATATCCGGCGAAAAAGTGCCTTGGCAGAGAATCTGAATGTAATAGAACAAATCTCTGATCTCGTGGAATAACCAACCAGGTCTTCCGTCCTCTACAAGACAGTAGTATGGGTCCAAATCTCCACCGCCTTGCTTCGTTGTTGTGTCCACAGATCTAAAACATGAAGTAAATTATAATAAGCGGCTTATAATTTAGTGCGTGGCGGACAGCGAAAAAAAGCCAAAACAAATACGTTTTTCTATAGCACTACTGAAATATATACTTTTTTTATAGCACTTATTAATGAATGGTTCTCTCTTTCGACGCAACATCATTAAAAATAAAATCAATTTTATGTTGTAACAGGCAGGACTTGGAGGCAGGACAGGATTCACAGACAACAGAGTACATACTATCTCAGCACAACTCAATCTAAATATAAAAGTATCATGAACAAAATTGTGAAAAGTAATCTTTCAATGCTGAAATTTCAAACCAAGACACTATTACTGAATATTATATTATCATCCTATTTACCAACGCAGTGCAGGTTCTAAATGAAATGCCCATTTGATATAATGTTAAATGATGAGTTACCTATAATTTGCTGCCCACTGGTATACGCAGGTGTCCTTCGCTCCTATATTAAATAGAGTACCAGAGTCCTCACGAAAGCACATACCCGTTATCTAAAGTCAATAAAAAATATGTTTTGTATTGACATTAAAATGCACACGATAAACCGGCATTGATCCTTACTTTGATTCTGTTACACTTTATTATAATTAGGTTCGAAATCTGTAAATATTTTTAAATACGAATATTAAATTAACAATGCTGTGTACATAAAAAATTGGGTCCTACATAGGTATTTTAATTTATTATGATATAAATCTGTTAATGTCCCATAATAAAGAAATAAATTAATAAAATGGTAAGTAAGGGGAGGAAACGATTGGCGAATATTTTGAACCCACTATCCGAACTCGAAATACCTGTAAGGGGTGTCCTAATAGACCAGCGTGTTTCCAAGGATTACCATCCAAGGGCATTTTCTGAAGACCAATTACATTTTTGGTGGCAAAAACTAAATATTTGTCACCGCTATCAGCGCCATCTTTTGTAACAAGTTCCATTCTACATACAGGTTGTTCAAATCTAGGCCCAAGAACAGTGGACAAAGTCATAGTTGTAGCGTAGTTTATAATTTTGTATTTGTGCTAAAAGTTCATAAGGAAATTTAGTTGTTTGATATATATGTACACGACTGAAAATCAAACAAGTACGCTCACAAACAGCCACACATCTTTCACATAGAACATTCATTCATAAATAACGTATTAATTTATAAGTTATTAATATTAATTATTACCTCGTCTGTCGCTACAAGAATCATCGGTACGTCCGTCCTACAACATTCCTGATCGACATCAGAAGGAGTAGGCCAAGGGATACCTGTCAAGGGAACTGCCATCTGGTCGATTCTATAATAAATCAGTATTTGAATAAAGTCAGGACAGCGGTAGCGGTAGCATTTTGTTAGAGCAACATCACGGAAGTCCTATCCGTGTCGTAAATTTTTTTCAATCTAAAATTGATCTTTTATTTAATTAGGTAATTAACATCTAATAAATCCTAGTTAATATCAAAAATGTCATCCTAAATGCACAGTTCATGGAGATTTGATTAGATTTAAGCATGTCTGTATATGTTTGACCGTCTCCGCAAATAAATATTCTTATAAGTTAGTTGGAACATAATACTTTCGGTCGGGAATGGTACAGAAATCTGTTAATAAACATTGATCGGTGAAGTTAACCACGTTTGCCCCATGTCACTACAGTGACAGATGCTTTGCTCATTTGCTACATAGGCCCGGGAATTTAAATCTGTGATATGGCTGGGGCATCACTTTCCTTTAAGTAAACTTCATTAATTTCACTTCACCTGTCCAAACTTAGTATCTCTAAATATTCTTCCGAGCTCTCTCCAACGTCATATTCTACCATCATTCTATCTGCGCCAAGTGACAGTAATTTGTAGTCACCATTCTCGTTCTTTTGAGGCAAAAAAAAGACAGCGGATATATCTTTATAATGAGCTCTGTGTTTGCCAATGAATTGCCATTCAAATTTCACACAGTCATATTTATACACGCAGACAGTGCGGCCTGTGTCCTGAAATATCGTGAGAGGCTAGGGTGATTACTTATTTCTACTAATAAAGTAATATATAATCTCTTCAATTTTAATACAGAACAAACTAGAAGCCCTCAACGCGCTACTCCAATTTGGAAATAGTAGAAAAGCGAACCATTGACATAAAATTTGTATGGTTTTCGACTAAAGTTTTAGGTTTTGTACTAAATAAAGACTTAATAGAAAAAAACACATTTATTTGTTAAAAGTATAAATCAATAATTGGCGAGGATAAGTTCGTGTCTTTTCAATAAGAATAATTGTATATTGACTCTAGTTTACGCGAGTAGTACACATTTAAATGGAACACTTTAACGGTTTAAAACGCGTTTTTTAAACTTGTTTTATTTAAAAGAATAATTTGTATTGTATCTTGAAAGCAGCGCACTGCGTGTAATTGCTTCGACATCAGCTTTTGGTTTATTCTGTATTCTTTGCTAAATACACATCTTTTAGATATTAAATTATATTTTTACAGCAAGCGCAAGAGTTAGAGAATCGCAGCTATAATTAATTTCCTTTATAGCGTAACTAGTATCTTGGAAAGGTTTCGGCGTCAGGATATTGATTGTAATGGGATCGAGGAACATCAATTCACCTGTATCGAGGCCACATGCCAAGTGTAGACCTTAAAAGTGTACAAATTACCATTAAAAAATCAACAAGGTATAATCAAATATGAGAACTGAATTTTATCAAAAATATAATTTATTACCTGTAGACAAAATTGTAATCTCTATAATATATAATTTCTCGTTACAAGAATGTCGTATTTACCTGATGGTGAATACTTCAAACATGTGACAGAGAGATCTGGGTATTTAATTATTGTATCCCCTTCAATAGAATCTTCGTCAGGAAGTATAATTACTCTGAAGTATTCACGTAGATCGAGGCGCGCGAATAACTTATGTTGAAGATAGTTGTACAGCTCAATGATTCCGTCAGTGTAACCCACACACAGACAGGGCCTATAAGGTAAATATTTTTTAAATAGTGTACACCCGCCCGTTTTAAGGTGTTTATTTTTTTAACGATAAAGAAGGACAGAAAGATAAAAAAATCGAAACATTTTGGACCCGACGGGTATCGACCCTACGATGTTGATTATTCGCAGTACATCGCTACCATTACACCGGAGAGCCTGTCAAAAACATAGCTCTTAGTTACGGCTGGAATATTTCACCTTACGTCAAGTGAACCAATGCTTGTTTGGTCTCTTATACCAATAAAAAACAAACCAATACACGCGCAATTCCCAATGCAAAAAGAGAATAAGAGTCACGTAACAGTCACTTACTTTTCAGGATGTACTGAGAGCGTCAAAGCAGACATGATCTTGTTATCAAGCACGGGTAGAAGAGTCTCATTTGTAAAATTTACATAATAGACACCTTCATTATATGTACCTGAAATAAAAGTATTACTTATTCATTATTAACACATTTATTGACATCCTTGCCACTGTAACGTTTACGTAATAAACGAAAATCTAACAAAAATGTGTAAACCAATTTTTATACGATTAAAAAATTAACATGGTTATACAACTTTAATATTTTTCACATTCGACGCAAAAATCGATTATAATTTAAAAGAACAAAAAACAAAAGTCAATGATGACGTGTAGGTGTAGTACTCGGTAGCTCAATTGGTTACAGCACGAAATGCTGTGGATGGCGGTTGAAGTTTTGCCCCAGCCATATTTAAAAAAAATGTATAATCGATTTTTAATTTTTAACTACGACCAGACGTGCAACAGCTGTGGGCAAGTAGTCAAGACAGATGGAAATGTATCTTACATAATATAAAGTCCCTGACTACAAATGGTTTGTTCGCCGTCGTTGCGTCCGATGGAATAGCCTTTCTCATTAACTTTTGACGAGGAAGCTTCGTGTCGGGATCTAAGCCAACGTTTACTTTTTCAAAGCATGGACACTCTTTATTACCTGTGTGAAAACAAAACTTGTGCATATACTGCAATCATTTTGTAGTTTTACCTGGAGTTTTCCGGGATTTCAGAAAAATTTGATACTCTTTACATTTGAACACTTATTTTTGCTGTTCGCGCCGCCATATTGGAAAAATTACGTTAAATTTATTATCAAATGACTGCACGAGTTTATTAAATACTATTTTTATTATTATGTTATAATTCGTTCGTACCTAAGGACAAAACAATTTTCGACAACAAAACGGTCTACTATGAAGATGTCCTACTAATCTACCTTATTTTATGACGTGTACGTCACGTCAAAAGAAGGGAAGTTAGAAGAGCATGCATTTTTTCATACAGATTTCAGACAAGTTGTGAAGAGATTATTGTATTTAATAAAGCTTTCGGTCAATACAGATACTTAAGTTTTGTAAAATCCGGTAACACCAACATTTCGGGTCCAACACTCTATAGCTCCGGCGAACCATATCAAAACTGATGCCCTGAACTGAATCCACTTGAAACCCATGTATCCAGTATAATAGCTTCAACTGTTCATCGTAGAAATGGATTTCTCCTCCATCGTTACCAGTTACTATAATCCTGAAAGTCAGAATAACTTGGATGTCAATATATAATATCTACACAATGTAAAGCCATATGATTAAGTCCTATTTTCCCTACATGAGGTCTGTATGCTCCGTTCTAACTGAATTTATAGAAAAAGTAAACAATGAAGTCGTGTACCCTCAACTTTTTAGTATACTGATAAGAACATCGCTATACTAAAACAGTTGAGATTAATATGGTATAAAATTGTTTTTTTTAGACGATAATTTTCTCATTACTTGTGAATCTGTTATGTTGTTCAGTCATCAGATGATGATGTGGATGGGTGAGCATTATTTATACTTCTGTTAATTTTATTTTCTTTTGCTTTACTGTACTTTTTTTTTTCGATGAATACAAGACGACGGAAGACTTAAGATCTTTTACAGATAATGTTGATAGAATTTTGACAATGACAGATACTTCTGAAACATTGTTTTAGTTCAAGTTTTAAAAATCCTTGTAAGGCTCTACAACTACTGCAAAATGATTAAATTATTACAAAAATTTGTTGTTGAATAGTGGCAGCAAGTGAATTATATGTAATTGGACGACAATGCGTCTTTAAGGTAATTTAAGTGAAAAATATCCTTTTATAGTATCTACAAATTGAGTTGGGATGAGGTGTAATAGAGAATTGTTGTATGTGGATTACTCGATGTTATTAACAGTAGAAAGAGTTCGGTCCGGCCGAAATACGCTTGAAAAAGCCCGCCGAAACGCTACGGGGCTAGTGGGAATGTTGAATCAATTTTAACCTCGTCAGAGATTTTAGCAGTGGGGTACTTATAGATTAAAAAGCTATTTTATATTCTTCAACATACCCATCAATGTTTTGAATAACGTTTATCCTATATTGTTCAACTTTTAAGATCTTTATGAATTTAAGGTCTTCATAATTCATGTTCACGCTGTCAACGTTTCCCACGGACGCGCTGTAAATGACGACGGCGCCTTTACTCGTACCAACAATAACTTGGATTTTCGCAAACGTGAAACAAGTAAGTTTTCCCACTTCGGAAGCCACCTTCCTGGTTGGCAGTCGGATCTTTAACTCATAATTGTCAGTTTCCTTCACGATGCCTCTCTCGGTGACAAATATTTTCTAAAAATTAAACAATGAATAATGTTCGTCTCCTAAAATTTGGTTATAACTTAAATGAGGGTATTTTCTGCATGTCTAATAATATGGTATATAGTTCGTTTTATAACTAATTACCACCCATATTACGAAAATGTGTTGTTTAAAAAACTTGTTTCATATACAAATATACTTACTATATATTATTTACCAATCCGGTCACTCAGCTGTACGACTGTGTGCGCATGTATATTAGGTATGCGTCAGTGTGTGTGAGCTTGATTACCAATTATTTTTATTTAAGAAGTGTATATTATATTCATGAGTAATTTATGAGTAAATATTTATTTAAAAAAAAAACACTTAACGAACTACCTTCTACTCTACAGTCGTTTATTCGTAACCAAGGCTACAGCAAACCATCCAAAACATTAAGCCGAAGGTAAAAATGATTTAACATATTTATTTCGCGTTTTAATTCGTTAAATGTGGTGTTTTTATTGAAAATATATTTTTTGCATGATATAGATAGATATAGCGAGCAAACCTTAGCTGTTCCGATCCATATATCGTGCTTAGTTAAAAGTAAAAACTGCAGACTGTTGTTCGGATTGAAGCTCATATCCAGAATGCCATCGCACGTTATATCAACATCGAGTGTCGCTACGGAAATGACAAAATTATGTTTATTACGAGTCTCGCATTAAAGTACATATTATAATGGATGAAAAGTATCAAATATTTAAACAAGGCAAAGAAAATCTATTAGGAACGCATCATTTCTTAAAATAAAATAAAAAACTATCTCGGTTGCATAAATTCAGCCAGACTATACTTATCCGGGTACGAAACAATAAAAATTACGTGAAAATATTACCGTGCGGAACGTCCAAACCGAAAGACCAAATCCACCAGTACAAAACTGCAGTTTCTTGATACGCCAGTGTCATGAGATATTTAGAATCTGCGCTGAGGCATAACTTTGCGAGTTTGTTGTTTCCGTGGGGGGAGAATATTGTCTTTTGTGGAAAGAAGTCGGCGCTATCCCAAATTATGATAATATTTTCAGGGCCCGAGTCACCTGTAACGAGCCATTTGCCTTGCGCATCCGTTGCTAAATGTGAGACAACATGTTTCTGAAAAAAGGGAACTAGGGATGACCTAAAGTCGGTTCTCATTCGGTTGACGGAAGTTAAGCACAGTTTGAACCGATTGTTCACTTTTTACGAATATTAAGAAAATTTTATTATCTTATAAAATATACCAATTTTGTTACAGTAATTAAGTATAGTTGATATAATAATATTTCCAAATATATCTAGCTTAACCTATATTCGCTTTCGATTTTAACGAACTTCAACCAAAGAAAATAGGTTTTTTGCGATTACAACTTAGTTTCGTTATTGTTAGTATTTTGAAAGCTTTTATAACTCAAAACCAAAAACAATCGTATTTGCTAAAAATGAATAGTTAATATTAAGTAACTTACATGACCCTGTAAGATTCTCATCTGGTGCTTTTCCCAGTCATAAACAACACCACAGTTTCCCGCTGCGTAGAAAATATCTGATTTGTCTTGGTCCTTGAGATTGATAACTCCAACTTTCGGGTTATAGCCATATATCCAGCGAATGTTCTGACGTAAAGGAAATTACTAACCAACTTAGAAATAAAACTTGTGTATTTCATATACGAAATAATTCTACACAAATTTCATTCGCACATGCAATATGAAGATAAAAAATTCTTTGTGTATCCTGATCTGATGTATTAAGAAACTAGGATCAACAAAGGAGAAGTAGCATCTCAAAATATAATTTCTTTTTCTACTGAGGAAAGCACGGACACACTTGTGTTCGTTTTGACCAGGTATCTGGCCAACCATAAGTTCATTAGTATGTGTCTTTGGTCACTAGGCTCGGCCTTAGTATAACGATAAAGGTTATCAAGCTATTGGGTTTGAAGGTTTTTTTATATATCTGTAATTAAGAAAAACTAACAAATGAAGCTGGTTTGTAACTATACTCTCCAAACTCAGCGTGTTTTCTGATCTGAGACAAGGACAAACTATACAACTTTCGAAGGTCCCCCTCGCTCATCCCATCTCTAATATTCGGAAGCGAATGAAATTTCTCGATGGATTTCGAAGCTTGCATTCTGATCTATCAGCTTAGTTCAGAAATTATCTACAACATCACATTTATTTAATACAAGTAATGCGATGTTAAAATGATTGACTTTATGTGTCACTTTAGAAAAGTTACAAAAAGAAAGTTGTAAGGAGGTACTTTATGTAATACTGGCTGTGTCAGCGACTCCGTCCGCGGGAATCGTTATTTTGGACATCCAAAATCGTTTTTGAAAGCCCTTTCATCTTTATAAACTTAAGCTGTTACAACGTCGATCGCGACCCTTCCCGTCGTTCTGCCAAGTTAATCTTAATAGATAGACATAAGCGTCGAGGACTTTTTTTTAGATCATTTAAAGAGTAATTTTCGTAAAAATTAGTTTGGTATCTTCAACGGTTTTGCAGCGTACGCCTTGCAATATTTTTCTCAATTTTTTTTACATTTCTCGGTATACCTTCGCCTGTATTGGTCACAGAGCGATTTATAGACCTTCCTTGATAAACACAAAAATATTTTTTTAATTCGAACTAGTAGTTCCTGAGATAAGAGCGTTCAAACATACAAACAAACTCTTCAGCTCTATAGATCCAAAAAATCTAAGAACAAGAATAGTTCTTAAAATATTTACATTTCATGATGAATTATTTATAATTATAGCACTATTAATTGTGTATTTGTGAATCATTAAAATAAACTCAACATCTAAATTCATCACTAACTTTCATAGTTCCTTCGAACACATTTGCAAATGAGCGGAACACGAGATGAAGGAATTACTGAGTAAGGAAATCATCAGCTTACAATTAATTTATTCAATTGCAATTAAAAGCGAGCAGTATTTGCATTTCCGTAGCTTGGTAGAACCGTTAGTCACATCCCGTGGGGCATTAACATGATCGTAATTGTTATTGAACCTTATCTGATGTCAAAGTTCAAGTTTTGATCGCGCGACCACATTTAGTTTCTTGGTCACGATGTATTCAAACGTGGTCTTCTGCTCTCTGTTGCTCTTTGGTTCTGTGACTTGTCTGATTCGAGAAGAGGAGTTAACAGTTTTATCAGTGGTCAGTGATAGCAAGTGTTGTCTTTGTTATGGTGACCGAATTATAGTATTATAGACGGTTAATTCGTAATCTGTGCCTGGTTACACAAGCGTAGAAAAACATAACACAGAACTACCTACTACTACGTCATCCATAAGAGTATAACTGAAAGCATAAATCAAATATTATATTTCACCCTCACAAAGGATGTTGACGTCCATTTCTAATTATAAATATTTAAATAAAACACTTTTACGGCTTAAAACGCGATATATATTAGTTAAGCGCCGTGAACACGGCTACTGCAAAGCATCCGAAACGTCGAGCCGTGTTTAAAAATAATGTTCAAATAAGTTTAACTTAAACTTAAATATATCACGTTTTAAATCGTTAAAGTGTTTTACTTAAATGTGTACTACTTGCGTAGGCTACAGACAGCATACGTATTATAATAATATTTCTATATTTGGTTAATGCAAAAGTATTTTTACCCACAGCAAGAGTTTTTGACAAAGTATGGATACCTACCAGAGAAAATCAAAGGCTTCGACTACACTTACACCAAACAGGCGATTGCAGATGGCGTTAAGAAGATGCAGGCGTTCGCGGGTCTGCCTCAAACTGGGAGGATTGACGTGGAAACGTCAAAGGTATACAAAGCTATAAAGTGTGGCGAATCGTAAAGTAATTTAATTGGCTATATTTGAATCCTTTTAGGCATAATGAGAATAATCTACTGTCTACATTATCTGCTTGGTAGATTCATTTTTAATAGCTTAAGCTTTCCTACCGAACGTATGTAGTTTTTAAATGAATACGCAGCTCTTCAAAATGAAAAGGTGCGGCGTTAAAGACATCGTTAAGACCAAATCTACAAGAGGAAAAAGATATATTCTACAGCAAGGCTGGGATAAGAAGACGATAACTTACAGGTTCGTGAAAACCGAAAGGTCTCGCTAGTTTCAGTTGCTGTAAGGCCACAGTACTTTCCAATGGGATCTAGTTATTAATACTTTGAGGTGTTTCGTGTAATAAGTACGTGGTCTTATTTTCTCTTTCTTGAAATTAAAATGAAGAAACAGACAAACTGCTTGAGGTTTTTTTAATAATGAAACAAAAAGTACAAGGAAAAATGCATCCATATTAGAATGGCATGATGTGATAATCATAAACATATCAATAAACTTGAAATTATGGTGGTTTAATCTTCAAACCTTTACATACAGCGTATTAAACGGATCGAGTACACTCCAGAAATCTCGTATCGAGTCATTAATGGCTGCTGGTCTGGCAGTGTGGGCACCGCACGGAGGCCTCACCTTCCGCCAACATGAGACCAAGCCTGACATACAGGTATCTTTCGTCAGCAGAGACCATGGCGACGGGTAAGTCGGTGTACAGCTAAAAATGAAGGCATATTTCTGTGACGTGGTTGATTTTATCCCTGAAATCCGAATCCCAAAACTCCTGGACTTGTATTTTTCATCTACTGTTGCGGCTCATTGGTGTAATGGCAATATAAAAATCTCCACCTGAACCACCGTACACAAATGAAAAAGTGGTAATGTTTAATCGAGGTTGAATTTTAGTCTGTGGATTTCTGAATATTCACAGCCAAAAATAGGTCGACCGCGCATTTGGCTTAGATGTTATATGGCTGGGGCGTTTCACCTCCCATCAAGTGAACCCCAAGTGTGTCTGTTCTTCACTCTCATCAAAAAAGAAATCTAGGCTAAGAAGTAGGAGCAGTTTCATCAAAATAAACTTAGTACCCACATGCCCACTACAGATTTCCATTTGATGGTCCCGGACGGGTGGTCGCTCATGCATTTCCACCTCCTCATGGCGCCATGCACTTCGACGACGATGAACTCTGGGGTGACAATCCGAATGAGGAAGACGAAGACGTGACTGACTTCTTCGCGGTTGCAGTCCATGAAATTGGTCACGCGCTTGGCTTGTCTCACTCCAATGTTAAGGCTTCGGTTATGTACCCATACTACCAGGTACCTGTTGAAAAGCTACATGAAGACGATATTTTAGGGATGCGCGAACTATATTGTGAGTATATTTTAAAAAGGATTATAATTATATACATCCATACATCCACACTGCCTATAAATATAGATTTTTTGAGCTGTTCAGCATGTTTCGCCATCACCAATGGATGGCATCTTCAGATCTTGAACATCCCAATTAAGAGAAGGTTGCGTTTAGTCGAATGTCGAAAACGATTTCTCAATTACGACGGTCGAACTGCTCAAAAACCTAAGTAACATTGCGAAATGGCCGAAAAACGCTTACGCAATTTTACGCAAGTTTGAATTATTTATTGTATTGTTTGAAACGTGGTATTGAACATCAATTTATTCGCATAAATTTAAAAACGTTTAGTAGGTTAGGTGCTACTGGTCTCTCTCTGATCCGTTGAGAGGGAGACTAGCACGATGGGGCGACGACATACAGGTGATTGCTGGCCCACGATGGGCGAAAATTGCCCAAAATCGGGTAGCATGTACAACTTAGGAGGAGGCCTACCCTGAGAGGGTTCCTAATGATCTAATATTTTCTTTAATCATCTTAAATTATATTGTACATACATAAATAATACCAGCACTTTGAAACTAGATTAAATTTAAAGATGTACATAGCAGTCATTCAAAGAAAATAAAGGCTTTTTTATTTTTGTTTCATTTATCTTAGGTAGCTTTTTTGTTAGTGGGCTACTTATAGAAAACGTATTTAGTATAATGTTTAAAGTGTTGTCATTGAGTATGAAAATCTTTTCAGCTTCAGTAACGAACGAGAACTCCAGAGAAGTCTCCGAAGCGACGACGGAGGCCGTAAACTCGCGTTCGTCGGTCGTTCCCCGTTTCACAAAAGCTGATAGTGAAGACGAAGAAGACATTCCAGATCTTTGTTTTACATATTACGACACTATTCAAGTCATACAAGGCAAAATATTCGTATTCGAAGAGGAGGTAAGTGAGGAAAAGATAGAATGGAAATAAGTTAAACTTATTTGAAAATGATTTTTAACTTTAGAATTGAAATTATCATTAAAAAGCAATTATAATTCCCTTAAGCCATGTATTAAATCTGTGAAGGTTGAAATTGCATTGCATGAGAGGTAAATTAGCGTATATACAGGTTGAAAAATTCGATGATGATAGCTGTGAATGCCAGTTCAAGTCCCGCCCGTATCGCCATTTTAATTTAAGCTCGGATCTTGCGCTCACCCGCTAAGTATACTGATTTCTTTCAGTGGGTGTGGGTGCTGTCGGAGAGGAAGCAAATAGAAAAGGGCTACCCGAAGAGGTTCCACGATGTGTTCGTCGGTTTACCAAAGTACATTAACGTGATCAAAACTATTTACGAAAAACGAAATGGGCATATTGTTATATTTCTAAGTAAGTTTTACGATTTTGTTAATGCTACATTGAAATACTTATTTTTCATACGTGCAATCCATTATAGATGTATATAGCTCACTAATTTAATTAGATTAAAAAAATTACGACAACGACGAACTATGACACGGTCGAGACTCAAACTCACAACAGTGCGCTGTGGTAATATACTTTAGGCCCGTGTCATAGATTTTTTTCAATTAAAAATATTTTTTTATTTATGTAATACTAACTTTCTTTTAAATTTGACACCAATCAATAAAATTTTGTAAGAACTGGGATTTAAAAGATAAATCCACCTTTAAAAATTTTCTTACGTTATTTTAAGTGTTTATTTTCTAATTGATAGTGCAAAATTGTACTTTTATTGTATTTTTTTTAATGACAGATCGTAACTACTGGGAGTTCAGTTCGCGTTTCCGTCTGATAAAGCGAGGAAGAATTACAGAATACTCCCTACCACCTCAGGTTTCAGAACTAACTACAGTGTTTGTATCAAATTACAACAACAGAACCTACCTGATCGAAGAAGAGAGGTTCTGGCGGTTCAATGAGGATACCGGTAAAATGGACCGTGGCTATCCTAAGAAAATGTCTGCTTGGAGGAAGGTACCCACGCCTGTAGATGCAGCCATTGTTTGGAAAGGAGGTGTGGTTTTTCGACTTCACATGTGATTTGACGGTCTCGTTGGTCTTATGGTAGCATAGCTAATAATCAATGGGTCGTCAGTTCGACCCCCGGCAGGTCCAATTTGTTTATCATCAATTTATAATTTTTTTTTAATCGTATTGAACTTCGTCTGCAAATGGTACGAATGTCGAGGATTCCGTCCAGGTTACGAACCACTTCCACGGATAGAAAAGCCGCAAAATTTTATCGCGTTTGGGTTTCAGTCAGGAGGACAGACAAGCATGGGGATGCTTGTCTGTAGCCTCATATGCAGGCAAACACATTGCTGTGTCCGTTTCAATGATCGCCTTTCTCAACCGAGACAATTTATCGTTATCCCAGGACTCAAACTCAGAACCTCTCTTGCTTATCGAGCAAAAGAAAGCGGTAAGTATACTAATGGCAAAAACTGCAGACACTTCTTTCTTTGCAGACACCTTCTTCTTCCAAGGGCCTCGCTTTTGGCGCTTCGACAACAGATTGATTCAAGCTCACGAATATTATCCATTGCCAACAGCGCAAATATGGTTTCCCTGTGACCCTACACCAGAGATGGCTAGATACCTAACCAATGAAGAAGCATAGATGATAGACGATTTTGCTAAGACCCAAAAAGTAAAGTTTCACCATGAAACAATGGCATTGATTAAAGTAGACCGTCGGTTAAATTGCAGCTTCCTATTTTGAGGCCAAACTTAAACTTTGGTATCAGGTAACTGTATTCAATGTCCTTAATTTTCAGTGAAATAATACTTACATCAAAAATTTTCATGGTAACATGTACAGATTTAATATTTAAAATCTTATCTTTATTATTTAAATAAAACACGATATACAAAATATATTATTTCATTGTTAAAAATTAAAACTACAAGTATACCAAACCATTAAATTCTATGCGTTTGCACCGGAATGTACTACCGATGATATACGGAACCATAATAATACTGGGTGTAATAAAACCCTAAAGAAAATCTATTGAAAATATGCAATAGGGAAAAACCAATGGGTCCACTTTTGTACTGAGGCATATATTTATTTTACATATATAAATATTACGAGCATGTAAGAATTTTAAGACAGACAGACAAACTAAAAAAGAATGCAATTTTTGTATAGCTCATTACCAACAACGAACATTTTCTATGCAAGTATAATTTAAAACAATTTGATCAGTCTTCTTCTGGCTTTCACAATTATAATCCAAACATTTGTAGTTTAATTTTGCAACAATAACAGTATGAAATTACAACATTGCATTATAGACAATTTTAAGTAGAAACAGTGCATTCTTGGGGGCCGTTCAAATATTACGTAGAGCGGAGCTTATCTTTTATTTTTGATGGTTGCTCTAGATGGCGTTAACTGTAGTCATAGTAACCAAATATTATTTTTTATGTTGAATAGTCAAAAGTTTTATTATTTCTAGATTTATAGAAACAACTACTTATTAATAAATGCATGTGTGTGTTTGTATAAGCAAGAGGCGAAATAAATTACTTTTTCGTAATATCTGAACCGCCCTCTGTGCATAAATAACGAATTAAAAAATGAGACAAAGCATAGGTCCATATGTGACTCTTTGTGACACACAATTAAAAATATTTAAGTTTCTCCAGAAAGTTGAATCTAGCTGCAGCACGAGGCAGGGTTGGGGTCCTTGCCTGATCGCTTAGTGATGTTGAGACGAGTGAACTCTTCGGCGACTGTGGGGTGAATTCCTACTGTGTTCATGAGTTGCTCCATTGTGATTCCACATCTGAAAGAAAAAGTATTTTATGATTTGGCAAAGCTTTGACTTTGGCTTTTGACTTCATCGTAAATGATTTTCAGAATTGAAAAACCTTAAGGCGGAACCATAAGCACAATCGAGTTAATAATTAACGCATATTTATATATGTAAGACTCACTTGATAGCCGCCGCGAAGCCTTGAATGACCTCGCCAGCGACGGGCCCGACGAAATGCAGCCCAAGGATCCGCTGAGGTGCCTCCCTAAGCGCCACCGCTTTCAGGTAGCAGTTGCGGATGTTCCGCTGAGGTATAAAGAACTCGGTTGGCTTGTAATACGCGTGATATACCTCCAAATTCTCTGAACCGTATCTGCGATTGAAATAAACAAGCATAAGTAAAAGAAATAATTTTTATAAAAATTGTCTTGACTTCTTAACTAATTGTTGGAGCAATGGCTTAAGACGTATTTTTTGCTTTGCGTTTAGAATAGGCGAATTATAAAGCTAGACGATGGAATTTAATGCCATACGGACGTGTCTGTGAAAAATTAACATAATAAATACTTTAAAAAGCTTATCAAGTCGTATTCCTTGTATTATACTCCATACAACCATAAATATTGGAATATATTTATACAGTATACGTTTATGTATGTAGTAAGCGTGTGATTTATTAAAAAGTAAAAAATAACTTTTTAAATTGCATTATTAGAGCAACTTGAAAAAATATATATCGCGTTTTAAACCGTTAAAGTGTTTTATTGAAATGTGTACTACTCGCGTAAACTATAGACAGCACATAAAATGTTTCTTTTTCTTTCTAAATAACATTGTGCATAATAACAGCTCTATTTAAAAGTAGATTAGGTAAGTAGTTATTTTAAGGAAGTATGTACTTTTTTATTTTATTATGTATTCGTTTAAAACCGATAGAGTTGCTTAAGCTTTAAAACCACATAATTTAACTTAAACAGCTTACACAACAGCTCTTACATGTGACATAAACAATTGCAAAACCAAATACCTTTGCGCTGCAGTCTCCTCACTAAGTCCGACACAGCCATATTCAAGTGGGGTGAAGACTGTCGTAGCCACATTCTCATAGTCCATATATTGAGTAGCTCCGGCGAACATCCTTCTAGCCAGCAGCCTTCCCGCGTGAATAGCCACAGGGGTTAACTCTGGTCGTCCTTCTAGCACGTCACCCACGGCATATATGTGGGGTACGTTCGTTTGCTCTGTCTCAGCTACGATCTTGCCGTTTGAGGAGAGAGTCTGAAAAAAAAAGTATTATATTTATGGATTACACGATTATAAGAATATTGTTTACGCATATTTATTTTTAGTAATGTTTAGGCACGGCGGCGTAGTATTGCCAGTTCTTCGCGCTCGTTCTACGCCCTTGATTTGAGAACTGGTAGTAAAATAAAGTTAGAATCTAGTTTTGTGACGTTCACACGTGTACCTAGTTACGTTCGTGAATAAATTATTTTTGACTTTTTGCTTTTTTGTATGTTGTGGGGAAATTCCCGTATTTGACCGTTAAAGATCTATCTACTGTCTCCCAAATCATTGAATCTTTTGTTACTATAAAATATACTCCTACAAACATAGTGGTTATCCAGGCTTTTATAAGTATTAATAAATGATTATTCCACAACTTACTTTCACTCCAGCCGCATCTAAATTCAACTGCTCGGTGAGGGCATAACGTCCTGTCGCCATTAAAACGGTGTCGAAAGTGTCTTCAAATCTGAAAACAAGCGAAAAACACTGATTAATATTAACCACACTAAAATCAAGATATACTATAGGATTGATGGTCTGACAAATGATTCTTTTTATAATAATATTTTTTCCATGATAGAAGAGGACACACAACTTATGAATGTCTGTCCTATCTTAAAAAAATTTCAATGGGAACTTTAAAATGTTGTAAAGGTGAGCTGAAATACGCCAGCCGTTTCGTATTCGTATATTTATAAAACTTACTGTTCCTGAGTTTCAGTGTTCAACCATTTCGCTTTGAGTTGTCCAGATTCTAGTTTCTCAACTGAAAGGGGAATACACTTGTGGTGTAATTGCACTCCTTTCATCTCCATCTCACTTGTGACCATGCTGGCCATCTGCTGATCGAATCCGCGGAGAGGAACTGAACGAATCAATACCGTCGCCGGGTAGCCTAGGGAGTTAAGGAAACCGGCGCATTCGAGGCCGATATCTGCAATAATTTAATGGTTTCACAAAATTATTACAACAATTACAGTTACAAGCCTATATTGCTTTAGTTTTAATAGGCAAATATAGCAATTGTCATTAGGTAAGCCCGTTTTTGTAGAAAACTCTACACTACTGTTGTTGGGAAACAATCTTTTATTTAAAAAAAAAAAACTTTTTTTACAGTTAAGTAATTACTTATTTAGAAAATATACTTACATCCAGCACCAACTACAAGCGTCTTTCCAGGTGGATGGCCCAAACTGAAAATGTCATCACTGCTTATACAATACTCTAAAGCCCCAGGGATCTCGGGGTAATGTGGCCTTCCTCCTACAGCTATTAAAATGTTTTTCGCGGTCAACTCCTTCTTACTGCCGTTCTTCATCGTCGCAATTATCGTGTGAGGGTCTTTAAATTCGCCCAAGCCATTAATGTAATCTATTTTCTTATCTCTTAGATCCACCCTGGTTACCCAATTGACCGATTTGATGTGATTTTGCACAGACTCAGTTAAGGCGGACCAGTTTATTTTTATTTGATCTAATGAAGGCACCTGCCACCCGTATGCTACTGCTTCCTGTAATTTGTAATATTATTTATAGAACTCCTTTTAATTATTTGCAAGACCATAAAAAAAATTATTCCAGTATTACCATTATAATTATGTATATAAGAATTTATAAGTCTACATGTGACAAAAATATATCTATGTCAAAAGTACAATAATAGAGGAAAAGGGATGTAGGATATTTATTCAGGAGGAAAACAACACTGCAATTAAATGTATATTTCATAATATCTGTTTATATTGAGCCTAGAAGCAGAAAATATTTCAGGACTATAGTCTAGTTATTGTTCATAAGTATATTAAACTTTACAAACAACAGGAACATAAGCTAGCCTCAATGTAACATAATATTTTGCTTAATGATTTAGCAGCTATTAAGAACACATACAATTCACTAATACAAACCTAACTTCTTATCTTCCTTAATTTATTTCTGCCAAATTCAATTAAGAAATAAATAAAATTTCAACATATGTATAGTGACTTGCAATTTTTAACAAATGGCAAGATACTCTAAGAACTTAAAAAACACAAGTGTCATACCTAACTACCGTAACTGTGATGCTATATGTGCATATAATCAAGTATGTAGTTTATTCATTTTCTTGAATACACACTTGATATAACATGATACAAACTGTGTCAACAATGTTTCCACTACACCCACGTTATAGGGACTATTATGTAATGAATGTTTTAATGGTACTGCTAGTTAACATAGCATCATAAATTGTGTAAGGCTTTCACAGCCATCATTCAGTATATTGCTTTTCGATTGCTCGAAGAATTCTAATTAGAAGCAATCGAGGAGGTAACAACATCTCCTGATGATGCCGTGGGCTAGTGATGGCGTAACGTCAAGAACCTCTTCTCGCTCAGGTCGGCCCGAAAATATAATACAGCATCAATTGTTATGATATAATATCCCAATTTTTTTTTAATCCTAGTCCAAAATCCAGAGCAATAAAAGACTATTATAATTAAATATAATATAACAGATATGTTGCGTTGATTTGCTTAGCTGTCTGTATATCGGTAATTGAATGCACATAATATAACTTGTCACCTTCATACATTTTAACTTTTTTTTATTTGATATCAATAAGTACTATACTGTTTTGTACACCTGTGCATTTGAGTAATCTCCCCAAATCTTACAAATCAAAAAAAAAAACACTTTTGATAACAATGGTTACCTTTTACAGAATAGAAATTATTACCAAGGTTTTATCCGAAGTGCAGGAAGGGATCAGGAAGGGTTTGGGGTTTCAGGAACACTTACCAAGGCCTATAACCAAAGATATTTATCAGACAAGAATAGATAAATGACTATGACTATGCATTAAAATCATATATGTAAATTTTATTTATCAATCTACATATTTAAGAAGATTATCATAGTTATAATCTTTTTTCAATCAATAGATATACAAAGATAAAAATTAAACTTAAACTAGACATTTTTAAGTTAATAAGAATGTGGTTATTGAGAAAATGTGATCTTATAATGCTATCCATCCATTTTTAAGACGCAAAATTACTTTGAAAGCCAAATAAATTTTAGTCAAAATTACTTATAGCAAACAAACAAACAAATAGGAATGAAGCAACCTTAAAAACCTAATTTTAAGACATATTATAAGTACTGTGTGTTATGCAACACAATTATATCAAATCTAAACAAGAATCTTTAGATATGCTATCTGGTGATACAAGTTGAGTTCTTTTATTGTCAAGATATTTCAAAATCATTACTTAACAATAATTGCAGTGTTGTTTCACATTTTCATAGAATTCTCAAATAAAATATACTTTTACTAAATACAATATTTTTACTTGATAAAATACTTACATGTATACTCTCTCCAAGTATAGCCGCCTGATGCATTAATTTCTTTGGGATACATCCCACATTTACACAGGTACCACCCAGCCCCCATTTTGTTCCTTGTGGTGATGGCGTCACATAATCCAACACAGCCACTCGAGCACCCTGATTCACTGCCTCTTTAGCACATGCTAGGCCTCCCGAACCACCACCGATCACAGCCAAATCATAGTCGAACGTCCCATCTATAATTTGGTTGTGAAAAAATATTTGCTTTTACTTTTTTATGTTACAAAAATGTTTTAATAAACAATTGTTCTTTAAATATATATATAAAGCCAATTACAATAACAAATATAATATCCTTTTATTAATGACTCTTTGAAAAACCCTTCTTAGCTCAACAGTAGCATGCTTATCTGCCAATTTCCACTATTGTTAAAAATGTTCTACTTTAATATTAAGGGAGTTAGGTGTTAGTAGTAATATTGAGCTTAAAGAAGCTAAAGAATATAGAATAAAATTTTAAAGTTAAAAAAGGGTAGTGTGCAATAATCCAATAAATACACAAAAAAGATGACTTGGCTGACATAAATTTCAGCTCACTATTGCTTGGTAATATGGAACTTTTAGCTCCTTTAATGAAAATATACCGTTAAGCAAAAACGTTGATAGAAATCAGTAAAAAAACCATAAATCCATCAAGTAATCCTATAATATATTGTGAAATACTGAGTCATAACATAATAGAGGTTATACGAGATAATTACTTCAAGGTTAAACAAGGGATTGTAAATTGTGATGAACTTACGAGAAAATGTGCGGCTCGTTATAACAAGGCTATCGATTCCTTTAAATGGTTTAATTAAAATACGTATTTTCTTAAAATTATTAAATATTGTCATTTTGACGTAATACCAATTGACAGAATAGTTCACTGAGGGAAAAGTTCAACCAAGAAAAGGTAACCTTCTACTTTAATCGAGACTTTAAATAAGTAAAAATAATTTGAAATGAAATCCGTATTAGTGACCGGCGCGAATAGGGGGTTAGGTCTGGGAATGGTGAAGTTTCTCCTCAAAAACAACACTGAAAATGTTTTTGCAACCTGCCGCAATGTCTCAGAGGTACGTAAACTTAACACTGATAAAAGTAGTTACTTACCTATCGGTGCCATAATTTGTCACGTAATTATACACTGTAGCACTGTAATTCACGTTATAAAGACACTCAATTGAATAAAATGAGGGAATTGAAAAGTCAAGTCGTATATATAATGCAAATAAGAATTGATCAACGCCAGAAAGAGACGCCACGAATTCCGATACGTCTAACTCACAAGATTACCGAAATGATTTTGTAAAAACCGTCGTCTTCATAGGGTAACCCTGGCTTATGTCACGTCACTATTACTGCTATTTCAATGACGAACATAGGATGCTATAAGCATCGATCAATGAAGCTATAAGTAATCATGACTAGCCAAATTGAACTGCGGACTATGCCATTACTCATTATTCAAATACTCACACACAAGTTGATAAGCAAAAAAGTTATATGCTTTTAAATACTCATTTTATGTTATTTTCACAACACTTTTTACCAACCAACCAACCACCAACCAATCTTTTTATTTATTCTAAAGAATAAATAAAAAGATTGGTCATTGAAGCAATAGTATATTTTTATATACATTTAATACACAATATATATTAATTACACTTTCTTTCAAGTATATCTTTCTGTTTTACCTAGTGACAATAATTATATTAACATAAAAAAATATGTTAATGTATTGTTACAGTTCCCTTCATAATTAAAACAATGGCAACAATAGTATTTAGGGCCGTTTCCGGAATCCTGATTCTGCTATTTACACTGGCTATCGCTAAGTTGTCCTAGTCTTTGTAGGCGGTATTCCAGTTTAAATTATTTACTAGTACAATAACATAATGGCTAGTCACTTTCTTTATAGTCTTCCTGTATGCCGAAAAAAACTTCTTGCGTTTCAATCGAAATCTATAAGAAAAAAAAACAAAACGAATTGAGGAGACAAACTCATAATAATTATTCTACAAATCTTGGACCCTTGGTTTTTTATTTAAAATAGTATAACTTACAAAAAATTGCTTATTCGGTTTCCTTGCGTCTTGACGATTCTCGACACTTAAGCTCCACTTCTTTGCAATGACGATTATTATGAGGCATTTAACCACTTTACCGACATAACACTTAATGCACATTTTATTAAGGAGGATAATAAAAGAAAACGATTCAATTTTCCATATAGTTTGGATACTTTAAATGAATGAAAACATATATATATATATATACACATAATCATTTTTTAAAGCGTTTTTAATATGTTTTGAATGTTATTTTTTATTTCTATTATACTATCATTCTAGCTTAGTGAGTTGGGTATATTTTTCTTATCATTGTTATCAAAAAAGTTCATCCTATTATTAAAATTTCAGGAACTTAAATCAACAGCTGAAAAATACAAAAATTTGCACATTCTGAATCTAGGTAGGTGGTACTTTGATACGTTCCTTTTTTATATATTGAAATAATGTAACATGCAAGCAAAGAGGGGTAACAAGTAGAGATCAATTTATTCGTGGTACTAAAGCTTCTCGTCATAACGTATTAAAAGACTTTCGTTTAGGAATTGGACAAATATTGGACATGAAGATGTGAAAATTAACTATAAGCCTAATTATATGGATAAAATAATTTGGGGCATATTTTGCAGATGTCAAACACAACCAACAAATAGATGCCGTCGCTACAAAGATAGCTGAAGTGGTGAAAGACAATGGTCTTAACGTGTTGATTAACAACGCCGGAGTGACCACCCGTTTTACTAAGCTAAATTTGGTGAAGGCTGACCAGCTCTTAGAAAATCTTACTGTCAATACAATTGCTCCCATTTTATTAACAAAGGTATTTTTTGCAAACGCGTAAATATGACATATAAAAAATAAAGCGCTTTTAGAAAGACCAAAAGGCGAATCTCCCTCTATAGCTACATACATACTTGACAAACAGCAGCAAGGGATTCGAAACCTCGATTTTAGGTAACAATCGTTTAACTATTTAAAGGGTTTTGATTAAACATAGCATACTTCTGAATTTACTTTAATATTTTAGTGAAAAATTTATAAAATTGAATTTTTAAGACCAAGATAAAGGAAATTATAATGGTGCTGTCTGTCTACGTTTATGTTATAAGATATATTTTTTTAGTTTAGAAGTTAGTATTCAATATCAAAGGAACGCCTTTTACAAATTAATATTGTATGCCTAAATACGATAAATTACTGTAATGTTATGCGTACAGTTAGTTCCTGTCTTATTATGTAGTTAGACAATAATTTCTGTTTGTTAGTTAGATAATATTTTTATTTAAATAAATACTTATAGTACCTAACTCATAAACGGTAAAATTAAAACATGTTTTTAGGCGCTATATCCGCTGTTGAAACAAGCCGCCTCGATAAATAATGATAAAGCCATGGGAGTACAAAAGGCGGCAGTTATAAATATGAGCTCCATCCTAGGATCTATTGCTCAAAACGATCAAGGAGGTTTCTATCCATATAGATGCTCAAAGGTGAGGTAACTGTTATAAATTTGGTTCCGAAAGAATTAAAAGTAATTTAATACATGCTATTTAGGCAGCCCTAAACGCAGCGACAAAATCAATGAGCATCGATTTGAGAAAAGACGAAATCCTCGTCGCCTCCATGCACCCCGGGTGGGTAAAAACGGACATGGGTGGGAAAAACGCACCAATCGATATCGACACCAGCGTTTGTGGCATTTTTGAAACCATAACTAACTTCACTGAAAAGGATACGGGTAAATTCTTTCAGTATGATGGTTCAGAATTGCCATGGTAAACAAAATACAATACAATTATAAAGAAAGTTTAAAAAATAGAAAAAGCCTTGTTTTATTAAACTTGTGTTTTATTATATTCATTTATAGGTATGTACTTTACTTTTCACTAAATAGTTACATCACACAAATACGTCTGCACCTAACAACTTTGTAACAACCGACTTCTAAGAGAAACGCAAAACTCCAAATATATGTTAATTAAACGAAGATTGTACTATGTACTACATCTGATACATTCTGAGATTAGAATAATACATATCTGTTTCTATGCATTTTCGAAAGGTAAATAGTTGACCCAACACTTCTGTGCCCTTCTCGAACATAACAATTCTATATTTCCACAGGATTATTCGCGCTTAACGCAATTAACAATGGCATCTAGTCTTAATATCTTCTAGTGTTCTTAGTATTAGTTCGTTTATTAAGAACGATAAAATGTTACTTTACGGGCGAGACTTGAACCGGCACACACAGCGATCCGTGTTACTACTATAACTAATTGAGCTACTTCATTGTTGAAACCGCCCTTTTAATGAAATTTAAAATAACGTACCTTCCCAGGCAGGCTTTATAGTGTCTCTTAGCACTGACGAGTGTAATTTCAGAGCAGAACTAAAGTTTCCTGTTTTAAAAATGAAATATGAGACGATACATAATTTATGTTTGAGTCGTCAGAAACATTTCTGAAGCACGTTATTAAGCATATAGCATTGAAAATAGTCATCAGAGTTCTGCCTTAATTCACTTTATGATTGCTAACAAATAAAAATGAAAAATATGACATACCAAACTTACTGCACATTTCTTTGTGTGGGCATAGTTCTGAAAAGTTCATATTTTAACTAAAACACCAACAATCGGTCAATCAAATAAGTAGTTTTCTACACAATTCACAATGTCGTATACTTATGAAGGAAGTTAAACCCTGACTGACACAGCTTTAATATTTGACTATTAGTGATCTAGATGGCAGGTGCTAAGCTTTTAAAGTCATATTGACGTTTTTTAAGACTATCGTGTGAGAACCTAATAATTTTGGTAGTCTATGTAATATAGTAATGAAGGAATTTTTTTACAGACATACCGTAAAACATAACCTCGATATCCCTCAAATATATAAAAAAGGAAAATCTATAAAAGAAGAAAACAGTGTTTGGTATCAAAAATTGCTTTTATATTTTTCGTTTGATGTATAGTTAATTTCAATTAACAATTTGCCAGGTTACAGATTGGGCTACACAGCCAGTATTAAGCATAACATGTACTTTCAATAACAAAGATACAATTTTCAGACCTAATATTCTAGTCTTACTTCATACGGCCTACCTAAAATACATATACACAATTTAAAGCTAAAATATCTACAATCGTCAATAAATTATATACATAATATGTTATATACACCTAAAATTGTGATAAGACTTATCTGTAGCCTGAAAAGGTTTGATTTTTCCTACATTCTGGACAGTACCATTTGCCTTTAGGCGGTACCATGATACCGACACATTCGAAGTGAAACCATTCTATGGTACATCCCTCGGCGTCACACGCTATCATTTCAGACACCTCGTCGTATGGACATCTGCAGTAACAGTACACGCTCTCACCTTCTTTTGCCTCTCTGGCTGCCGGTCTCTGAAACGCGTACGGTAAGCTCGAAGTGCCTGAATTTAAATAGGATGGTGGAGGTAGTGATGTGTTTTGCGCACTAGGCTGATATATTTCTAGAGCCCCTTCACTTGAATCCGAATCACTCGATTCCATTGATTCGGTATTCATTAAAATACGCGGTGGCTCAGGATCCGGGACTGGAGCTTTTAACCTGATTGGTTCAGTATAATTAAATATTTTTTGTGGCGCTACCGTAGAGGAAATCTCTTTTTTATTTTTATGAGTAACAGGTGAAGGTAAGTCTTCTTTTCTCCATTCTAGCTTAGGAGGGAGTTGAGGTTTAAGTGCAGCTGGAGTATTGGCCTCTTCGTCACTAGAATAGCCATAAAATTTGTTAGGAACGCGCCTCCGTTTTGAGGCACGTTTATTTTCCAGCCCAGCGTTGGATGTTGTGTCTGGCTTTAACATCTTAGATGTATCTGGTGACTCAGCCACGTGTGGAATTTGTACCGTGTTAGACTGTAGAGAAATTGTTATCTTATTTGGTACAAGCGTCGGCGGGGTTTCAATTTCAGCATTAGTAATAATATCTTTAGGAATGTTAATTTTAATAGGGCCATGTTTTTTAGAACTCTTAGATTTCTTTTTCTTTTTGCTCTTTTTCTTGCTACTGTTAGATTTATCTTTTACACCCTCTATTTCAATTTTCATAATATTTTCAGAATCAACGACCTCCCCTGACAAAACTTTTTCAGTTGCAGGTTCAACAGAAGATGTTATTTGAGTACGTTTTTCGTTATGGAGTTGATTAGCTATCAATTGTGGATTTGCGTCATAAAACTCTTCATCTGTATCACTTTCTTCTGTTTCTAGATCACTTTCAGCAATCGGAGGTGCGGATTTCTCTGGTATAAGAACAGGGGTTTCTGTCATACCCATAACATCTACATTTGAACCATTGCTGAGTCTTCTATTTTGAAGTGTCTTGCGGGACAATTTTTTCATTTTTCTGCTATTTGTTTGTTCATTTCCAGAATCATCAGATGAATCAGAATCTGACGTACTTGATGATGACGAACCGCTGCTAGAAGAACAACTACAATTAGAACCACATGAACAACTGGAATCACTATCACTGCTACTACTAGATGAGGACGAGAAATCAGTGTGTTTCTTTTTTGGGGATTTTTTACTTTTTTTCTTTTCAGTGTTATAAACATCATCACCATTTATGTCAGCTGGAATCAAACAGTAATCGTGGTCAGATTCACAGACATGTCTTTGCCTTTGAGGAGGTGGAGTTTTTGGAGTTTCAACATTATTAGCTTGATTATATTTTTGAAAGTTGTCCCATATCTGCAGAACTTGCTGTTCACATGGCTTTTCATCAACATCAGGATCTATCTTGTCTTTGTCTAATGGTTCTATTATTTTAACATCAGTGGTTGGCGGTTCAATTTTTGATGAAACTACATAAGCATCTGTGTTTTGTGTATTACACTCAGTGGTGCTGCTATTCTTTTCATCTTCGTTTTCCAATAATTCACTTGGTTTCTCAATGATATCAACGTTGTCATTTTTAACATTCGGCATCAGTCCACTATCAGATTCGTCACTGCTATCACTCTCTGACAAATTCAGTGCAGGCAGATTCACATCCATCATTAAAGCATCTCTATCCTTCAGTTTTTTTTTCTTCAACTTTTTTGGTGTTTGCTCACTATCTGGGTCAGTTGTTGGTTCTGCACCTGATTCTGTGGGTGCATTATCAACCAAGTTAATGACAGGAGTCTCTTTAGGTCCCTCTGTAGCAGTATTATTTAAAGATGGCTTTTCTTCATCAAGATTTTCTATGAACAATTTCTTTGTATGCTCCTCTTTATGCTTCTGTAATAATTTCTTTGATATAAATTTTTCCTCACAACTTTCTTCTGCACACACATAAGGGAATTCGCTGGAGTGAAGTCTCTTGTGTACTTTAAGACAAACAGCCTTTGTGAATTGTAGATTGCATTCATCACATCCAAACATAGCAGGAGGGTTACAGAAGTGATAAACGTGAGGCCATTTTTTCTGTAGGCATTTTTTACATACAACACTTTCTGTTCCGTGTTTCCAAAACAAATGATTATTAATGTCTGGTTTATTCCTATACGCAATGCCACAACGAAAACAGTAATGATGTAATTTATGTTTCCAAACATGGTTAGACAGACGTACTTGACTATGACAAAATTCTAGACAAACATCACATGTATGATGTATTTTACGCAGATGAACCATAAGTCTAAACGAAGAAGATATTGAGTCTACATTACAAAAGCAACACCTATACTTAATTACATATTCAGAATCATATGTTCCTGGACACAAATGACATAGCAACTCACTAAAGGTATAAAAATTATTTTTACACATAACACACAGTAATATAGTTTTCTGGTGCATTTTTCGATTATGTAAATAGAGATCCTTATGAACAGCAGTTTTAAAATAACACTGAAAACACTCGAAATTAAGACTACTCTGAACATTTTCACACTTTTCTTCACTATCATATGAGTCCAAGTTAAGAAATATTTTTGAAACTTCTTCAACCCTAGCTTTAACCTTAGCTGCAATGGTCTCTGGCAATAATTCTTCTGCAGTAATACTGTTAACTGTAGCCGAAAATTTGTGTTCTTCCACCAAATGTAAAGCCAACTGCTTGCAGTTGACAGCAATTTTTCGTGCATGATTGCAGTATATACAATTAAAATAGGTGGAACCTAAAAATTCTTTTAAAAGGTCTTTCAAAGGATTTTTGTCGATGGGTCTGTCTAAAGTTAATTGAATGGCCGGAGTAGTGTCCATGGGTGTAATCTCCTCAACATTTATTTCATCCTGCAGTTCTTGTGGCTCAGATTTTATGTCTGGGTTTGCTGGTTTAGTTTCTAATGACATATCTTTTTCTTCATCTTGCTGTAAGGGTACAGCATCAGCATTGCTTACACAATTATCATTAGGGGTATTTAACATATTCATTATATCTGCATTACACTTTTGTTCCTCTTCCAAAGGCACTTCCAATTTTTCTTGCGGTTCTTCTTTTGCTATATTTTCATCAACCATTAACTTATCACTATTGTCACTATCAGATGAATCATCACTTGATGAAGCTTTATCAAGAAACTCTTTAGGAACTCTTACTGTTAATTTTGGTACCCTATTTAAAGTATTTATTTCATCTATGTTATTATCATATATTGTGGTTTTCATAGAATTTTCAGTTTTTGAGTCAATTGTATGTGTTGCCTCAATATTATTGTTTACAAGAGTTGTTTCTTTATTGCTTTCATAAAATGTAGTTTTGATAAAGGGACTATCAGGTTTGTCACAAATGGTCATTTTAATAGATGGTGTTTTGAACTGGGATAATTCTTTAGGCTTCTCTTTTTCATAACGTTTTGGTGGCCTTCTATTTCTTGAAGGTGGCTTGTATGTCATATTCTGTGAATACTGTTTACCTATAGTAGGGTCTACTGTAGAATTTATAATTATAGGAGAATTAGCATTATTTAAACTGAGTTTAAGTTTTATTCCACCTTCCTTCTCTACTGACGGTTCTTCTGGTTTTAGTTTAAGTGGCTCCTGAATATTATTAGCTTGAGGTGAATTATCACTTTCAAGCAAGTTCTTTTCAATATTTTCTTCTCCATTTGAAGTGGGTAGAGCAGAAGCACTTTCTATATTTGTGATAATGGGGCTACTTGGCTTTGTATGTTGCTTTTCTATTTCTTGTGAACATTCTAAATGATTACTTGCATCTTTACTGTCTGTGCTAGAACTTGTGGAACTATAATTTAATTCTTTAGCTGTTTCACAATTACTATGAATACTACTACTAGCTATTGTCTTTAAAGGTGGTGTTGCAATTACATCATTTTTATCTTCGTTGTAATCTTTTTTCTCATAACTGCTACAGTTTGATGAATCCCTTAATAATGGCCCATTTTCATTTGTATTTCTAAAATTCTTAATATTATTTGGCTTGAGTGAATTTTTACTGATAAGAACTGGTACTGGCTTAGGTTTAACATTATTGCAATCATGATTGAAGAAGTCATCTTTCTCAGTGCATATCTCATCACAAAGACAGCACATTACATAGAAACTTCCATTATATGTATCACAAAACTCTTCTTTGCTATTGTAATTATACTCTTGTACATTATGTTTATTAGTTAAATGTAGTGATAACTTTTCTGCCTTTGAAAACATTCCTAAACAAAAAAGACAAATATGTCTATTATGTACTTCCCTCATGTGCAAAAAAAGATTCCAATTTTCATAATATGTGCCACACGCAGAACATAAATAAACTTTACGAGTCACTCTTGACGGACCACTCACATTAGATTCAGTAGTGGTAACACCTTCGGGACTAAGGGCAGGTTCTTTAGCTTGAGCTCGGCAAACCAACTGGTGTTCTTTTAACATAGCTAGAGTCTTGAATGACATACAACAGCACTTTCTACATTTGAACTTAACCATTGGCTGTAAACCTAAACTCTGCGCATAATCCTTCAACTGGGGGCTCTTTTCAACCTTGCTCTTTTTAAATTGAGATAATTGACTTTTCGGTACAAGGCGGGGAACAGGTTTATCTTTTTCATTATCGTCCAAATGGGCTGTAATATTGTGAAACTTATTGTGTTCTATGCGTTTTGGTATGAGCTTAGGGACTCTTTGTGCACTAACTCTTTTAACATTTGGATCATTATGTTTCACTGTTAGTGGCTTTTTCTTTTTACACAGATTATTATAGGGAACTGAATTGTCAACAAAGGGTCTCTTGCCAAGGTGAATTCTCAATGGGTTGATGCGCTTTTTAAACTTGTCTTCATGGGAAGTGTCAACACTATGTCTCCGTGGCTCAAATGCTTTTTCGGTTGGACTGGACTGTTCGCCTGCGAAGTCGTGTCCGTTTGCTGTTATGGTAGAATCCCGATCGCCATACAACGGACATAACGTTTCTTCACTGTTTTTATTTTTATTATCTCTTGGAATTGATATATTACCATCTTCCATAGTTTTCTGGAAAAATAAAACACGTGCTTCACTTGATAGCCAAGAAACAAAAGACATTCAAACAAGAGGATATCAAAATTATATTCGAAATATGATAGCAAAACAAAACATTTTTATGTACCTGTGAAATCGTACGTCCAGTACGAGTACAAAAATCGAGATCTCTTTCCATGCATCCGTTTGAGAATAGCGCTCCTTACATCAAACCTAATAAGATGCAGCCGCGGGCTGATCATTCCCGTAAAATGGCGTCACTTCGTAGTGTAGATTGGTGTTATCACAATCACCATGTCGTATATTTTTCTTATATTCCACAAATCACAAACATTACCGCAATTATAATAATACTGTTATGTTAATATAATATTAATTTAAATGGAATCGCACGCTGTTTATTTCAAAACACACATTCAAAAAAATCGTAACGCGCTATGAGAAGCTAGTTCATTCGCCATAGACTGAACTCTAGTTGTTTTTTTTTTTATTTGAGGTTGAAGCATGGTATAAGGATTCGTATCACCACGTGGTGTATACATAGACAAGTATAAGAAAAAACATTTATTCACTTGGAATTTTAAAGTAGGCTTATGTAGCACGTCGAATTTGTTTTATTTTTTACACAGTAATTTGGTAGATATACTACTGTACTATATTATAATGTATAAATTACGGCATAATATCAACTTACTCACTATAGCTGTGGTGTTTAAAACTATGAATTCGGGCAGCCATTATATCTGTGGCAGTAATAGCATTTAATATAGTATTACATCGATGATACCTATGCTTATGATCAAAACAGAGCATAAAAAAATAAAATGATGAAAAATATAATCTTAACAATATATTAGGACAAGGGTAATCAATGAACCATTTACAAAAGTAAAGATTTTATGCTTATCAAGATATCATAAAAGGACTTCTTTTTTATTATGATCAATGATCAATATAGACAGTCAACAAAATGAATGTGAAAAAAATTTAAGTGCAAAGGAAATATAATTAATGTTTGATTACGAGATGAATTCAAAACTTCAAATTTACCATGAAAAACAAGTTAAAGAACTTTGTGCTTTACATGCGCTGAATAATTTATTTCAGGTCAGTTATGCATTATAAAACAATATTTAAAAAAATCTTAACACATGGCTACAAGTTTCTATATTATAATCATAATTTTTAAACTATTTTAGGAATGTTTCTTTTAACTCGCTTTTATCATAACTTCTACTGATTTATTGATATTCATATAAATTTGGTTTTCAATAACTGCTATATTTTGCTTTGGATTTGCATAGATTTATTAATTTTCTTCTTTCAGCAGATGCGCAATACATTTTCAAAGTCAGATTTAGACACAATCTGTAGGAGTTTATCACCAAATGTTTGGATCAATCCACACAGGTCATTGCTTGGATTTGGAAACTATGATATTAATGTAATAATGGCAGCACTTCAAAAGCAGGGCTGTGAAGCAATATGGTTCGATAAAAGAAAGTAGGTATTTAATTCTTGTAAAAAGTTTGTCCCAGCTGCTTAGTTTTAACCAATAATTGGTCAACACTAATCAACTTATTTTTCAATTTTAGAGACCCTGGTTGCTTGGATTTATCAAATATATGTGGATTTATACTAAATGTTCCTTCTGATTATAAGTTAGGTTTTGTCATGTTGCCAATTCGGAGAAGACACTGGATAACAATACGTCAAATTCAAGGAAACTTTTACAATTTGGATTCCAAACTAGATGCACCTCAACTGATTGGAAGGGTATGCATTTTATATTAATATCAGTAGCTGACCGGTCAATCTCTTATTTTGCCCAAAATAGGCTGATGAAAGAAGAATAAAAATTTAGGGTTGTATGATTACATTTTAAGAGAGTTTAAAAAACATGTGTCCAAAAAATACAATGTTAAGAGTTGACAAATCTTTTCACCCAGATAGTGTTTGAAAAATAGATAGTAACTGATTCTCAGAAATGATGAATATATGCTCATATGATTTCATAAAATTTGGTCAAGCCATTTTGGAGAAGTATGGTAACTAAGACTGTAGTAATATGAAAATTTTATTGCTTTTGCTCCACAAATCATAAAAGGTTTCAATATGTTCACATACAGGACAAACTTATAACATCAGCCTTTGTACTTTCCAGAGTACGGATTTAATAGCATACCTGAAACAACAGCTGGACTGCAAAGAAAAGGAACTGTTTGTGGTCGTCAGTAAAGAAGTAGAAGAGAAGCAACTGTGGATACACCAATATGCTATTAGCAATAGGATACTTGATTCAAACACAAATGAGCCATCGATAACCAACTGTGAAAGTGCGGACAGTGTAAACTCTGAAAATGAATATAAAAATAGGGATGCAGAGATCCTTAGACTGAATGAAGTTAGAAACTGTATAGACAATAGCTTTTAACTTTTTCTAAGTAGTTCTATATCTTATGTATATATCTTCAAAATATAAGGCTATCATGTCCACTACTTAAATGAAAGATTTACTAATTGGAATCATATACATAGTTTTACTGCACCAGAAGTAATCTTCTTCATTTTTATCTCTTTGCTTCTTTAAACTTTTAGACTCAGCTAGTTTTTGGCTTTCCTTTGAACTTGAAAAAGTTTTTTTTTACTAACACAAACTAAATGATTACAAACTATGTAAAGTCGTTCAAAAGTTTATTTATTTAGTTTAGATTATTTATTTACGTAAATATTTCGTTAAGATACAATTCATTCAGCAGGAATTACTACTGGAATTAGAACATGCAGTATTTTTAATGTACACATTTCTCTTTTCACAGGTATTATTCATGAAGTTGCTTATTTGTTAATAATCTGTAGCTATCTTTGTATAACATTTGTGTATGCATTTAGATAACACCTAGATCATTTCCCCAACCAAAGTTCTAATACGTTAATATATATATTTTTTTGTCTTCATTAAACAGAACCATCATTGTAAATAGAGAGCAAAAAAAACTATTTATTTATTTTTATGTTTTGTTTGTTTTCATTTGTTGTTGGTTAGTTTTATTTGAAAGGAATAGCTTTATTTAGTATCAGACGGCCTAACCATGATATAAATTAGGTGTATGTGTGGGAGTTATTGTTGTTACTTTGGTAGTTGTTTTTTTGTCTTAAGAATTTGTACCAGTCCAAAAATTTGAAGTTGGTGTCATCACCGTCTTGCTACTCAGAACTCGTTAAGGCCACGTTCTTCGTTATCACCGCTATCAGTGATGATAGTTGATAAAGCCAATCCAGAGTGAAGCGACGATTGAATTGATAATTCATAAGGCGAAAAATCAAATATCAAAGAAGTTTGTGTGTGTGCTCGCGTGTTTGTTTAATTGTTGCTTTAGCCAAGTATCTTTATGAAAAATATGAAATTTAAAAAAAAAACACGACACAGGATGGACTTGAGCCGCCATCCACACCGTTCCGTGCTATTTCTCTAACCAATTAAGCGACAGTGTGGTAATTTTTTCCAATTTATAATCGATTTTTAATGAAAGTATCCATGGCTCCAGTGCAAATACATCGTTAACGTTCTTTTTAGACACATTTTATTTTCATAAATTACAGTTTTGCAATGGAAATACTTTCTGTGGCTATTATTTTTTTAATATATTACATCTAAACGTCTTCCAGTTCAATGTAAATACGATATTTGTCAGTATAGATCTTAGTATTATAGGATTACTTGCAATCCTATTTAGGAGGATTCGTCATGTACCCCTAAAAATGTCAATATTACGACTTCACAATAAAATTCATTCTATATTCGTATTTGAATGAAACATCACAGTTCACGCTACCTGACCTTTATTGTGCGTTTTTATACGATGCAGACTTACTTTGATGTAAGTTGCAACATTGGATGTAAATAAATACTATTTTTACAAAACAGTTTGAAGGATTTTAATTTTACATTCGTCGTCACGAAAGCCTTGAAATGCCAAACGTTCACCTTCTGGCTTCAAGCTCGTGAATGTTTCCCTATGGTCCTATGATTAGTTTTAGCTTTTCAACCCTGTTTTGAACGCCTTTGAATTAAAAGCTAACGGGTTCAAACGCAAGACAATAGTAGATGCATATATTTAGCGTTTTAAACCGTTAAAAAGTGTTTTACAGTCAATTAAAAGCATTACATAATACCCCAACTCATAAGACTTGCGTCGATAGCCATAGCGTACATAAGTACGACACAATCTATGTAGTTTTATACATTTTATATGGACTCACCGTCAAGCTCTACAAATTTAAAATGTATCAAAACTTCACTAAGCATGTCTAGCAGCGTTTCACTGCCATAACCCAGCATTCTTTTTTTTTCTTCAATAGAAAATAATAACCACCCATTTATTCAAATCAGTTTCAGTCCATTAATTAACGGAAAACAAAAGATTTATGACTATAATGACGTTAGTTGTCCCTGTACAGTGGTTAGGTCTGAGAGTAATATATAAAACCATTTAATAATTTAAATATTATAATTACTATTGGTTACAGTCGTGCAGTTGTTATTTTTTGAAATTATAAGTCTATCGGGGTCCAAGTTCAGTTCTTGCATGATGGAGTATATTTGCGCGCGAAGACTTGCGTCGATGTCGCGCTCTCGCCCCAACACCCATATGCGATCTGGGACGATTAAATTATGAGTTAAATTAAAAATCGTTAAAAATCCTATTCAACCGAAACAATGCCGCGTATTGACAAACAAGATTTTTTTTGTCTACACTTTTTACGTGATAATACATTTTTTTCTTTTATTACCTGAATGAGCAATGCTATAGTTGGTACAGGACCAGATTAGTGCAAAGTTCTCATAGTCAGTGAACAACACGTTGTATTGTCCCGCGCCGGGTAACATTCGTCCAATTACGTAGGGCATACGATTGTTTAGCTTGTACCGGAAAGCAGACGAGCCCGAGTGACTGGGGATACCAAGTCCAAAAGACACTGTGGGATTCCCTGTCCTGAAAAACAATCGCCATTAGTCTCTCGCTATATACATATTAACAAGAAGTCAAAAAAGTTTAAGAGGAAGGATACGTTTGAAAACTTAAATATTTTTTACATGTTATTGAGACAGTCAGAGTGGCCTAAGTATCTGCAATTTTTATGACTTAGTTATATTCAATATGGAGGAAAATAAGAATGGCCTATAACTTAGGCGGAAATTAAAATAAAAAAACTCAAGTCATAAAAATTGCAGGTAGGCAACTTTGTCTCTAGCTGTCTCGATTAAAAATTGATTTTAGAAAGTTGAACGATGGCATAAAGACACAGTGCTCTAGCAACAGCGTAGAGCGCTGTGGGTGCCGGTTTAAATCTCGCCCGTGTAGTATTTTTTTTTCAACCAATAATGGTTTTTTCAAAGAATAATTTAATAATGAGATTTAGTGAACGGCTCTGAATTAAATTCTATCCTCCGAGATAGGAGACATGTGTCCATCACTGATGTCAGGAATAAGTAGTCAAACAGACAAACTGCTTTAATTAATAGTTAGAAAAATGCTTAACCTACGAAAGAACGTGTTTTCAATTTACCATCGGTTAATAGTGTTTACATTGATAACATAATGGCCTCGTTCGTTGATGCTTACGTACAGTTCAGTACAACTTGCCGCAATCTCCATCAGGTGGAAAGACCTTTCCACTTCATACCATGTGCCTGACATCTGTAAATTACCAATCACATCATACACGTTCTAAGTACGCATCTATCATTATGTTAGCCACCGCATCTGCAGATATTTGATATAATCTTGTATATTTTGTCGACCATTAAAAAATTGTGACATTAAAATAACTGTCTATAGTTTACGCAAGCATATATATTATGTATATAATATGAGGGTGTAATTATAGCATTGTATGGCTAATAATCACCGGGTCGTGGGTTCGAGCCCCACCGGGTTCAACGTTTTTCTGAAAAATTCCGCCTGGGTCACGAAACCCCGTCCAGTTTTAGTCTGGATTTCCGGATATCCGAAAGCCAAAATAAATTGACATCGCAGGTTGTTTAGATGTCCATACCCACCATACCATCAAGTCCTACTCAAGCATAAATATATCGATACCTGTAGAAATATATTAGCTTGTTTTATTTTATAAAGATGCTCGTCGGACATAATTCTGAAGCGTAATTCGGTTCAACACATGTGTTTATTAAATATTAATTAAATGTAAATTCAGGTCTGGCTGCACGGCAAAGGGTGAAGGTTAATGACAAATGTTATTAAAGCTGTGGTTTATTTAAAATAACAAAGTTATTCTTTATCTATTAGAACGCTTCTATACAATAAATCTTTCCAACTGTTACTGTTTGAGATTGTTGTAGGAGACTAAAAACGTACCCTGGATACTCACCCTAGACATATCGAAGTTCGGAAACTGCGGATATATCGGACACTTTCCCATACCGGTACTGAAAACGGCCTTTACAATCGTACAGAACAATATAAAATAGAGTCTCGTCGTCCCCGTAACTCTGAAGTCGCCCATTTTACACCGCACTGTTGTTGTTCTAATGTTTCGCGATGTTTTCTAAACAGTTGTAAGTGCGCGTTGTGCCGGTGGTGGGCTCGCCTCATACTGACCCGAGTTAAGTTTGAATCCATTTTGCATAACAATTATTTTCCTATGTTAATGTACACTTGTAACGTGTGTAGTATTATTTTGTGTTCCAACTATGCTGTGATTGGTAGTGATTCATAACAGTATTAAGTATTGTTTGTGGTTTAATCGAGAAGTGCACTTAAATAATACACTTTGAGACGGTTTAAAACGCGAAATATATTCGTTTACTTAATTTGAATCTCGACGTTTAGCGCTTGCGTAGCATAATTGACTTTGACATAAAGAACGCCATCTTTAGTCATTTAGTCCGAAACGTTGAATCATAGTTAAAAATAAATAATATATTTCGTAAGTCTAACCGCTCAACGTATGTGTTGTGCGATCTTCTCGATCCAAACAATTTATTGTTTCCCTGGCATTCAAACCCATAATACTCATCCACTACTACGTTTAACTATTGAGCTACGTAGGCAAAGTAAGTGACAGTATAGCCATTCGTTAGAGTATTACATGAATTTACAAATTCATCGTAATACTTTCAAGTAAGAGTTAACGTATTAAACATAAACAGCTGAAGGCAGTTTCAAACGATTTGGGCTATCTCTACAATAACCCTTAAATAAAGTAGAGGAAAAATGTGTGAATTATTTAAAAAAAAAGTTTATAATAAAATTGGTTTTAACTATTCCTTTATTTACAATATAGAGTGATAATGTATACTACATATAGTATGTGCTACTATCCCACCTTAAATCTAAATTATAATTTACAATAATTCTCTTTTTGAAAAAGAAAAACAATAACAAATATACATACATATATACACTTCTCCATTATTTATCTTACTTGCAAAAACATCCCTTCCAGAGGACAAAGCATTTGCTAATCGTCGAGTCTTTTAAATGTTAAAACCAAAGAAATCTCTTACATCATTATTTTCTAGAAGTTACGATTCATATCGTTTTAAAGTTACCTTCGATATTTTGTATACGATATAAGCAAAAAACAATTTTTCAATTTTCTGTTCATGATTATCCCTCTGCTTTTAAGCTAGATGAACAGGTCAACGTAGGTCAACTTAGGCCAACCTGAACTGCATCACAATTGTTCACCATTTCATATTAAGTGCAACGTCGCTCTTCTCCAATGCATGGTATTGTGTGTGTAACAACGCCCGAGCCTTGTCCGAATGTCGTCCCGAGAGCCACTCAGTGTACAGCCGGCTGACCAGCGAGTTCTCGCTTGCCTCGCTCTGAGGCAGACTGCGATATAAAGAGTTCAGGTGCGTTACCAAGTCTCTTGTGCTTTCGCCTTGCGGGGGGCGGACTTGTGCACCGCCGTTCAGGCATCCTGTAATATTAATAAGTTTTAATCGTATAACAATAACTGTTTGTAAATAATTGTTATGACCTTAATACTTAAACGATAAAAATGCTTGGGGTTTGGATGTTCCCGCTCTAACAAATATATAGTGCACATAAAGTATGTGAAGACTGTAAAATGAAACTTGGCGTTAAAAGGAGAGGCGGCGCGTTTCTTGCCAGTTCTTCTCGTTCCACGCGCTTGATTTGACTGATTAGTAAGAGTCCTTAGTTTTTAACTAGTGTGACGTTACTTTGACTACAAATTACTTTGACTTACTAATGATATAGAAATGCCAGTTCAGATATTGACGTTAAATAAGACTAGCGATTAGACGTATTGCCTAGCAAAACGTTGAGCACGAGAGATCTTAAGTTTGAATCTAGGGGACGAGGCAGAGACAGGGCACAAAATTCTGGTTTTTGCCTTTAAATAAAAGCGATCAGTGAAGGGGGAAAAAAGTTTTCACTTATACCACTTTACTAAATAACATTATTAATAAATAAACATTTTACCTGAAGGACAAGCCATAACTTCTACGTAATGGTAAGGCGACTTGCCACGCTTGAGCTTTTGGACCAGGTTTTGAATGTTCCGGAAGCCATTGGCAATGGCAAATTTAAGCACTTCCTTTCCATCTTTATCTAACGACACCACTCGGAAGTCTGGGTTCCTGAAAAAGAAAATATTTATTTCATTTAGCAGATACCATGCGTATAGTAATTGTATCAAATCCCTGCTCTGACCCTGACTTTCATAGCAAAAACAAATTTAAGTTTCCATATTATATTTGGAAGTTTTAAGTTGACTGTAGGTTTAATAAATGGATTAATAAATATGTGCATTACACTGATGGCTTTATGGAAAATTATTATTTATTATTCCCCCAGTTTCAAAACATATTTATGATTTTTTTCAAACGAAATTTAAAAATACACTTCATCTCGAAAATCTAAATATTAAATTGTATTTACAAATAACATATTTTGTATTTTAACAAGTTGATAAACATTAGGTGGTAGCGATATCGAAATCAGATCACAAACGACCGTTCCCCGACGGAAAAACCGTAGTAAATGTGTTACGAAAAAAAATGACAGCATAGAATTTTCTGGGCTTTCTTTTTATAATTGTAAACATGTTAAACAAAAAGAGTGAAGAAAAAATTAATAAGAAGGAAATATTTCATGATATACAGCCGTTAACAACCAAACAGTCTTTAGCATATCATTGTCTTTCGGGCTGTTCGGCCGATGTGAGCGAGAAGAGGTTCTCGACGTTTCGCCATCACGTGTGGACGGCATCATCAGGAGATGTTGACTCAAACAAACAGTCTTTAGTATAAAATTATTTAATAAGTACCTTAAGTTTTTATATTCCATTGATGGATTGGTAACGCCAAAAAGCTGTTCAGCTGCATGCATAAAGACCCCATCACTGTAACCGCCAGACCCAGACCCGGCGTGTCCCCATACTCCACTCTCGTCACTCGCTTCCCAAGGCCAGTCCAGATTGGCGCATTCTAGATCCGCGAGGGACTTTTCTTCGTTCGACAGCATTTGTTCCAATTCAACTAAAATTAAGTGAACGGGTAAACACTGTCTGTAGTTTACGCGAGTAGTACATATTAAAAAAATAACACTTTAACGGTTTAAAACGCGATATATATTAGTTAAACTTATTATAAAAAAATTAACTACGGCCCGACGTTTCGAATGATTTTAAGCAGCCGTTGACCACGTCTGTTTTCAAATAAGATTTTTAACCTTTTTCTCTTTTAATACTTTTAAATTTGTTTATACATTGATTCTTACGTTTATGTTATTATTTAATTTTTAATCATCACACCAATATAGCCTAAACAGCTTGAGGCACTGAAGTTTGATCGACATCTTGTCTGTAAGTAAAGTAGATGCGTGAATCGATAATGGAAATGTGTTTACCACGAGTCCCACACCCTCTGTGAAACTGGATTTTATAAATAAAAAATTGAATTTTGTACTCACTTGCCGTTATAACACAGTCAACATCCTGACAACTAAGAATTTCACTGTAGAAGTCTTCTCGGGACGCCTCCAGCTTCTTATCGTAGCATGGCATAAGCGTCACGTGATACACAGAAGATGGTAATAGTTCTCTTTTTGCTGCTAGAAATTGCTTCACTAAGGACCCCTGTATTTGCTGCGGAGACTTGGTGCTAGAAATGTATGGTAGAATAAAACTGCCATGTGTCTTTTCCGCGTAACACACCCAACCTATAAACCCCAATCACATGCTTTGTATTAAAAAACTTAAGATCAGAAACCTGCGGTTCAATTATAAATCAAGAAATAATATTGGATCTATACACATTTTCTCTAAGTAACCTTATTTGTTTTAGAAAGACTACTAAGAAACATTTGTATATAACATAATAAGAAATACCTGGACAAGAGCTGGCCAGCATTGGCAAATATTTGCCGGCAGGATCATTCTGTTGGTTATGGTATCTCTCGAGAAACTCCTGTTGTGCTTCCAATATTGCAAAGTCTTCTGCGATTCTCATGTCTAAAACTAAATCAACTCCCAGCTTTTTAAAATATCCTGAAAATATAAAGTAAAACATATGGGAATAAATATAAAGTATGGCGACACAAGTCAATCATTTACTTTAAATACTTCTTAAGTTTTCATGAGTGAGATGATGTGCACCAACATATTATAAAAACTGGAATGCCAACTCATGGAGAAGCATGATGTGTTTAATCTTTGAGAAACCCTCCTACACTACACTACTATTAATATCCCAATGGATATACAAAGTTTGAAACAAAGAAACATATATACAGCAGAATTCCATTGTAGGTTCAAGCCCAACTTCATGCATATTGCATACATTATTGAGATACATACATGATCTTTAAATGTAATAATACTAAGATACAAACTACTAATTACCTGTTAACTTATTAGTGGCCTCTTGTACATTGAGTTTATACCTAGCTGCAAGTGATAAGATTGGTTGAGGCGATATTGACATCACTACCAAGTTGACATCCCTTTTAACACCTTTTGAATCGGTATATTTTCTTTCTGACAGCACTCTGTTAAAATTAATAAAATGCTCATATATCTAATTAAACATTATAAAATTTTAAGGAGCAAAATGCATCTGGTCATTTGTTTTTATAACAGAGGAAGGTGACGTACTCCAGCCATATAACATCAAAATGTTTTCGCTGTTATAAGTTCACTGATATAACCAGACAAAACACGTCTTCTTTCAGAAATATAGTAAATCAATTAGAAAGAATACTGGTATCGGTAGAAAGCACAACCCATTGATGATAAGCAATACATGGCTACCATTAGAGTAAAGAGCCTATGGAATGTGGAATATTATATAATAGTTGAAACTTGGGACAGGTTCCTGTGATGATATTATGAACATGTAATATATATTTATAGTTTACCTTAGTAATTCTTCTTGGCTTTGTTTGGTAACTAGCACACTCTCTGCTGATGTGATGCAACCACTACAGGCCAGGCAGTCAGCCAGGGTGATTTCAACCTTTTGCAACTTTTGCTCTTTGCCACCTGACAAGTCAAAGTATCCATCCTCACCAATTTTAATTTTTGCTCCAGTTTTGCTTTTGACTTTTTCAATTTTCACTGGTTTGATGCATTCCTATACAATATCAAAAAATACATATTAAACACACATTGTTGTTCTTTACATGCAATATAATTGTGAGGAGTTGTAACATTACCTACTAGTAATGCACTGTCTGCAGATCTTAAAGGGATTATATCTGGAGTTGGGTAAAACGTTAAATTTAAAATTATTCTTACAAATTTCTAATCTGGAAGAAAAGGTTTGGAAGTGTGTGTTATCACCTCTATGCCTTGGAAATACGTTAAGCCATTGGCCCCACTCATCAGTTATGAGAGAGAGACCTTTGCAAGATTGAAAAGATGACGACAGATTCTTTGTAATTATGTGAAGCAGTAAAATACCTATGTTAAAATCACACATAGGTAGAAAATTGTGTTTATTGAAAAAGTGTTATAACATAGTACTGAATTGCAAAAAATTGAACCAATATAAATAAATATAGGTTATGTACTTGTGATGGAGTTATGAAATCATCCAAATCCGTCAACTGCAGTGCACCACTAAATCTCGAAGCCATTATCGTAACTATTTTTATTTTTTTAGTAATTTATATTGAAGTAGAAGAGTTAGTGCGTATGTTTATTTATATTATTTTTCCATAATAAGAAATGACAGTGGCATTTAACAGATGATAGATATCACTTTTGTCAGACTGTAAGTAAGTCATAACGCGAATGTCAACTACTGCTGAGAATAACGCCATCTATGGCAAAATAGCAAAGTAAACTCGTTACGCAGTCTCCGATTATAATAATTGATATTACATATTTTGTTTAGCGATACTGCATTCCATAGTAATTTTGTTCTCATTTCTATTACATAGGTACATATAGTTCTGTTTGGCCTAAAAATAATTTCAATACTGAATGATTGAAAGGGTACTCCGTTTAAACATGCTGTTGATAAGGGCTTTGTGTACTTATATACTATAAACAATTTTTTCTCTATTAGAATTCAAACCCGACTCCCGCTGAGTGAAATGCAAAGCGACAACAACTGAACTACGTCGACGCTACACTGATAAGAGAACATACTGTTCTCGTTATTGTGTAAAGTGATTATAACATGAAATTGACGCTAACAAGTTTATGTTTAAATAAAACACTTTAACGGTTTAATATATCGCATATTAGTTAAACGGAGAGACCCCGTGACCATGGCTGCTGTAAAGCATCAGAAACGTCGGGCCGAAGTTCAAAATCATTTTCAAATAAGTTTAACTAATATATCGCATTTTAAACCGTCAAAGTGTTTTATTTAAATGTGTATTACTCGCGTAAACTATAGACAGTATTTAAGTTTCAGTTTCAAAAGTGGGAGAATATTTGCATCAACGAAATTCAGTGATTTTTAGCGTTCATAATACCTACGTATTCCTTCAAGATTACAAAGTCGTTTTAAAGGAATATCGACTTTGTTTCTGAAATTAGCGCAACTTTTATCACTAAACACGCTAGCCATTATCATTACCTATTTAATAAGACGATATTCATCCAATAGTGGTAACCACGGCCGTGAAGACATAGAGTATAATATATTGGTATTATTCAAATACACCGCAAGTCGTACTGGCAGTCAAATATTAAGAGAAAAATCAATCGCATCTCCCCACATCTCGTCTCGTTTCCTTGGTAACTAGTAAACAGTGGGGAGTGATTGTACACACCACACGTCTCTTAACTCTTCGTTTGTTATTTCGATTATTTTCAGTATTTGCCGTGTATATTGTGATGATTTTTTTATTATAAGTTCACGTTGGAGTTTAGTGAAGTGTTATGGCTGAAGAAGGTGCTGCTGCAGGAGCGGCAGCGGAGAAAGTGATCCACACTTACCCGTTGATAAGGGTTTGTTGTTATTTTATAGACATTTTTTATTCGTATGAATATTTAAGTAATTCTAGTAGAAAGGGGCAAATTGTATTCATCCCTTTAACTAATTAAAGTACTAAGAAGTCCTTGAAGACCCTTGTTTTGAACCGGAACCTAAATATTAATTTAAACTACCAAAAAAGCACTTTAAAACAATAGATAATCATTAATGTATACATATACTAATAGATATACTGTATACTCGTTGCTGGGGTTAGGGTGGGGTTTTAAACATTAATATTCGTTCTACGTTATAGGCCTTTTATTTGTCGTTGTGTGCGGATTAATTCTTATTTATTTGTGTGGCATGTGATGACGCTTTTTTTTCTATTGTATGTACAGGCAAGTTTGCTACGAATATTGGGCCGACCGAAAGAATTTATCGTTTTCTCAGTACTCGAACGCAGTTATTATTAGTAACGCATTTAACCACTGAGCTACGGAGGCGATGTGATTCGTGACTCCTACACAATTGAATTTGCAAGATGATATTGCGGATACAGCAAACGCTGGACTTGTCCGTCTGTCAGGTCGCCACAAACCGTGACCTATCGTCTTTCAATCTTGAATTTCTGTTGTGAGAAGTATCGAGTGACGATATCGTATGTACGCAATCACTAAAACTCGTCTTATAGTCGCTTATATCGTCATTAGGTAAATAAAATATAATTAAACGAATTGTAAAATTATTTGCAACTAGCTGTGCCCGCGACTTCGCCCGCGTAGAATAGTTACTTATATACATTTTTTAATTATTTAGTCGGTTCAGTAGTTTCGGCTTTAAAGCCGGACAGACAGGAAGACAGACAGACAGAGTTACTTTCGCATCTTTAATATTAGTATAAATTACTGAATCATATCACATTCTAGTTTATTAAGAAGCACCCAAAAGGCTTCCCTTCTATAGCAATTTCTGCCTTGTCTACACTATCTCGATCTCGATTCAGCCGTTCGGTGTCCACAGCTGGACATAGGCCTCCCCCATAGACTTCCAGTACGAGCGGTCGTTCGCTAGTTGAATCTAGCGTTTCCCTGCCACCTTGATCAGGTCCTCGGCCCACCTGGTAGGAGGTCGTCCAGGTGTCTATAACATGATTAAATCAAACCACAGGAAATGTGCATAGTAATGTTGTTTTTCATACTTTTATGGGACATTGGCGCGTAATCTCCACCTTTTAGTTCACAAGGTAATTCGAATTCAGGCAGATATGCAATATTTTTTTTTCGGTCTCGTGGTCGACGAGTACGGGTTACCTTATCTATTTTAACATTTTTGAAAGCATAGATTTACATACGAGTGATATTATTTTAATCTGGAAATGCACCGTGTTATGCAACGTGGTCTAGTACTGTTTATTTTGGTTGTCAGCAGGTGGATTGTACCCGGCATCAATCAACAAATGCAATAGAACTTCCAGCGTCGTATTTGTCTACTTTGTTAGATAAATAAACACGCTAATGTTTCGTACATTATGCAATCGAAAATGTATTACGAGTAATACTATAAAGCTGAAGTGTTTGTTTTTTCTTTGTTTGCTTGCGCTAATCTTAGAAAATTCTGGTTCGAGAAAAAATTACTTTAGTGTTGGTTTTACCATGTAGAGGTAGGCTATAAAACGTCACACTGCGATTAATAGGAGTGTAGAAATAGTAGAAATGTGGAAGAAACGAGGAAAATTATTCATCTTCCGTTACGTGCGCTGCATAAACGGTGCAAGATACCGAAATATCCGCGATAGTATAGATTTGTCTTTTAAGAAGAACTCACAGGAACTGTTTTAAGGTAATTAAGATAAGATGCAAAAGAACGTTTGCTATGTCAACTTGTGTTTATTACTGAACGTTACAACAACTCATCAATAAAATAGGCATTTGTAATATACAATAAATAAATCGAAAGCCCAAGCGGACCTCTCTGGTCCTCATCTTCACCATATCCGTCAGACGGGCATGCAATAAAGGTTAGAGTTGGCAGTTCGATCAGTTCGTTCGTGCGTTTGAGGGCTGCCTGGGTCATTGAAGTTGATTGTGTAGGTCCTAAGATAAGCAATGGACTTTTAACGTCACTTCTTTTCTTTTCAGCATTGCGACATGCCAGAAGAAATGCGAATAGAGGCGATGGAGCTATCAGTGACGGCGTGTGAGAAGTTTTCGCAGAACAATGAGTTGGCCGCCCGAATGGTGAAGGAAACTTTGGACAAGAAATTTGGACCCGCTTTTCATGTAGTCGTGGGGGAGAGTTACGGCTTTGAAATCACCTACGAGTGCACCACCATCTGTTACATGTACTTTGGGGGCAATCAAGCTGTATGCATATGGAAGTGTTCGTGAATCGATTTTAAATCCGTTACCTGCTTCAAAGAAAATATTGAGTAGGTTTTCACTATAGACGATCGTAGTAGTTATAAAAAGGAAACTTTGTACCTGCTTTAACTCTAGTAATGTGTTATTAATACAATTTAAATATAGAATATGTTTACGTGGTCTCATATTTTAAATGTAATCCCTAATTACTTACTTACACCGCTGGTGCAGCGACCCAAAGCAAATGTTGGCCTCCAGAACAAGAGAACGCCACTCCAGTCGATCCTGCGTCAAGGTTCACCACTCTCTTGTGTCAAAACTTTAATATTTTTCACATGTTATTATTGCTCATGATGGCACTATATAATGTAGAAATCGGAAATAAATTGGAAAATTTTTCGACTCGAGCAGGACTTGAACCGGCATCGTCAGCGTTTCGTGCTGTTGCTCTACAAATTGAAGTACCGAGTCATACGCAAATTACTATAGCTCAATTGGTAGAGCAACAGCAAGGAACGCTGACGATGATGCCCGTTCCATTCCTGGCCGAGTCGATTTTTTTCCCAATTTATTTTCATTTTCTAAATTATTTGGGTCAGCCACAGGGTTGAACACCATTCAGGATTCCGAGACACGCCTTCTTGACGTTTCCGTATAGTGTCTAAGTACATGTACTTTTTACATTAATGTATATTTATAATTTGCTTTTTCTCAATTAATAGGGTTATAAAAAAAACAATCCCATCAAAATCCGATTGCTTAAGAAAGGACAAAAGTAACAAACATTATTAGTGAAACATTTGGTTAACCTTTGAGTATTATTTTCAAGTCGTCACCGTCCTTGTAGTTCAAAATCGGTTATAACAATACACTGTAATTTGCGCGCAATTATTGTCATGTTAATATTTCGTTTCTGTTATGGTTCAACCGTAATTTACAAAATTGCCCATTTCAAAGTTACGTAGTACTTACCCAACAAAAAGTGTATTTTTTCATACGTATATTATTTTATAGAGGTATTTCTATTGATTACTATTCGCTTTTATTATTCGCACAAAATAAACTTATTTTATTAATCCTAAACTACAATAGAACTACCTAAATAATATATTTTTTGCAAACTTCGTGGTTTAATCTATCATTATAATAAACCAATCAACATCAACAACATAGAAATAAATTTTTATTTTTTCCATAACATGTTAGACTCTGTAGACTTCATTGATATGGGCGAGAGATTTTACTTTCCACCATGTGAACACCTATATAAAAGTTGATATAAGTTTATAGATACTATAATACACACACGTATACAATTAAAATTTAAACAACAGTCCTTGGATATAACGTTTAATATGAACACTTAGAGGTATGTTTAAAGTTGATTTAAAAGTAATTTGAACATTATCGCGTATGACCTCTTCTAATAAAAATATAAATAAGAAATCATGATTCTCCAATATGTGTATAGCTCATGTAGCCGCAACTTACATACAAGACAACAAGCGGTTAGTAATGTCTTTTATATTTGTTAAGCTACCTACTTGTACAACGCTACTAACTCCGAGGCACAATTGTGACAATTTGAATAATGTCTATTAACTGGGATACATTAGCACCTTAATTTAGTATACATAAAGATAATTTCACTAAATTAAAAATAAATGAAACAACTACACGGTTTAAAACGCGAAAGATATAAGTTTATATTCTTTGTGTTTTAAACAGTTTAGAGTGTTTAATTAAATGTTTACTTCAAGTGAAAGTACAGAATGTGCAATATTAAATACTGTCTATAGTTTACGCGAATAGTACACATTTAAATAAAACACTTTAACGGTTTAAAACGCGATATATTAGTTAAACTTATTTGAAAATGATTTTTAACTTCGGCCAGACGTTTCGGATGCTTTGCAGCAGCAGTCTTCCCGTGATCACGGCTGTGACTAATATATGCTATTTTTAACTAATATATCGCGTTTTAAACCGTTAAAGTGTTTTATTGAAATGTGTACAATATTATTTTTTAATAAGCTGCATTGCAGTTCAACTTCTTATTATTGATAAAGCGGGGTACGAGGAACACATTTTGCTCTACATTATTGTGGCACTAAATAAAATTATTTAGAGTCTATTCTATACAACCAATATTTTTATACACTTATTAGGTGCATTACACTTATGCAAAACACTGAAATAATGAATGAACTTTTGTAATAGCGAGCCATCTAATTAATCTTAGTTATATGCTATGTTGTACAAAAGTTTATATTGAACATCGATCTATGTTAAAGAACTAATGCAATAAATAAGGCAAGGATATTTTAATCGTAACACAGGATTAATATGAACAGGTATAAACATAAGCTAGCCAAGAAACGCAAAACTCTACTTATGATGTCATCAACTTGTAATCGCGCAACGTCGTGAACAATTTATCAATTTCGACGGCCGAATATTTCGAAAACCCCAAATATCTCAGAATGGCCGCCACAGCCCTATTGCTCGTATTGTTTGTACTCATTACACAAAATGTAGTTTTCAAATTTATCAGGCTTGTCACTTGAAGTCTGGAAACGGGTACATGTAAGTTTCTTATTAAGCTTATTTTAAATTGATATTATAATTTAATTCAGTCCAAAGATTCTAAAGTGAAATAATAAACATATACAACTGATGGTCCTTCGAGCCGGATATTTGCAGTTAAAGTTAAGTTCTAGTGACAGTTTTAGGTTATGTGCGCTAGACTCTAATCCATATGAACAGGTATACTATGACCAAATTTACAACCAAACAACAAAATGACCTAAAAATATTTTTCGTAAACAACTGTTGTTTATACATTAATTCACACAAAAGCATAAAATAGTTTAAGTTAGTGTATAAGTTTAGTTTTAACCTAGACTTATGTCTAACAATAGGTAGGATTACATACCAACAACCAATTTTCCAATATACTATAGAATTTTATACAGATCTAGATTTAAAAATAAAAAAGTTAACCGTCTCGTAAAATTACAAGGTTAAATTTAATGTTTATATTTATTTCAAGTTGCAACAACGTCGATATTTCTTTACTCAGTGCCTTTAATATTCATACAAATTATATCATTATACTGTGTGTATATACATACTATTGTGTAGCATGGCAATTTCACTTCATAAATTAAAGTAAAAACGCATCGAAAGAAAAGACTTAACGATTTAAGACGCGAAATATATTAAAAGCATCAGAAACGCCTTTTTGAGAAATTTTGCGCCTAAATCGTTAAGGGTTTTATTATTAGTCATTTACCAGTCAGACACAGATGATTCCGGAGTTAAACACTTGTCCGAGAGACACAACAACACTTGTTTAGGAGTTGCACGCCCGTACACTACACAGTGGTGTAGTGCAGTTGTCTTCGCTAGGAGGGCTGGAAGTGTGTGACTAATAACTTGGTAGCCTTGGCAAGGTCGTATGCGGCATTTCTCACTTGGTCGATGGGGGCTTGGGCCGTGCATGCGATACTAAGCTCCTCGCTAGCTGAACGGAGTTCGCCAACCACCTGTTCCAATGAGGAATCGCTGCAAGTCTGTAATGGAGTATTTAGAATGTCAACACTAAATCTATACCGATATATAAAGTTGAAGAAATTGTTTGTTTGAACACGTTAATCTCAGAAACGACTGATAAGAATCCAGAAATGTTTGTGTTGGTAAGAGCATTTATCTGGGAAGGCTATAAGCTATAAAACATCGCGATGTGACTTATAGGTGCGAAGAAACAGCGCAAAATGTGGAATAAACGGGGAAAATTCATCTTTGTGGGTTTCCGATCCGTACGCTGCGAAAACGTAAACGCGTTTAAGATACCCAAAAGATATGTATGAAAGAATGATTCCTCTTACATCCAAAAAATGCTGCAAAAACGACGGAGAAAGACGTCGTGGGTAAAAATATAAATTTATAAAGATGAAGGGGAAGCTTACAAAAACAAATTTGGATACCCAAAATAACGCGGACGAAGCTAGAAAAAAGAAAATTTATTAAAATTTTGCAATTTCCAAGAAAAACAATAAATTTTATTACCATCTCCACCAAAAAGTTTAATTACAAGTTGTTATTTTTAATAAAATTCATAATACATTTGGCCAGTGACAACAAAAAATAAATTATTCAGAAGTAGAATTTATAACCTGCGGGAACAATGCAAGCAGCGATGCGGTGGCGCGTCGTATGGACTCTGCTCTTTCCGGCAGTCTGCTCCTTTGCAATCGTGCTGCAGACCACAGCTCTTGTATGGCTCTAGTTACAGCCTCTGCGCGCATTTGAACGACCTGCGAATACATTAAAAACCAATCAAATGTATCTCTACAGACAAATACAGTGCTTGGGAATGTTTAAAATAATGAGGTATAACACAGATATAAAAGGTACTTACTTCCTATATTTGTATGTTTATATTAACTGACTTAGTAAACTTGGTTTTGCCATATTTGGTAAAAGAGAAGGAACTAACTTATTGTGAGTTTGTGAGCATATACTATGTGTGAATGAGGAAAAAATTTATATCTATACAGTTTAACAAAAGGGCAGAAACTTTTACCATTTCCCACTGGAAATGGTAAAAGCGACAAACGAGAAAAATTTATAATCCTTGAGGGTTTCTGTTGCGTGCGCTGCGAAAACGTTTCAAGATAACAAAAAATGTGTATCAAACAATCTAAAAAGATATGTGAAATAACGACCGGAACATTGTTAAAAACTTATATTTTATAGAAAGTGGTATGATGTATATATTTATATATCTTATAGTCATCATCGATGTCTTACTTCTGCATTGAGGGGCTCTCGGGGCGAGTCGATATCCATCAAAGTTGATGTGCCAACCTCCAGAGCCCCCTGGGTCAATGACCTTTCCAAAACTGGGATACTTGTCAGCTATAACAAAATACACACACTTATTAAGTAAACGAAAATAGTTTCCGTTAATTGTTCACATATTTAGTTTATACTAAAGCAATAACATGTCGTGAATTTATATATGAGTGTTTGCTTGTTTGAAAGCGAAGACAACGTTAGTCATTTCTGCAACGACCCGGCTACTTTTGCCAAATACCAACTTCGACGGAACAGACGGCACTAGCGTAGCAGCTTAAAATATATCGCGTTTAGTTTTAAAACTGTTAGTGTTTTATTTAAATGTAGGTATACTACACGCGTAAACTACAGACAGTATTTAATTTAGGATATTAATCGTTGTAGCATTTTCAAAAAGCATTAATATTTAACGTAATTTCTACTATGTTAATCTACACCAATACAAAGTACTTCTATATTAACCCTATTAAGACCCAATTTAGCCACGAAATACCGACATTGATTAATTTTAACCGGCATTCATTTGTTTATTAGTCGATATTGAAAATCAATAAGTGTCACACCTCTTGATCAATGTCGTTACTTCGATGAAAATGGGTGTAAGTAGTTATCGATTAGTACCTGATGTTTAGTAACCTGCCAATTATTCCGTGGTCCCTCCCTAGTCTCATACATACTGACCGGCCGAGCCTTCATTTTCAGGTCTTCCGGAGCCTCTAGACTCCTCCCCCTCTCCTTCACTTCCCCTTCGTTATTAGAAGATATGCTATCATCGTCAGTGTTGCTAGTCTTCAATACACTATTCTCTTTAGTCAGTTGCTCGACTATAGTCTGCAAGTTCTTCAATTGGTTCTTCAGCTCGGTGATAGTTGAGTCTCTATTGTCAAGCTCCTTTTTTAATGTATCAATCTCATTTCGATCCGTTGGTGTGTTGGTTCGTTCGTGTGACTGATCCGGTAGAGATGGGTTGTAAGTTGACGACACCGTTTCACCCGCTTTCGGGTCTAAGGAGGTTACCTATAAATAATACTCTATGAGAATAATGTATTTTTTTATTATTTTATATAACTAGAAATTGATAGTTAATTAATTAAGTTTTGGAACATTACAGTTAATCGAAAATATATAAATACATTACGATTATATTTTTATTTTTATATATACACTAGCTGACCTGGCGAATTTTCTTTGGCCATCTCAAGTATTTCGACAAAATCTTACTCCCACAACGAACACTCCCACGAGAACATTTATTAGATTATTTAAGGATAAATAAAAATTCTTTCATACATAATTTTTGGGCATCTTGAACCGTTTAAATAAAATACTTTAACGGTTTAAAACGCGATATATTAGTTAAACTTATTTGAAAATGATTTTTAACTTCGGCCCGACGTTTCGGATGCTTTGCAGCAGCCGTGGTCATGCCACCTCCCCTACAGACATTATTTACATATTGACACACTATCTGTCACTAAAGTCAAAAACACTTACATCCAAATCACAAGGAGCTAGGGCTGCATAGTCTTCATCAGAAGCCACAGAGTCGTACAGCGGTTCGTCGTCCGACATCTGAGAGATTTGCTTTAAGTGACTTGCAGACAGCAATGGGTTGATTGGCCCTGACAAACCTAAAAAAAAAATGATATTTAATTACAAACAAGGGGAGTGATTACAACTAATGGAGAAGAGTTGTTGGTCCAATGGCGGCAATGTGTGATAAATAATAATCAAAGTGATCCAATCCATAAGGTCCCACATGTTTCAATCAATTTAAAAATTCCATTCGGGCCACGAACTATCGTCCACTTCTGGTAAAGTCGTAAAGATTTTAGAGTGAAAAAAAATTTGGACACGGGCGGGACCGGCATCCTCAGCGTTCCGTGCTGCTGCTCTGACCACATGACCTATCAGTTAGTTCAAGTCCTACCCGTGTCGTAAACATTTTTATCAATTTAAAATCGATTTTTAATTTCTATACTGCCATCATTCGCAATAGTAAAAATAATAAGTTATCAAAAGTCGTAAAGTATAATCGCATTTAGTTTTCACCTAGTAGATTTCAGAATATTTAATATTCTGAAAGCGCCATAATACGCCGACTGCGCATCATACTGAGAAGTTTATTAGGGTATTTCATCTCGCATCAATATTGTTAAATTTATCACTTTATACAGAACTAATTTCACCTCTTGGCTGTAAGCTGGCGATCCTTTGTCGTCTGGTCGCGTCGAGTAACACGTCACGCAGTAGAGTAGCAAACTCCGGAGAAGATAATCGGGCGAGCTTCTGTCTGCCTTGGTTTCTTGGGGCAGAGAGTGCTGGGTTGACCGGCAAGAAAGCAACTCCACAACGCTCTAAACCAGAAGCACTCGTTTGCCAAACTGCAATTATACATGTTCGTAAAATGCTTATCGGTTCATAAGATTATTTCTTCATGTTTGTTAAATTAAGCACTCACTTGCTTCAGTTTCCCGTCGATCTATTTCATCGTATATGTCCATTACGAGTTCTTCGAACAGGTGATTTGGAAGCTGTGGAAGTTTAAAGAAAAACTATAATTTGTTTTTGAAAAGAACCTTGTCAGGTTTAAAAGTTATAGCTATTACCCACTATGTCATCCGATTTTTTAAAACCATTGAAGAAAAATCACTCTTTTATTCTTATTATTGAACCGTTTCCGCAACGCACGCAATGGAATGTCTCTCCGCTATTATTGAGCATAGCCGTTTTATAGACTAAAGCCTCCCTTTTGGTCTAACCAACACAAAAATATTGTAACATTTGAACCAGTAGTTCCGGAGATTGGCGCGTTCAAACAAACAAACTTTTCAGCTTTATAATATTAGAATAGATACAATAAAGACTTTTTATACACTAAGTACTCACTAGCTGCAATTTGCCCCGGGCGGCCTTTGCCACATCCGTCATTTCGTGTGTATCGTGAGCGCGGGGCACTATGTAGTGTCTGCCGGACGCGTGGTCCGGTCGCTCCCCAGTCAAGAAGTAAATCATTCGGTCCGTGGCTTCGTAGACTAATTCCACCATTCGCTCCGCTAATTCCGCGTGGCCACCAAGCCTGTACATAATAAGTATTTTGTAGATGTATTAAATAGTAATAAATTCGACAATGGTAGCTAAAATGGAGCTCAGAGCAGCAGCAATCGCAGTGGTCGTGGGATCGTATCTCGCTCGTGTCATCAAATCTTTTCAACCTAACATAGGTTTCAATAAAACACTGTAACGTCGGGCCAAAGTTAAAAATCATTTTCAAATAAGTTTAACTAATATATCGCGTTTTAAACCGTTAAAATATTTATATAGACAATATCTAACATAGATTTTTAGTTCATTGAGATCTAAAAAGGAATTCTTTTGAAAAACACTTTAACAACCTTTATGTGAGGACAAAGTACAAGTAGCAATATTATTTAGAATTGGTAAGTAGTTCCTTACCTAGCACATTCGCTAGGAGTGTTCCCTGCGCTATCTTTAGCCGTAGGATCAGCTCCCCACGCTATTAGCAGTTCAGCTTGCGCGGGTTGCCCGGCGCGACACGCAACATGAAGACACGTGTTGCCTTTTTCCTACGAACATAGCACTATCAATTATCCATATTTTAAAGGAAGTCAAACGTAATCAAACGTATTTATATTGTTATTATAAGCTAACTGCCATGGGTTCAACGTTAACTATAAATCTATTTTTTTTTAATATTGTACATAACATATGGCTGGACTAGTTCCCAACAAATGAACCATATTCTCGCCTGCGCTATTCTGTCATAAAAAAACATCATTCGCTTTTTAAACCATTAAAATTACTACTTGCGTAATCTACTACTACTACAGATAGTACTTAAAAAATCATGGTAAGTTATACGCAAACTTTATTTCAACACTTACCTGATTATAATAATTGGGATCTGCGCCCTGTGCCAGTAGCCTCATGCCTGTGTCCAAAGACGAGCTCCGTACAGCACTATGAAGTTGCCGCCCTAGCTCACAAGGAGGTTCGTCACGTCTTGCGCGCAGTACATAAGCTAGACGCAAGTGCTTTGCGAGTATGAACTCTGACTTTACTGGACTGAAACAAATGTCAAATCACTACAAAACACTACTACAATAATAAATTATAACAATTGCTATGCAAACAGCAAAATAAGTTGAATTATATCGGAATCAAATTATCTGTAACTGCAAGACTGTTAGGCATATAAGCAGAAACAGATATAGTAAATATGTGCATACATACAATCACTAAGATAATACAATAGCTTAAAACTTACTGTAGTGGATCTTTAGGCGTTGGCTTCTTCCTTAGATGTTTTGGAGCAGATGTGTCTAGCAAAGAATGCTCCCAAATGCTGTTTACATTTTGAGCTGTCATTGCTTGCACCATCTGAAAATATTATTCCTATTTATTCACCAATTTTAAAAGAGGCTCGAATCTACCAACTCTATAGTCAACTCATTTAATAAAACAACTTTGGTTTAACTTACATCTTAAAAATTTATAATTAACTCATAAAGTACTTAAATTAAACTACAACTATGGTGGTTGATAAATTGTAAAGCATGGCATAATTAAGTATGAATAATGTTATAGAGAAAATATAATGGACTTTTAACAAAGACACAGATTTTCTTTTGAACCTTATAAATATACAGCTAGAAAACTTAAATAAAACTGTATTTAGAACTTCCCATGTAAAGATGTGTCGCAGGACCCGAATAGAACTCTTTGATATTCCTATATTTAGTTTCTAGTTTCTTTAGATGGTGTCATTTATAATGCATACATGTTTATAAAAAAAAAATGACACTGGATCTAGGGGGTATTGAATTGCAAGCATCAGACTAACTAGTTTGGCAAAATTATCAATTTGGCCTACTTGTATAAGATAAATGCAGCTTTGAAATGATGTATGATATGTTTTTCTTACCGACAGAAGAGAAGGCGGCCACGATCCTTGTCTCAGCGATTTAACGTGTGAAATGTGTCGACCCATACTCCGATGAACACTACAGCACTCCGCGCACAATAAAAGACCACGGTTTATTGAGGCCCAAGATGGATCTACAGTAAGAGCAATACAATCAAGAATTAACATTGGCAATTGGGCTTTATACATATCTCTAAGAAAATTAACAGTACCTGATGCACCACAATCAGAACACATTTCAATTGAAGAACGATGCTTAGATCTTGAGATCAACATCCTTTCCATTTCTTAATATTCGTGTAACTTTTCAAAAGTATAGTTTGCCAAACTAATTAAACAATGACATAGTTTCCTTAATAGCTATCGGTAATACGTAGATATTAAGGTATATAAGGACTTAGCAATTAATCATTTTCTTTTAACTTCATGTCCATCTATCACATATAAATCGAGTACAAATCTATTAAACATTAATAACAAATAAAACAATTTGTCAATTTACAAAACCACACCGATTTATGAACCACAGACCTCGTAGAAACTAGAAACCTATACATCGAACTTTAGATTTATTATGTGAAAATATATAAATACAGATTTGTCTACGGTCAATATATCTCTATTGTCTATGTGATCCATTTTATTCTACTAGATTATTCATTTTTTCTTCATGTCAATCTTCAAAAGTTGACTCTCGTAACTCGTTTCCCCCTATGGAGCATTGGGCGAACACGTACGGCTATCTGTGCCCTGCCCGACTGCAATTATGCTATATTCTTTCCCCGGAATTCGACCCACTCAGCGCAATTTTAGGCAACATGTAAAAGCAATATTTTTCTAATGAAATGTTGCACATTTAACCGAAAATAATATGGAACAGATATGACCTATCAACTGTATCTTCCGTATAAGATAAGATATAGGGAATGGTTAGATCGGATAATATTAAAAGATGTAAAACAAATTAATGATTTATTAAAAGATTACTACATCATTAGTTTTATTACATCTACAAAAATTACTCATTCTTGGATTTTGGTGTGTCCTCTTTGTAGTATAGGAAAACAATGGAGAATAGGAAAACACCGAACATCATGGAAAAGGCGCTCACGTAGTATGGATATGCGCTTGGTATAAACCGCTCATATTGAGTGTGCTGCAGAGGACGCACTGACACCTGAAATTTAAACATATTATACGTAACCAAATATTATGAATGACCTCGATAAGTTAAACCTTGGTGTCCAAAAAAATGCAATTTCCTTTTATTAAGTTGTGCTCTTTACAAAACGTGGATTTTGTAACTCAAACAAACGATATATTTTTGAACTGTTTTAAAAATTCCACTCTGTTAATCGAAAAATACAATTCAGACATCGCGCCTTTTTACGTGTTGTAACTTGTGTCTAACAGATTCCAAAATATTATAATAAGGCTAAGTAGTAGAAACATAATTCACAATTTATTACAAAAATTATGTGAAATATATAAATTTTCATAGAGTTTAATTTCCCTTTTGTGTTAAATTATTATTTACCTGAGTTGAATGATAAAGTCTTGTGTATCCAATTCTGTCATAGTCCACCTTAAACTGATATACTCCCCATACATCGGGCACCTTGAAAATAGCCTCATACACTCCACTGGGTTTCTTCTGTAGAGTTGTTCGGATGAATGGGTCTATACGAACAAACTCTAATTGGACATCATTGGAATTAAATGGTTGCCATTTACCATTCTTCAATTCTTCGATCTCTATTCTGTAGACCTAAAAAAAACAGTTGATACAAACAAGTTTACAACAAAACTTTTCTATTGAATTATATTTATTTTCAAAATTCATAGAGGAAGAAGTGTCAAAATCATTTACCACTGTGTCAATGATAGTGTACGTGTCAGATGAGTTATCTTCTCCCTGGCGATGATGATGCACTTGCTTAACACGCAGCTGGCCACGCTCACCAAATACCCACTGACTCAAATTGATAGCAAGCTCCTTATTACCGGACTCATCAGATTTCACCTTATCCCCCTAGAAAAAAGTGGTTATACGAGTGGTAATAACCAAGCCGATTCTTTTTACATAAATATAAAATATATAAAGAAACAGATATAATCTGATTTTGTTTACTAGTAAAGTTTTAGCAGTCTGTACATATTGAGAGAGTTTAGAAATTTTTATATTGCGTTTATACTTACATGTACTTTAGATACAGGTGCATTAAAAGCATCATCAGAAAAGAAGAATAAGGAGCCACTGAAAACAATGCGCGCGTTGTTTCTAGCCTGTAAAGCTGCAATGAGTACAGTTTTGCGTCCTACTGCATGTGGGTATTCTTTTACCTGTAATGAATTATTAATAATAATAGCTAATATAAGAGCTAAAATAAAATAACAATATCTAATATAATTATTTGGATCAATTGAGATAAAACCATGTTGAAGTCTAGAATATATACAAGCAATAATTAGAAGGTCTCTTACCTGGCTCTTGGGATTATAGCTATATGCTGTACTGTCAGCAGTTAAAAGTGGTAGAACCAAACTATTATCTTTGTCCAAAATTAATCCTGTGCCCTCAAACAATAAGGGTTTAGTGTTTTGACTTCCAACAATAGTTGGTGCATTAATGAGGTTCCTAGGTGAGACAACAATTCTCGTATGGTCCCCATCATCAAGTGAGTCAAAATTGAAGTGATCAATCACAGCTGCAGACTCCTCATCCATCTAAAACAATATGGTTAGATTTTAAATAAATTTTATAAGACTTATTACCAAGGAGTGATTAGAAGTGGCTCTTTCAGACTCTCATGTTAACTTTTTTTGACAACAAAAAAATTTTTACAAGTAATAATGTTGACTTGTTGTTGGTTATATAATTTTTGTTAAACATAAATCGTAAAATCAAATTGATTTGAAGTAACATGCCTCAAAACCACATTCAGATGCAATTTCCCTGTATAGATCACTGGATGCAGAGTTTCCTGCTAGGAGTACATTGCCTCCATCATCGATGAACTTAGTAATGCCATCTGTATCAATTTGTCCTCCAAATTCTATCACCGATGGGGAGAATATAATCAAATTCTTATACAAGTATTCTCCATACTTAGATAGTACTAGGTTAGCATCATCAGCTAATTTATATGTAAGTGTATATCCTCGTTCTGTAACGTTAAGATCATGATTTAGGTAATACATGTATTACAACACGAAATTTTTATGGTCAATAATGTAGTATACTAAGTAGCGGCAACGTTAATGCCGGCTTAGACAAACCTTGTAAAGATTTAAAAAACTGTGAGTGAGTTTCTTTTATATTAAGATTGTCCACAAGCACTAAGGTTTCCTGTTCAGCATACGCTGAATAACAATAAAGCAGAGGCAATAAAATAGTATAAATTTTCATTTTCACTACGTTTAAGAACTAATGATCCACGATACCAGTGGATATAAAAGCAATCAATATTCAATAGCGATGTGACGTGTCTCTTTAATCTTAACTGGAATAATAATCTGTGGATTTCTTTTTTAATGTTCTTTATATATATTAGACATGTCATAGTTTTACATCTGTGATCAGTTTCACAATAATTCCTGTTACCTGTAGCACAGTCTCGCATAGACTACGTAGAAACTCTGTGGATGGCATACATCAAAAGTTTCTTATCTTTACAAAAATATAATGAAAATAATTTATATTACCTATGAACATAAATGTTAGACATTAGGCTTAGTTATTTAAAATATAGACACAATAGATAACATTTAAATGAAGACATCAGTTTAAATGGTTAAAGAGATTTAAATATTTAATACCGTGGCGAAATTTACGGGGAAAATAAAAATGAAACTGGTCTAGCTTACTCGTCAAGTGCGTGATTTTGGTGTGCCCGTTAATTATTAAAATATTGCATATTATTATTGAAAGTGTGTTGTATTCGCCTTCCTTCTAAGGCAAATTAAATGTTAATGTTTTGAAAACTATTGTGTAGTTTCTAATTTTTGAATATAGCGATGTGTTTACATCTGTGAATCGTCTTGTAAGTATGATGTCATTGAATTTTGTGACTGCCATTAAGATTTTATTGGCTTTGTGCCCACTCTTTTTCGCGTTTCAATGTATTTCTTATACTAAACAGCCACGCGGAATAATAGCACCGAACCCTCTAGGTTATGGAGGCTTGTCCCAGATAAATATGTTAATTAGGTTTTTAGTGATCTCTGGGTAGTAAATGTTCATAAATTATTAAACTTAGCATGCCTTGAGACACCTAATACAATTTAGGTTCGTACCTGACTGTATATGTATGTTTACTTTATACTCAAGTAAAAAGGGCTACTATTTATTTCCTATCAGAGTCCAAAACTATAAAATTGGCTTGTGTACACAGCAAATACAAACATTACAAAATCAATGAGCAATTAAAAACTAATTGAGGTGACCATTTATAATAAGGCTTAAGCTAAATATGCAATATCTTTAAAAGTAAATACTACTTGTATCGAAACTGTAAACCTCTATCCTCCTTTTTTTAAACTTTGTTGCAAAAAGACATTGGTTGCAATTGCAATGTGGAGGTGTATTGAAACTTCTGCGAACAATGTTGTTGTATAATAAGTACCCTACTTAAGTTCACCCCTTTTGCTCTTAGGGCATTACTATGGCTTCTAGAGCTAGAACTTAGGCTTGATAGTGTTTTCTTATGTTTAAATTAACTGTCTTAAATGTATGTTTTAACAAAATGTTCCTTTCTAGCAAAAGTGTAAACATACTTTTGGCGAAATGGATCCATCACGGCGTCAGCGAACTCAAACTAAAGCAACAGCAGAAGAACAAGCTCTTGATCAAATTGCCAGAGAGGTGAGGCTTAAAATTTTACCTAATTACCTAGACTATTTTGGTTATTACTATTTCTTTTTGCACTTAAATAGTATATGTAAGCATTGATTAAAGTGTCCACACCGTTTTGATACAACAAATGTGGACATTCATTCTAATTTTTTTAAGATAACAATCTGCTTCTTGATTTGAGATAATCATTTCAAAAATGTCTTAATTAGTTAACTTTGGAAAAAACTTGTTTTCAAAAATCCTTAAATGACATAGGTATTAAAACTAAAAGAAAGATAAATAATTTATTAAAACTGAATAAAAAAGTACCACACGGGCGGGACTTGAATCGACATCCTCAAATCGCTGTGCTGTTGCTCAATTAGTTAAAGCATCAATATATTTCTCAATTACAATAGTCTTATAATTATAAAATAATTTAACATATTACAAATCTAATTGGGTTCTAAGTAAACTTTAAGTTGACTCTACTTAATACGAATTAATTAATGATGTTTTTAAAATATGTACATAAACATTAATGGCGAGGACCATTTCTCAATTACGACGCAAAAGGGCCACAGATACCTTATATATATTTTATATTATTTGGGATCAAGTATACATGTCAATTAAGAACTCATTTCGTTAAATTGCATTCAAACTTTTAGTAGGAAATCTTTAAACTATTAATTAAAAGAAATTTTACACATTAAATATATCTGATCTGAGAAATTGTTTTTTTCGGATGCTTACGTCATACCGCCGTAGGACCCATCCCCAAATTGCCAAGTCTCTACGATCAGCGGTTTAGGTGCAGTTCTATCAGTTCTTCAGGACAAATCATTTCAAATGTTTAGATGGCGGAACATAATTATAAATTTACCATGTAAATTAACACCAGTTTATTTAAGGAAGGGATCTTCCTTTACCTGATAACGACTCGCCGATTCATATATAATGCCACATCTGAGGTATATATTATGTATCAAATCGTTGCTTAATAGCTTATATAAATTATTATTTTTTTTTATATTTTTGATAAATATATAAGATTTTTTGTCTCTTTTAGGCCTTTTTCATTTTGAATTGAAGTATATAATATATCTCCCATTTGATAATTGCCCCCGATGTTGACGCAATTATTAAACCACGATAAATAGGAAAACGTGTTTACGTTAGTATGAATAATAAGTGATATTTTAATTAGGTTTGTTGATAAAACGTGCAAATAGTTACTAATTTTAATAACGAAATAGTATTTAAATAAGTTAACATGTATACATAGACTGTCAATTAACCAGTATATTAGCTTAGCCGTCGTAGCAAAATAAAAAACCAATCCATATAAATGTTCTATACCACTACGTTAGTATTAGAACTCGAGTCGGGCAGTACGGTGACGTAAGCACTAAAGCCCAGCATCGATCCGTCTGCCCCCACTCCTGGACCACCCCCTAGTACACCAAGGCTGATGCAATTGTAGAGAAGTTTGTGTAATTCAACTGAAATCAGGAACTCGCATCTCAAAAAACTATAATTATCGTAATGAGGGAAAACTCCATTGTTGCCTTATTTTGAGTATTATACGTTCACGCAAAGTATTATTAACTGCATCGTCAGCATTCTCTAAAAGGTTCTTTAAAAATTTACGGCTTGTCAAGGTGGAACAGTTGTACTTATGCTAGCCCAGATTCCAAGATCATATCTGCGTCCAAATGGAAAATAGATCAAAGTAGACACTTGCATGTGCATTCAGCTAGGTCAGTTAAGGGTGAATAGGGCGGGCGGCTGGAGGGGTTTCGTTCCAACGGGGAGCGAGGGGGATTCCGGCGTCAACGACCGCCACTCGTTCGTCTGCGATCGCGAGAGAACGTACCTTGCATCTGTGAACTTTCCCCAATTACATAAAACTAATCGTCGAAACGTGTTTCTTAATTTTGGGTAAACTGCTTCGGAGTGGTCAGACTCACGCCTGTGAGGTGTTACGCGACTGCGGTTTTTCGCATTGCACTATTTGTTTAATTGGATCAAATACAACTGACTTATAAAAACTCCATTGCTCTGTTCTCAATGCTTTTACTGGATTCCTTACATTGGATCGGTTAATAAATCCACTTAAGCACGTGTGGCAATGTCATGTTGCCTTACAACACTCAGTGTAGTTGCAACCCCGTGGAAGATAGTGCTGACAGACTAAAAGTTCCGTTTCGAATGAGCGACGGTTCGTAAAGCGCTTGTGAAAGAAGTTTATGGTCCTGACTTGAGTAATGTGAAGTATAATCAGCAATAATGGTGAAGTTGGACTTGGCAATGGTCATGGGGGTTGCTCCGGCGCTGGTCTCTTGGTGGCGAGGACACGGGCCGTGGCTACAACCTTTAGTGACGACCTCACCGTGCTTAGAGAAACCACCTAAATCGTGGCCAACGAGGCGGTCGCCCTCTTTGTCTGATTGTTTGGCGAGCAGCGATGAGGATTCTCCTCGGTCTATTGTCTGCCTTGTTAGGCCCAAAGCGGTGAGTTAGAACGTACCTACTCTAATTTGACACTACACATAAACCGAAGGACGCTGAGTCAAAATAATACGAAAAAATACAAAGAAACTGTCATGATAAATACGTTTTTTTGTAGTTTATGCGTGTGGTACACATTTAACGTTTTAAAACGGGAAATATATTAGTGAATTATGTTTAAAGATGTTCCGATATTTCGGATACATTGCAGCGGCTGTGGTGGAGGCCCTCCCCATTTCAACCCTCCTCCACGGCTGCGGTAGTGTTCTATTTAAATAGTAAATATATATTGCAATTATATTTGTTATAAAGTTGCACAATAATCTTCCGGATAATACAGTTTGGTAAGATCATTATGAGAGCGTGACCACAAAGATATGCTAACGATATAAGGTGAAAGACCAGAAGCGGAAGGAAGTGCTCATGCAGGCAAAATAGGAGTTAATATAACTTAACGTCATCGCAACGTTTTCGAAATCATTTATTTTTAGTGCTGCGCAAGTCGGCTGCCTGAATGCCGATTTTTTGGGCATTGAATACTGATTTATGCCTTCTTATCGAGCAATAAGTAACGGTACTTACAAGAGCAATGTTAACATTTTATTTTATTTTTTATACGGAAACGAAGTTTTCCGGGTATCCCTATTTCAGGCAATTTTATTTATTCTCTAAAAATTGGGAATGTAGGCTGTTTAAATGAAAATAGACCGAAATTAAGTTTTGCCTCTTACTAACCTATACAAAGAAAGCGACTAGTCAAGTCGTCGGTGCGTCTCTTTCGTATCAACATTCGTATAGAAACTTTATAGTTATAAATATTATCTCACAAAGTTATAACTTTAAAAAAATCAACCCCTCAAAGAGTTCCAAGTTATAACATAACTAAACTTTGTAGTTTATCAAAATGTATAATTAAAAATCTATGTGTACACACCCTTAAGCTAGAATCCTATGTCTGTTTAGTATTGTCCGTAGTTTATGAAAATTACTGACTATAAATAAAATACTTTTAACTTCAAATGTGAATATACGTTACTTTTAGCCTTCCCTTTACCAGGGCTGCCGCAAATAATCCGAAACGTATCTTCCAACAAATATTGTTTATTCTTTAGAGATTTTTTACAAAAGGACGTCCACGCATAAGTAGGTGAGACGCACCCACGCGTAAAACTAAGAAAGCGTGTCTTACGCCATGTGCGCGTTGCGTATGCGCACCAGATATCATGGTGACAGCCTGCAGGTGCAGAGCTATTTACGTACTCTTGTTCCATTCAGGATCGAGATGTTTCAATGATGGGCGAGAGAGTGTAAAGCGTTTAGTTGAGCGTGCTACTAGAAACTAGTCGATGGATGCGGGCATTTCGCATCTTATTACGTAGGGTAACGATACCGATCAGCGAGGTATTATGGAAAATATACTTAATATTATAGAATAGGTCTGGTTGCAATTTCCCTAAATTTATACATATAAACAATAATTTAAATTACGTATGTTATTTAAAACATTTTAATTTTTAAATCATAGGGGACGACGTCAGCTCACATGACGACAGAATACGCTGCTGGTTCAGCTCAAGTGATGTTCGTCATAGTCACATATTAACTTGCAAAATTCATAATAATTAATTGTATTAATATCGTCACTTATTGTATCCTATACTACTTACTTAATGCTAAATTAATTGTAACAATATTTGTGATTCTTCGAATTTTTATAAGTTTAAATTTCTGAATAAAACACTCTACCGGTTTAAAACGCGAAATATATAAGTTTAACTTTTTTCGGATGCTTACAGCAGACGTGGTCACGGCTCGGTCACGGTCGTACCATAGTTAAAATAATTTTCAAATTCGTTTGACTTATATATTTTGCGCTTTAAGTCCTTAAATTTGTAGTTTATCTAAATGTTTACTACCCGTGTTAACTACAGACAGTATTTAGTTTAAATTTTATTTTGGATTTATAGAAAAGCATTCCAACCTACGATAATAGCTTTGTTATTGGCATTGAGATAATGAACTTGTTTTCAATCTGCAAAAAAATATAACGATATTGCAAAAACTTATTCATTTCGGGTAAGCACCTTGCGTCCTCTAAAACTGTTTTGTTTTATAACGGTTTGATTACGAAAGTGATAGTCGCGGTTTGACATGACTCACGTTACTCATGTAGTTTGCTGGTGATAACGTAGCAGACGCGCGTGTGTTACTCTGCGACAAGGATTACGAATTAACTCATTAAAGGTGCATATTATGAATCCAAAATTATATCCTCTACAAGTTTTCCTTTAGAGGTAAATAAAGTATAATATCGCGAAATAAAACGTGGTAGCTGTAAAAAGTACCTTGATTAGATAACGTTGTTATGTTCCATTGTAACCGCAGTGCAACAAGAATTTGTTTAAATTGCGCCCATCCTTTCAAGTGGTATGCACAATTTTTAAACTAAGTGCCCATTCACGGATTCCCCCCACAAGTGAAGAGTTCTAATGATGGGCAACAGAACGGAGACGGCGACACCTGAAAACACAGATGAAGAAAGCGGTGATGCCTTCACTGACGCTGATTTTGGTGATTTCGATGATGGTGTAGCTGAACTGAATGGAATGGAGGTGTCAGCTGCATCTACGGATACTTTATCCACGGTGAAATGCAATGCGGATGCAGACAGTGGCATTCAAAGAGGGATACAAGCAATTGAAGAGCGAAATGGTTCAGACGTAGAAATCAATAATTCCTCAATAATTGGAATACTTGGCGATCAGCAAAATCATGTACGTATCAATATGGCGACCTTAAAACTTTTAACGCTTATTTGCATATTTGCAAAGGTATTGTCATTGAGCTGACCATAATATCCGTCTTTAGTGAACTGAATCACATGTTAGTCATCGATTTGTGATTTTTTATTGTTTGCATAATTGTCTTGAAAATTCGTCCTTATCTTATCTGTTATCAGCGATATTGTATATCTTGAAAGGCCATACTTAAGGGGTGCGTTCAACATGATCTTATTGAGGTTGGCTTTTTTATGATGAGTAGGATTGTCGATCCCAAGTATGTGGTACACTTGGTGGAAGCTGACATACGCCAGCAATACATCGATAGAGGGGCGCTGTCTAACTTTTTTGTCATTGGAAATTCGGAAATCTAAAGACGAAAACCGAAACTCGAGTACATTTCCCGGCTATTCCATAAACTGTGGTCTATGATCCGTTAGGAATTCCTACCACAAATTTTTCAGGCGAAATCTAACTTGTCTTAGAAACATTTAGACTTAGTAGGAATCGAACACACGCTGATTTCTAGCTAGATATATACCATTGGACTGTCGAGCCCGCACACCTACTAAAAATAAGACGAGTTGAACTTTTAACATTGGGGTTAGGTGCATTACTCATAGATGTGGCTAAGTAATTTAAATGTCAGGATGTCAGTGCTATGTTTAAAAACGATTGGTAATAGAAAGTGCCAAGATCTGACTGATACAAGGTACACAGATAATACAATCTAAGGTTTCATGTTGTGTTAACAAACAGTTAAGTACGAAATACAATTTTCGAAGCAACAAAATCAAACTTAGCTCCAGTGCACATGTGGCCTTTGTTAAAAACACTTGTGTTCGCTTATAATTATAACATGCTGTGACCTTGGCTATTATTATGTCATCAGCGGAGATAATCGCGAGGATACTTGCTAAAGTTTTACTTTTGTATGTAAGTACATACATTTTGTCTTCGAAACTGTCGAAGTGTAAATAAGTTTTTAACATTTATCTATTTCACTATCTATTTACCTGGCTGTTCCTAACATTCGGTTGTCTATTTAACAACATATGGAACGAAATATAAAAGCGTGAATCGTCTCAAACTAGTAACTAATTAAAAAGCAACTGAGTAACGTGTTGTAAAGTTTTTTCAATTTATAATAGATTTTTAAATTATATAGTGCCAAATTGGAAAATATTAATGTTTTCGAACTTAGTAACTGTTTAAAATGTTGAATTTATCCTCAACTCGTTAAAAAGTGCTTTATTTGATGTTAATGTGCGTGAACTGCGGACAATACGAGTCAATAATGCGAAAAATATGATGAATCTTGTAACTTCTATTGTCGGTCTTTCTATCCATATTTCTTTTAGTCATGTAACAGTCTCGACAACTCTTCTATTCCTTTCTCCTGCACCACGTTACATACCATTGTCACTGAACAACATTGCGTTTCGGAATGTGTCTTCTTTCTAATCTGAGAATTATTTAATTCCTCAATAAATAATTATCGATTAATCGAAGTAAACGTTAAGTCGTCGGTCCCGGCTGTCACCATAAATTGAATGATCGTTAAAGCCCACCAGCTCGTATTGCCACAGCGTGGTGGATCTATTCTCTTAAACACTACTATGCTAGAGGAGGCGAAGGATATAGATAGTGACGATCATTTATTAAAAGTGCTTACACGAGAGTATAGAAGAGAAACTATGGATTACATAAAGATGTAATGGGAAAGTACGTCCTTATCGCTAATATCTTAAAATGTTGAGTTAGATGTCAATTTATTTCCTCACAAATTGTGATTACGTAAACAACGTGACATTCCCATATTGATATTCAAATAACAAGAATCACGAGTCACCGCGTTAAATGAAAGCAAAGCAAAATTTGGCTGTTTTCGTGTTTAATAAGCTTTAATTTTCTACGAAAGTGAAATAAATAAGTATATTATATTTTCAAATTCTAGTACAAAGAAAATAAACTCTACTCTACAGCATATTATTGGTTTTCGGGCTTTTCGGCCGACGTAAGCGGGAAGCGGTTTTTGACGTTTCTCCACCACGAGTTAGCTCCTCGGCGAACGTCGGCCGAACATCGCGAAAAACAATGATATGCTGAACGATGGCAGTGAAAACTTAACACAATTTAGTAAACTGCACAGTTCTAAAACAAAACACGAATCTTCTTAATCTAATATATGTAATGAGAAATTTATTAATGAATTATTGCGGTTTAATTTTCAATGTAAACGATTATTATTGTTTTAATATTACATTGTGTTTAATGGTATGATTAATACGTATGCATTTGAAAATAGAGATCGTATAATCGCGAATAGTTTTATTGTACAGTTGGGTCTGACTCTTTGGTCTCGCGGCCAACGGACCGGAAACTAGCATGCACTGCCCACTTAAGGATCCTCACTCCCTAACTGGTAGTGACTTAATGATCTAGCTGCTAACGGTACTCCATTCGCATCATTGTGCCGAGATGCGACTACATACTGCTGATGCAGTAAAAAAAAATAAGAATTCTCCTTAATAGTCGGCAATACTCATATAAATTTTTAGGATTCCCAAAGGTGTAGCCTTCTAATGGTTTGGATTGGTCCATCTATTAAGGGTTATCTCTAGACCGGCGATACCCAGACAGTAAATTCTCACAAATTATGTTTTTCCGCCGCCGTAACAGTAAATACAAAACATAGGGGCATGAATTATTTAAGGGGCGTCAATACAAACAAAATTTTACACTATTTTATGCCGTTTTTATTTCTTGATACCATTAATTAACAATCACAAAGTACTTATTTGATTAAAAAATAATAATAATAAAAATACAATATGCTGTTCACCTAGTCACAGGGTGCACGATGTTACTCTCTTTTCGCGCTGTTTGTCTGTTTGTTTTCGCTTTCGAACTACTTTTCGAACTTTGTTTGATTTAAATTAAAAGATAATTGATTAAATAATCGTTTGAGGCTGCATCAGGACATTATTGACTCGAGGAACTCATGTCGTCCACTCGTGTTGGCGAAACACTGATAACAGTTTCTCTATTACGACATACTATTATTAATAAAACGTTTTGTTATTTGCAGGCAGAACAGCGTTTGGCGGCGCGGCGGGCGGCACGAGCTGAGGCGAGAGAGATTCGTATGCGAGAGTTGGAAAGGCAGCAGAGGGAACAGGAGGACCATGCCGACAAGGCCTACGATATGTATGCAGGTGAGGCTTGATTTTGCAAACGGAATATGAAGGAACAATCCTGTACTCGACAGACAGCTAGAAATACGTGTTGCATTTTTCTTAAGCAGAAATGTGTGCGTCAAAGTCAAAAATCATTTATTCACGTAGGTAACTAGGTAGACTTGTAATTTACTACCAGTTCTCAAATCAGGGGCGTAGAACGAACGAAAAGGACTGGCAAGAATCTCGCCGCCACTTCTTTTATCGCTAAGTTTCATTTTACAGTCTTCACGTTCTTTAAGTGCACTACGCTGGGTTTTAGTTAGGTTTATAGATGATTTTATTACCTGACCTAGTTGACTTTCTAATCCTCATAAGTAAAATATTGATCCAATTAAATACGACTGAAAGCCTGTTTTAAGGTATTTATTATTTATAGAACACACACAACTTATAAATAAAAAGCCTCATCGCTGAGTAGCGATCTCTTCCAGGCAACCTGAAGTACATGAAAAAAGAAATAGAAAATAACTTATTTACTAGGTATCTATCATTAAACCATAAGTTTATAACGTTTTAAATGTTTTCGTTATAATAAGTTCTATATATTTATATTAAAGCATTCAGTTTTTCTTCCAGAAACCGTCGGACGCCGCGGTGGGACCCGACTGGCATCCCTAAGTCCGGCCGGTTTGCATTCGCCTAGAAGAAGTTCAGAAGACTCTGACGAAGTACTGAGTGTTAAAGATCTTAGGGTAATTATGCTTTTTATGTTTAATTTGTAACTTCTGGTTAATGTGTGTGAACTTAAGATATCTTTTTTAAATGTATAACGCTCTATATTATCGCGATCATAATCTTAGATCTACTGATTTCAGCATGAATTAAAAGAAGTCGAAGAAAAATTTCGCAAAGCAATGATACTGAACGCTCAGCTAGACAATGACAAAGCAGCGCTCGGCTACCAACTGGAGCTTTTTAAAGATCGAATAGAAGAATTACAAGAGGAGCACGCGCAGTTACAGGTTATCTTAATTATTCCTTATCTATAACCTAGTCACGGTAATGGGCTTATATGATAATATATCACCAATGCCACTTTGACTATTTCGTGTCCTTGTTATTTGTTATGGATTGCGCGAAAGAGACAACGACATATTTTGGAGAATATATTTTAATAATTCATTGAGAGCGCATTTAGAGTTTAGACAATGTTGCAGTTCAATTTGATACCTTATTATTTAACGGGACATAATGGATACAATTATATTTATATTACTGTGTACTGTACTGTATCTTGCAAGGTAGATGACAATCGCAAGGCATTTGTGAAATTCGTTGACATGTTCAAATCGATGAGGTCAGAAGTTCAAACTTCGGTGGCAATTCAAAATATCTTTTTGTGTATGAACATCTACCACTGAGGTCATATTTTACGTATATTTGGCCTGAATGGTAGGTGAAGCTCTTTTGTACTGTTAATTGGCTGATTATAGTAATTCTTCTTCCAGCGTGAGCATAAGGAGAAGTGTTCATCACACGAGCGCCTAAAGCGCGACCACGCGACCCTGGAACGTGAGTTGACTTGTGCCCGTGACGCGATCCGCGCAAGAGACGCGGCCGTCGAAGGTGCGGGATTCGCATTTGTGGAGTCGGGCGATACAGAGGCGCAAGGTTTCGGAGCTGTGCCGCCGCTAGCGCTGGTCTCGCACCAGTCGCAGGCGCTCCTTCAAGATGGCGGCGAAGGAACTCTTGGTGAGCAGATTTTTCTTTTTATTTATTATAAGTCAAACAAAACTAACAAAAAAAAAACACTTTATTGCACAAACAAAATACAAATATATAAATACGGAATAAATTGTTAACATTAAAGAGTTATTGCGAAGGCCTTATCTCCTATGGCTATTTCGTCGAAGCAACCTTTGTTGACAAATAAAAGAGAATGGGAAAAAACATGTAATAAATTTTATTCTACAAAGATATCAAATACTAACACAACATTATACCTAAATGAGGTATAAACGTGTGTTCAAATGGTCAACAGATAAAAATATAGTAGAGACAATTTTTTGTAAGATCCGCTATCCGTCTTTCACCAGAATTATTTATTATAAAAAACTATTAGATCTTTAAGTGATTATCAACGATCATATATTATTAATACAATTTAGTAATTCCCTTATTTTACTTTTTATTTCAGATGTTCGGTTACAAAACTTGGTGAGCTCTAAGCAGGCCTTGGAGTCGGAAGTGAGAAAGTTAAAGCTGCAGTTGAATGAAGAACGCGCCGCCAGACAAAATGGCGTCACCTCCCACCACGATAGCGATTATGAAAACGAATGTGAGATATATTACTCTTCTATTCACTACTACATGATAATGATGGCCCCGTAAATCTACGTAGCTGCACACTCTCTTTTAATAGTTGCATTGACCAACAAAATAAGAGAATTTGAATTATATTTAAAACTATCTTAAAACCATATTTGTTGTTTATCACTAATATAGAAGACGCCTTATATCACCCGCTTGTATTTGGTGTTAATATCTGTGTTTTTACAATCGTAAAGCTTTTTTAAATTATTTATACTCCAAATACTAATAAAATATTTTGCAATTCTTCTTTCTTTCATATGGCAATACTTATTTTTTGTAGAGAAACAGATGATCTACCATTTTAGGCTAAACTATTTTTGCTGTAAAACCCACCATTTAGTTCTCACCATCAATCCAAAAAATGAACGAGAGCGGTCCATAGGGCCTTTTCATAATTAATTTGTAATAAGATTCTGAACGTCATACCACTTTTAGCTCTATGGAAATTATTGTAACTCCACCTCTATTTTAAGGACTAAATTATCTACTCCATTACTTGACAAGTAGGAAAGTTATATCACTAATTCGTTTCACAGTGGAAACCCTAAGAAAGTCAGTGTCAGACGCGAAGGGTCGAGCGGCGAGAGCAGAAGCGGAAGCAGCATTGCAAGCGGGGGCCGTCGCGAGACTTGAAGCACAGGTGCAAAGGCTACGGGCGAGGCAGGACCACCAGGACGAACATGAAGAGATGCTGAAGCAGGAGAGACGGCGATTGCAAAGAGAGGTAAGAATTTTTTGAAGTTGGTGACGATATAAGGCTTCATCGGCCAGTACACTGGACGGTAGATCCAGGATTTTGATCCTGAGTCAGGTTATTTATTAGTTTAGCATTCAAAATTCCTAATTTCGCCTTGGAGTTTCGAAGTGTTATCATTCCTGTACCAGGGAATGCATGTTCAGCTAGGTAACAAACACTTGCAGGAGTTTGAAGTACAGAGTGGTGGATATAAACTTGTAAGCCATTCCAGCTGTTGGGTATAAGATCGAAATAAAACTGTTTAGTGCTAGATTAGTCTGTACATTATTAAGTTTTTTTTAAATATTGTACTTTAATTTAATTAAGAATTTATTTTCCAGGATGTGGTCGATTTCTGGGCTGTCATCAATAATGGTGACTGTTAAAGTATTTGCACTGAGTGTTGCCCTGACTTAAACTATTTTTTTGCGAATAAACCTTACTTATTATTTAATGATATGAACTTATTGTAAATATTACAAGTACCCGTCTAATAATTCTCTAACCAGAAATAATATATAACATAGATATAGGCCGTAAGCAAAGCCTTTTAATTGTTATAATCTAAAACATTCCAATTAATCCCTACCCAGTATATCGTAATAAAAGAAATCCTATTTTATTGTATTCTAAATTACAGGCACGTGAAGCATTGAACCGGGTGGAAGAGTTGGAGACGGAAAACAGTCATCTAACGAAGAGGTTAGACAAACTCAAGAACGCCAAGTCTGCTCTACTGAAGGAACTGTGACAACGATGTTGACGACCCCATCTTCTAGTGTAAAAATTATCTTATTGTAATAGCCATACATTTAGACTTCCCTATAACGGTATAGCAAATTCAATTGATATTAAAATAAGTTATCAAAGATATTTAAGCAAATAGCCATCCTTTTAACACATTTAAAGTACTAATATTCTATAACTAATAGGTTGAATAGACGATAAACAGATAAAGGTGGTCGCATATTTATCACCGATTTAAGAGGCGAAAGCGCGCATGCGCAAATAATCGCATACAACGAATTCTTACCAACGGCGCGTACTTTTCTAACAAATCTGCGATCACCTTAAAGGAATTGTACCTGCATTTAATATTTTCAATGGTTAATTTTGGACTATAAAACCTCTTTCCAGAAAATGCCAGAAAATCATTGCGTTATCAGTGTGCATTTTTAGGATATATTATAAAATCAGCTTGGCTAGATGTATATGGTAATATTGAAAATACACTTAATCCCAAATTGATTACACTGATGTCTTTCAACTTAAATTTATCTGTGTATTGATGGTACTATTTATGACTACACCAATTTTTTCTGGAATTGTACTGTGTCAAAGATAGCATAAGACTTTTATATTTTGTTAATGAAGTGAACTGTTTAGAAGTATCGATAAACAAAATAAGTAATAACCATTGAAGTACATACATAACGTTAAACAAACAGTTAATATGAAAACCACAAAAAATTATATAAATAGAGAATTATAACCATACTCACTTGAGAAACATACATGTACTAGCTATCTATATGACCTGTAATGCAATTTGAACAGTATGTTGACAAAGATATATAATGTCTGAAATATAAAAAATATATGTTGCTATTTATTTTGTTAGTACCTACATAAAAGGATCATTCAAAAACATTAGCAAAATCTGTTGTTGCTATATGTAACATATAAATTGTCGTACTTGAAAGGATAATATTAAATCAGTTTCATATAGCGCCTGTATATATTTCTTGTAAATAAGACCACACGCATATTGTATAATGTTTGATTAGGAAGTCATTCCAATGTTAATTGCCAAGTGTAGGAAGTCACTTCACGGATTTTTTAAAATATCTTTCGAATGTAAGAGTATTGATTGATAGCCATATTTTGTAAAGTCGCATTGAAGATGTAGATATTGTTTTTTTTGTATGTAATTTGACACTTTCATTTCATTGTAAATTTGATAATGTGATTTTTTTGTAACATAATTGTGTATAATATAATAATTTTTAACAAATATACAAGTTTATTATTTATTATACTACTTTAGTTATTAATAACATTAAAATGTTTAGGATTTAAAAAAGATGTTTGAGATTTGGCTTTATCCAAAAAATACCCCATTTGAATGGACTATAGCAAGTATAGTGAGAATATTAAAAATTAAAGTGTGTAAACATATTCTAAGTGGTATTTTATACATTCAATTACATGTGATATTAATCATTTAAAAATAAACTTATTTCTTTAAGTCAGAAATATTGAATGCAAGTAAAACATAGTTTAAATACTGTCTTTAGTTTACGCGAGTAGTACACATTTAATGAAAACACTTTAACGGTTTAAAACGCGATATATTATTAAAAAATAATATAATATATCGCGTTTTAAACCGTTAAAGTGCTTTATTTAAAAAAAAAACAGTTTAACAAAATAAGAACATGTAACTAATTGTATTTTCACTTACTTAAATAATTACATACCCTTTTTAGATAAATATGTCCTCCTGAGTGACGGAAATCAAGAACGACGTCGACATTCCATTAATGGAAAAATATTTTGATAATTAAAATACCCATTAGAAAAGACGAAAGTAATTGAATCCATTATTGTATTGTTTTTCAGTTACGGGAAATACGACTGAGCCATTGAAAAATCTGCGTCAGTCTTGGGTCAGTATTTATTTGGTATTCTTGTATTGGTGATGCTTGCAACAAAACATAGGTTGTAATTTAAAGTTATTGTATTAAAAAAAAAGTTTCTTAACTCTTTTCTTTATGGGGTTGTCGCATCACTTTAAGAGTGGCTTTTTATAACTTTATAAGCTATGGTAAGGAAATTAGATCCATCCACTTCATATCCTGATGTGTGATGGATACATGGTGAAAAATTTAGTGTAAATAAAAATGTATGCAAATAAAAGCACATAAGTGGATAGTTTCTGATTAAATCAAAATTTATTTTATAATTATACACTGCTTATTAAATAGATAATATTACCTTCTCATACACACATTTATGTCAAATGGAAATCTTGCAAAGGAGTACATTTTAGTATGATTGATTTTTATTGAATATTCATCTAAAACACAGAGTGTCATTTTAATACACTCTATTCATACCACAAAGGACTAGTTGGAACAGAGAGTAAGATTTTGTTAGGGAACAGGAAGGTTAGCGGTTTGCATGTTCAAACCCTAACAAACAATAATAATAGGTACCTTAAGAGCTACTTTCATTCTTACTGATTGGGCCATTAAAAAGTAGTGTACACTTAATAAATAGAAATTGGAGAGAATTATGTTTAAAATCAATTTAACTAAGGCATAGGATGTTGGTTTGGAGTAAGACCTCCGTGTTCTGGGCTGTGTTTTTGTTTTTTCCTTTTCTTCTCTTTTTTGCGCTTCTTCCTCTCTTTGTCATCATCATGGCGTTTCTGTTTTTTATGTTTCTTCTCATATGTGTCAGGGTTTGATGAATCTGTAATGATAATTATAGTAAAATACATTTACAGAAGGTACACAATGTTTGTCTTCATCATATGAAAAGTTACAAATTTAATATTTAAATGAAATAATATCATTAGAAATTTAACAAAATTATTAAATGAAAAGTTTACATAACATTACTTGTAGATTTATATTTATTACTACAAGATCGCTTTAGTAAGACGAAATTGAAATGTGATGGAATCATACCTTGTAATGGAGTATCTTGTCCAAGAGGAGCACCATCCTTATGCTTGTGTTTTTTATGTTTACTTTTGTGTTTCTTTGGTGGAGTTGCACTCACATATCGATACTGCTCTGGTAGTGGACCTGGATGTAATCTGAAGCCAGCCAGCTGAGCACTTGTTAACGGTAACAATTCCTTTCCACCTATGGGTCGTTTCGCTATGACTGACCCTAAAGTACTATTATCTTCTTGCCCTGGTCCATCCATTATCCCCGGTAAAGTGGGCAAGAATGATGACAGAGATTCTTTTAACTTTTTTCCATTAAACTTACTGTAAGAGTGCTCTAATCCATAATACGCCATTAAATTTGTTGCCCCTGTTAACTCACATTCTCCTAAAATTAAGCGAACGTGTATAAATTAATACGAAGTTAATGTATAATTTATTTTTTTGCGTAGAGCATGAATTAGACATACCTGGAGGTTCTTTCATCAAATAGAATGGTCCACTATGTACTATAGACGGATTTTTACCCAGTGATATGGTCGTTTTGAGGGTACCAGATGAATCCTGACGAGAAACTACAGGTGACCTCGCTCCTCGGGGAGAGGACTTCGGTGAGTATGGTTCTACTTTTCGAAACTGATCAGACATCATCTTGTATAAGCATTTCTATAATTGTTGTTTAAAAATGAAAATTTGTAGTAAATAAATGACAAAAAATTATAAAAACCCAATCACTCTCCACTCAGCCTTTTCTACTAGCTTTAGACCACAGATACAGAACCATTATCATAATATAGGTAATGTAAAGAGACACCACTTTTCACGCACAGACTATTCTTCAAAGCAAAGAAATACTAAAGAAAAAAGACGGGTCATAAAAATTTCTACACGTGTTTTAAATCAGCACAAAAGCAAAACTACATTATAATTTAGTAAAATATAATAAAATAAATTTATATATCAGAAACAATTACATTCATTTGGAAAACCAGCTGACAAATGACATTGGCGACAAAATTAAGACTTATTTTAAGACCTTACGACCATAGAGTTGGATAATATCATTGACTATTGAGATGATAAGGAACTGACAAAATAATAAACAAACGAGCAACATTTCGTACCGTATACGCTGCAATAATTTTTCATTTTTATATTTTGGTAATTTGGATAGAATCACAATGCGTGAGGGTGAAGAAACTCCACATTTAGGAGGCAAAGCCTTGCTTCTCAATAATAATAATCTTGTGCAGCAGTACAGAGCTCATGTAACAAAGTTTGTTTTAGCTCAATTTTATCTAAATATTACCTTAATTTTTGGTAGCTAAGTAATATTAATATGAGAACTTATATTATTAAAAAACTTGTTAACATCGGTGAAACTAAAATATTCAATAACAAATTTAAAAAATAACTGGTTGAGAGACAAACTTTATTAGCTAACTTTTTAGGTACAAGTAAATATAGTTCTTAATGAATTATAATAAACTTTTATAGATCTTCAAATGTGGTGCAAAATATTGTACTCAATGAGATGTTCCAAGATAACTCAGAAAAGCTTGTTGACAATCTAGATCACATATTTGAGTGTTCACAGCCGTTGTTATTAAATCATGATAGCAATAATTCCTCAAAATGGCGAAGTACTCTTAGGTATTGTAATCAAAGTATGGTAAAAGTGTATAATATCTAAAATTTATATCAATTTGATCTTTTTAACACAGTTATTTCAATGTGATGTAAATACTATGCTTTATTTTCAGCACATTCTCAGACCCTGTTTCAGTGTTTGAAAAGTCTATTTCTAGCTGTAAAGACTGTGAAAACCTGTCTGTTGATGCAAACAATTTTTTGAAATCTAATTGTAAATGTGCCATGATGTTGAGTATGTCCAAAGAAAATGTATGTCATAATGTGGGAATAGAGAATTCTCCACAAGAAATTACTTCATATGATGAGCACAGATTTAAGCCTAAATTCAATAAATTTAAACAAGCTAAAAAGGTTTCTATTCATACTGAAGCTGAGGATAATAAAATGAAGACATCTTCAGAATTGGATGATGCTGAGCATAAGCATCAAGTGGCCAAAATAATGTTCAAAACTGCAAAAGAACAATTTCTCGCATCTAATCCAGCAGCTAAGAGATCATTGGGGGCATCGCGCAAAGCTCAATCAAAATTTGTTTCTCCAATGATTGGGTCACAGTAAGATTTCTTTCAATATTTATTTTTAATAGAAGTTAAAAGAATAGTATGCAAAAGTACAGACCATAAACAACAAAACTGATGGGCTGACAGGTTAACAGTTAGTGGGATCGACTTAGTTGGTCTAGCATTTTGAATCTATTTCTGTATTAATTTTAAAAATTTGTTAATTTTGTAGGGAAAAACAAGAAGTCAAAGATTCAATGAACAATACTGATTCAGATAAGCTTAAGAACATTGATCAAAAGATGATTGAGCTGATCGAGAATGAAATTATTGATAAGGGAGTGCCTATAGGTATTTATAGTTTACATTACTGTGTTTTGTAATATTCAAATTCTTAAGTAAGCATTGATTATAGGTTGGGATGACATAGCGGGCTTGCAAATGGCCAAGTCTGTTATTCAGGAGGCTGTGGTATGGCCTTTACTACGACCTGACATATTCACAGGATTGAGAAGACCGCCTAGAGGAATTTTGTTGTTTGGTCCTCCAGGTACAGGAAAAACTTTAATAGGTAAGGTTTAATTAGAAGTACTATTATAATTAAATTTTTTTGTTTAAACAGGTGAAAGCCCATTTTTTATAACCAAATGTAACATATAGAATATGTTGTTCCACTGTACTAGTTAAATTACTCCACCATTTTTTTTGCTTTTCATCTTAAACCAATTTAAAATAGCTATAACAGTGGTTAAATGTTTAATGACGATGTTCTGACAGAAAACCTCAGACCTGAAACTTTTGAAGACGAAAATAGATTTACAATTAGCGAGTGCGGTTACAGTTTTTATACTTTGATATATCTACAAATTATATAGACATTTTTCATTAACATCTAATTATGAAATAAATTATGTGTTGCACAGGTAAATGTGTAGCGGCGCAATGTAATGCGACATTCTTCTGCATTTCCGCTTCATCTTTGACTTCAAAGTGGATTGGCGATGGTGAAAAGATGGTCCGTGCGTTGTTTTCTGTTGCTCGCTATCATCAACCTTCTGTAAGAATTACTTTTATTGACTGTTTTTGTGGTTAATAAGAATTAGTTGTTTGTCGTACATAAACATATGGTTTTATTCCGCCCAGTAATTATTCGAAATTCCCATAACGGAAAACTCGTATTTTCAAGGGCGTCAGTTTCATTGGAGCAAAACTTTATCAAAATCAATCCAGCCGTTTTAGCTTGAAAGTTTAACAATGATTGTCACAATTTATCTATTACGTAGTAGGAAGGAACGGGGCAATCTAAGTTAGAGAACAATACGTTACCAGATTTATGTGTTCTTACAGGTTATTTTCATAGATGAAATAGATTCTTTATTGACACAAAGAAATGAAACGGAACATGAGGCAACCAGAAGAATTAAAACAGAATTCCTTGTACAGCTGGATGGAGCAGCTACAGGTTTTTATCTTCTTTGTGACTTTTACGCGTCTGAAATATATTTTTTAAGGTGGTTTAATTTACTGCTGAACTGCCTCTGTAGCTAAATGGTTAAACGTGTTGCGTAGCACTGCGTTAGGCGCGACAGAACTTGGGTTCGAATTTTGGGGAACCAATAAGTTCTTCCGGTCGAGCAGGGCACACCTGTCTGATCAACTACTTGCCTGTAATCAAATTCCGATTGAAACGGACACAGAAATACGTTTCTCCCATGCGACACGAGGAATTTCACACTAAAACTACTGACTATTCTAACGTATAACAAGTCAAAAAGCAACACTACTCTTTATACAAATTAAAGCTTTTTTTATACTTTTTTTTCAGTAAAGGAAAAACCAAGCACTATTTTTTGTATATATTTTTTGCCATTAGCATGCAATATTTTTACACGTAGTTAATATTTATACTATCGTAAAAATAACAATAAGAATTTTATATGCAAGTAAAAAAAAATAAAACAATTGTTTAATCTACTAATAGCATTTCTTAATTTAAGCCGATGAAGACCGCTTACTTATTATTGGCGCCACAAATCGTCCCCAAGAGTTAGACGAAGCTGCACGACGGAGGCTAGTCAAGAGGCTCTATATACCGTTGCCAGATGTAGAGGTGATGATGTGCCTTCATTCTAGCTTAGAATAGATATTATTTCGTCTGTTGTCTTCTTACGAGGTTAAAGTAAACTTGATAAGTCAAGGTACTCACCATGTATAGAAAGATGTGTTATATGTTCTTAATTTTGGTCCCTAGATGATCATTAAACTTACTTACCAGAAGTCACTTACACATCCAAGTAGAATTATTTATTAAATGTTGATTTAAATTTTTAATAATATAAAATTTAAATTAAACAATTCTTTTAAATATGTTCCCCCGTGACCATCACTACTGCTATCTATTTTCGGATGCATCGGCCGATCATAGTAAAAAACAAGGTGACTACTACATTTTCCGTTTTAAAGTTACACGTTTTATTTGAATATGTATAAGTAGCGTTACGGATCTTTAGCGCGGAATGAATCCTGCGCAGGAAGTCAAAAATACTATAACGACTACATTTCGTTCAGCGCTAAACATCCGTTCCGCGACCTATACTATATACTACTCCCAATAATTACAGATAGTACTAAACATGTATTATATTTGTTATAGGCTCGTAGACAAATCATCTCTAATTTATTGCAAACTGAAAACAATGACCTCACACACGACCACATTATGGAGGTTGCTCAACTGACTGAGGGTTATTCGGGAGCAGATATGAAATCTCTCTGTTCCGAAGCAGCTATGGGCCCCATTCGAGCTGTGCCTATATCCCAAATAGTAACAATTGATAAGAAACAGGTAATACTATACTGAAGACTTTAATACTAATCAGTCCATAGTAGCTAACAACGACAATCTTCATTAAGTCTCCTGGTTGGAGCGGAGCAATTCACCGTATATTAGAATTTTGTTATATGTAAAGATGTGAAACCTCGCGTATTTTTGGATATCGTTTGCGCTTTTATTTAAGCAAATGCGAGGATAATAGTGTGTTCGGCACGTATTGACAGATATCCGATTACCCTGATAAAGCGTTTTAAAAACCTGCAACTACCTAATTAATTTTTTGTTTCAGGTACGACCCGTTACAAAAAACGATTTCAAAATCGCCCTTCAACGAGTACGTCCGAGTGTTTCGCAAGATGACTTAGGCCAATTTGTCAAATGGGATAAAATTTATGGACAAGGCTTTTAAATTCTTTTTTGATTGTTTAAAAAAATAAACAATACTTGGTTCTTGCATATATTTTTTTTGTTTTTAAGATTTAATTGTAATAAAAGTAGGTATATAAATAATAATTTGTCTCGGTCCTCCACATGGACGTTTAAATAAGTTTTAAGCAAAGTATTTTCAATTCGTGACAATTTGAGATCATAATTTCATTTTTATCTTGCGCATCTAAGTTTATCCCGCCCCATCAGAGTTTGTTTTTAGTGGTTACAAAACATGTTGAAATTGATAACAATGTAAGAAAAATTTAGCAGTGCCTCTAAATTTGGGAGCTTTAAATAGGAAATTAATAAAATAGTTACTACTGCAGTTTTGCCTATCCTCAAAGTTTGTGCTTATTCTCTTATCTGTGGCACAGCATTTGAGAGATTGTGAGGTAATTTATGTACAAATAGAAATAAGTAAATGTCAGTGTCAGTTACATTCGTATTTTGTGATTATTGTTATTGGCGGCAAAATAATTTCAGTAGGTATATATTCAGAAGCAATTATATAGCAATATTTTGGAAGATGGGAATCTATCCAAAACGCTTTTTTTATATTTGATAAATTTATGTTACAAACTGCACCGTTATAATAAAATCAAAAATACAAGGAAACGTCTAAGAACATGGATGCTCAAAACAAGATTGTTGTGTTAATTGATATGGATTGTTTTTATTGTCAAGTAGAAGAGAATCTTAACCCAGAATTGAAAGGAAAACCCATTGCTGTGGTGCAGTACAATCCATGGAAAGGCGGAGGGTAAGTAACTATATATTACAACTTACAATAGTTATGTCCTTCATACATGTATGGTTTTAATTCAGTTTGATTAATTTTGTAGCATTATAGCTGTTAATTATGTGGCAAAAGCCCAGGGTGTGACTAGACACATGAGAGGAGATGAAGCGAAGGAAAAATGTCCTGAAATACAATTACCTTCTGTGCCTTGTCAGCGTGGAAAGGCTGATATTTCTAAGTAAGATTTTTAAATTTGTTAAATGTAGACTTATAAGTAATTTATTTTTGTTGTCATTTATAAATTTTTATTTTTTATTTAAGATATAGAAATGCTGGCAAGAAGGTTGCGGAAGTTCTCCAAAAGTTTACTCCTTTAATGGAGCGGGCATCAATTGATGAAGCATATTTAGATATAACTATTCAGGTACATAACAACACACAATTCTAATCAAGTCCGTAGTGCACACTACTAGTAGAACAGATTCAAATAAAACAGCAAGAACACAAAGTGAAAACCCTTTTTTTCCATGACTCGGATTTTTTATCCTTAGTCACCCCATGACTAATTTAAAAACAAGTTATTAATATTATTTTATGTTGTTCTATGTTACTTTTTCGATGCGATTCAGACTAAAGAAAAAACTGTTCCTTTAGGTTGAAGAACGCCTTAAAATTATCAATAGTGAAACAATAAATGCTGAAATGATGCCAAATACATTTATTCTTGGTTACCAAAGTATAAATGAATTTATATCAGATATTCAGAATTATGGACAGGATTGCATTGACTTTGACTATGAACATACTAAAAGGTTGCTAGTTGGAGCTGTTATTGTTAGTGAGATAAGAGCTACTGTATTTCAGGAAACTGGTAACAAACATTATTTTATATTCATTCTATACTTGGCTTTCATCCCATAAACATTAAATGTCACAGTCAGGCAGTCTGAACTTGTCTATCTACAAACTACATTGAGCATTGAAATAGATATGAAATTGTGTCTACCTCATGCCTGACAGAGCATCAATGGGATTTTAATTTTTTGTTTTTATAAATCGCTGTTTAGCGAGTCATTATCAAGGAAAAAAATAGATTTGATAAGAGATAAACATTTTATGGTAATCATCTCTTTTGCAGGTTATCAGTGCTCAGCTGGTATTTCACATAATAAAATTCTTGCGAAACTGGTATGTGGGATGAATAAGCCTAATAAACAAACAGTTGTACCTAAACATTCTGTTAATATACTCTACAAGTAAGTTTTTAATTAACAGATTGATTTTATGAAACTTAAACATATGAGGATAAAATGGTCTAAGTAATTTTCAGAACATTACCTTTAAAAAAGGTGAAACACCTTGGAGGAAAGTTTGGAGATTTAGTTAGCAATACTCTAAAAATTAAGGTAATGGCTGAACTTCAGAGGTTCACAGAAAAGGAATTGCAGTCCAAATTTGACGACAGAAATGGGTATGTCTAAGATTGTGTACAAATATGTTTTTTCATGCATATGTTTATTTAATTAACAGCCTATGTGTTTTCTCCATTCATATAAAAACAGTGTGACATACTGTAATTCAAATTATACAAGATTAGAAGACCCTAATTCTCCCAATAATAAATTAAACCATTTCCATTCCATTACATTGTCATTAATTATAGTCATATTTTATGTAGGTAAAATATTTTTATTTATGTTTCAAGAACCTGGCTATATAACATAGCTCGTGGTGTTGACACTGAACCAGTTCAAGCTAGATTCAACCCTAAAAGTATAGGGTGCTGCAAACAATTTCGTGGAAAATCAGCACTAACAAATTTAGACAGTCTAAGAAAGTGGCTCAAAGATCTAGGGGATGAAATCAATGACAGGTTGGAAAAGGATTCATTAGAAAATAATAGGACTCCAAAACAAATGGTTGTTAGTTTCTCGTCACAAATGCAGGACGGCAGAGATATTAGCAGTTCTAGGTCATATAACTTTGCCGCAGAAGATGAACTATGTGGAGATTTTTTCTCAATAAAAGCTTTGGAAATAGTTCTTGATTGTACAAGAACTATGAACTCTTCAGGTTTGTGATTCAATGAGAAAAACTATCAAGATGTTCTCGACATAATTTGTTATTCTACCTAATTAGTATATGACTATGAGCAAAATTATAATGTTGTATTCCCCTATTTGTATCTAAACTATAAATTTTTCAGATGAGGAAATTAATCCAAAATTAAAGGCTCCTATAAAATTTTTGGGCATCAGTTTGGGAAAGTTTGAAGACCATGACAGTAAAAAAACAAAGAATATAAAAGACTACTTTAGCATCAACCACTCTAAAGGTCACTGTAGTTCAATGGAAATGTTAGAACCTAAACTCAATGCAGAAAGCTTTGACCAGAATGATAAAACAAAAGATAGAATAGGCAGGCCACATCAAGACGTGAGCAAGAGTGACAATAATGCTGTAGAAAAAAGAGATAGTGGTATTCAAAGTAGTTTTACTTTGGATAAGCAGGAATCATTTTTTGCTAAATTTCTACAGAAAGATGAAGATAAAGAAATTGCAGACTTAAGAACACCTGCATGCACTATAGTAACATGTGGTGATGAAAGCAACGATACCAACTATTCTGGTTCTACTATTGATGAAGAAATTAATAAAAGTATAGCATTGTTTGAGGAAGACCGTGAAGAAGTAGACAGAATCAGTAGTATTAGGAATCTCCTTCAGATGTCTAAAGACAACTTTGAAGGAACTGAGCAAAATCAAGCAGAGGTATTAAGCAAAAGTAAAATAGATGAAAATGCAATGAAAGTTAAATGCTCAGATTGTGGTAAATTGATACCTGAAAGTATGACTGTCATACATGCTGATTATCATCTTGCCCTAAGTATACGAAATGAAGAAAGACAGCAACTGCATAAAGAAAAGAAGAATAATATTGATTTGGCTGATAAAAGCAAAACAATCCAGAATGAAAAAAAGGAAAGTAAAACAAACAATTCAATCAAAAGTTTTCTCGTGAAACTTAATGACACTGTTCCAAGTGAAATGTGTTCAGAATGTGGAAAAAGAGTGCAATTGGACAGTTACCTAGAACATTTAGACTTTCATGAAGCGCAAAGATTAAATAAAGAGTTAAACAGACCCACGCAAACAAATAATAGTGGTGCAAAGAGGAAAAGAAATTCAGATTCATCAGAAAAGAAACCTAAAGTAATGTGTAAAACAATAGATTTGTTTTTTAGATAGCTATTTATTTTGTGAATTTGTATCCATACTATATTAATTTTGCAGATTATTTTGTTTTATTATGATGAGTCTAATTATTGCACAACTTTAAAATTACTATGCATTACTATGTCTACTTTTTGTGCAATACATCATTTTTAAGAAACCTTTGTATTATAGTATAAATCTTGTTTATATTTAGCGAATGTTAAAAATGTTCATGTTAGCACAAGACAATTAGTGAGAATATGTTAAAGATATATAAAAATACATTTTTTTGCCAAACATTTAATATTTTCATTTAAATGCTGTAGATTTCATTTTGCACCTTTCTCCAAGCGTCCAAAGGTCCATGTTCAGGTCGGTATCTAACGTTGCATCCATCGTTAGCAAAGCGACCCTCATCACGCAAACGCTCATATTCTTCACGTTCGTACTTTGTGAAGCCCCACTTCTTTGAAATGTAGATCTACAATAAACACATTTGATAAATAAATAAAAATAAAATATGTTTATTGTCTCTCTGTATTTAACATTTTTAACACCTATATAATCTATACTAATATTATAAAGCTCTGTACTTCAAAACTACTGAAATGATTTAAATCTAATTTGGTATACAAATCTTAGAGCCTGAGAAAAGACATACGCCACTTTTTAATGCCAGAATTGGGTTGATAGGAGATGAAAGTTTGTAAGGAAAATCGTCACCTTCGAAGCTAGACAATGAACCTTTCTTCTTTGGCTTTTTGGGAATAGGAGTGGAAGTTATGAGTAGGAGTGATGTGAGGTGAGGTGAGAGTGTTGTGGCAAAGTAGCACTAACAAAATAGATTGGCTGCCTTAAATGCACCCTTACATAAATTAATTAACAGCTTAAATAATTAAAAAATTCTATCCAAAGTCACTATTCCACGCGGACGAAGTCGCGAGTACAGCTAGTAATTAATAAATTATAATAAATAAGGTTATTTACATTGATGTTAAGAAACCTAGCAATTTTCTTTACCTTTTGGCGTCCAGGAAACTTGAACTTGGCACGACGCAAAGCTTCAATAACTTGAGCCTTCCAACGGTCACTTGAGCGCACTGACACGATGGGCTGCCCAATGCGTACACGCGCTACAGTGCCTTGAGGCTTTCCAAAAGCACCACGCATCCCAGTCTGAAGCCTAAAAGTAAATAACGAATTACTTTCATATCATAGTATATGAAATAGCCTAATATGAAGTTCCAAGAAATAAGAACTAAAGATTTAAAGTGACTCATAGTTTGACATTCTTACAATTAATAAGATATACAAGAAATGATTATTGTAATTAAGAGAAGAAATTTTATATCTACTCTGATAATTAATTGCTTCTTTGATTTAGACTACAAATCAATAAATAGCTCAATAGACTTACCTATCGGCTCCAGCACACGACAACATCTTATTGATACGAATGACATGGAACGGGTGCAACCTTATACGAATGTGGAATTGATCTTTACCACAGTTCTTAACAAGATACTTGTTGCAGCAAATGCGTCCTGCTTCCAAGGCTTCTGAGCTAAGCTGCTCATACTCGTCGGACACCAAGTGCACACATAGAGGGAAGTCATCTACGGCTGCTTTCTTTTTACCCAAGTCAAAAATACGGATCTTCGGGTCCGGCACACCACGACAGAACCGTGACTTTGGGTATGGCTTATTTTTACAATACCGGTAACTGAAAATATTTTAAGAAAAATATAGTACATGGACACAATACGCTAGACACAACAGTAATGGTTATATTTACCATCTTGCTGGGCGGCGCCCCATTGTGTCCTGAAATATACAAATATTCTCTATTAGAAACCCAGACACAATCGCTTATTACAACAAGAGACAGAAAAATTAAGAATTAAACTAGATTAAAATGGATTTTTACGAATAAAAATATTTCCGCACCTTAACACTGACACAGAGACGTCAAAGAAGAGATATATCAAATATAGTGTTGACAGTCAGACGTAACAAAAAGATTGCCAACAAAAAAAATCATAGAATTATAATAATGATATCATACTTTTCTCATATACATAAAACAATAGGAGTTTTTTAAATTACTCATACACCTTGTTATAATTGTTTTTACAAAACTTTATTCACCATTAGCAGCCGTATCATTTGCACTGTTCAATATTAAAGGTTGATAACACTGATAGATTCTCGATGTTATCTGTAGTGTCTATCTTTGAAGTATGTTTTTTGGTTCATACTCTTTTCTTTTGACCATAAATATTTTGCATTTTTGTTTAATGTTTTTGCTCGAATCGTAAATACAGTGAGTAGGGAAGTTCGTTTGATTAACGCTTTGAAGCCCTAGATTTTATTAAAATGGGTGCATTAACAAGCAGACAAAATGCGGGAGTGGAAGAAGCTGATGTAGTTTCAAATCATGCATACAAGTATCCTCCAAGATCTGGTGAGAGAAATATGACCTTAAAATGCCTATTATATTAACCCCTTGTATATAAATGATTATTAGTGGTACAGGTAGCTTTAAATTAATTTTACGTCTCTGTGATCTACTTTTACTTAGAAATACTAGAATGTGTAATTGTAATTATTTTGGTACATACTTTTTAACATAAGATAGAAAAGAGATTTTTTTGATGTGATATAACATTGTTCCTGTGGTATTTATTTCGCCATTCCTTAGATTGACTTTACATTGAACTGTAGGTAATTACTTTGGGAGTCATTTTATAATGGGAGGTGAAAGATTTGACACTCCACAACCAGAAGCATACCTGTTTGGGGAGAATGCTGATCTCAATTTCCTTGGGAGCAGACCAACACCAGTAAGTATCTGGTATAATTTTTGTTAATTGGTTTACAAATAAATATTCATTTGACATTAAATTTCTCACAGTCTAAGTATATAATGCAGCACTCATTTCCTGCTTTTAATCTTTTACCATTAAATGTAAACTGTCACTTTATTTATTAATTAAATTATTATTTTTGTAGCAATTCTGTATTTTTCTTTATCAAATTATTTTTTTTTGTTGTAATGATCTTTTTACTTTTCTTAATGAGAGCTTGGAATATTTTATTAATTCCATAATAATGTAAAGTTTGGTATTTCTTTTAGTGTGTTTATTTTATATGTAAATAATATATGTCTTAAAAAAAAGGAATTAAAATACCAATGCTTAACATCCTTGGCGTAAATAAAGCTCATTGAAATTGTAAACCAAATGTTCCATATTCTAAATATACTAATTTCTTTTACAAAGATTCTATTTGTGGTACTGATTTTAGTTCCCATACCCACCACCTCAGTCAAATGAACCAACAAAAACCTTACGGAGTCTTATCAATATACGGAAAGAATCACTACGTTTTGTGAGATGCCCAGAACCAGTGGGAAAAATAAACGAAACAAACAAAATAGGAGATGGTCCCGTTAAAACTAATGAGTGTAATACCAAAGGAACATATTATAACATTGAGTTCACTTTTGATAATGATGTTAGATGTGCCATTACTGTATTCTACTTCTGCACTGAAGAGGTCACTCCTACTGGTGTGGTGTGAGTATTTTATGGCCAATAATCATTATTGTTTAAAAATCGAAAATAAATTGAAAAAATTTTCGACTCGGGCAGGACTTGAACCGGCATCGTCAGCTATTCTAATTTATTTTCGATTTCTAAATTATATAGTGCCTTCATGTGCAATAACATGTGAAAAATATTAAAGCCTTTTTTTACATTAAATAAAACAGTTTAAAACACTAACTATATTAGTTAATATACTGTCTTTAGTTTACGCAACAGTGATTACTAAAAGATTAAGATTTACCTCCTCGCATATTTAGCTTTTTTACAGTCATTATTTATTGTAAAATAAACTGGCCCGCACACACTGTTTAGCCACATAAATTATTTCTGGAGAGTATAAATTCTTATAATAATAGGAAGATATAATAACATAACAGACAAGAACTTAGAATACAATTTGGAAATCTGAAGATTAAAACCGAAACCCAATTAATATCTGGATTTCCAAAGTCCAACATAAATATTTGAAGAGAAAAATAAGAGGGGGGGGGGGGGGGGGGGGGGGGGGGGCGGGGGGGCGGGGGGGGGGGGGGCGGGCGGGGGGGGGGGGGGGGGACTACTCGCGTAAAGAGTTTGTCCACAATTTCAAAAAAATATGAATTAACCAAAAACATGTTGGACCTGGTGAGGAACCCACGGCTCGGTGAATTTTACCAATACATTGCTCCCATTACAAGAGCGAGCGCGTCAAAAAACATTATTAAAATCGGTTCAGCTGTTATAGTGAACATTTTTTTTATATAAATAAATGTTAAAATTATTTTTCTTAAATAAATTGCAATGGATGTAATATAAATCAGTGCTTAGTATAATTTATTTTGAATTGTTTGTAGCTATTATCCTCGAGATCCCTCAATGACGTCCCAGACTTATCACTACAAGAAAGGTGCTAACCAACAGTTTTGTCAGATATCCCACGTGTTTGACCCGTCTAAATTTGCTGAGGAGGACCTGATTTACAATGCCGACCGCGAGATCATTCCAATCGCTATCTACTGTGTTGTTGATGAGGGACAAGATGGTACCTACATTTTGTATCCAATATTTTTATGAGACACATGGTGAAATAACCCAGACATATAACATTCTATTTTCCATGTTGGACCTGGTGTGAATCGAACCCGAGACACGTTGATTATTTGTTATACATTGCGACAGCTCATCCATATGTTGTTTAATTAGAATTAAAAAAAATTAATTATGTTTATTTTTTTACAGAAATACGACAATCACACACAACAATAGCGATAGTCGAGAAGCATTTGGATGGCACTTATGTGTTAAAAGCCCTAAAACAAAAACTATTTGTTGACGGACTTTGTTATCTGTTGCAAGAGATTTATGGTATTGAAAACAAAAATCTCGACACTAAAGTAAGATTTACAATAATTCTATACTCCTAGCTAGGTATTAACATATAATGTATATATTTTTCTTTATGTTACAATTAACATTTTAAGTTATCAACGAAATAATGATGACATCTCACTTAACTAAATATTAATTTTAGCCAAGTTCGGATGAAGAAACAGAAGACGGTGGTTCGGAATGTGTTATTTGTATGTGTGATGTCCGCGACACGCTCATTTTGCCGTGTCGCCACTTGTGTTTATGCAACTCTTGCGCAGACTCGCTGCGGTATCAGGCCAACAATTGCCCTATTTGTCGAGCCCCATTCAGGGCGCTGTTACAAATAAGAGCTTTGCAGAAGATTACTGCATCACCGACTCCGCCGGCGCTCTTACCGGCTTCGAGCCCACCTGATGTGAGTGTAAATGCTACAATAAAAGGGAGCCCTCATGTTAAAGTCCAAATGTAGGCTACTTTTAAAAATCCTCTTTGGACTCTGGCCTCTTTAAAAACCTATTGATTGAATTTTAAATTAAGGATACACGGTTTGTATTTCTTAAGTTCTTTCTTCAAAAGATGTGTATAACTTATCACATACACCATGATGCTATCCAGGGCAGCATGGAAAATATTCCAGCTGGCTACGAGCCGGTCTCGCTGATTGAGGCATTGAATGGACCGCGCGCCCGACCACCGCCCCTTGCCCCGCCTGCCCCCACCATCGCCAGCCCGGACACTGATACTGCCTCACAGGTATAATAAACAGAAACGTACATATAATTAAAATGACAGACTTCAACGGTTAGGTTTGTTTAACCGTCAGTAGAAGAATATATAATATTTGATGATACTCTTTTTTTGTATCAGGCTGCTGAGGTTCTTAATCGCTGTGTGGTGGAACGCAGTTCCTCTACAAGTCTAGGCAGCCGTCGAAGCAATTCTCGTGATGAGAAGCGGGACCGCTTGACCCAGCATCCGCTAACACCAGAGGTATACAGTTATCGTGGAATATGGAAAAGTTCAATTATAAGTACTAAATGTCGAAGTGTTTGTTTGTTTACTATTAGAAACTTCTAGGGTCGAATTGAAAAGCTTTTTAGGTTTGAATTGTAAGATTTGTTTTCGTGTTAGTTAGAGAATGTCTGGAAAAAGGCGTTAAAACCTTAGGCTGCAAGCAATAGGAGCTAAGAAACAGTGGCGAAAACCTGAAACATCTTTGCGGATTTTCGTTGCGTTCGCTTAGATAACGGTTCAAGATATGTATTAAGAATGAAATTTAAATGATCTTAAAATAGATCACGAATTAACTCACAGGAATCGTTTTAGTAATCAAACTTTGGTCGAAATACTTCCTGTGATAAAAGAACCTTTGCCAGGTTACCTAGTTTATAATAAGCAGTAAAAAACTTAATGAGTATTACTATATTAGAGTTCCTTTACGATGAAAGTAAAAAGAATGGCCCCAAAAATCTTTTTCATTCCAGTTCCGCATGTCAGTACTACTTGCTCGGGAACAACAATCGAAACGCGACGAAAAGGCAGCCAGCCCATTACTCTACAAGCACAATAGTACCAGCGTTCCTGAAAAGCTGTCTAAAAGCAAGGTAAATAGTGTAATAAAGAAGAGCAAACAAATCTTTTAGAAGAACTGTGATCCAGTTACTTTTCTACTATATTCCGACTGAGGAAATTTGTTCATACTGGTTACATAGGTTCATAATGGTACATAGTTAATTGGCTTTCGCTTTAGGGAAAACTGAGTCGAAAAAACTAAATAAATCATTCAGACATGTATAGGCACTAAAAGTATAATTGTAATTGATTATTTAAATGCAATTTCATGTAAAGAAGCTTACTAGATATAGCTTGAAATTTTGTACTAAAATAAAATACTGGTTTGTATGAACCATTTGACTTTTAAAGCGCCTTTAAACATTTTTCTTAATCTACTGCAATAAAACTATGAAAGTGCTATTTTAAGTCTACATTACTACTACTATAGGTAGGTTAGAAGGTAATTTATGGAATGTTATCTGTTTATTATTTTCTATTATGGACACCGATATATCCAACTCTCGATGTGTCCTTTGAAACCTTCCAGTTTGCTTGCAAAATCTTATTATTTGTTAAACGATGGTAAACTGGCTAATTTGTTTTTATTTTCAGACTTCACTAAACTCGATCCCAAATTCGATTCATCGTTCCGAAGAAGAGAGCTGCTCTTGCTCCATGCAGGATGGACCTCGGAGTGAAATTGGCTCGGGCGAAGCTAATGAAGCCGACGACGAGAACTGCATCGGGGACGTCGCGGGGGAAGAGGGGGAGCCTGATAGCGATGCGGAGAGGCGCTCCCCGCTGCTTACGCAGGTCACACCAAATGGGGTAAAATATATGTCTGCTCACTTTATGATAAGTTCATTAGTCTAGTGGAACGATGTTCTATTAGGTTGTAGTCTGACAAATTCTTATGAATCTTGAAAGCTCCTTAGTCAAAGTTAAAGTCATAATAATTTATTTATAGTAACAGGGTACACTCATGGACGTCAGCGTCACAGCAGTAAAAAGCTAAAGCCTCTATATTTACATTTACTAACCAGTTCTGAAATCAAAATTATCATTAATCATCGTTCATAGGTAGAAAAGCTTCAGTTTATGAATTTTCGTATGTACAAAAGATGCGTTTGCGCACATCGATAAAAACAACAGGCATTGTTAGATACTTAGTTTTAGTAATTATTTATTTAAGATTAAATCATTGAAGATGATTCTTTAATAAGACTGTAATTTCATCTTCAGTGTTTTTCTTAAGTTGTGAAGCATAAAACATTAAACCTTCGTGCGCATACGTTAAGGTTAAGATTACATAGCAGAGAGGATGTGGATAATGTATTGATAGGTTGAAAAAAATCGACGATGACGCGTAGGACGCGATGGATCGTCCGATCGTCGAATGCTGTGTTTGCCGTTTCATGTCCTGCCTGACTCTTAATCTAAAAACTATTTTTTAATTTTATTAAATGCTTTCAGATACTGAAGTCAAATGGTTCTCTGCGCACGCCGAGCTTGGAGGCGATCCGGGGCCCTGCTTTGGCACACATCGATGACACCGACACTGAAGAACCGGATCAGCAGCACTGTGAGTACATTTTTACTACCTTAAGATGAACGAATACTTCTTTTAAGCTTACATAACAGATTTTCGTGTGAAAATACGTCTTATTGCCGTGGCGAGGTGTTATATAATTATCAAAGTCAATGCATCACTCGAAGGGCAACTCGAGAACAATATATTTGTTTCGCATCGCATAGATTTTGACTTATGCGACTAAAGTTAAACCGACGATCCTGTTAACCACAGCACAGTGACGTCATCGCTGCGTAGGGTGTCTAACACACCAGTATTAATAATATTTGGCTTTTAAATAAAACACTTTAACGGTTATAACGCGATATATATTTGCTAAACTTTTTTGAAATTAATTTTTAACTTCCGCGCGATGTTTCGGATGCTTCTCAGCAGCCGACACCCCGTAACTACGGTTGCTGCAAAGTTGAAAATAAATTACAAATAAGTTCATCAAATGTCGCGTTGTAAAGCGTTAAAGTGTTTTATTTAAATGTGTATTACTCGCGTAAACTACAGACAGACATCTATGGCTTATTTATAAAAATGTCGGAATTCGGCGACATTAACCTAGCCCCGATTTCGATGGAACTATGCGTTCACAGCTCAGCGTGTACGCATTGAATCTGTTACTAGTAATATCTTAGTAATATACACTAAGACATTACTAGTATTACGTAGTCTATGTGTCCGTCTGACTCATTGGTGAAGTCTAATATGTTGATGTGGGGACGCAGCTGAGCCGCTCTCGCGTACTGACGCTGGGTCGCCAGGCGTGGCCGAAGACTCGGACTATTTCACCCCGGAGGATACTAACACCACCATACTGACTACGCCCAAGCCCCCGCACGCAGTAAGTCAGCGCAGAGTTGTGCTGAAGTGTAGTGTGCGTACATTGCGCCAGAGGTGCATGTATCAATAGGTTGAAAAAAAACGACGATCACGAGTAGGACACGGTAGCTCAATTGAATAGAGCAAAAGCACCGCGGATGCCGGTTCAACTCCTGCTCGTGTCGTATTTTTTTTTTTCAATGTATAATCGTTTTTTTTTTAATATATGCCATTCACATCATGACACTATTGTAAATTTAACGCCTACACACTCAACATTTACCTAGAAAATAAGATATTGATTTGATATATAAATAACACGGTCGGGACTCGAATTTACGATTATAGCGTTTCGCGCTGTTTTTATTGCATTCATTTTGTGCATTTAATAAATTTACGTTCTGACGATAATGGTGAGGCACGGTAGATAAACGTGGCTTCCGATCCCGCCCGTGTCATTGAAGTTTATTCATCGGATTCTACAGTCACACATTAAATTAAACTATCAATCGAAAATAATAATGTTTGAAGGAGGTAACTTTTGTAACCAATGTCATTTCTTTTTTTGTGAAACAAGTATCATTTTTAACTATTGTACTGGTACTGGTTTTTTTAATATTCAAATATCTACTAGCGACACTGCATTGTAGGTAATATTTGAAGTAGCTTCAAATGTATTTTAATTTGCGTTATTGTATTTATCGCATTTTCATAGTTCTTGTTTTAGCTTGGACTTATTTTTTTATTTTTTGCATAGTATTGCGTGTCCAACAACTTTTTCCGTGATGTACAAGTAATATTTTGTTCCAGGATATAGGTAGCAAGGTGGGCGGAGAAAATGCGCCGCAACGATGGGCGTTACCGCACCATGTAACTTCTTTACCCGGTATGTTTTTTTTATAAAGTCTAGTTTTATTAATTTCAAAAAACGCGCTTTCCGACATATTCCTGCGTATTTTTATCGCGTGTCGGTTTCAGTCTGTTAATTGCCGAATATTTAAAGCCAAAATAGTTAGTTACATGGCTATTTCCCATGTTTGTCTGTCCACCTCTATCTTTAAAAGAAATATATACATTATAACATTGTCATTCATTTGTGTCATTGCTTATAGGTACTCCACTTTCGCAATCCAGCGTCCGCTCATCTGGCGACTCCTATAGTTCCACATCTTCAACACGACAACTGTTGGCTACAGCCCCCCTGACCGCTGACACACCGTGTTAAGAGAGAAAACCTTATATCACAACTGTGTGTATATCTTTTTGTTTATTAGATCATAATGCAGACACATTTATGCATCCGATTGCAGACCTATTTTTACTCCCTAGCCATTATATTACGCCACAATATGTTCCCCCTAGATTCGAACTTAAAATGAAAGCATAGAAATAAACATTTTTTTTACTTAAATTCCATATATGATTGTTGATTAACAAATTTCGATTCTATGTTTTCTGGTAAATTATTGATTAAGGCATAAGTGTTATAATAAGTGTTTGTTTTAAGCATTTCATATAGTCTCAATATATTTTGTACTAAATTGTTTGGTATTTTTTCAAGACTACATGTTAGGTAAATACCCTTTTTCATTTGATCTTTTATCTCTATATTAGTTAGTACATATTATAATGTTTAAACCTCAGTGATAGTAATCCCTGCAGTTATTATAAAAAATATTCTTTATATTAATTACAAATATATTTTATCTTTAGAATTATATCTGTTTAAGATGATAAAGTTGTTATTACAAAAGGTGAAAGTGTTAACTCTACGTAATATAATATAATAAAATATTGTATAAATTATGTTGTAGGCTTTAAATGTAAGTTTGTTCTCTCAACTGAAGTATTACATTGTGTATGTTATGATCAACATATAACTCCGCTAATGTACATTTACGACATTGTATGAATTTCTTCTCTCATAGTCTAAAGTTTTGGCATGATTGAAAATGTTCATATCTAAAGTTGCATTTTGTCTAATAGAAAATGTATTATTTCTATTTTAAATTAAGTACCTGTAACAATACATATACATTCCTGACTGTGAATCTCTTGTTGACATTAAAATATTTGTAAATAAATATATGATTCATAGAATTTGTTATTTTGTCCTATTAGATAAATATTAATATAATTTCTTTTATTTAAGTTATCATTTCAACAGAAATATATCCAATTCAATAAAAAAAATCAATTGTTGTGTCTATTCTGCAACTGACACCTGAAAACTTAAGATAGTAAAATAAAAATTTCCTCATTGATGATAAAATATACTGTATTTATTTATTACATATTTTTTCATGTCTACACAAATATAGTAAAAAAGATAATATTTTTGCTGTTGAAATATGTACATATTTTTTATTCTTAAACCTAACAAAATTAAACCAATTCAGATTTGGTATCCATATCTGATGTTTCTTTTTTTCCGGCCTTTTTACTTGCTTGTCTCCTAGCAGCATAAGCTGACATTCTCGCTAACCTAGCTTCTCTCTGCTCTGTGGTTTCATTAGCTAGTCTCTTGGCAGCATATGCAGACATCCTTGCTAGACGTTTTGCCCTCTGTTCACTTGACTCTGTGGCAAGACGTTTAGCTGCATAATCAGACATTCTTTTTAATCGCATAGCTCTCTGTTCTGGTGTTTCGTTGGCTAATCGACGTGCTGCGTAAGCGGACATTCTAGCTAGACGAATAGCTCGCTCCTCAGATGTTTCATTTTTGGGACCAGAGGACCGTCTACCCACACTTACTGACCTAGCTGCTAACAGAGGATCCACTTCAGTGGATTCTTCATCAGTTTCGTAATCTTGTGTTTCGTTTTCAATTTCTTCTTTTTTTATAGCCGTGAAATTAACTGCATCATCACTCATTGAAAAATTATTTACGTTCATCGTATGATCAATGTTTTGTTGACCTGATTTTAATGTAGAAGTCCAATTATTCTTCGATTTCGATAAAACCATTTTCTTCCAAGAACAATCTGCTGCACTTAACTCTTCACCCATATTGATTGTTTACGGATAATGTTATCCAAAGAATCATCGTTCGTAAATAGCTGCAGAAAATGTTGGGAAATCCAATAGCAGCTTATATATTATTGTTAATCATACATGGAATACACAGTATGAATAATACACGCCCTAATAACAGTGCTCATATTAGAATTTGATAATTTAAAGAATTTTACACTCCATTAGCAATTCTTAGGTATCACAACTTGTTGTCGGTTGTCATTTGTCAACCTTTATATTTTTAATTTTTTATCGATATTAAATAAATGTTCCTAATACAATAAGCTTTAATAACATGTCATCAAGAATTTTCATCAATACTGATTATTAGGATAATATTTAAATCCTAGATTCTTTATCTAGAACACAGTTTTATTCACATTTCAGTAAAATGCATAATTATTTATCGATAGTTTTTATTCTGGAGATCGCAAATTCACAATGAAATCTGTGAGCATTTATCCTCTGTGGACTTCACTTGTACTGTCAGCAGTAATGTGGCAGTAATTGGCAAGTGATTGGCAACAGCTAGGCATAGGTAATAATAAGAATAATCAATATTAAATACCATTACAAAAATATTTAGTTAGTTGTTAAAATAAACTGTCTTGTATTTTCTTGTTCAAAACGTTTTATCATCTGAATTGTGTATAAGTTTCACGTTTGTCTTTTTCACAAATTGCATATGGCTCAAAGTCGTAAGTAAATTTATTATTACGACAATACCATTTATGTTCTGAGTATTTTTAGGCAATATTTATATAGTGTTCAGTGTTTATACAAGTTTTAGATATCGTACTTGTCAAAAAACTTGAACTATTTAAAGAACAACAATATATTTACGTATGAAGGTATAGCATATGCTTCAAATTGTTGCAGAAGCAAATCACTTTGTTGAGATAATGTCGTAACATATCGTTGAAATTACAAGTGAACGTAGTACAACTAACAATATGGACAAAGCGGGAGATGCAGGGCCACCAGCGAGCCCTCAGCCAGAGGAAGTAATCTTAATGGAATCCGATACTGATTATTCTAGTATCAGAGGGAAAGTAAGAAATGTTTAATTCTATATTTTTAATTATTTTTCTTCGGTACCAATTAGATAGTCCTTTTATAGCATTGTCATTATTTTTAGAAAGTTTATATGACTGATATATATATTATAGGTTACTAATCAAAGTTAACTTAAAGTTAAATTGCATCATTCTGCATTACTGAGGTATTATTATTGTTGTGCAACATCCTAAAATGGTATGCTTGTCTGACTCAAAACCTATGTCCTAAAGTGTAAATTTCATAAATAACAGTGATTTAATAAATATTAACATTGTTTTTCATAGATGATTTTGGTGAGTCCCTCAACAGAAGAATATGAATTGCTGAAGAAACAACTGACAGAGAGGCTAGAATCTGGAAACGGTGAAATCATTTATGATATCGGACAGGGTGAAGGTTATGACTTTTAACTTTGTTAGAGTTTATTTATTTAATTGTTATAAAAACATGGTTTCTCATTTAGAATTCTATTTTAGATGGCAAAGGCTTAACAGAAGATGAATATAATGCGTCAGTAGCGACATTACAATCTCTAGTCAGTGAAAGAGTGTCCTGTGTTGAGTTGAGAAAGTGGGATTGTGGCACGGGAATGGTGGGCCAGTACTTACTAAGAACAGAACTTGATCATAATGATTTTATGGAAATTAGGTAGGCTGTACTATGTGGTTTACTGATTAAGGTTTAAAAGAACCATTATAAAGGGCATTCAACAACAACAAGTACTTTTTTGAAATTGACTTTAAATTTTAAGAGTGGCAGTAGTCGGGAATGTGGATGCAGGCAAGTCTACATTACTTGGTGTGCTAACACATGGAGAGTTGGATAATGGCAGGGGGCATGCAAGACAAAGGCTGTTTAGGCACAAGCATGAAGCAGAGACTGGCAGGACCAGTTCTGTTGGGAATGATATTCTCGGCTTTGATAGCATGGGTATGTGCATATAATATCGGAAGAATCTGTTGTTATGTTCTTGAAAGGTGACCAGTGTATATCCTGTTCCAAAACCTGAAATACCCCTGTGACTGCACCTGCTGAAAAGCATCTGAAATATTATATTTAAATGTAAAATACTTTAGTAAACCACAGAGAACAATTTATACTGTCTACAAAATTATAACTATCTTTAATGTAAAAATTTGATAACAGGTAATGTCGTAAATAAACCCGACCACGGCACTCTTGACTGGGTGAAAATTTGCGAAAAGTCGTCCAAAGTTATCACATTCATTGACTTGGCTGGACACGAACGCTACCTCAAGACTACTGTATTTGGAATGACTGGACATGCACCAGACTTTGGCATGCTTATGGTAAGTAAATTGCCATAGGGATGTTAAGACATAAATATAATATACTTTAATTTATTGTTTAAATAATAATTGGTTACGAATATTACATTTTTAATCAATTAAGGAGCATTGGACACACTTCTGTGGAATTTTCATGACATTTTTTGTAAGAGAGGATATAAGAGTTTATTGCACTGGCTTAAAATTATTTCAAGCAATATTCCATAAAATTGTTACCTAAAAGAAATAGTTAAAACCTTCTATCATTTTAGGCCGTGAAAGCCTTATACAATTTAGTTAAAACCTTGTGTTAAAAATTTAGTGAAATTACATAAAAGAATCCTTTCAAAATCTGCTCTTTTAAGCCTCATTAAAAATTTCAGATTGGTGCAAATGCTGGAATAGTGGGAATGACAAAGGAGCACTTGGGACTGGCTCTAGCGCTATCAGTGCCGGTCTTCGTCGTCGTAACCAAAATAGATATGTGCCCGCCTAATGTTCTTCAGGTAATCATCTCAAATTGGGTTCCGATGAAACTATTTACGAAGGGCATGTTAGCATGGCTTGTACCATTGGTTGCACCTTTTGTTTGGTTATACGTTGAGGTAACTGGGCTTTTGAGGTAAACGGATATTCAAAATCACTACATGTTTATATATGTATTGCTCTGATACACTGTTTACTGTTACGCTGTATAAAATATTATTAACAAAAATCCAAGATGTTACTCTGTCCATATCAAGAATCCTTCAACATAGAATTGACAGACTTGGGTAATGTCATAAAGCTAAATCAATATTCTCATATTCAGTAGCGACATTAAATAAATTAATCTCTATTCACCAGGACAATCTGAAGCTCTTAATAAGAATACTAAAATCTTCGGGCTGTCGAAAAGTTCCCGTCATGGTCAAAACGAAAGATGACGTTATTGTCAGTGCAACTAATTTTGTTTCGCAGAGGTAAGGCTTAGATAAAGAAAATTTTTCGGGTAATTTTATAATTATTATTGTCATATAATTGATACCCTTTATTAGATACTAGCTGTGCCTGCGACTTCGTATGCGTGAAATAGACTTGGGGTAGATTTTTTATAGGCTGTTTATTAGTTTATAAAAGGCGCATTTATCGCAGCCAATCTATGTTGTAAGTGCTACTTTGCCGCAACACTCTCACCTCACATCACTCCTACTCTCACTTCCACCCCCACTCCCACTTCCATCCCCACTCCCACTTCCACCCCCACTCCCATCCCCACTCCCATTCCTATTTCCAAAAAGCCAAAGAAGAAAGTTTCATTGTTCTAGCTTCAAAAACCACGAAATTCCATTCAAACTTTCAACCCCCGCAAACAACCTTACAAACCCCCTTTTCGCAATAAAAAGTAGCCTAGGTTTTTTCACAGGGTCTAAATCATCTGTGTACCAAATTTCATTCAAGTCCGTTCAGTAGTTTTGGCGTGAAAGAGTAACAGACAGACAGAGTAACTTTCGCATTTATAATATTAGTAAGGACTAGTAAGGATTTGGAATGTTTTAAACTGTCCTTTTGAACATCTTTTGCCTGCCATCTTAGAGGCTCCGGTACAGGTGTTTAACGTTCAAATGAATACTATTTTATTTACATTGCTTATCTGTTAGTAGTAAGTAGTAACGTCGCCCTTGGAGACTTATAACTTCAGATGTGAATACCTTTTTATTTATTTACATTCGTCATTTTCCCAGGCTCTGTCCCATCTTCCAAGTTTCAAATGTCACGGGCGAGAATTTGGAGTTGCTCACCATGTTCCTTAATTTGCTGAAGACGAGAATGCCCTCGCAGGACGACAAACCGGCGGAGTTTCAAATTGACGACACTTACTCCGTACCTGTAAGCTGGACAAATATATTGCTCACATCATATAAAATAACGCAATATAGCCGAAATAAGTCGATAGCGCATAGATGTTTCACCATAGATCCAGTGAACCCTATGTTTCTCTGTCCTCCTCTATCATAACAGAAAGAATCACGTGAGGGTTGCGTTCTGTCGTATACAATTTCACGGTTTTACTTACATTACTCCTGTAATTTAAAAATCGAAAATACATTTTCGACTCGGGCAGGACTTGAACCGGCATCGTCAGCTTTCCGTGCTGTTGCTCTACCAATTGAGCTACCGAGTCCTACACCTCATCGTCGAATTTTTTCAACTTATTGATACATTTAAATGTGTACTACTCTAAACTATAGACAGTATTTTTGCACCGCTCGCGCAGTGTAATTTCAACCTTAACACTTGCGTATTAAGGCTTCATGTGCAATAACATGTGAAAAATATTAATGTTTTCAAACGTTACATTACTCCTGTTTTACAAACTAGTCAATAAAATTAATGTAATAATTGAAAATTTAAGCGTATTTATAATCTTACCGTGAAAAACAACTAAATTATAATTGTTATCTCTAGGGTGTGGGGACAGTGGTCTCTGGCACGACGCTGGCCGGAGTAATACGTCTAAATGACAACTTGCTGCTGGGACCAGATCCATTGGGTCGCTTCGTGCCCATCACCGTGAAGAGTATTCACCGCAAGCGGATGAGCGTGCATGAAGTCCGAGGAGGGCAAACGGCCAGTTTCTCGCTGAAAAAGGTACCTACTTATACAATCTGATTATGTACTACTATATTTAGTTAAACTTATTTTAAGAGACTGTCTCCCCGTGACCACGACTGCTGCAAAGCGTCCGAAACATCGGGCCGAAGTTGAAATCATTTTCAAATAAGTTTAACCAATATATCGCGTTTTAAACCGTGAAGTCTTTTATTTAAATGTGTGAAAATCGCGTAAACTATAGACAGTATTTACTTTATTTATATTTTACCGCCGAACCGCCAAATATTATAAGCGATGTTTTGAATTCTTACCTACATGGATGGAAGCATTTGAAAAGTAAATAATTTAATATATTTCGTGTTTTGAACCGTTAATGGTGATTCAAACTAAATACTTTTGCTGTGTACAGTTAGCTACAAAGATATTTTAATACAAGGGTGTTTACTTGTTCTTCCTGCATTGCTTATTCGGGCTTTTGATCTAAAAACGTATTTTCATGTTCAAGTTAGTTCAATGTGAATTATTTCATAAAAATCCTCTAATTCCCAGTCTTCTTTTTTTATTCTCCTTTAAAACTCTTCCTCCGTCATTACATAATTATACATAACATACTTTTTTGTATTCAGATAAAGCGTTCCGCGATCCGCAAAGGTATGGTAATGGTGTCTCCAGCTTTAAACCCGCAAGCATGCTGGCAGTTTGAAGGAGAGATCCTTGTGCTGCATCACCCTACCACCATATCCTCTAGATACCAGGCAATGGGTAAGTACCCATACCTTAATCGTCAACAAGAACTCACCATTCCATTAAGAGTACTAAATTCTGTAGAACAAGGTCTAATCAAGTGGTAAAATTTATGTATGATAATTAAATCGATTAGTTTCTATAACAAGACGCTTCCTTTTAATAGGTAGATTGAATCTGACTAATGTTTGATGCATGGACTTACCTAGATACAGACCTCACTAAACAATGACTATTCCGTTCTTCTACCGATAAACACTGTGGGGTTTTTGTTCTTGTTCACCAAACTTAACTATTCAAATGTGATACATAAAATTATGGCAACATGCGCTTACGCAACGTTTTTGAATAATAGTCAATCAGAAACATGGAGTACTGTGCTGGTTAAATTTTTTAGATTAGATTCATTTGTGTATTTTACACACAAATGACATTAATCTCAGCTTTAAAGATATAGTGGAACCTAACGATGTGTTAAGCAAAAGAGGTCTCAGGTTCGAATCCCCATACGACAATTAGTTGTTTCGGACGGGTGGGACGCAATAGTCTTCTCAAGTTGCCTGAAAATAGAATCTTTCATTGAAACGGACACATAAATGTGTTCGCCCCATGCCCCATACAGGACTAAACGTGTAAAACGTGTTGACAGTGCACTGTGGCAGTATTAGACAGACAGCGTCTATTTTATCGATGTCGCGAGATTGTCTGAGGACGGGAGACAAAGCCCGCGTACGCTTCCGTTTCATCAAGCACCCAGAGTACCTACGCAGGGGACAAAGAATGGTTCGTTTATTTTTTTTTATTAATGTAATAAATAAGATGTTTATTAATACAACGGCATACACATAATATGTGCTTGTTATTTTGACGGGCTCATTGGTCAACAATCAACGGGTCGTCGGTTCATTTTCCAGCAATTAAAAATGGATAATAAATTGTAAAAATTTACGCTCGGCAGGACTTGTGGGTTGCGTTTCGTGTCGTTGGTATAACTAATTGAGCTAGGGGTATTCAAATATACAAAAAAAAATTATTAATTTATATAGTGGCCAACATGTGAAAAATATTAGTCTTCAAATTTCAATTATGGTTGAAATTATATTGCGCGAGAGGTGGATCAATAGATAGGTAAAATACTTATTCATGTTTTCCCGGCATCTAGAAACTCTCGCGCCGGTCTCTCATATGTATTTTACAAGTGCAGTACAGCGAATCCATATAAAAAGACATAACTGCTTTTTCGGCATTCTTAGATAAACTTCGTTTCCTTTTTTGTATCAGGTTTTCCGCGAAGGGCGCACGAAAGCAGTGGGCAACGTTCTACGACCAGAGCCACATGTCCAGCTCACTGCGAGGCACCACCGACATGAGCATAGGCAGCTCAATGCTGTACGTCCTTAATTTCCAGTTTAAAAGTAGTTGTGGAGATTGTATACGGCTTTCGCGGCCATGTTCCACTGGACTACATAGTCGTGGGCTCGAAAACCAATCTCAACAACGACGGCCAGAGTGCTTAAAATACAGAAGTAGATAATCTTGAAATACTAACTGTAATGATCGTACGCATTGAAATAAAACACTTTAACGGTTTAGAACGCGAAATGTATTAGTTAAACTTATTCATAAATTAATTTAACTATTGCCCGACGTTTCGAATGCTTTGCAGCAGTCGTCACATAATTTTCAAATTTACAATATTGTGTTGTAAGATTATTTTTTTTATTCTTTAAAATTAAGGTACTTTAGATATATCGAAGAATTTACTTCATAAGCAAGATTCGAGATATATTTAAGATTGATACCACAAAGTTACATCTGTATTATCTTTTTCAATACATATTTTTTCTGATTTGAACCAGATAGAGGCCTTGTTATGTTATATGTTTTAAATTAATTCACAGCTTCCTTTTTTAGTTTAGTAACCTTACTCTTTATTTCAGGTACAAGAATCAGATGAGTCGGGTGCAAACTCTCCTTTCGAAATGTCCGGTGACAAGAGAAGAAGGACCCGCAAACGTAACGACAAGCACCCACCGCCGGGCGCTTCGTCGGGCTCCGCTGTTGCCGCTAACTAACAATTTCACGATAAGACGGACTCCTATTATTACTCTGTCGCACGAGTTTATTTTAGATACAATAATGTAGCTAATGTGAAATTTTACAAAAGGTAACTGAGTCGATCTAGACCGGTGCCGGCGTTAGGGCGAATAACACCGCATGCCAAAACACGCGCACCCTACAATCATTTTAAGAGTAGTAAACCGGACGAGATGGGGGGTTGCTGGGGGGAAAGTGGTTCCATCCTCTATTCTCCATCATTCAATCGACGTAATGGTGCGTCGTCTTTATATGACGTAGAGCAATTTGAACATATAGGATGATATGATTGATATAACGCTAAACTAACGCCGTCCCCGATCGAGGCGATATCAGTGATGATACTACTATAGAACTAACTATATAGATACCGTCTTTTCATATTGAAAATCCGAAAAAAATAAGCATATCTTTACCAGGTTACTAAACTTAATATTGCACACTTAGCTAATTTCCGTTTCCGTTTATAGTTCATACGTCATATCGTAATCTAACTCTTTTATCAGAAACCACAGATAAAACATATATTTATAACAAAAAATTAAAAGAATTTATTTTTGTTGAAAATAATTATTTGGTATATAATGTTTTGTAAAGTGAATTTCATTCAATCCTTTTTCGTTTGAAGCTTTAATATTTATATCGATGACACAATTAAATAGGCCAGCCTTCCTAACAGCAAGCCTAGAATTCTAAACTGAAATTTTCCTAAACCCACGAATATGCAGCACAAAAAAATTGCTTCTGTAAATATAGATGCAGACTAAATAGAGTAACTGACGACCGCCTAGATTCGAAAAGTACAAGTTGATAATCTTTATTTCTAAAATAATAATGACTACTGTGTACTTTAAAAAAATTGGTTTAAGAGGTATGTGATTATTTTGGTGCAATGACTTTAGTCTCCTAGGTTATTATCATATCATTGATTTAGGTTCTCACTGTAAGTTTTGATTTCTGCAATAATAGACATTTTTTATACTACAAAAATAAGTGCTCCGTCGTGTGTATCGACTATTTCTTTTGATTCTATTATCTTACTCATAAATATAACAATTGTGGAACACGAGGGGGGGGGACATCTGCCGCCTTGGTTCCAACAAAGAAAACAAAAATTTTCCTAAAAGGTAACAAGTAAAAAGGTAATGAGTAAGATAGTAAATAAATTATTATCCAGGTTTTATAATGTGAAAATTGGATATGGGTATGCGCAGTACTCTGGCCTACCATACTCAATATTATGTTTTAAAAATATGACAAACCAAATCATTGCCAAGAATGTGCATAAGTCTTAAAATAATCTGTTACATAAGTATACTTCTGTTACACACTCTGTGCATTCTTGCTTATCTAGTTGATAATATCTATTAGTTATGCTAGATAAAACATTTTTTATATCGAGTACTCAGTATTTTTCTTATTTGATCTTTTAAAGTAGTAAGTAATGGCATATTTTTGTTAGGTTATCCACTTTTGAAAAATAAAACTAGCTCAAATGATGTTTTTTGATTATTTATTTAAAACATTCTAGGTATATGCACAACTAAATTCAACAAAATCTAGATTACTTATTATTTCTTTAGTTGCTTTTTAGCATCATCAATGCCTTCTCTAATATTTTGACTAAATTTCCGTACAAAAGACATAAGCCTATTTACTTTTATTGAATCAACATCAGACAGTTTTTCTTTGCTTCTATAAAACACTGAGACAGCTAGTTGAGCAGCTCGACGTACAGGGTATGATTCTGCAATCCTTTGAACCAGTCTCTCATTACTGGCAAGATACTTGAGTATGGATCGTAAAGGCATATTTATTCATTTAAATGACGTTTCAAATGAGCACATGTTACGGTATTTTTGAAGTAGTTCTCTTTTCAAACGTAGTTGCGTCTGAAGTATTTCAAATTGTTTCAATTGATCTTGTTTATTCAGTTCAATGCCAGGCAGTCTCTTTATCTTAAACATAAAAGAACATTATTTTTTTAGTTTTTCAAGGTTTAACTAAATAATTGAGTTACAAATAATGCATTTAAATGATTATTTTTACGTACAACATGTAGTTGTGGTAAATAACATACTTAATACTTAGTAACTCCAAACGCTATTAAGATTAAACTGTAAAACATACCTGGGTGCGAGCAATATCAAGTTTCTTTTGTAAATCAATAACTTTTAGACTACACCCCTGTGACTCCTGAACTTTTACAGAGTTATCAAGGAAATCCCTTTCAACACTGAAAACAACAAAACAAAAATGGTATTTCAATGCATAAAAAACAAGTTTGATGTGTAGTCTTGTTAATAACATGGGTATAAAATAGTACCTTCTTATTATTTCGTAAACAATTGGCAAAAAATCTACATCTACTTCTTGGACGGTGATGGGACTCAAGCGTTCTGAATGATCAGTATTATTTTCCATGGTTCAATAAAAAACAGAACAAGTATTGTGTTACCCAGGTATTATAATATTAAAAATGAATGTACCCAAGCTTAACCAACTTCAGCTCTCAATCACAGATTACTTCAACTTAATTGCCCTCAATACTAAAGCTTGAAATTGTTTAATACACCATATTTCTCACCTTCCCACAATCAAAGAATATATTTGCCACAGATGTAATAAAGCAATCTTCAATGCCACATTTAAATTATATAATGTTCTTCTTCTTATTATTTTGATGGCTTTCCCATTCTAAATGGATTATGTATAAACTATATGGGTGTTCTAGTAACAATTTAGAATAAAACATCATTAACAAATTTAAGTAACATTTTAAATTTAATGCCAACGTTTAACTACTCACCTTGGATTTGCTATCGATTTATTTTATAATTTGAAGTACACAGATTGTCAAACATTGGCATAAAAATAAGAAAAAGAAGAATGTCAAACATAAGATATCTGTAATCTGTCGCTTAGAAATAAGCATTGTACATTTTGAGTACTCCGTAAACTTGTAATGAATCGAAAACACTACGAAAAGTGGCAAAAGGTTAAAAAATAAAAACAGTGCAGTATGGTTCAGTACATTAGCATTTTTAACAGTAATTTGATAAGAGGCCATTAGACGTATAACTTCAATACAAGAAAAGTAGTATATCATATTATCGTTTAATATTCGGACACAATAATTGGAACACAAATACATAATTCAGAATGGACGAGCTAGCTAAATTAGAGCATCTTTCTCTCGTATCTAAAGTGTGCACCGAATTGGATAATCATTTGGGAATAAATGATAAAGATTTGGGTAAGTTTTAAATCCTTTGCGAAATATTAACAAGCACAACAAACTAGAACTAACATTAAATATTCTTTATTTTTTAGCGGAATTTATTATTGATCTAGCAGACAAAAATCCAAATTTCGACAGTTTTAAAAAAGCCCTTATAGAGAATGGTGCGGAATTTTCAGACTCTTTTATGACAAATTTGCTAAGAATTATTCAACATATGAAGCCAGCAAATAAACAGACTGATGTGGATGGGAATAATGAAAATATTAAAACTTCTAATCCATTAGCTGCAAAGTTTCCTGGGTTAGCTATACCTAATAAAAAAACAGTTTTTTCTTCTGAAGATGAGAGTGACAGTGATGAAAAGACAAAAAAAGGTATTTTAAAAAAAGAAGAGACCAAAGTAAAAGATGAAGTAGTTGACCAGGCTATGGCTGAGTTAGAAGCCTTAGCACCATCAAATATAAGAACTGATGCTAGTTATGACAGTCATAACAAAGAACATAAGGATGAAAAAAGTGCTTATAAATCTGAGAGAAAGAGCAGGCGCGATAGAAGTAGGGATAAATGTAGCAGAAGTAAAGATCGTAGAAGTAGAGATAGAGAAAGAAGCAGGGATCAGGATAGAAGTAGAGATAGGGATAGATATAGGGATCGGGAAAGGGGTAGAGACAGAAGCAGAGGAAGAAGAAAACGTTCCCATAGTAGAACAAGGGACAGATCTCGGGAGAAACACCGGCGATCTACATCTAGGGGGAGAAGATCAAGTTCAAGAACTTATGACAGAGATTCCAGAAGGCACAGGGATTATGGTAAAAAACCAAGAAAGAGAAGTCCAGAAATTGAATTGAGTGATGATCCTGAGCCTGGTAAGGTATGTTTCAAATAAATTTTTAAGTATTTAGTCCTAGAAAGTTTTTGTTAAACTTATTCATACTAATATATTTTTTCCAAACAGATTTACAGTGGCAGGGTTGCAAATATAGTACCATTTGGCTGTTTTGTACAAATGGAAGGTTTGAAGAAGAGATGGGAAGGGCTTGTGCATATTTCACAGTTAAGAACTGAAGGAAGGGTAACAAATGTTTCAGATGTTGTCTCCAGGGGTGACAAAGTCAAGGTTTGGCAACTTGCTTTTTTCTATCTATGAAAACTTACATTTTTCTATGGATTGTTTAGCTTTTTAATAACTTTTGTATAGCTAATGATTTATTTGTTAATATTGCCCATCAATTGTGTACTCAAGAGCCAATAGGTTCTTTAGATGGGAACGACACAGTAAATAAAATAGATCTGTGAAAATTATTTAAATTGCCTAACATCAAAATTTATTCCTTGCCTCATGGGGGAAGTAAGGCTTTTATTCTTGTGTTGTGTTATTTCTTTTAGCTTGACGAACTATTAAACATATTAATGTTTTTTTTTCAAATGTATAATGTTTTTATCAACTACAGGTAAAAGTGCTGTCTGTAACTGGTCAGAAAGTATCACTCACTATGAAAGATGTGTGTCAAGATACAGGAAAAGATTTAAATCCTGCTTCTCATGCGCATTTAGAGGTAAGAAAAACAATATTGTATTTACTACTATTTTCCATTGAGCCACAAATTACAGCTCAGTGATCAGACCATAAAAACTCTTGACTATTGCCGCAGTTAATTCTTAAAAACAATTAGCATGTATTTATATTTTATTTTTGACACAACTTAAAGCATAAAAGACCTGGTCTGGCTTCACTTTGCAGTAGAAGTAATTAAGTTATTTTAAAATATTGTTCTATGTAATTAATTAGACTACATATTCTGAATAATACTCAATACTGCAATAACATCTCTATGATACAAATTAAAGTTGTATAAAAAAATCGTCGTGTTGTTTATAGGCGGAGCGGGAAGGGCGCAATCCCGATAGGCCCCCACCAGCCGCCACTGTACTGGCTGGGCTTCAAGGCAATCTAGACCCAGATGAGGATTCCAGCCGTAAAAGGGTCACAAGAATTTCTAGTCCGGAACGTTGGGAAATCAAACAGGTACGATTTTCTTGTTATTGTTATAAAAAAAGGTTATACAGGTTTGCATACTGTGTATTTAACTTCCCCCGTAATCATGACTGTGAAACATCCAAAACATTGTTATGTACTTACTTCACCAAAGAAACTCTACTATCAATTATTAAATATTTAAATTAGCGTATAATAGTTATGCTAACTAATGCTCACCTACAGTACATTAATGGAAGTGTTGATTGTATGTTATTGATGGCTTTGAAACACCAGGTTAATAATACTTTTTAAACAACCAAAATTAACTGAATTTATAATAATGTGACACGGGTTTCAAAAGTGAGAAACATATGGATTTTATTTAAATTTAATTGTGTTATTATTATATCACAGATGATATCATCCGGTGTAATAGACAAAAGTGAGCTACCAGACTTTGATGAAGAGACTGGCTTACTACCTAAGGACGAAGATGGCGAAGCAGATATAGAAATAGAATTAGTAGAAGACGAACCACCTTTCCTCCAAGGTCACGGGCGAGCTTTGCATGATCTATCACCAGTAAGAATAGTTAAGAATCCAGATGGGTCTCTTGCGCAGGCTGCGATGATGCAGTCTGCTCTGGCTAAAGAGAGAAGGGAACAGAAAATGTTACAAAGGTAAGAATTCCCTCTTGTTTTTTTTTTGTTCTGTATGTATCTATCGCTTAATAAATGTAGTAATTTGCAAACATGTAACATTTCGAAAAACTTTTCTTTAAAGGGAACAAGAAATGGAGAGCCTACCAACTGGGCTGAATAAGAACTGGATAGATCCACTTCCAGAGACGGATGGGTGGGCTCTTGCTGCCAACGTAAGAGGGACAGGTATAACCACACAAGACTTACCGGAATGGAAGAAGCATGTTATAGGAGGCAAGAAGTCTTCATTTGGAAAGAAAACGAATCTCTCGCTTTTGGAACAAAGGCAATCGCTCCCTATCTATAAACTAAGGGATGAATTGATAAAGGTATGGAAAACTTACTGATTAATAAGATATTTTAATTAAAGTAGAAGAAAATCACCATCTAGTGGAAAATGGAAAATGAAGTTAATACACAATAAACTACGTTAATAATATTAGGTCTTATGTTAAACTATAGATGTTAACTGATATGTAAAAATCAATAATAATTTGACAGAGATTGTATCAGGCTATTGTTTAAACAAAATATTTATAAAAATTCAAGCTGATATCTAATATATTATTTACAGGCGATATCTGACAACCAAATCCTTATAGTCATTGGTGAAACAGGATCAGGGAAAACAACACAAATCACTCAATATGTAGCCGAATGTGGGCTGACAGCCAGGGGCAGGGTGGCCTGCACACAGCCTAGACGTGTGGCCGCTATGTCTGTAGCCAAAAGGGTGGCTGAAGAATTCGGTTGCAGATTGGGACAGGAAGTAGGCTATACTATCCGTTTTGAAGATTGCACTTCACCAGAAACAGTTATTAAGTAAGTTTTCCTTTTTCCAAAGTAATGCAAAGATTTTCAAATATCTTTGCATTACATTCTATCTTAAATATTTTATTAATAAACTCATCTTGGACTTGAATCGAATTCTCATGAATTATTTGCATTTTTGATATGAAGTCCACAATTGTTTAATCCCAATGGAACAAAACAATCTTTTAAGAACAAGCCTGCCATTAGACACTTAAAATTTATTACAATAACTTTTTCATCTTTAAACTAAAGGCTGAAATTTATTTTTATAATAATAAATCTATTTCAGATACATGACAGACGGTATGTTGCTCCGCGAGTGTTTAATGGATTTGGATCTCAAGACCTACTCCGTGATAATGTTAGACGAGGCCCACGAACGGACGATACACACCGACGTCCTCTTCGGGTTACTGAAGCAAGCGGTGCAGAAACGCCCCGAGCTCAAACTCATAGTTACTTCCGCTACATTAGACGCTGTTAAATTCTCTCAGTACTTCTTCGCCGCCCCCATATTCACGATCCCAGGTAGAACGTTCCCCGTAGAAGTGCTGTACACTAAGGAACCCGAAACGGATTACTTAGACGCTTCTCTTATAACTGTGATGCAAATCCACCTCAGGGAACCGCCTGGAGACATCCTCCTATTCCTTACGGGACAAGAAGAGATTGACACGGCATGTGAAATTTTGTATGAGCGGATGAAGTCGCTAGGACCAGATGTACCAGAACTGATAATTCTGCCTGTGTATTCTGCTCTACCTTCGGAGATGCAGACGCGTATCTTCGAGCCTGCCCCGCCAGGATCCCGAAAGGTGGTCATAGCGACGAATATCGCTGAGACCTCGTTAACAATAGATGGTATTTATTATGTGGTGGATCCTGGATTTGTTAAACAGAAGGTGTATAATTCCAAGACAGGAATGGATTCTCTTGTTGTAACCCCTATTTCTCAGGTTTGTTAAAAAAGTTTTTTAGAGTTGTACTAAAGTTTTATAACATTGGCACCGCGTAGCGCAATTAATCCTTTTAAAGTACAATCAATAAGGAATGCTCATAATGGTTTTTTATATAAACTTGTCTTAAATTATTTTAGGCAGCCGCAAAACAGAGGGCGGGTCGAGCTGGGCGTACAGGACCCGGTAAATGCTACAGACTGTATACAGAACGCGCATACCGAGATGAGATGTTGCCTACGCCGGTACCAGAAATTCAGAGGACAAACCTTGCTACCACAGTTAGTACTAAGCACAGTATTCTAGATTTGTCTATGATATTAGTTTAAGTTTTTTATAATGTTTTATTATCTATTCAGGTGCTGCAGCTAAAAACAATGGGTATAAACGATTTATTGCACTTCGACTTCATGGATGCACCACCTGTGGAGTCGCTCATCATGGCACTGGAACAGCTACATTCTCTTTCTGCCCTGGACTCAGAAGGATTGTTAACAAGGCTCGGTCGGAGGGTTAGTAAAGCACTTATAATTACCTTCTCTTATCTTGAGAATTTTTTGGGTTCAAGGTTCTAAAAAAATTAATTAAATACTCGCCTGTAAATTAAAATCGATCAAGCACTAAACCCGTCTGTCCCATGGTTGGGCAAGAGTGGTATTATAATTCTAAAAATAAACGCAATTAATAAATTGTATTTTCATTTCAGATGGCAGAATTTCCACTTGAACCAAACCTTTCGAAAATTTTAATAATGTCAGTTGCTCTACAATGTTCTGATGAAATTCTAACTGTTGTCTCGATGCTTAGTGTCCAAAACGTATTCTACCGACCGAAGGACAAACAAGCTCTTGCTGATCAAAAAAAAGGCCAAGTTCAACCAACCGGAAGGGGACCACTTAACATTACTTGCAGTGTACAATAGCTGGAAGAATAATAAGTTTTCAAATGCATGGTGCTATGAGAACTTCGTTCAGATTAGGACATTAAAACGAGCACAAGATGTCAGGAAACAGCTGCTTGGGATCATGGATAGGTGAGTTAGATATTCATAATTTAACATTATTTTGTTATAAATAATTACATGTAATTGTTACATTAATGTTTTAATTTCAGACACAAACTTGACGTCGTGTCAGCAGGAAAGAATACTGTTCGTATCCAGAAGACAATATGTTCCGGTTTCTTTAGAAATGCAGCAAAGAAGGATCCCCAGGAGGGATATCGCACTTTGGTTGACAGCCAGGTTGTTTACATTCACCCCTCAAGTGCGCTTTTTAACAGACAACCAGAGTGGTAAGTCAATAAAATAATTTATCTGTGGAATTTCTTGGCTTAAATAGATTGTGTGGATTATTATAAAATGAATTGTTTTTTAGGGTGATCTACCACGAGTTAGTGCAGACAACGAAAGAATATATGCGCGAAGTCACTACCATAGATCCTAAATGGTTAGTAGAATTCGCACCAGCCTTCTTCAAATTCTCAGATCCTACAAAATTGTCCAAGTTTAAGAAGAACCAACGTCTCGAGCCCTTGTACAATAAGTATGAAGAACCTAATGCCTGGAGAATATCAAGAGTGCGAAGACGAAGAAATTAATTACAAGAAAAAAAAACAATCTATTCAATCCAATTCGTTGTTTTATTTCGTTATCATTTATTTAGATATTGCTTCGCAAATCCATATACTTGCATTAAAGAAAATAGAGGAGTAAATTTAATCGTATATATTAAGGGAAACTTAGCATATATAAAACTTTTGTTGTTTCCTAATTTCCATGAAATTGTGTGTAAATATTGGTTAGCCACGAGAATATATTTTTGTCTATTTTCTGCCGGTCGCATACACGCACAATTAAAATTACTTTTTTCTACCAAAATATTCCTTAGATACAATTCATAATATAGTGAATTAACATTTCCCGGATCCCTTGGTGTTATGAGAAAAGAGCAATTCTAATAAATTTATGAAATTTTAAATAATGAAAAGACGCAAACTACTATGCTCTGTCCTATTTGTCAATTGTCACATTTAACCTATAATAATTATAAAAATGTTAATTTATTTATAACTTTTTTTAGTACGAATACAAATTAAATTTATTTAATGTCTCGGAAATAAAGGTTAAATAATGAGGCGCTTTTCCCGGTAACAATCGCAATACTTGACGACAACACACACAAATAGATCATTCTGTAGTATTAAGAATATATATCTATCAAAATTATTTAAGAGACTATTTTAAAGTTTCAATTCAAAAGGTATTAATATAACTTTATAGGTAACAAATATTTACCATTGGAGAAGATATGTTAGTTTGCAGGAAAAAAGCAAATATTGCGAATAAAATTTGTCAAATTGTTTATATATAATGGATTTCCTTTCGGAGATTATCGGTGAAGCTGTTGTTTTGAGTATTGACTCCTTAATCCTTGGATTTTGTGTGAAACAGCTTAGTAAATGTAAACATATACTAAATGCATTACAGGTAAGCATTATATAATGCTTAAAGATCATATCACCAGATAGATATTAATTGTTATTGAAAATTACATTTATTTCTTCTGCAGACAGCTCCTGTCCTTGATATTGATAACAATCTAAAAAAGGAGATCCAAAAGTATCCCAATCATGTGATACCCTATGTAGTCGTAAGGGGCCTTGTAAAACCATTGGGTAATCCCATTACAAGTAATTACAATCAATCAGTTACTGGAGTTATTCAAAGGTAAGTAAGTAAAGTCGTATAATGTGTAGTAATTAATGTTCTACTAGTCAAGATATTTGTTTGGTTCACCAATTTTCTTTGGATTGTTGTGTTGGATCTAAGCACTTTCAAAAATTTCTCCTGTAAAATTGAAGACCTAGCATTACTTAACCATTGCCTTCCATTAAATAAAATAAAGAAGGAAACAGTTCATATAATTTAAATACTATTCCCTGTTGCAGATTAACTATAAAGGAACATGTTATAGCACGAACATCGGCAGGTTTCTGGTCAGATCAGACTCGTACAATCCATGAAGCATGCAATTCTACACCATTCGTATTAACCGATGGAAAGTATAGTATTGAGGTTGTAGATGCTTTAGCCGCTGAACTCTTAGGTAAACCAACGTTATACTTCATATTATACAAGTAAAGTTATACATTAGGTTTCTATTAATGTAGATTATGGGGAAATGGGTGAAATGGTCAGCGGACAACGTGGACCGATCACCCGTCCTGCCAAGGGTGTCCCCGATAGAAAATAATAATAATAATAATGAATGTACATTATTTATAGATTTGGATGTTATTTCTGATAAATTTGAGCCCATGTCGCCTGGTGTGATCGATCATGTTTGGGGTTTCTTCTCTGGTGTCAGGCAAAGAGGCCTCCAGACTATGGAAGAGATGTTAAGAGATGGTTCCTATATAACAGCCATTGGGGAACTAAGTAGAAATAACTCAGGACTAAAGATACAACCACCAAGAGATGGACTACCACTTTATCTTACTACTGCTACCAAGTCTAGCTTATTAAAAAGGCTAGCAAGTTCTAGAGATCTATTAAGGTATTGAATTTATGTTCATAATGTATTTTATTATGTTATGTGCTTTCTATTAACTTAACATCTACTACTTTTATTTTTAATGCAAAAATTTTAATATTATTTTTAGTAAGTACTAAACATACCTTTTATTTTAAAATGATAATTTCTGTATTTTAGAGTGTTTTTGGTGCTATTTGGAGCTGTAGCCGTTATTGCATCTGGTCGGATTGCCCATAAGTATATCAAGCGAAGGAGAAGACGTGTTGCAGAAGAACATTTAAAAAAGCAGTTAGCGGCCGGACGGAAAGAGAGACGCGCGCAAAATCGGGATAGAAATCTTCATGATGTTCAACTTTGTGTTGTTTGTACAGACAATCCAAAAGAGGTTAGTGTTTTTTTGATGATGTTGACCAAGTTAAAAAAGTGAGAGGCCAATATACATTTAAAGAAAAAAATGTCTTAGGTTATTATACTCATGAGTTAATGTATATGTACATACACATAGTTTTAGTCAGGTAAAACTTGATATATTTTTCTGCATTTAAAAATTGTATATTTGTTTTATTTTAGATAATACTACTACCATGTGGACATGTCTGCCTTTGTGAAGATTGCTCTGAAAATATTCAGGACACCTGCCCAGTTTGCCGCGAAAGAATCCAGTCTCGCGCACCTGCCTTTATTGCCTAGGTGTAGCTTTTTATTAGGTAAATATAAGAAAATGATACAAATTGTTTAAGGCTTTAAATTTCCTGAGTTCAGAGAACCACACATAAAATTGTTATTTATTATCATTATAGGACTATAATTTTGACTTTGGTCTGTATAGAATATAACCAACATGAAATTGTAAAAATATATATATTTAATAAATATAGTTTCATGTACTTAGTTTATTTAGTGTATTTATAAGATCTATGATTTAATAATGTTAAAATGCTATACTAAAACAATCACCTCCATGGGTTCCAGCACAGGTATTTTCTTCAATCACATCTTCAGTTTCATTCGATTCCTTTTCATCATCTTTATTTGAATCTTTTAGACTATATTCCTTAAGCAGAATATTTAGTTTAGGATTTCCAGATAATTCATCATTTGAATTGTTCTCTGTACTTGTACATTCATTATCAATATTCTTATAACTCGCTTTATTTTTATTACACCCAGATTTGCACAGTTTCCCCTGAGATAAACAATTCTTTTTCTTAAATTCATTATTTAATTCATCAATTTCTTTTAATTTTTGCTCTGTCTGGTATTGTTCTAGCATTTTCTTTGCTTTTGAAGATTTACCAATGCCTAGTTTAGGCAACCCTTTATTTAAACCCTCAAGAAGTACACAAGCCTTGCAGACTTCTTGTGACGATACAAATTTGCACCTTGAACACACCCTTAATGTTGGGAGTGAGACTTCTTCCTTTACAGCTAATGTTTCACCTAAAAATGATATAATCATTAAACTCACAGAGTCAACAAACAACTACCTACCTAGTAAGTAAGTTATAGTAATAATAATTCAAAAATAAATAATAATACAGCTAATGAAGAAGTTAAATTGATACCTGAATATATAATGTCCATTATACATGAAGGCCTAACTTTTTCCAAGTCTTTGAGTAAGGCCCTTGCATGTCCTCTGTATGCATTAGGTGCAAAAACGCACTCCGTTGAAAAATATACTAACTGCTTATAATGTGCATACATGACAATCTCTTTTTCGTAAGTGTACTTCAAGGGTTTAACTCTTGGAATTGTACCTTCACTACCCTGTAAGAAATTTAATTATAAATATACAATGAATAATGTCAACATTTTGCCATTATAACTCAAGACATTATTATGTTACTATACTTACTGTGGTAATTGCAGTGCATCGTTTTAACCTAGCAATATCTCCTCTTAAAATATTCATTAAAACCGTTTCAGCAATATCATCTGCATTATGACCAGTAGCTATACATTTCACATTTAACATTGCCGCTCCTCTGTCGAGCGCTTGCCTTCTAAAGACACCACAGAAAGTACAATTATTTTTCCTTCCAATTTGTTCAACAATTTCATCCATTGTCCAACCATAGAGATCTTTGTATGATAGGATTTTTAACATCATTTCATAATCATCTCTATTTCTTTTAACAGTTTCTAAACTGTCATCTCGATAGCCAGTAATTCCTTCATCGATGGAGAGTAACATGAGTTTAAGACCATAGTCATATCGTTGGTTTAGTGTTTTCAATACGTGGGCAAGCACCGTCGAGTCCTTACCCCCAGATGCGGCAACGGCAACATAGTCGCCTCGTTTAAATAATTCTCCCTTGGTAATAGTAAAGTGTATTTCGGTTTCGAAAGCCCAAAAAAAACATTCCTTACACAAGGCATCTCCTGTCTTAGGTCGCTAAATAAAAAGAAAATTAAATCAATAACTACAAACAGTGTGAACGAGCATGTTAATTGTTGTTTAAATTTAGGTTACCTTTAACATAGCGTTTTTGCCACATCCTGTTTTACAAGGTATTGGCATTTTAATATATGACGTGGAATCGAGTCTTGGTATATTAATAAAAGTTATTAAGAGTGTACATTAGGCCGAATTGAAAATTTAAATCAAGTTCACATATAATTACAAATATATAACATTTGTGTTAAATGACAGTTCAGGACTATGACTTTAATGTTGTGATAGAGTGTCTGTGGTAAAAGATACTACACCGAGAGTATCGTTTTTTTGGTGGATACCGAGCATTTTTTAAAGTACTTTGCATATGAAACGGCATTAATATACAATAAAAAAATGGAAACAAAATGAATCTAATTCTCAGAATAATAATTAAGGCATTGACGCTATTTTGAAAATTAAGTAGCTTTTAAAGTTTTCAATGATGAAATTGTCACTTTAATTATTAACCCACACTTACTAGTATAGGTTAATTTTGTTGTACACTAAAGTTGTTATAATTATTGTCAAATACTGTATTCTTAAAACGATTGAGAACCGTCTGTTAAATTATTCAGTGTATAAAAAATATTAATATGTTTAAATATAAAAAAAAAAAATATTTTTTTTACGTCAGAGACATCCTCCATCTTTACCTCCATCGCGTTTTAAACCGTTAAAGTGTTTTATTTAAATGTTTAAATATAGCCAATGGTTTATATGTGAAGTCATATTTCACCCTGTGTCTTTTTTATTATCTGTGATAACAATTACAATTTCATGCCTTTACAAGAAAAGTCATTAGAATTTTGAGTCTATGGTTGCCACTTGCCAACTAATAATGCACTTCCAGCACAATACTTCGATAAGCAATTGCGAAAGTAACAAAAACATCAAAATTACATGGCTACTTTAATTTTTATTAAATTAAAGTTTTAAATAGTTTACCTTGTAACATACAAAAAATGCAACAATTTCCTATATTGTTATTATGAAATAAACTGGTTTGATAGGCGGTGATGGTTGATGTGTCTAGTTAACGGATTGTGTGCAGAGTCAGTGTGAATTGTATTTTAAAATTCAGCAGTGCAAATTGTTCTTTCCCTAACAATATGCATGAATTGCTGAAGCATGTTCTTACTGAGCGCGATCTAACTCGAGCGGGTGACATCTTCGCTATACCTGATTGTGATATCGTCAACGATATAAACGAAGTTGTAAGTAGGAAGAATGAGCAAAAATAGAAGAAACACTCTTATATTGCTACTTTATCAATAAGGAATGAAATATAAATTTGTTCTTTAAATTATATATGATTGCATGCATCACTAGAAAGGGCCATACATTTATAAACTTTGAGTGAAAGTTGTAATCAATATGTTCTATTAATATTGATATAATATTTTCTATTTATGTCATCTATCCACAATAAATGATTACATAATCCTGTAATTCAATATTTATAAAAAGATTTATTTAATGAAATGTATAGTATAGCATTTAATTTCAAAAATTATTTTGTTTAATATGAATCTAATATTTTTGAACTACCTAATATTTTCATTCCTCTGTAATCTTTATTCTTGAAAGTAGTGATTTTGCTATTATATATTGTGATGTTTTGTGACCCAACATTAGATTAACAGTTCAGATAAAAAATTATCAGGCACAATCAATTTCCCAAAATATGTAGGATTGCTGATATTTCTTTTGGATTCATGATAATGACGAGTTTATGCTATATAATATAATAACAATATTTTAAAATGTTATTTTCAGTTAAAACAAATAACAGAAATATCATCCCATTCGGACTACATATGCAATGATCGTGACCAGGCTCTTATTGAGATATGTATTACAAGAGTCACATCCTGTATCAAAGAAACAGGAACTCTGGAGAAATACTGCAGTGCCCTAGTAGCTCTACTTGAATCATGTCTTCATCATAACCTGATGCCTGTTGGTCATCTACGAGATGATGATCCTCCACATGCCAAAATTGCTTCTGATGTTATTTCTTGTATAGTACTTGTGAGTTTGAATTGTAATTATTTTATATACAATACACTATTAAAAATATATAACGCAAACATTCAAGCTACATATATAAGTAATAGATTAGGAACCAAGGTCATAGTTAATGTATTGTTTTTATATTATCAGGTGTCATTTCCCCTTCAATCAGATAAAGAGACAGGCAATACAGCAGAAGTGATGGAGCTATTTTTACCTGTAGCTGTACAGTTCTTACACAAGGGAAATAGAGAGATATCGAGACATATGGCCAGATATTTGTCACTTGCTGCTTTGCACCATGCAGTCTTATTAAAACCTCATGTACAAACTATTATGGACTCTATTATGTCAGGTAATTAATGAGAAAATATGGTGAAGAGTCAGTCTCATACAAAAATAAGGTCAATTTTGAATACTGAAAAAACGGCAATCTATATAATCCTATTATTTATTTTATGGTTGTGTGTGTGTTCTAATTAGAACAGTTGTATATGTATGTAGTTATATTGACTGTCAAAATATCAAGTCTTTTTCAAGGTTCTTAACATTTTTGTTAAAAGAAAAATATTTATAAGTTCTTGTTATTGATCTTGTGTTAACATGTAAGGAGCTGGATTAAATAAATGTTCCAGGAAACTATCCTCTATGCCGTATCCTGACCAATTTATACGAAGTCTGCCCTGAGCCACTCGAGGGTCATGTTACCGCACTGGTAGCTCTACTTCCACATGCAGAGCCAGTTGAGAAGAGCTCTCTGTTTGGTCTTTTCGAGCAGATTGCGGCCAGGAGGCCAGAAGCACTAAAGACGGCTGTACCACAGCTCCTCTCCTATTTGTGTTCTAACACAGCACCACAGAATGTTCCAGGTTGCATGTGCATTGATTTACTGCAGGTACGATAAACCTATCATATTGCTTTTGTCTTAAACATCTTTGAAAACATTTTTTAATCACATTACATTATGTTATAAATACACTTCATTGATGCCCATGTAGGCATTAAATTAATTATTATATAAAAATGAAACATTTATTTTAGATTGATCAAATTCGATAACACCGGCAGGAAATAAGATACTTGTTTAAAAATAATTCTATACATTATTGTTTAATCTAATCTAAATCTTAAAACGCAGGTCATCGCAAGTGTGAGTGGAAGCAAGCCCAGGTTGGTTGTGGAACAGACGAGTGTAATAAAACGAGCGGCTCGACCACCTCATGCCACAGCCAAAAGCACTGCTCTCATCGCCACCATCTTGGCTAGGCTGGGGAATACTAGTCAAGTTAGTACTAATAAAATGTATTCTTCAACCTCCTGTGACTTGTTGATTTATTGTATGTGCAAAAGTTTTTATTTTGTAATATAATATAGTTATATATTAATAAAAACTACCTTTAAAATTTACTTATGATCCTTTTTAATGTATATAAAGTTACATATCTAAACCTGAAATTGGTGCTGAAACCATTTCATCAACACCGGTGATAATTTGGAATTGTTTCACCCAGTTAATGTCTTATATATTGACATGCTTTTTAGTAAAAGATAAGTTTTCTAAACGGTACCTATGTGTGCACCGTGTGATATTCCACCTAGCCGTACGTGTCGGCTAGTTTTATGGAATATCACCAATGTGTGTAATTAACGGGGACCAATGTCTTAACATGCTTTCCAAAGCAAAGAATGAAACCTTGCCTCCTCCTTAACACCGAGCTAACATTCACCCGACTTGGGAATTTTACCTGGGGCCTTTCGGTCAACAGTTTAACAGTTTGACCATTAAACCAAAGAGTGACAGGCACCCAGGAATAATAATATACATAATTTGTCTTTGAATGTGTTTAGTTAATGAAAAAAATTGTTTTATAGGAACGAGCACAAGAAGCGCTAAACTTCGTCGTGGAGCGTCTGCATGGCGCGGAATGGTCAGAACAAGCTGCCCTAATACGCGAAGCGACCGCTCTATGCAGTGCCTACCCAGCGCTGTTTACTGATCGACTACTAGCAGCCTTGCGAGCTAACAACAGGTATGAAATCATATGTAACGTACGCAACGGAAACCCACAAAGATAAAGATAGGTCAAATTCTTCTTCTTCTTCTTAGTTTCTTTCGTACTATTAGTCGTAGCGCGATTTTTAGCCTATAGCCTTACTTTATATATTAGTATAGAAATGTTTTAAATACATACAGTATGTAATCTATCAGAGTGTTACAACAACAATTTGTTCTCCCGCAGTAACCGTCCGAAGTCCAGTCACGGTGAAATAAATAGGACTTCTGGAGGGATAACAATAGTCAAACTGGGTGGGCAGAATTCGAGTAATGACGTCGTCACGATGCGACCGGTCACCGGACCCGCTCCGGTCATGGCGGGCGCGTCAGTTGTGACGTCACCCCCCCACTCCTGCAGCCCCCGTGGGGTACACTCGTCGCGCTAAATTAGGCGACTCCCGTAGCACTGGGAGACTACATCCAGGACCCAATTCGCACAGGAGTATGACGCGGTTGAACGTCGCTGGTAATTGAATAATGAATTTTACATATACCAAACAGTCATACCTTTTAATATAAATAGCAATTTGACAAACATAATATAGCCACAATCACTGAACCAATCTGGTTGGTATATTTATAAGTATTGTAGGTAGGTATTCTTCTGTGAATATCAGTGTTACCAGACGTCCTAATTATGAAATAAAAATAACTAATTTACCATAATTTTAGCTCCAATAGAAGTATCAGAACATCAAATCACTTGTTAACACTTTTTCCATTCACAATAAACTATTAATAGCATTTAATATATATGTACAGAGTATTAATTTGTTAATTTAGGCGGTTCTGTGGGCGGCTTACACAAGAGCATGACACGACTTTCCTCATCACAACAAATCAATGCACAAAACGCAAATATGCCAGCATCAGGTAACAAATACTTACACTTCCATAATAAAGAAAACTGAGTTGTTAAACTTCGATCACACTTTTTTTATATCGCTCCAGAAGTATCAATTAATTTCTGTCTTACGAACTCTTATTTTGTTTGCAGTTCCAAACAACAAAAATGTCGTCACAAAGTCTGTGACAGGAGCTCTACCAGTTTCGGTGAGTTTAACGTCAGTCAAGTATTGACCAATTGCATACGACTTCTCATTAAATCTACTTAATTTAAAACCACTTGATACATATATTGTATAATTAATACTATTATTTCTTAGTAATTCTTTTCATCCCCTCCTTAGCAGCTTTAAAGATGCAATAGAGAATGAACATTTAGAGTGATTTTAAAAGTTAAATGTATTTTTAACAACTCAGAAGAATTAAACTGTATTTCCAGGCATCTGGAACAACGATAATATCGTCACCCCCTTTCACATCCCAATCGATATCCGTGAACCCGCTCATCGGTAAATCCTCTGAAATAACGCCCATCACTTCGTCAGTCTCCATCCAGCACTCAAACACCGCCCTCGGCCACGTATCCGTCATCACGTCCTCGTCAGCCGTCCCCATCTTGACCCAGATCGGCACGAATCCGGTTTCCATATCCGGGCCGGTGACCGTGACCTCCCGAAGAACGAACAACACCAGCGTGACGATGATAAACACGAATAATAACGAGGGGAACCACCGCATCTCCGTGTTCGAGCCTTACCCGATGAGGGACACGGTGCAACACTTCTGCGAGAAGCACTTAGACAAGATAAAGGCGTACATGGATAATGTTTCTCTGAGGATACCGCCACCAGCCAAGTGTACCATTGAAGGTAACTTGAAATTGGAATATTAAACTATTATGCTATAAGTAGTGTAAATACTAATTTGGGATCATCGACCTTATTATTAAGTTTCCAAAATATATTCCACGCAGCTTCGAAGCTAAAGTTATTAAACATTTTTTTTTTACAATAACCACACATTTCAGAGCTATACCGCTTATATATATATATTGCTTTTTTTTACAATATCAATCATAAATTGGTCTAAATGTAAAAGATGTTAGAAACAACTAAAGTTTTGTTAGGGTCACTAGATTTAAAAAAAAATCTCTTTCGTACAAACTTATAATATATGTATTTAGTCTTTGTAATTTATTGATATTTTAGTAATAACTTTTCATGTAATTCCAGAGCGTCGTTCTAAAAAGCAAGCGCGTCTGCAGTTCGCGTGCGGTCGCCGCGGGCCGCATTGCCTCTACGCGCGCTCTGCGTTCTCTTTGCGCACTCGGGCTCCCCGCGTCTGGATCCACCTGATGTTCCTAGCGCTTCAGGCGAGGCACGCCGCCGCCCTCTCGTCCCGGGACCCAACGGTGGCCAGTTTGAAGCACTGCTGGGATATACTCAAGTGCGAGAACAAGACTTTCCTTACGCTTGTCACCAGTGCCTTTCCTGGATTGAAGGTTGGTAGACCGTTACCATCATTTTGTGTCTGGACTGTTACTGTTTTGTTTCCGAAAACCTTGACGAAAGAAGATAAGTATGTCTTTTCGCTTATGTGCGGAAAGGGACAGACGTATCACTGAGCCTTGTTCTCTGATTAATTTTTGCTTCAGAAAAGTAGTCCATCATACCTCTATGTCGAACTCTGGACCTCGATACTTTAAATCATTGATTTTTGAAGAGGAAATAACCTTCAATATTGTTCCATCGATACAAAGCTTAGGCAGTGTTATAATATCTAAAGAACTTTACTGTCGAACTTTAACGCATTTTCCATTTGTGGACGATGGTTTATAACACAGACAAAATTTGGATATTCTCACCAGCACCACCTATTATATAGTTCCTAAAAAATAAAATATAGAGTACTTTGTAGGAACAAGAGATGCTCATCAACGAACTGCGAGCTGCGGGTTTCTTCGACGTGTTCGAAGTGAACACGTCACGCGAGGGTTCAGTTTCGCCAACTCATGCCACGTGGGGTTGCTTCCTATGCAACCACCCAGAACGTGCGGTCGGCTTCCTCGCGGCCGACGGACAGCCAGTCATCGAGGGGCAGTTGAAAGAGAAGAAAGGGAGATGGAGACTCTTCAGGCGGTGGCGGACTAGATATTTCACGCTGTCCGGAGCACATCTATCGTGTAAAGGATCGGTGAGTGAAATATTGAATTCGAAGAAATTATTTAAATGCGAAAGCGATGTTATGTGAAGGCGATTCTTCGTGTCATTAGAAAAGTTATGCGTTTCGTTTTCTTAACATACACGCAACTGACTTACTGTCTGGTGTCTGTGCCGTTAAATCAAACGCTTTATTGGCTTTGGTTTCAGTACAAGGAATTTACGCATTCAATCAAAATCATACACAGACACAGGTGTTATTGTGTATGTGTGCATTGATAAAATTCAAAGTATTTTAATAACACTTTAACGGTTTAAACACGGTATATATTAGTTCAACTTATTTGGAAATTATTTTAACTGCGGTCCGACGTTTCGGATGCTTTGCAGCAGCTATAGTCACGGGGAGGCTAAAGGCGCCTCTAATGTCAAAGTGAAAACTGCTACGCTAGCGCCATCTGTTCCGTCGTAGTTGGTATTAGCCCGGTCCTTGCAGAATGGACTAACGGTGTCTGCAAGGACCCGGCCAGTTTCGTAAACTACAGAAAGTTTTTAAACTTTTTATTAATACACATTTCTTTCACCTGGTAATGATTTTTTCAGAGCGGCGGAGAAAGCATAGATATCAACCAAATTCGATCCGTGAAAGTATCACGCGGCGCCAGGAATATTCCGAAAGCCTTCGAGATTTTCACCGGCGACCAGACACTGATACTGAAGCCTAAAGACGGAAAGAACGCGGAGGAGTGGGTTCAGTGCCTGAGTATAGCAGTCGCGCACTCTCAGGCGAGGGACACGCCCGCTAAAGCGAACAGCCTGCCTGCCAGGGGACTCACTCTTAAGAGTTTTTGAGACCGATGAAGATACAAGACTGACAAGTTTCAGGTACTTAATATAAAAGACTGTATGTGGGTCAGTTAGGGGGCGCTCTTTCATAAATTGCGTCACTAATTTTAAGTTACTATTCTTTACGCCTCCTAGCCTGGTCACATTGGTAAGAGCGAATTTAGAACCTCCTTCTTCCACGTGATAGGTGACGTCAGTTATACCCTTGCAGTGTCTTAACTATACAAGAAAGTAACCTCAGTGTAACCATTTTTCAGCCAGTACTTAATTTTTGGTTTAGATTACTATAAGTATAGATGTTGGAAATAACAATATATTGTGCCTTTTATATGTCTAATATACAGTTTCATTAATAATACAACTTTATATTATTAGTTATAGGTATAGTATGTGTGTATCTAGTATATTTTTTTTAATATTATGACTAAGTATCACGTATTGTGCCAAGTTCTGTCTTAGTTGTTTATAACATTCCCAAATTAAAGATAAATACCAGATTTATTGGTTTAAGTATGAAATGTAAAAAGTGCGTTGTGATATACAAAACGTCCAATAATAATTTACGGTTGTACTTTTTGACTTTTTTTTATTCTTTAAAAGACAGTTTATATTTAAAGTACAATAGCTTGTGGCCCTGGAGATTCTGATAAACAGGCCATGGGTTAAACAGTGACTTATATTAATTATAAAACAATGTAAAAAAAAAAATAACAGTTTAAAAATCACAAGCAAGGTAACCAAGCTTGGTTATTTGGCCAGGCGGTTTGTTAGATTGTCCAAGGAAACACGTAGGTGTAGATTTTTACTAGCAATGGCTTTGTACATTAAGTTAGAATATACGTCTCATGACATAATTATTGTAGAATTGTTGAGTATTTATAAATTGGATTTTATTTGTTATGAGGACTGAATGCTGGTGTTATTGATTATTAAATGATTCCTTGAACTACTTAAATTTTCAGGAATAATCATGTTGTTTAAATTTTTAATCGATAACGTATGTCTCATTGGTAGTCGATAGTGACAAATTCTTTCGTCTATTTAGGAAATAAAAGGGGGAAAAGCCATGATTCCTCTTAATTCAAATACTCGTGAGTTTTTAAAACTTTGTTATTAAATTAAAACATTTACATGAAGTTCAAAAAGTTGTGTAAGAAATTGTATTCTAAGTAACAAAACATTCAGTTTTTTGTCTGTAACTATTGTAGTATTTATTACGTAATAATAATATTTATCATCGTGTTTTGTATATTTTGTCGGTATTGTAAAATATATTTTCTAAAGTGTAATATGTAAAGGCCTTCTAAGAATTCATCAAGTTTTAATTTATATAAATACCTATTTCAACATAATATCATTATTGATTTTTCTGGAAATATTGATATTTAGACCACTTCATTTAAACCCACCCACCGTAAAACAGTATACACTTAGAATGCTACACTGCCCAGTTGATAATATTATGTTTAAAGAATTTAATGTGCTTACAAATTGGTGCTCTTACATACTTTAACAAATTGTACTTAAAATAATAAAGCTTTTAATACAAGTTATTAAGTGTCTAAAACTTTCCTTATTTTATTTCTTTCATTGGTTTTAAGTGAGTATATTGATGATATTTATAATAATGTTGATAAAAATAAAATCCAACATCATCGAAATTAAACTTTATCACGTGCTATAAACTATAACTATTAAATTTCCTTTAACAATATATTAACTAACCTATTTAGTAATTCTATTTTAAAGTTAGTACTTTCTTAAACACCTTACGTTAATACGTAGATATTTTAGACTGAGTTAGTAAACTACAAGAATGCGCCAGGTATCACACAACGCAGTTGCTTAATGAATCCGTCGTTGGGCCGTATAGCTGGTCTTTTGCTTTTAACCAAAGCATGCGCCTCTTCATAAGACATTCCTTCATATTGCATCAAATATCCAATTGCAACCAAGGACGTGCGAGATACACCTGCATTGCAATGGACTAGTACATTCTCCTTTCTCTTTATTGCCTCCTTCAAAAACGGTAAGCTCTCCTTTAACACAGGCACTACATTAGAGTCTGGTAAATCTAAAATATCTAGTTTTTTATTATTTACAGAAACATTCACATCCACTCCTAGACTCAAGACATGCTTTATATTATGTGTGTGTAATATATTGTCTATTGCACAATCTTGTGATCCTATATACAGATGCTCTAATATAAGAGCTGGTGTATCATCTGGATCCGTGTCCACTACAAAGCCATATCTATTTTCACCAATTTGTTTAGTCTCAGCGTTTGTCACTAGAAACCGCTTACCATCAACATTAGTTATGACTGTTGTTGTCCCTCTTAGTTTATTCCTTTGCTGCTTAATTTTGTCTATGAAACTCATTTTAATGTTTACAATATTATATTTATAACTTGATTTCCCTATCCTCGTTTTGTAATATATCACTACTTTCAGCTTCATATATTAAATCTTGAGGATTATACTCAACATTGCACAGATAAAGGCCGTCAGGTGGTGAAGAAGAGACATGACTAAGCCAAGAATGCTTTGAAGGTATCTGTAGCATTAACTTTAGGTCATTTATATTAATTTTTCCAGCACCCAATGCGATTAGAGACCCAATCATACGGCGAATCTGAAGTAAATAAGAATGTCTAATTAAGGTAGTAAGGTGTAATATACTCTACAGGGAGGAAATGGGGAAATGGGTGAAATGGTCAGCTGATAACGTGGACTGATCACCCGTCCTACCATAGGTGTCCCCGAAAGAAAATAATAAGGTGTAATATATGTTATGTAATATATTAGATATAACTACCTGATTATGAACAAATGATCTTCCTTTAATTTCTACTTCCCAGTATTCCAAGTCGTTATTAATGTGGTTGTCGGTGTAGCTAGTCACCAAAGGCCGTCCTGGTCGCACGTCTATTGAGTAAATAGTGCGTCTATTATTCTTATTTTCAAAAAGTTTGTCAAACTTTTTAAAAGTGGTAAAGTCATGGTACCCCACAAATAGTTTAGCAGCTTCTCTGACCCTTTCTATATCAAATTCTTTTTGTCTGTCAAATTATTTAAAAAACAAGTATATTAATTGCCATTGAATTTCAGATGCATCTCCTGAGCAAAGGTAAGCTTAAATCTAAACGAGATTTTTATTGAAATATAAAGCTGTTAGAAATGTAGAATTAAAAACATAAGCCTTTGAATGATTTTTTATTATTATATAAACTTACTTTGAAAAATAACACCTCTTCCATTCTTCAATAGGAGCAAACTGAACAACATTTAATTTTTCAGGTGGTGTAATATCAGATTTCAACACTGCAAACCTTTAAAAAATGTAGATAAATTATTATTTAGGCATTTAAAGTATGTTACATTTGAATTGTTCCAGAAGCTATATCAGCCGGAATTTACCTGTATAAATATGTCCTACTGATGGCATTATGTCTGGCACTAAAGTCATCATTAACTCTTAAGATCTTCTTAATGTAAATACTTATATCATGTTTGCGAAAGAAATTGTTTAGGTTATAAAGAATCAAATTGGATTCGTAGAGATTGGGACCAGGTCTTTCTAAATCAATGTGTGCTGTTGTATTAATTGCATGGACTCCACCATCTGTGCTGTGTCAGAAGTTTGTTTTAAAGAATAAATTCACCCAGTAGTTAAGACAGTATAGTAGGACAGACCTAGACACAACTATCTTACCGGCTTGAAAGCTGCACTGCCGGGTAATTATGTGACTTAAGTCTTTGTAATGCAATTTCCATAATACCTTGGACACTCTCGGGGTCAGGATAGTTACGACCCATTTTTAACCATAACTTCTCGGAAGCCCTAAAATTGTTAGTTATTGATGTTCAGTTCACTACACCTTAATTTCAATATACTCTGCCAACATACCTAAACTTTGTTCCTATATAGGAAAAATACATTAAGTAACGCGCTTTCATTATTATTTTTTATTGTAATTTAATCTCGAAGACAATTTATGTTTATTATGGTTTCTTCTGTGTACGTTTTCTATCCCTTTGAATTGTGAATGTGTGTCCACAAAATATCAAATTAGTTTACGAGATAAAATTGAATAATCTTTGTTGTTAATCATTTCTGTGGCAACATCACTCTAATCATTCTAATAGTCTGTATGCTATTATGCTTTTATATCTGTGCTCTTACTTCACTTGATCTGTCACCATCATCTGTGATATTCATTATTTGGTGAAAATGGCTCGACGGACGTGGCATATGTTTACATTGATAACGATATTTACGATTTTATCACACGCAGGAGATGTTTTTTCGTCTACGGCAGCACCATGGTATGAGAATCTACCAGCAGTCACAATGGATTATAAGGTCCACATAGATGCTGGCAAAGAAGACTGTTACTATCAGTTCGTGCAACCGGGTGCCACATTTTACGCTAGCTATCAGGTAATATGGAAATAACTTTCACTATTAGACATTCTCCTAGTAAGATAAAAGATAGTGAATTCGGGCATATGTTTTTCATTTATGTCTTATTCACAAATTTTAATTTTATTGAAGGTATTGAAAGGAGGGGATGGGATGTGTGGTTTTGCGGTGCGGCACCCAAATGGTCAAATCGTTCATCCGTACGAGTGGCGGCAGAGCGCTGAATATGCAGATCAAACTAGTTCCGGAGGTTATTACGCTGTTTGCATAGACAACCAGTTTTCACGGTTTGCCGGAAAGCTAGTGAATTTGTATCTGTCGGTGATTAGATATGATATGTGGGAAAAATATGCGAAAGAAGTGGAAGAATTGGATATGAACATCAAAAACTTTACAGTAAGTAACTGGAATGTTATAAGTGGTCATGGATAATGGATTTGATGCTTATCATAGAATTGATTTACTTACATTTTGCCACAGTAATTATGCATGCATATTGAGTTTGAGTGGTTGGTGTAGGGTGAAATAAAAACTGCTATTAATATGACATATTCTTAAAATCTTATGATATACTCTTTCAGAACTCTATACAGTTTGTTGAGCGAAATATCAATGATATTCTGCAATATCAGTACCATTCCAGAGCGAGAGAGTCACGAGATTATAATCTTTTAGTTGATAACAACAGCTATGTTTTAAGGTGAGATAAGTACTCCCGAGTTAGTTTTCAAAGTTAATTAGTTAAGTATTGTATGTATGTTATGCTGTTATGACGTCTTGAATGAAACAGTTTTAAATGAGTCCTGCTTCTTGATATGGCAGCTGCAACTGAAACATTTGAAAAATGGAGTAGAATAAAAATAAGTAATGTATATATTTTGCATTTGCAACAGTTAATAGTGCTTAATGTTGCAAAAATGTATTGTTAAATTAATACAATTATAACAGATGAACATTAATTAACTGAACAGTAGTACAAAAGATACAATGTTTATATTAGGCTTGCAACTAATAGTATATTTGGCACTATACCAAATAATAATATATGGCAAAACTATGCAGTCAGATTTTAGCTTCAAAATTCGTTCAGACGTTATGGTTTTCAAATCACGATGTACTTTTCTACGCACTTAAAAAAGTGCGTAAAAAAAAGAAATGTGACTACATCACATCAAATGTTAAATCATTGATTAGGTTCACTGTTGTCTAATTTAATCAATCAATACATAAATATAACTTGAATACCAATTATCACACGCTAATGAGTAGAGTTATGTAACATTGATGTTTGTTTTCTCTTCCAGATGGTCCTTAGTACAGATATTAGCAATTGCTGCAACAGGCACGCTACAGGTGTACTTTTTAAGAAAACTTTTTGAAGTCAAAGACAACTCTTCCAAGACGAGAATTTGAAGGCTAAGACTCTTCTCTAATTGACTGATCAATGATCTTTACTTTGTTTTATGTTTCTGATCTCCCTTCTTTTCTATTCTTGAACCATTTATACATAAAATGTAAGTTATTTTATTAATTTAATACGCAGTTATGGGCGACGGCATACTGCGTAGATATTGAAGAGATTTCTTAAGTTATAATTGTCCAATATTGGTGCTTCAAAGTTAAATTTTATTGAAGGGCAAAGCACACTTCATGTAAAAAATTGTTAAACAGAAAAATTTACTTGAACACTTAAAAGTTGCAATGCTTGGCATTATCGATATAGTTTTTAATGTTCATGGTTAGACATTCCTACTTCATTTTTAAAACTTTTAAATTACTAAGGTTACGTTTCCATTTTCAAAGCTTATAAATATGTTAAAAATGTGTAATAAAAGACTATTTTTTTAATTATGTTGCAAATAAAAAAGACATTTTATAATATTTTTTAGAAAGTTTTATAATTCTACTATTTTTACATTTTTTTACGATTTTTATGCTTAAGACGTTCATGTAATAATTATTTTTAAGAGTTAAAAATACAAAATAGCACAACTGATGGAATGAATTTTAATAAATGTTGTGTACTTAAACAAGCTAACGGTAATATGTAGTATTTTATTGTTTCCACACGCCCTGGGATAGATTTTATTTTTCTATGTATTATACAATTTTCGTAGTTAAATATCAATAAAACAATAGCGTAATAAAATCAACTTTATTATGTGAAATGACATATGTAGATGGTAGATCAATATATTTGTGAAATAGATGTAAGTACAATATTAAATAACACTTCTTAGTCTCTTAAAAATCAATTTCAGTTAACAAAAAGAGACAAACAAGGAATGTTGTAAATAATCTGTTGTAACTCGAATTTCATCGTATTCGCTACATCGCCCATTGACTAGTAGTAATTAATACAAGTACATATAATCATATATATAAATCGCCAAGTAAATTAAAAGCGGTAAGTCACGAAATATAGAATAAGCAATCACTTAAGTCGCACTTAAAGTTATCAATGCGACAAATAGTTACCTAACATATACATTAAAATAATATTAACATTTTTGTGTGTTTAAACACAGACTAATACATTCAATAATCAATTATAAATTCTGTACAATTCAAATCTCAAACGTAACTGTACACTCTTACAAAGAAGCTTATTAATTAATTATTTCCTAAATAAGCACCACTAAATTGGATTTAGCGCTCATCAAAGGCAGTGTCCGGACGGCTCAAATATACTTAACATAGTGCAATGAACGCGAGTCAACACTGTATTATATTCTAAGACCTTATGTTATTTACAAAACTACCACTTTTGTTTACAAATACTTGGTGATTAAGGAAGGTAGATGCACTTTTAATGATGGAAACAAGTTTTCAACGCCATAGATAAAGAAGAATGGCCAAATTTGTATAGGTACTGGACCCGACTACCTTTTTTCACGACCAGCAACAAGTCATAAAGGGTGTGATCCAATCCATATCTTTTTTCGTGGCTTTATTATGAGTTATTATTGACATTTCCTAGAATAAAATAATTACGAATTTTTTGATATATAACACATATTTGGTCGCTGTTATTTAAGAAGACACAAATCAAACTGAAAAGGGAAGTTACAGAAGTAAGTGACTCAAAATTTTATAAGAATCCAAGTGAGATATTGATAAATCATAAAACTTACTTAGGCTATGCCAAAAGTCGTGTCCTAAGATTGTTCAAGTTTAGCCTAGGTTTATATCAAGTGGGTCGTTTCTTCTGTCCCAAATAAGTCCCAGAGAGTGCGAGAAGACGATACCGCTGTCTGAGGTTGCGCGCGCGCACGTGTGGCGAAGCTATTTCCACTGTATAGGAACCTGGAAACCATCCAGCTTCACCGTCCCGAGTGCGTTCGCCGTAGAACCAACCTTTGAGTAATAAGTTTATTGTAAATTAAAAATCTTTTTAGATTATAAATATATTACGACACGATAAGTAGGGGCTTGAACCGGCATCCACGAGTTCCATGCAATAGCTCTGAGCCATCGTGTCCTACGCGCAATCGTCCTTTTTTTTCAACCTATGATAAACTCTCGCAAGTAATTTCCACCTTAACACTTACGTATTAGGGTATTATATCAATCTAAAATCCATTATTAATTTATATAAAAAAATAGATCGATGATCTGACAAATGAATTATTACTATTGATTAGAATGTTGTTTTGGGATGTTGAAACGGTGACGCAATAAAAATCTCACGTCCAAGGAAAAATAACAAAAAACACGTTTCATACTGACCTTCACTCGTTTTTCTGGTAACATTGACGATATCCCCTTCAGCGAGGCTTAGTTCATCGGGCTGAGCAGCGCTGTAGACGTAAAGTGCCGCCACTTGGGGACAGTCCCAGCCCGCGTAAACCGCCTCGCCTTCGTGGCAGCTCGGAGGCGCCAGAGCTTCCATCCAACGCCGTGCATCTGTCTCGCTCGCGCATGACATCAGCTGATAGGGCATATAAAGGTTTAATTAACACTGGTATTTACTTAATAGAACCGAAGAATTATAAGAAATTAGTACGATGTGTGAACGATAAAAAATAGAATAAAAATATCTGTGGTGCATATCTTTTTTTTAAAGTAGCTCAGACAAGCACGGAGTTCACTTCATGGTAGGTGTAATGCCCCAGCCATACAACATCCAAACAACACGATGCGCTGTTAGCCTATTTTGGCTTTGAATGTTACTCCACTGAAAACACAAATGAATCTACAGGCTAAAACCGAAACGATTAAGATAGGATAAGGTAGATGGACCCCCGAATTAATATATATATATATAACCATACATTACACTATAGAGCCCGTCAATTAAATATTTTCCATATACCAACTGCAAAAAATCTATAAGCTCCTGGCGTTTGCGATGTATACGGTACCGTAATAATATATAAAGACTCACCATCTCAATTGTTCTGCCTTCGTGGTTTTCCAGCAGGGTGAGTAGAAGTGCGTGCTTGGCGTTAGCGGCCGCATCGCTCGAGCAAACGTCGACCAGCGATCTCGGACAATGGTCCACCGCTACATACAAGTCTTCGCTGGAATTTTAATCACATAATATGTCATTAGACGGCATTATCATATTTTTTTTACCAAATGTCATATATTTATTTTGACGGGTGCGTTGATCTAATGGATCTAACGGCTAATAAACAACGGATCTTGGGTTCTAACATGTTTCTAATTAATTACATGTTGGATAGGTACAAAAGACACGCGCCACCTCTTCTCGTGGTGGTGGTTCACAATGGACGAGGACTGTCGAGGTCCTGAATGTATTGCACAAAAAAGCAGATATTTTTTACAGTCCTTGGGGTGAACTCACATATACATTGATGTTTATTTTGAGTTACGAAAGATTTTGTTGACTATATTGGATGGAATCGGTGGATATAATATATCCACCAATTCCATCAAGCTAAGCCCATGTCTGTCCTCCTCTATCATAACAATAGATTATCTAAATAATTCTAATATTTAGCTAGCTTACCCACACTCTATATGTATAGAGCTAACTTTTATGTAAGTTGAGTTGTTTTTAACTCCTAGTTACGTTTAAACACTTTTAAATTAAAAAACATATGAGTCTGTATTATTACCTTTTCCTCTTGGTGATAATCAGATGATCATTGAAAAGGAAGAGATGCAAGACAGCTTTGTGAAATTTCTTGCCAAATGTCAGTTTCAACTCGTCCGTTTTCCACACTAGATGTGTCATCTCACCGGACCGTACAAGCCATCTCACCGGTCTAAACACGACCAAATTATTGTTATAATTTATATACAAATTCAATTTAAAAAATATTATATTAAAAAAGGCAATTAAATTGGGAGACAGACGACAGATAAGTTTGGTAAAAATTGCATGTAGATTTCAGTAAATATGTATTAGAAGTCAAAAATACTACTTTTAACCATAACATCTAGCGAAAAATATAAAGTACATATTAAAATTAATTAAATAGCCTAAAAATGAGTTCAATGTAGACCTTGAAAGGCTTAGTATATATCTATTTCTGTACGTTATGGTCTTATAACAATAGCTTACTTTCGATCTCGTCGGTCGCACGCGGGCGCTATATTTGGGACGTGTTGCAGTGATGGCGGGAAATGAATGATGCAGCTGAGCCGAAACATCTCTTCTAGGCGCTCTGTGTTGCGAGCACCCTCGTTGCATTGGGAGACAAACTGTTGTAAACAGATATGTTTTATAAAAAAATAAATAAAAAGGGTTTTTAACTTAATATAATCTCGTTCTTTAATAATAATTATTGAGCATAGTTCACAGTATTTCAGAACAGAAGAAAAAAATAGCTACAGTGTTTACAATACAACAGAAATATTATTTATTTTCGCAAAACAAGAAACAACGCAACACTAAAAATCTGTTCAATTTACACTTACGTTATTGAGTGTGGCAAGCGAGTGCATGCAACCGTCATATTCGTCATCTCCAGAATTGAGATTCCGCAGCACAGCATCGAGCAGCAACGGCAGCCTGGTTATCCGCTGCATCGGTAGCATCAGGAATGAATGAAGGGACAAGCTCTGACAAGCGGGGTGACTCTCCAATCTAGAAAATATAATTCTTGATTAATAAATACTGACTTGTATGTATTTGTATTTAAACAAAAAATAAAATAATTATGAGTAAGTTTTTTTTTTATTTGATTTGATTGCAATTGATGGAAGTTGAAATAGTCCAGCATCTTATTTAGATGGATTGTCGAACTATTTCGGTGATAAACAAATATATAATAATAATAATTGCCCATATCCGTACTTAAGGATTTTTTATATAAGAAAGTTGGTTGGTTAAACTGCACCACAAAATGAAACCTAATCAATTATTTTCAAAAGTTTTGGTGGCGAAGTGACATACTGACCGTTTCAGTGCCGTCGCGAAATTGGGCGATTCTCTCAGCCGTTGCAGGGTGCGCACCATGAGGGCCTGGTTCTCGCAGTACTTCACGTAAGCGTGGAAGCGCTGCTCCGCGTGGCTGCGGACGATGTCGCAAATGCCGGCCAGGAGGATGTTCTCTTGCCAACATCGCTCCATATCCGCTAGCAGCATTTGGGAACATTTGCGCACTGAAAGAAGTTTAGAACACTTTAACGTTTTAAAACGCGATATAGTAGTTAAGCTTATTTGAAACTGATTTTAACTTCGGCCCGACGTTTCGGATGCTTTGCAGCAGCCGTGGTCACGGGGAGACTAAAGATGGAGGATGTCTCTGACGTCAAAGTAAAAAACTGCTACGCCATCTGTTCCGTCGAAGTTGGTATTTGGCGAAATTGGCCGGGTCCTTACTGAATTGACTAATATATCGCGTTTTAAACCGTTAAAGTGTTTTATTTAAATGTGTACAACTCGCGTAAACTATAGACAGTATTAAATTGTATTAAGTTAACTAATATCTTTCGAGCTTTAAACCATTATTTAAAGTAAGTTTTTTTAACGGCAGTATTTAGCTATTAGTATTTCATTTTAATAAAGATAGGTTTGGTAACATTTGCTTATATAAATGTTTATCTAGATTTCTATTGAACAATGTTGTTTTTAAAATATTAAATAATTTATTATTAATCCTAAATGTATTATATAATATATTATAAATTATGTAATTTGGCCTCATAACTTACCTGGTAAAATTGTAGAGAATAGTGTCTCCCAATCTTCTCTAGATAAAATGTGTGCTTCTCGGAACGCTGGGTGAGAGATAAAGTGTTCTTCTAAGACATTTAGGGAGTTGAGGTAAGACGCTTCCGAAGTCAGCACTTCAAATTTAGCTTCTTGCAGCTTTTTCTGAGCTGGGGCAAGAGAACCTAATAAACAATATACACGAATATACACGTGAGAATGTTTTCCATATCACTGAGAAGCTACCGTTTGTAAAAAAGCCTGCCATACGGAGGGAGGAGGAAGTTTAAAGGTGAAGGGGTTTTGCAAAACGAATTTGGATGCCCAAAATAACGATTCTCGCGGACGAAGTCGCTGACACAGTAGTAGTACTTTAGGTTATAAATATGTAGATTTCACTTCGCATAAAAAGCTGTATTAAACTCTTTTTCCTTTCAATTAACTTAACTAATAAAAAATAGATCAATAATGTACTAACAAACACTTTTTCTTTATTATTAATTATAAAATGATTACTTACTCAGTACAGCGGAGTTCAATACTTCCGGCACTTCACACCAGAGCGTACGAGCGGGGCCCCGGGGTGCCACTAGCGCCATGGCTGAAGGCCGAGTGCTGCCCGTGGAGACCCCGGCTTCGTATGTATCCGAGTCAGATTCACCGCCACACGCCGACTAGAATGCAAAAAAAAGAAAATTAGTTTGACGCTTATTGGTTCACCCTACTCTGTTTGGATAGTTAGATTGGTAGACCCTAAAGGTCGATTATTGGGTTTAGATCATTGTTTTTATTTCAATCTTTAAATATTAATGAAGATTTGATAATAAAGACGAAAACAAATAGTACTCTAAATAGAATGATGAATTTTTCATATAGAAACGTATATTAATGTGTAAATATATATGAATATATAAAACCGGAAAATATATATGTCAATAATGCATCGAAACATCGATTTAAAACTCAGCAGCTTGGAGGTCAATCCTAACAGGCGGGGAAGGTCGCAGTAATTACCTATCCGCATAATTAGTGTTCCAATTAACACGACCGTAGGATTAAACATTAAAGTGTCTGCGTAGGCGCCAGGAATTCATTTGAAAATTGGGCGGAAGTATTTGATCTTTTTCAAATGGTTTTTTTTTACACCGACACAAATATATTTTTAACAGAACGTCGCTCGATTGACACTATCAGGCGAGTTCATCAGTCTTTTTGTCCAGAAAATTATGTTGATAAAATAAGGTATTCAAAATTAAATATATCTTATTATAAACATTACGTTTATGTTGATTTTCCCTTGCTTGTATTAGTGAAATAAAAAAGATAAAAATTTATGACCCCATTAATTATGTCTTAAAAATTACCTTCGAATGGCTTGTCATAGTGTACTGCATATTATAAAGTTATTATTAGCTTACTATGAACGCGTCACATCACTTATACAGGCGTCTCACCTCAACTTTGGCGGCGTTGTAGAATTGGTACAGTGGCTCGTGGGTAAAGAGAGAGTGTAAGCGCGGAGAAGCTGGGTGTGACCCCGAAGAAGCACCTGATGATGAAGAAATGTTCCCGGCTGGGTATAAACCGGCTTCGGCATACCTGAAATAAGTTTCGTAGCATGGAATTAGTTTGTCCTACTTTTTTACATAAAGGTTAACTTTGGTGTTGTTAGGTTCCTTCTTTTTGGTTCGTGTTTTGCTTATTGAGTAATAAAAACATATTTAAAATAGCAACTTAAGTAAGAATTAACTATTAAGCGTAATATAAACCAGTATTCGTAGAGTTATAGCACAACTGTGCTGCAACTTATGCTGACGCAAGACCCTTTTGGTACCACTGTGCTTCAAATTTAAATTAATATTAATTATTTTATTGTAACTATGTGTATTTTTTACCACTATTGTATCTAAATGAATGCCAAATTAATTAAATTAACTATTAAAATCTGGAAACTACTTTAATTGCTTGATACGTACCAATATATCGCAATTTTAATGGATACAGAAATATACCAAATGCAAAAATATCCTCTCGCTATATTAGGTTTGCGACTTTCGGAAAACCTTAAAAACTCTGATTGCTTGTTGGCAATACAGAAACATTACTGACGATTCGTTCATCGCTGCAGGACTACAACAGCTGTTCCTATACATTTGGATATAAAGTGGTAGCGTGAAACAAACCAAAAGCGAAGAGCGTTTTTAAAAACATTTTTAAATAGTAGATATTTAAAAATGTTAGCTAGTAAATGAATGCAAATCATTTTAATAGAAAATAAAGTTTTATATTTGAAATCACTATTTAAAATAAAGTGGGACTGAACTTAGTCCAAAAGTAATCTTTAGATATTATCAAGGTCTCTCTATTTTTTATTATTTTAATGGTCTCTTTTAATTATCTGATTTAACAAAAAAGTTAAAAATTAATAATTTTTAAAAATCTATAATATTAATTTGTATGTTTATATTATGTATAAAGAAATTATAGGCTTATAGCAAATTATAGTGCTAAATTATATTTTTGCGTATAGATTTGTGTTCTGTTTTATATATCTTAAAAATTACTTCTTTTTCTTAAACTGAATCAGAATTAAACGAAGGACATACAAAGCTAATAAATCCGCTCATCGCTCATCGTTGAGCCAGTAACGGTGGAAACAAACAGGATCGTGACTCAGCAGCCCAACGTCATCCGCGAGTCTCGCAAAGCATGCGAGTACCAAACGACGCAATTAAAATATTGACAATCTTTACCTATTGATCAATAGCGGCAAAACGAGTTTTTAATAAATACGTTGTTTCGCTCATTTTCCTTCTTTGTATTGTCATTTGTGTCATGCCGACTCCTGACTTACGTTGCGTGATGACAGTTATAATTTGCAACGGTTAAAATGTATCGACGACTTTTAGACTTCTTACTTCTTAAACATAAATATTATGTTTTGTTAATTTATGCTTATGGCATGTTTGTACAACTGTTGGCTTTTTAGTTTTTGACACAGGCAGGTCTCGTACCCACGATAAGTGTACCGTGTCGTATTTATTAACTAAGAATCATATTAAAGTGAAATACTTTTTAACATAGATGGTATAAAATTTCAATAGTGTACTCCATTAGAGATTATATGATCCTGCTAGAGGCAGAGTGGCCTAATAACAAAAAACATGATTTTCAATAAGGAGGAAAATAACAATGTGCAGTTAATTAGGCGAAAATGAATTTGTGTAAACATTATGTTAACAATTTTCGGTTACATTTTTCTTGTAGATTAACATTTTTGACTATAAAAATATAAATAAGTCAAGTCACAAAATTGCAGTTAGGCAACCCTGCCTCTAGCGGCCTCACATCTGTCATAACTTACCAGGAAGAGTTAGATGTGTTCGAAGGTAAAATATCAGCACCACATTCAGCGTACCACGAGGTCCTGGTCCGTGGGGTTTTCTCTTTGCGCGACAGGGTCGGCAGCAACCGCTTCAATTCTGTTATCCACAACATGTTCATAGTATAGACAACACCAGAAACTTAAATAGAAATTACTTGTATAAATTTGAGATTATATTTAAGTAATAAAGCAACTTTTAAAGACTTATTGTAATTTTAAACTTAAACAGACATAATAAAAGTTACTCGTTCCACTATTTCACTTATACGACAATTTTAATGACAAGAAAGGTATTAGGAAGCCGACCAGATATGTGGAAAGTGACTTCCTGTTGTACGTAATAAAACTGTTATTAAACTTAAGCAAAAAATTTGGTCTTTCTCAATGATAATTTACTAACAGTAATTATGTATTTTAACATATTATTCAACATAGCAGTGCATATATTAAACATGATCATGGTTGTTATAAAAAAACAGATAATTTTAAAACTACATTGATTCAAACGAGAAAAAAACCTTGAGTTAGTTCATCTTAAGGTAAGGTATTAAATGCGTCAACGTTTCAAGAACAAAAGACAAAGAATAGGCGATTAGTATTAAATTGTGTGCACAGATTACAAAACATGCGAATTACGTCCAGAAATCGAAACTCACGGCCCATAACATAACAGTTAACGAAAATACAAATAAAATGAGAAGAAACGTGCTCTAAGTAAGCAAGTAGAAGGACAACTGATCAAGTAAGTGCTTCGTATATACAACTACGCGTTTTAACGTAATCTGCCAGCAATTCTTGATGTGGGAAATAGAACGCAAATGGCATTATGTGTACGCGGACATATTGTCACAGCCTTCAATTAGTTTATTTCTATTCCACTGTTTTATAGATCATCGTTTGTAAGGCTTAGTTAAACGCCTAGTGCAGGCGCGATAGGGTTCGAACTCCGGGAAAAAAAATAGTAACAATAGGAAAGTGATTTAAAAGCCCAAACTTTCCCCCCCCCCCCCCCCCCCCCCCCCCCCCCCCCCCAATTTTCCCCCCCCCAAAAAAAAAAAAAAAAAAAAAAAAAAAAAACCCCCCTTTTTCCCCCCCAACCCCCCTTTTTTTAAAAAAAAAAGGCTTTTTTTTTCCGGGGTTTGAACCCCCTTTTAACCAAATTTTTTTCCAAAACCTTTCAGATTTTTTGGCGTGAAATAGTAACAGACAGACAGGTTACTTTCGCTTTATAATATTAGTAAGTATGATCTACTGCTTTCCTGTAAATTCGTGTGAAACAGACACATAACTAAGTCTGCCCGGACCATGCCACTTGCACAAAGGGAAAACGGAGTTTTACTTGTTATAAGGAATGTAAAAATGTATCACACTTCAAGATATCTGGACTATATTCGCGTACAGCATATTAAAAACTAAAGTAGACTATCATTTTGAACTAGATTATCATTTGATACTGAAAGCGTGTAAACGTTTTAAGATAGTAATAGTAATGTAATAAGAATAAAAAGGGCTTTGGAAAAAGGATTGTTAAATTATTAAACCAATACGTTAGAATTTAAAGTAGGTTTAAAAAATCTTGAAACATAAATGTAATGTAACAATGTGAAATGTACATGTAACATGAACAAAGACAGTGCAAAACATAAATGACATTCACAAAGCTGTGACATGGATCCACAACCACCCTGGCTTACTTCTGACTGTAAACGTTTGTATTAAACAAAAGTACGATCACGAGTATTACCACAGATTGTCAAAAGTCAAAATAAGTCGACACTCATCTTATTTAGATTTAATAATCAACGGGTCGTGGCTTCCCCACCGAGTCCAACGTTTTTCTAATCAATTTATAATTTTCCTGGAACTGGTTGGACTTCTGGAAAATCTGGATTATTAAATGGGTGTTAGGAATATCGAAATTCCATCAGGGTCACGAACCATCATCCATAGATGAAAAAGCCGTGCAGCTTAATCGCGTTTCGCGTTTAGGGATATTCGGAAATCCACACATTTCCGAATATCCAAAGACAAAATAAATCGACAGCGCACCTTGTTTAGATGTTATATAGCTGAGGTATTTCATCTCCATCGAGTGAAGTCCAGACAAGCATAGGGGCTTGTCTGGCCTTTCTAAAAATGGCCATTATATCAAAAACTAACGACTAGAGGGTTCCAATGCCGGGCAAATAATAAATGTTTCGCTCATATTGTATGTACGAAATTGAAGATCTTTGTGCATAGCAATCTTGGAGGCTAGTTTAAGCTTAACTGTGACATACTTTATAATATAAACGTCGATACAGTTTATTTCAACAAGCCAGGGTTCTGACCTTCGTTTAGCGCTGCCTTCGTTATTATTTCAGCTTATTCTATTGAATTCAGGGTACGGAGACGTCAACTGAAGGTACTTTTAGAGATCTTGATCTCGCAAAACTCTTTGCAACAATCCAAAACATATCGGCGATGATTGAAGTTACGAGGTGTCAAATATTATCTGTAAATCTTAATTACGTGGCGCTAGTATCTTTGAGTCCTCCCATTGTATTGATTAATTTTATGATTTGTAGTTCAAAAATTCTTAACGCAATAAACATAGTGTATTTTTTCTAACTTGGCATTTTTGTTAAACAAACAAGGTTTACATTTATTTACGTTAAAGAATTTACGTCAATAGACCGATAAAAAATTATTTAATTTGACATTGACATAAGAATTGGATGTAAGCAAAGTCAACGACAAAAAAAAGGTGGAAATGCCAACTCAGGTAAATAAGTAATAATGACATAAAAAATTTAAAAAAGATCTTAAAGATCTCGAAAGTCTTGAAAGATTTTGAATATTGAGATCGTTTATTTACATATTCCGTATAAAATATTTCTATATCCCTGTGTCATCATTATTTCTCTATGGTTTGAAACCGGCCATATTCTGTTGTGGTCTTTTGCCAAGTTAGAAAAAAAAACCATAAACAACAACCCATTTACGAACAATACGTTACAAATACTACAGATCAAACCGAATCCCCAATCAAAACTTAATTCTCATATCCAGTTGACGTGTCTGACCTTCGTTGACAGCGCTAAGGTCAGTGTGCTGAGGAGGCGGTGGAGGTGGCAAAGTGGGTCGTTCTAGAGCCAGGCAGGGAGATGATTCCGACCACACAGGTCGAAGTCGCGTACCGTCCCTGCGGCTTCGGTTGGTCGGTGACAGCGCCTCTGAGTTGGTGGCGCCACTGTCGCTGCTAAACAAAGGTTAAGGTTAGAGTCACGTTTTACATGTGATATCAAATGCAAGAGTGGTCAAGTGCGAGTCGCACCCTCGCAAGAAAGGGTTGGTACATAGGTAAAACTTAGAAAAATATATTATTTTATGTTACATCGCACAGTGAAATTTTCAATCTAAAGACAGTTTGACTTAAAATTCGATTATAAATTGAAAAATTTACGACTCGAGCAGGACTTGAACCGGCATCCTTAGCGTTCCGTGCTGTTGCTCTAACGGCTAACCAATTGACCGAGCCCTACACGTCATCGTCGATTTTTTTCAACCTATTTATCCCAAATGGTGCAACACAAGTTTTAATGAATGTTTAGTACAAATGTAATTATTATTATATTGAGAAAATGACAAAAATAATTACCAGTTACTGAACCCAGAATCGCCATCCATTGAATCAGTTAGATAGAATGTGGAATTCGTAATCTTCAACGCGCTTGGCACTTCGGAATTTATGTCCACCGCTATTGAAGTAGCTCTCCTAAACCGTGACTTAAAGGAGAAATATGCTTTACGAGATAGAGTGCCACTGTCCTTTTTGACTTCAGGTGGAGTCGTGGGTTTTTCTGGCTGAGCGATCGGTCTCTCTGGCGGAGGTTTGTCTGGCAAGGGTGGTGGCACATCCCCACCACTGAGTCGCTTCTCGGTCTTCTCCTTCTTATCTATTATTGTTTTCAATTCATCCTTAAACGTCCCGGTTATTTTTGCTAGTGGTTTTTCAGGCTTCTTCTCGAAGTTAATGTTGCTGTAGACAGGTTGTATTTCAGGTTTCTGGTAGTTGGCGTATATGGGAGTTTTCGATTGAATTTTTGGTGTATCGTAGGTTTGATTTGCTGACTTTATAAATGTTTTGCCATCCATGGCAACTGTAAACAAAAAGAAAACAAAGTATATACTGAAGCAAACAAAATATGAATGAGAGATGTTATCACGTTTTGGATGCTTACAGCAGTAAGTTTTATTAATGGGTTCTTCTTAACTGGTAAGAAATCATATACATGTAAAGAAGCTAAAAGAGCTGATAGATTCTCTATTGGTAATGTTATCTAAACAACCTGGAGAAACTCAATAATAATTGCTTAAATTATTTGTGAATTGCTAATTACCTGAATATCGTTTAGTCAAATTCCGTTTAATTTGTCTCATTTTCTTTTGCGCGGCGCTGGCGATTTTTGTCAACGTGTATTGGCCTCCGTGTGGAGGCGTGGGTAACCTTGTGGCAGGCAAACTCGGCGGGGACGGTGCCTCAAGTGTCTGTAACGAATATTTGCGAAACAATCTTAAGTATTATAAATTGTATAAGGTAATCGCGGCTATTTCGGCTGTCCAGCCGTTATAATTGGGAAATGGCTGGATGTTTCGCCATCGTCAGTGGATGACATCATGAAAATATAAATTTGGTAATTGAAGGAACTTAGAACAAAGCCTCCTACTGCCATAGTATTTATATTTATATAAAATACTTTATAACTCGGAAGAAATGCTAATCTACGTTAAGATATACAATTTTAGGTGGTCAAATGTTTCAATCAATAATTGTTTCAATAACGTATATATAATAAATGTTAAAGAGAGTATGAAAAGTAAATTGTTCAATTTTAACTTCATAAACTGGACGTATTTTGTAATAGTTCTGAATTGGTTTCATTATCATGCCCGACCGTAACTACTCATATGTTAGTAGCCGGCGGAGGTCAGACTTTTATATAATACTAGCTGACCTGGCAAACTGAAAAGAACTTTCATGAAATTTGATTACTACAAAACGGTTCTTGTTAATTTAATCTTAAAAGATATATACTGTCCCGGACATTTTTATTATGTTCCGTTTTTGCAGCGCGCCCAACGAAAACCCCCAAAGATGAATATTTCCCCGTTTTTTTCTTAACTTTTTCCTCTATTCCCTCTTCGATAAATGCTCTTTCCAACACAAACAGAATTTTTCAATTTGAACCAATAGTTCCTGAGATTAGCGCATTGAAACAAACAAACTCTTCAGCTTTATAAATTAGTATGGAAACAAAATAAATGTATGTATTACCTTTTCAAATTCTTCATCGTCAGTGTCGCTGTCGAAAGAGTCGAAATCGTCATCTATTGGCGCTATGGGAACTGGTACCGGAGGGGAGGGTCGGGCAGGGCGACATGGTGCCACCGGCTCGGGCGCTGGCTCCAAGGACTCATATAAATGCCCAGAGTCGCTGCTGTCACATTCTATAAGAGATATAGAACGAATTGATAATATTACAATAGATTAAACAATAAATTAAGTGCTTTAAATTGTATATTAAACATAGGTAATTAATTGTATTATAGTATTATTGTGATAGATTTAATGTTGTTATATTTTTTTGGGACAGAATCGAATTTGTATTAATTAACGACTTCTTATAGTTAGGATAGTTGTTATATGTCTAATAAATAAATTGGATTAATATTTGCAAACGTTTTTTAATACTATAAACATTAACAGTTTTGTTTACTTTTGAATGCATCAATGCACATTATTTTTAGGTAGTCATTGGGTAATTTGACAGATTGGCGTTTAAAAAAATTATGTTATAGAAATCTAACAATACGAACAATAACATTACTTATTTTAAATGAACGAGGTGAGGCAACGACCTGCAATACTCGCTCGAAAGTGATCGCAACTCGCAAGATCAAAGATGGTTAATCATTAATTATTTATTTGCAGTTGTTCCCTCTCCCGCTGCAAAGGCAATTAATAGTGACCGGTATCGCCTGAGTAATAAGAAACAGTTTCCCTTGTGTCGCATTTATTCACTTTCTCATACCCCTAGTTAGTGGCGCGTAAAAATGTCAAGGCTTAACGTATCCGTTCGTTATGTAATTCTATATTTACCACCTGCTATACAATATGTCTAAATATATGCTTCAATTTTAGTCATCTACCTAATTCTTCTATCTTAACGACGCGGAAGATAAAAGAAAGTAATAAGAACGAAAGAAAGAAAAAATAAAGAAGGAAGAAGATTAGATTTTCTATTAATTCATTCTAGGGCTTATAATACTAACCCGATCTTAAGTTTGTCAGAAAATTTGTATAATATCGATGGAAACTTAGCCTAATTAAATAAGGCGAATGGTAGACAAAAAACAGATAAAATAAAAACTAAATAAACTGATCTAAGTTTGATTTCAGGTCTAAGCGAGTTGTCAAACATCAACATCCTACATATTTATATAATCAAGTAAAAAATATAATAAAAAATGCAATTACGTTCTCCGGTTATATGTTGTATGATGCAAGTTAACGCTTTACTTCTTTTAATAGATTAGATGAAGATAAGCGGCTACTTTTAAATTGCTTTATTCAAGTAATTTAAACATGAAAAAGGGTTTACATTAAATTCTATATCATAGCTACAATTCATTCACACTTTTGGGCGTTATTATAAGCTTATGTTAATTTTGGTCAACTTTTGGCATTGACATGGCTGTGAGTATGATTCAGTGCTTGGACGGAACAATAATGCATATTTTATACTCTGTGGTAACAATTATATATAGTATAGATAGTGTTGGAATAAATAGTATGTAAAGTATTTAAATCATAGTCAATCTTGTATTTTTTATTATAGAACTGTTATATTTGTTTCATTATTACACATTTTATTTATTACGTAGAATTATATAGTACAAGATTTGATAAGGTTACCAAAATTATAACCGGTAGAGGAAGTACATAATATAATACTCGCGTGAGGGAAAACTTCATCGTGTCTGTCAGAATAATTTCAATAATTAACTACCGATTTTGTGTCATGCAAATATTGTAATTTTCTTACCTTTACTATTGTTTCAAATCTTACAAAAGTTGTACGACACGTTAGTCGTTTCGACTTATTAACGTCCTAATGCGTAGGTATCATTTCGCTTAGGAGATAGTTTTACGTGTCATGTGCGGGTTAGCTAGCTTAAGTACTGTATAGTTGAATGTAACTCGAAGTAGTGGTGATAACTGGGACCGACGTTTTAACATACCTTTTTGTGCTACTTTTACGCGGCGCTAGTGTTTTATCAACATCAAATTGGATCGGTTTAAACCTCGAATCGTACTAGGTGATACATTTTTTAACTATGACACAACATTTATATCCTTTACGGCAGCCGTGGTCACGGGGAGACTATAGAGGGAGGATGTCTCTGATGTCAAAGTAAAAAACTGTCACGCTACACTGGCCGGGTCCTCGCAGAATTGACTCACGGTGTCATCAATTGTGCAAGAACCGGGCCAACTTCGCCAAATTCCAACTTCGACGAAACAGATTTTTTACTTCGACGTCAGAGACATCCTTCATATTATATTAAGTCTCCCCGTGACCACGGCTGCTGCAAAGCATTCGAAACGTCGGGCCTTAGCTAAATATTCAAACAAGTTTAACTAAAATATATCGCATTTTAAACCGTAAAAGTGTTTTAATTAAATGTGTACTACTCGCGTAAACTACAGACAGTGTTTAAGTCATAAATAACTAATTATTTGATCGTCAAATGGTGAAATTTTGCTATAGCTAAAATATTATATGTTATAAAATGAGTACCAATAAATGCGACGAGATCTTGTATTTCAATCTCTCCATTTCTTAGAATAGTTCTAACATCTAGCCACAACGTCTCCTGTTGGAGAACGATGAACTTCACGTCAGCTGGTTCCTTTGATGTTATGAATTTCTCCTCATCGTTTCGACTATAGTACGGACACTTTTCACTGGTCCTTATGTACACTTTTGTTGGCGACGATACCGATACTAGAATAATTTCAACAGTGCTTTAGACTTTTGACTATACCAGTGTAATCAATTAAGAGAAAAAAGTATAAATTAAAAAATGGTTAAGTATATCACTTATAAGTGATTTAGAAATGCCAAAATCAAAATTTGAATATTCGCTTTCTTATACTAAATTTGACTCAGTTTTAAGTTTAAACAATAAATTGAATGATTTTAGAGGTATGCCAAGTCTAAAGCACCTTGATCGCCACAGTTCCTTCGGAAAGTCCGTGGCCTTGGTGGACCGATTCCACCGTTCACTGGAGACTGCTCTGCCACCATTTTGCACCATTTTCACTTCATCACATTCAGTATTTATCATCACTTATAACGTCACATCACTACTTAGCTGTTGGAAAATCGCCAGTTGAGTCGAATATTTAAATATGTATATTATGACATATTACGTTTAACTGTTAAGGTACGTCCGTTAAAGTAATGATCTCATTAGTCATGAAGAGACCAAAGCAGATTTCATGAAGTGTTCCTTGTAAACCGAAAGTGAATATATTTTAAACAACCTTTAACTTTAGATAAATATAATTGAATCGACAACTAAGGAAAAACGTGTTCGTCCGGCTCAGGGTCAACGGGTAATGTAAACCTAGTGTAACGTTGAGATCTCGTTTTTCAAGAGATCTTATTTTAAGTTCAATTGATTTTAAAAAGGAATTTAGTGAGGTGACAACTGAGCTACTAGCGTACCTGTAATGGTGGGTAAGATGCCTTTTTTTATGATAAAGCCATGTAACATCTAAAATAGAAGCGATGTCGACTTAATTTAGCTTTGGACACTCGGCTATCCACTGATTGGAACCGAAACGTGACTAAATTTTCCCGTTTTTTTGATCCGGATCGAACCCGCGACATTATGATTATAAGCCATACATTGCTACCTTTACGCCAAGCGCCTTGCGTGTTCCTATCTTTCTAAAACACTTTTATAATTTATATAGGCCTTGTCGTTTATAAAAAATACAAAAGTCCTCAATATTAATACTATCATAGTGGGAATGAATGTTAAACCTGAACTATACGTAGGTAACCTTCTTAAGAAGACGAGTGTCTACTATTTTCAAACATTTAGTCGGCGCACTAAGCTAGTTTAACTTTCCATAAGTTATCTAGCGAACCGTTAAGCGGTTGTGAAATAACCTATCTATGTAGTGTATATGGCGATGGCATTGCAATCAGAGCATTTCGAGTTGCAACACAATGGCTGCATTCGTTCAGCGAATTTATGCCAATTACTCATTTATCTCTAACCAGAAACCACATATTTTAAGGCTCTATAACCTGTTTATGGCAATTATTTGCCACAGATAAACAATCCATAGCAACTAAAAATGAAGTTGAGCTTTTTTTTATACAAAGAAGAACAGACAAGAATGAGGTTTACTTAATGGAAGCTGAAACTGCCTCTAAGAAAGGTCCACTGATTTAAACGACACCAACAACACACCCCGGTTTTTTCGCCTGAGGGCGGTAATTACATATTCCTACTTTCTTAATAACTAATACTAGTACTAAGAAAAACAGAAGAAAATAATCACCGACATTCTATTCTTTTCTTTTTTCTTGGCTCGTACATATCATAGGTACGAAGGGATAATTTTTCTCCCCATATAATTAACGATATAAATAAAAACAAACAAAATTCTACAAAAACAGCCAGTGTTACCAGTAATTAGAAATCCAACAGCGTAAAAAAATACAATTATTTGTTGATTGTAGGAAATGTGTTATTGCTAAGTTACAAAGAAATCGTTTATCGTAGGAAGTACAAAAACTAAGTTTTCACAATGGACTAACCGAACTTCGATTTACTGGTTAGCGGTTTGTTGCACTAACTTTACCTGGACTTCTCAATTATCTAATGATTTGACCATCATTGTTACTCAATTTAAATTATCCATTATAATGATAATTGTTCAATGTAGTTCAACCGGCTGTGAAGTTGCCAATACGAGAATTGATGGTCTTTCGTAAAGGCTGGCGTATGTGCGGCACGTTGCGAATCACTGTTTTGTTAGTAAGTCAAGTACATTTCGACAATGCCGGTAGATAAGTGAGGCAACATGATTTTAATGGACCGAACTGAGCCGTGACGTAACACGCGTCCAAATATATTTGTTATAGAAAGTAAACACGAAATACCAAGTTCAAACGTAAATATCGATGATTCGAGACACTGACGACTTTCGTGCGACTTAGGCGCGGGTTTCGTGTTTTCAAACACTTTCACTTATAAAATAACAACGAACGACACGTCCGTTCTCCTGCGCGGCGCAGGGCTAACTCACGGTTAAAACTTGCTATAGCTTTGCTCGCTCAGTAAACCTTGTCGCACACTGTCCATCGGCCACTGCCACAAAACGAAAACAACTTTCTTCCTTCACTGTATATTATAAGTCACCATAAGACACCTATAAAACTGGTGACCGCCTCATGCAAATGAAAATGACAAAAGTAAAGAACGCGTTAGACGCGTGGAAGCGTTATCTAGGCGTTGCTGGAGAAGTGTGTACGGTGACCCTAAATGTTTTAACCGCACAACATGCTCAGTCGCAGGCGCAGCCGCGTGGGAGCACCTGAAATGTCCATATTATAAGGTTTCACCCCAAACATGTAGTTTTCGTGTTTATGTTATATGATTTGACATTAAACAGAGATTAAACCTTTATATTTTTTAAGGTACATAAGGCTATTTAAAAGATTTTATTTTTTTATGAAACAAGTAAATTATAATTTTGTTTCTAAGTTAATAGGCCTGGATGACCTGAAGGAAATCCATCATATATTAATGGTTAAGTACACATTTTACATAAAACACTTTAACGGTTTAAAACGCGATATATTAGTTAAACTGATGTGAAAATGATTTTTAACTTCGGCCCGACGTTTCGGATGCTTTGCAGCAGCCGTGGTCACAGGGAGAAACGTCAGGCCGAAGTGTTTTATTAAAATATTAACGGTTTTCTTTAATCTTCGCAATGAATGAATGAATGAATGTTTCTCACATTTTTTATTTCAATGATACCCGTTTAATATTCGGATGCTCCAAAAATTATGAATTGATTGGAGAAATCTTTTAGCCCTGGTGAAAATCGAACCCATAATATGTTGATAGCGATGCATTAAACCATTATACCTATTAGAATTATCTGGTCAGAGCTCAATTGACACCGTTGCAACAAGAGACAAGTCGCATTTCAGAAAACAGGTTTGTTCTATTCTTAGCCAATAATATCTATTGAGATGTAAATGCTGAGATTTACGTAATGAGTAAACTAATATCTGTTATTTGCCTAATAGGCTTCAGTTATAAAAACGTTAAAACTGAATACGTAATTTCCTTAGGCTCGTAAAAATGCAAACACGGTTCTTTTGCATTCTGTCCGATTTATTTCATGAAACAAAACGAGCACAGGCATGTTAGTTTAGTAAATATCAAATATCATAGATCATTTAAGCTAATTTAATATTTCAAGATTAAGGAGACCTTAATCTACCGAATTGGAAGGTCTTCGTTTAAATACCAACTAACTGCTAGAAGTGATCTTTCACATTTCATATATTCCTATTTCTTCATCTAGGTACGATCCGATGTTCTAGATGGGTTTCATGCTATAAATTTTATTTAATGTGCCACTTACGCAAAATTGCAGACCATGGTAGTACATATAAGATTTAAATAAAACACTTTAACGGTTTAAAACGCGATATATTAGTTAAAATATTTGAAAATGATTTTTAACTTCGGCCCGACGTTTCGGCTGCTGCAACTAATATATCGCGTTTTAAACCGTCAAAGTGTTTTATTTAAATGTGTGCTACTCGCGTAAACTATAGACAATATTTACATATAAGATATTATTACTTCGTCGGCTCGGTGTCTTAAACCCGTAATAGGTATGCAACAATAATGCATTTGTGGCTATACACTCAAGTTACGTGGCAGATAGATTAACATCACCGCTGTGTGCAATAGCGTTTTTTTATGACAACAACACATGGGTTTTCACTTGATTGAAGGTAAAATATCTCAGCCATATAACGTCTAAACAAGATGCACTGACCTATCCCTAGACTAAAACCAAACGCGATTAAAATTTCTGCTTTTTTATCTGTGGACGTTTGTGACTGGGACGGTATTTCGATACAATACTACCGATTCAATATCGAGATTTCTAGGCGACGTCCGAAATTTATAAGAAATAATATAAATTGATAAAAAACACATTAGACCCAGTGGGGTATATTAGCCATACATTGCTACCATTACTAATGATGATATTTCTTACATTAATGGCGAATGGAATATTTATATTGTTTAACAAGCGTTTCAATTATTGTCTGCAACTTTCTGCAAAAAGCAACGAGAAAATGGGGCGTAGTAGATTGTACTTTGGCATTAGAGTCGCTGGCAATGTTTAGTGACGAGCCGTGACAACGGCTCCAAAATGTCGGGTCTTGATCAAAAATCAATTATAATATATTTAATAATTTAAACCGTCGGGAAAAAATATTTTCCTTCTAAGTAAAACTGTATATTTTTTAATAATTGAAAACATAAGGCATTTTCCTAGAAACATTTTCACGCACCTTCACTTATTTTTTGCAGCATTGCAAACAGTTTCTAATGGATTGAGTCTCATTGAGTTATGTGGGAAATTAATCATTCTATTTATAGATTCTTATTATTTAACATCGTCTCGTTTCAATGGAGTTGACATTATTTTAGTAATAAAATTGAATTTCCCTTATTCCGTTGTTTGAAGTTAAATCGTACAATGATTGCGACCGAAAATTTGTATATTATTAGGACAATTAGATACGTTTTATTCTGTTGCGTCAGTCAAGGCTGATTATGTGATTAGAGGTAAGAAAACTGTGAGAAAACGTCTTTTTGTTGGTTTTAATAATCTGCAGAATAAGTTAACGAGCAAAACAACGATAAAGAATATTTATGTTCTATAGTCTAAGCTAACAACAAGACCTTAGGTATACTACATTTCTAAAATACAAAATACAGCAGTTTCTTACTATATGTTGCTACGCTTTCATTAACTACTAGTAGTAGGTAGTAGAACTTACTAGTTAAGAGTATAATTCTTTACAATTTTAAATTAACAATTTAATTTATCATAGTAATTTTATCTAGTTTGTAAGTATAATATGTGAAAGTGAAAGTTAGCGCCATCTAGTTTTGATAGTACGTATTACATTCGTGGCATAACGATTCAAATTGTTTTGGTTACAGAGAGCATTGGTATTTATTTTTAATAACCCCTAGATGGCGCTGAAGAGAATTACGATGAATCAGAATACAGAGACGGTACCAACCTTTATCCTCGCTTTGTTTCGGTGAATTTTGCCATTGATCTCGAACTTTTTGTGACCAAGCGAGACTTTTTCGACCCCGGCTTCGTTCCTGGACACTGAAAAACATAATAGTTACTAAATTTCGCTCACCCCTAGCTCTACTATGACACTAAACGCTTGGAGACTATTGAATATCAAATATGATAACAATGTTTGTTTTGCACTTGCTTTTTAAACGATGCTTTATTGGATTGCCTGTTCTATAAATCGATATAGGGACCTAAATAAAATTACTTTACGTCAGTGAAATGCGAATTATATTTAAGGATTATGTTTAAGCAAGATCAACATGAGTGAATGCGTGAACAATAATTAATTGTGAATATGAAAAATGTATTAAATCATTATTAATTAAGTGGTTTTGTTTGCTATGTAGTTACTTTATTTTTTATAATAACGGATACTAATATATAAAGCTGAAGAGTTTGTTTGTTTGTTTGAACGCACTAATCTCGGGAACGGGTTCGAATTGAAAAATTATTTTTGTGTCGGTTAGATCATTTATCGAGGACGGCTATATATATATATATATATATACACTATTAAACATCGTCCTGTCACTAATGGGAGCCAAGATACACCGAGACATGTGACAAAAATTGGGAAAATTATTCATCATTATGCAGAAAACGGTTAAACATTCCCAAAAAATATGTATGACAGAATGTATTTAAATGATCTAAAAAATTTTTTTAGTATTATATTGCGAGAATTACGGTAAGGGACTCGACCGACATCGTGGTTAACAGCTCAAGTTTTTAAAGGTGAAGGGATTTGCAAAACGATGCCCAAAATAACGAAACGAACAAAAAAGTCGCTGACACAGCTTGGCGACTAAGAAGCAGTTTAAAAAAATACTTACATGATAATTTTTTTCTCTTCACTTTTTTCGTCATCAGATATATCGACCCAGTCCTCGCTCTTGTCGCTCCTATCACTGACGCTGGTCTCGCTGCTCGGCACTTGAAAAACTACCTCCTGACCATTATAACTTAGCACTGATCTTTGGCCATAAATACTGTTAGTCTTTTGCTCACTAGCCACTGTCGATTGACTTATATTCGAAACTGTATCAAACGATAACCGCTTCTGTACGGCGGCTGAGGAAAACTGCTTCTTCATATTGCCCGTCTTCAACATATTCGGACTATTGGGTATGCTCTCATAGCAATGGGACAAAGAGACATTATCGCTATGTTTAATTGTATCGTAAATGTTCTCTGATTCGTTGTAGTCCGATATAATCGAATCTCTCTTACTTTTCGGGCTTCCTTTAGACTTTGATGGGCGAAGAGGTATTTTTTCATAAATTCTGTCTGAACCTATTTTCTCGTAACTTACCGTTGAGGCGCCGCTTACGGATTTCGTTATAGAATAATTTTTAGCAGCGAAGGGATCGTAGTTTTCAGCTATTTGAATCCCAGTACTTGATGTGTGGCAGTAAGGTTTGACGGGAGATTTGCAATACTCATAGCCGTCATCACTGTCGCCGTCGCCTCTAGTTCTCTCTTCGAGCTGGCTCTGGCAGGTTTCATAATTGTGCAGACTGCTTTCGTCGCCTTCAGGGTGCGAGCGCATTTCCAAAAGACATTGGTATATATTCTCTACCGTACTTTCTTCAGTTTTCGGTATTTCCGGCAAAGGACAGTTAATTTTTGAGATTCTATCATGCTTTACTGAGACGACTACAATATTATCATTTCGAGGTTCTAAGGGTTCATAATCATCTTCCATCTCCATTTCTTTAGGTGGTCTTGGAGAAAAACCAATTAATACTTCTTTGTTATACGCTTCGACTAAATTACTTTCAAAATCAGATGCACACTGAGATTCGGAATTTATTACCTCAGTGCTTGGTTGAGATTCTTCAATACTGGTAATTTGAGATTCACTGTCTTCGGTGGTATAACCTTGTTTATCAAGGGAAGTACCCGATACCGACGATTCCTTCATTGTAGCGCTTAGGTGCCCATAAGTGCTTTCAGAACCGGATTTTTCACAATCACCGTATGTCTGACTACTTTTTCGCCTCCACAAAAACGAGTCATTAGGGGTAATTTGATTTTCAATATCTTGATAGATAGAGCAATCTGCAGAAGATTCAGTGTCAACGTTTTCACCTTTGTCATCTATATGATTTAACAAAGGGGTAAAATTAGTTTCTTCTTGTATTATTTCCACAGCCTGTAACGGTAACTTTTCGGAATGAATAAAGTTTGTTTTAAATTTCTTTCTGTCGTAAATTGGTTCTTTCCTTCTTGGTAATTCTGGCTCTGACTTGCTTGAATTTTGTTTTGATGCATCAAGTACTGGTTTAACAGTCTTAATTTTAGCTACTCCATCTTTAAATACAAGGTTTTTCGTAACGACTAATGATGATTTCTTTTCAGGTACTTTAGGTTTTTCTCTATTACTAAGTGAAGCAACAGTTGTTATTGGATTTTTTTGCTTTGATATTGTGTAACTTTGGCTTGAATGGGCGTTGATTTCACATTGGAATTTTTTAATAACATTTTTGACGGCATTCGTCTGTACTTGAGTGTCTTTAAGTTTGCCAATTTTATCTTTGTTTGGACTTCCATCCACTGAATCTGATCCACTTTGTGTATTTGAGTCTGAGTATTTTAAACGCTTTTTGGGCGATTTTGGAATTCTATTGCCATCGGATTTTGAACGTAAAACACGAATCTTGTTGTAGCCATTATCAGATATTGCCAGTTTATCTATAGAATCCATACTTGAGCATCTTTTTTTACTATTCCTTTTCTTTGACCCCCTTCTGTGCTTTACGACAATTTTTATATTAGGGCTAGAGCTAAGAGTGGATGACGGCGTGGAACTATTACTAGCAGAACACGCAGATTGTAAATCTTCCAAGGTTTTAAACAGTTTAGTATTCTTTGCAGCGCCTGAGGAGCTGTTATTAACGATATTATTAAATTTCTTTGTTAACTCTGAGACTTTACTGCTTGTTATCGTCATTGTTGTAACAAGTGGTGGGCGGCGATGCAAGCTTGATGCATTTTTTATTTTAAAACTAATTTTCCTTTGTTGCTGTTTTGTTGCAGAATCAGGAATGTCCATATGGAGTGACCTTTCTTCATTGTTTAGTTTAGCATTTATGTCTTTCCCTCCTCCTGTACTCCGCGTATCATCACTTGTAGTTATTGCTATTTGTGCATAGTGTAATGTTGACTCTTGTCTGTTTTCTTTGGACTGTCGTAAAGTAGAATTTAGAAAAGCCTGTTTCGCTTCGTTGACAGTTTTCCTTTGATAAGATGGTGACATTGGCGGTTTAATCGGTACCGTATAAATGCATTTTTCAAAGCTCTGTTTCTGTTTAATCGCCATGTCAGCTTCGGGTAAGATAAAGTTCTTTACAAGGGACTTAATACTTCCATGCTCTTTTCCTTCTGTGTTAAAACTCGTGATTGAAGTTATGATTGCGTTTGTTGACAGTGATGTTCCTTCCATTAGTGTATTTAAGTGCATTTGTACCGGATCCGGTGTCGGAAACTTTTCTACGCCATCTGAAACAATAAAATTTACGATCAATATTAGTACAAATTTATTGACATCGTATCTACGTAGAGAGATAGTAAATAATTCGACAGTTTTTATTCAAAGCTTATTGTGATGTATGGTAAATTCTCACGCAAGTGCGTTGGGTTTTTCTCCCCTACTTATAATTACGTAAACACATACGTAAGCAGAGGACGCAACATGTGACGAAGGGGATCATAATAAACAAAAGTGTCGTTAACCACGTCGTTATATTAGGTACATCCAATTATGTGACAAGCTTTTTAAATATAAAAAAAATGAATCGTATTCAATTACATTTATATCAATAATAACACCATTTCATATAATCTATAATTCAATGTTAAGGTAAGGTAAAATTAATTATGTATTCATGTAGTTTTAACAAGTTACCCAATTGTAACGTAAAAAAGGCTACTATTGTAACCTCACAAAAGAACTAGAAGAGATTTAATTGCTCGCTGAATTTGTACTAGGAGATAGTTACTCTTACAGGTTTAATGTTTTTGAATTTATCAAATTGTAGTTACAATTAATTAACGTCGATAACGCATAACTTGCTTTTTTAACCCACACGTTGCCCACTAAGGCAAGAATCTCATAGCGATTTCCAGTTTAGGTACCTAATGGGTTATTGTCGCCAAATCCGTATTTGTTCAATAACGGGCATTCGCCTTGTGACCTTGGAGGTGAATAGAATTTTTATTAGGTTTTTGCATTAGATCTGAGAAAAGCAGCCTGGTTAAAAGTAGGTAGTAACCTCTTCAGTGCTTCAAAAAGCATGTTGGGCCGTTCGTCAGTTTTATCCGTGATGGATGGTACAGCTTGATCCCGCGGGCCCAGGATGTATATTATGCTGTAATGGCGACTAGTTGAGATTATTTTTGTGGGTATTATCACCTACTTGTCTGGACAAGGAACGCAAGCAGAAAGTAAGTGTGGATAGAGTGTAAAAGCACGTTCAATCTCAGTAATAGAAAAACCCGCTGGCCGTTGGTCTAAACTCTAATCAGTTCTTTAGATACTGTTTGTAGTTTACGCGAATAATACACATTTAAATAAAACAATTTAACCGTTTAAAACGCGATATAATCTTCAAATGAGTTCAACTAATATATATAGCGTTTTAAACTGTTAAAGTGATGTATTTAAATCATTTCTTTAGGCGGTAGGTACTTGTTAAAGCAGTGAGGTGATTCTCAGCTTATAAAACACTCGGTTCGAGAGGAGTCCCAGCGATGGGACATAATAGGTGGAATCGGTAAGTAATGTATTATTAATAATTATTTATGGCATAAGAAAATTTCAGAAGAATAGCTACCCACGCTCTGATAATTAAAAATGAGCGAGGTATTTGCCTTTTACTGATTACATGCATTACCTTGAGAACACATAGTGCAATTATTGCGTTTACTTGTCTATTACTTGTGTATCTAACAACACATACCTTTGTGCATTACATATTATTTCATTTTTAGTTTTAAGATATTATTGTTTAGAAATAACTATTATATAAGATTTTATTTTTTTAGTTGACGCGAGTAGTACCTACACATTTAAATGAACCACTTTAGCGGTTTAAAACGCGATATATATTAGTTGAACTTATTTGAAAATTATTTTTAATGCTTTTCAGCAGTCTCCCCGTGAACGCGGCGTAGTTAAAATGATTTTTAAATAAGTTAAATACATATATACGCGTATTAAACCGTTAAAATATTTTATGTAGAAAACTTTTGACCAAACCCGCAAGTTACTCGTTGACCAACGACACCAACCATAGTGAGACTGACGAACTCGTCAAAATTCCTTAATAATATAAAATAATGATTCCTTAATGCTTATCTAAAGCAGATTTATTGCATAGTAAGATAACGAAGACATTTGCTAATGTGTGTTCATAATATTAATTGCTTTTTTATAATTATCTTTGCAGTTTTCATAATTGCCTATTTATTGTAATACAAAGGTCCTTGTCAAAGGTATACTGACTATCTGTTACATTGCATGAATATTGAATTGCTTATTAACCATTATGTCTTAGAGTTCAATGACCCGATATGAAGCGTATGAGATTTCTGTACAGCGTTTAAGATAGAAGTAGGTAAGTGAAGATAAAAATAGTGCATTGAAGCAGGTGGCCCTTCTGTTTCAGGAAATTACATAATATCATATTAAACAGCGTCTAGCAAAATTAGCATGTCTTCTTAGACTGCTCACAGACAATACTACAATATTTGATTCTAACGGCTAATCTACGAGTCGTGGGTCCGATCCCCAACCGGTCCAACATTGTCTAAGCAATTTATATTTTTTCTGAAACATGTTGGACTTCTTCTGGAAATCTGGATATAAAATTAAATGGGTAAGGTAGGGTAGGAACATAGAACACATGAAAACGCCTTCAGACTGTGGATTTGCGAATATCGAAAGCCAGAATCTCGTTTAGATGCTTTAGGCTGGCATTTCACCTACCATCTAGTGAAGTCCATGCTTTTCTGTCCTCCTCTATCATAAAATTCAAATATATTTGAGATCCCGTGTAATTTTTTCCAATCAAAATAAATGTTAAATTTATATGACATACTATAATAAATTTATATTAATATGTCAGATTATAATATTTCAAGCCTTATAATAGCAAATACGTTAAAGATAGTAAGTATTAATCATAAATCCTTGTATCCAGTATTAGAGAAACAGTAGACAGTGGACTAGTCATGTTTATTTATATTATAGCCCTACATTCACGTCGCATGAGTATCATTTGATAAAGTTATGTAAAATCGATTTTTAGACGGCATAATCAATGTGGTTTGGATTTGGAGCTTCGAACTTTTAATCGCGAAATATCAAACAGATTACGTATTTTGTTTCGTAAAAGAAGCTAAAAAAAAGAAGAATAAGTTCATCCTTGCTCTGACGCAGATGTTACTGTCCTTTTAACAACGTAACATAAACATACTTAGTGTACACATGTAAATGTAAAGATACAGATAATACACGATTTTATTTGAAGCTCTCACTAAGGCCCAAGTATTTTTTGTTTTATAGTCTGTCCTACAATTATTTTTAATTCAATGAGTAAAAAGAAATTACGATGTTATCTTTTTACTTTTTGTTGTTACGTAGTCTGTGATACAATGATACTTTATTCTATGAGTAAAAAGATTTTCAATTATAACTTTCTTTTTGTTAGTTTTTGATGCATAGTCTGTGCTGATATCATATTTTCTCGACTTTTCTAACTTCAATGTTGTGTTATTTTCCTTCAGTTATTTCGTATGTTATATATTCTCTTTAGCACGAGTAGTTTTAAAGACTGATTTTAGCTGTTGAGACCGTGACCAATATATTTCCAGTTTTATCGCGATTAGTTTCAACCGTTAAGAACAATCTTCCGTTTTTCCTTGGCCGTTGCGTGTTTGAAAAATATTAAGGTCGCGTTTACAAGCACTGCGCAAGCGACTTAACTAATATTTTTGACTAAACATGAAATCAACTGCAGTTGGCCAATATGTTATAAGATTTGGAACATAGATTTGATTTGCTTTAACATCCGGTGGAATTAAGAAACATAATAATTAAATTATTCAAATATACTTTATTTATTATGGAAGCACGTAGTACATATATGCTAAATAGCTTGATTGGAGCTGGAATAACCAAAATATATGAATTATGTGTATTTGTGAACTGAAAGAACTTTGTGATTTTATTTTGACGACCGTGTAAGCTTACTTATAACCATATAGAGATTCTTACTATGAAACTTTTATAACAAACAATTCACTATAATTTAATTAGGATTATTCCATATTAATAGACAGATACTAAAAAGTAAACGGCTTGAATGGAAAACTAATAAATATTTCACCATTTGCTAATATTAATTATAAGTCAGAATTAAATCGCAGAAGTGTTATATCAATAACAAGCCACGTTGGCTGTCGTAACATCCTTCGTATTGTTTCTTCATACAATACGTATTATAAAACGATTGTCTGCCGATTCAGCCTTGGAGTAACTACTGTACTGTATACAGCTATGGGTACATACATCCTTAATAAGGCAACAGAAAAAAACTAAGTAGAAAATCTTTCGTACCTAGTATACATTAATTATATAAGTAGTATTATCGTGTCTCTTGCCCTTTTCAGTCAATATAATAAAAACAGGCTTTTATGGTGATTTAAATATGCCACTTTTAACGGTTTAAAACCTAATAAATATGTAATCATATGCTTTCCTTTTCGGCATCTGCAACGTAATGCCGTAGTTAATTACTAATATTAATATATATTTCGTGTTTTAAATCGTCGGTCTTTTTAATGTGTAAGTACTATTAGCGTTAACGGATGACGTCATATTCCGATAGTTTAAGGATTCTGAATCTAGGCAACAATATATTATCATAAAGATTTATATACAGAATATTCGCGGGGATAGTCTGGATGTTTGCATTAGCATATGTATGACGTTAAGATAATCTTGTAACGCATATACTCGTGTTGCATGTAAGGCATTTCCGTTTCACATGTTAGATTGCAAATAGAAAAAATAGACAAGGAGGGCAATTCTAATTTAAGTACCATATGTCGCAGATTGTATATATATGAATGTATTTATGCTTTGTGCTAACGTACAAACCATTACAAACTTTAGTTAGGTTACAATGATAAATAAACATTACTTATATCACTTCTTTAAGGAATACCCCCACAAAAAGGGTACTTTGTGTTTCATTTAACTTGTTAGAAGCTGTTTTTACCTTAACTTTCGCCCACGACTTTGTCTGCGCGTTTAAGCAAACTTCGACACAGTTAATTATTTGGGATTGTTTTCAGGGCGAATACAAGAAACTTAAACATTTGTTGCTTGTTATGCTGTTCTAAGCTGAGTAAACTCGACTAAGGAAAACCACAGACAGATTGGTACCCATCTTGGTACCTTCAGAAGTATGCATTTACGTATAGGCATAGACTCCGTCTAAGACCCACTAACATTTTGAAATTCAGATAATTTTATCAAATGTACATACAGACAATTTGTTTTGCTTTATTATAGGATTAGTCGCAAACGGGAGCATAGCATGACCTCTACTTTCAAAATAACGTTGACACCGAGTACGTGCATGGGTTCGTGAGAAGTTCAGTGTTTCTATCGTGGGTGGAAAACCGGATTGAGTTTACAAGATAAAGGGGAAAAGTGAATTACCGATGGTAGAGAATTCATTATAAATGCAATACGTATTTACTAAGAGCGTTGTATGAAGTGATCCATTAATTTATTAGCCATTAAATTAAATGCATTAGTCATAAATCATTTCTTAATTATTCCCTAATGCAGTTTAGCTAATCAATCAATACGAAGTACATCAACATTATTTTTTTACGTTGCATACAAAAGACGATAATATTATAGGGTTCCACTTTCCTTAATGTGCCATAGAACAAAAACGTCTCAGATTAGTAATGCCTCAATGGTACACGCTACTAATTACCATCGATAAAATAATAATGTTATCTATGGTCAGAACAGATAATACTAAAATATAATGCCACATATTAAATGAATGAAAATGTAATACCTACGTAGCTTCCACGCTTTAGATTTAAAACAACATTTAAATAAAACGCTTTTAACGGTTTAAAAAGTGTTATATTATACTCGCGTCTATTTATTTATTATCTAAAAATGTCTCCCAAATGTACTGAGAGCACTTCTTAGCTTATATTTATGCTTAATCCCCAAAAATAGAAGCTATGACATCCTGACCATTA